AAAAATATAACTATGACAATTATGTAGGTTTAGACTATTTTTTTATTTTTAACAAAAATCATCTAGATGCTCTTCTCCTGGCACTTTTCCCTATTTTGCTTCACTATTCTGTGTCAGATTTTTACTTTCTGGTGTTAAACTTGGAAACAAAATGAACCCAGGAAAATCAGGAAAGGCAAGAGAAAGTCTGTATCCACAAGACAGATCATGGCTGTATCTTTCTTTTTTCTCATCTGTTCCAGTATAGGGAGAACCAGAGGAGATTCTTTGCATATATATATATATATATATATATATATATATATATATATATATGAACATATATCCCAAAGTGATGGAGTAAAATACCAAAGGATGACTTTCTTTCAAAACACGCTTCATGTCACACTTTCCATTTTAAAATGGTCACATTTTAGTTTTGGTTTACCCAAAAGCAGACAAGACTACAGTATTTGAAATCACGTCACTTACTACATCTGCGGCAGTTATCACAAGCACTTGAACTCACACTTTGAAAACAAAAGGCATATAAGGCATGGGTTCATCTCTGCACAGAATATCACTAGTGCTGAAGCTGATGGCTTGGTTGAACAGACAAAAACTCTCAGTGACAGTAAATTTGCAACACGGTGTCAGCATGACACTTTAATAAATCGTTGGCAGGTTGCCACATATGTTCCTCAAACAAATAACAGCTTGCCTTCTATTCCTCTGCATGAGAATATGGATAATACTGGACTGATAGTTACCATCCTTATGCCAGACAAGGAAACAGAAGTCCCAGTGGACCTGCTGACATGCAAATACAGTGGTGCCTCGCAAGACGAAATTCGTTCCGCGAGTTTTTTCGTCTTGCGGTTTTTTTCGTCTTGTGAAGCACGGTGTCGGAAAAGTTTTGGAAAAGCTTCAAAAATCACCAAAGTCTTCAAAAACCTCAAAAAAGGCTACCACACCGCGTACTATGAGTTGCTCCTTGAAGTCAAGTCGCAACTGTATTAACGGTTTTAAGAAAAAGGAAACAAACTTGCAAGACGTTTCCGTCTTGCGAAGCAAGCCCATAGGGAAAATCGTCTTGCAAAGCAACTCAAAAAACCAAAAACCCTTTCGTTTTGCGAGTTTTCCGTCTTGCGAGGCATTCGTCTTGCGAGGTACCACTGTAGTGATGAACACTGTACAGTGGTACCTCTGATAAAGAACTTAATTCGTCCCAGAGGTCCGTTCTTAACCTGATACCGTTCTGAACCTGAGGTACCACTTTAGCTACCACGTGATTTCTGTTCTCATCCTGAGGTAAAGTTCTTAACCCGAGGTACTACTTCCAGGTTAGCAGAGTCTGTAACCTGAAGCGTTTGTAACCTGAGGTACCACTGTACTGAGTAAGCTACAAGGCCTACCTTTTTCCATCATCATGCTAAACAGGAGTCAACATTTCGCTCTTGCCATAACAACTATATCACCACTCTCAGGTGAGCATGATAAGCAAAGAACCCTTACACCCAACGTTACAGTTGCTGGGGCAGGTTCATTCCAAACACTTGTGCACCAATGATCCCCATCCCTTGCCCAGCTCCAAGGATGTGAGCAGGGCTTGGGGTCGCTTGGTCGCAGGTTGCCCAGTCCACGCTACCTCGGAATGGCCAAACTTGCAAGCGGGGCCGGCCCACCCATGGGGTAAGGTAAGGTGACTGCCTCGGGCAGCAGGATCCACAGGGGCAGCAGATCTAGATCTGCCACCTCCTCAGCAGGCCCCCCCAGTGCCGCCTCTACAGTGGCTTATTGGCGAACAACAGGCACTGCTGGTCTCCTCCTCCCACCTCTAAGGAGGATATGGTGGGGGCTGCCCTCTGGGGCCTCCTGAGCTCTGCACCTGCCTGCTGTGATTCAGAACAGGTCCCGTTCCCCTGCTCCACCCCATGACAGCTTTTGGTTCCCACTTCAACCATCAGCTAAGGTTGATGTGACCACCAGCAGCCCTTTCCTGGTGTAGGTTTTTCCTGCCTCCATTTGTTCCCTATGTAGAGCTTCATTCACTCCTTCTCCCTTGGTGGGGGCTGCAGAGTGCCTTTGGGGTGCAAAGATAGGGCATCCAGCATGCCTTGCCAAGTCCAAGTCATTTAACTCTCTGCTGGAAAGGCAGGTGGTGATGGGGATGAACATGAAAATCACTTTTTTTATACTCAGCTTTCAACGCCAGTCAAAAATTGCAGGCCGCTGTTTATAAAGCGTCTACAAACGGCCACAGGGATTACTGGAAAAGCAATGAGGCTTAGCTAATGGATGTGATACCAGTGAGGGAGAGAAAAAAATATTGGCACTGCCTCCAAACTGCAGAAAAACATGATGGCAGTCATATCCTGCATATGTGCCGTCCTGCCTTCAGCCATCCACCCACAGTGGCCATCAGCAAAGTAATTAAAATTTAACAGCCTTGCAGTCAGAAGCATTTAGAAAACACATCCGTCCCATTTCTCAACCAGAATTATCCCTCACACACACACAAATAATCAGGAAGCCATTTAACAGACTCCCCTCCTTGCCTGCAAGAGATTATATACTCTTCTCTGTCCCTCTCTGTTACCAACCAGTTGCAAGCTATTGGCGCTAGTGATTCATTGAAACTTCACTGCTAAACTAGGATCTCTGCCATCATTTTACAGTCAACGCTGATTAAAGAGATTAGGCAATACTGCAAACAGAAGTCAGCCTCTCTGGTACTACTCGGGAGAACTGTGATGGCAAATTCACACATATGGGCTTTCGCATAGAGGAATCTACGACAGCTTGTTCTCGGACATTAGAAAACGAGGCACTGTTAATGGGTATCTGTTTATTATGGAAATATTGAATCATACCATGATGAAGCATTACCAAGCTCATATCTCTGCAAGCGGCTAGCAAAACAGGTTCCAGGGCAACCTAAGGTTTAAGAAACCCGGCTGCAGGTTTTGGGGCAGCCCTAGGCAAAGTATCTGAAGGTGGGCCTTCTTTTCTCTGTCAGTGGGCCCTGAATGTAATGGTAGAGTTCCAAGCACCACTTGCCAGCTAAGTCTTTTTACCCTTGCAAATTTTGCACAATGCCTAGAACAGAAAGCTTGGTGGCACTATAAGAAATTAAAAGCGTAGCTAGATTCAGCCACCTGGTGCTGCTCACGAGTGCTGGGCCGAAGGGAAGGTCTTGACCACTGCTCAAGGATGTCAGGTGCAAATGCCAGGTTCCTCAAAAGCTCACCAGGGGTTCCATAATTGAAAATGTATGACAGGCAAGCTTCTGTGAAAGACAGCTTGCTCATCGCTGCTGATCTTCCATTGCAATATGTTGCCTCAGCAGAGCGTTTATTTTGCTCTAGGGCACAGACTCATTTCACACATGAGCAGCAGTAGGGGCTTGGCCAGAGAGCTATGTGAAAACTGAGAGTTACCCTAGAAAACTCTCCAGAATCCTCTGAAAAATGCAGTAGTTGTTGTATTGCAGACATGCCAGAGTTTACATGAAAATGTCTTTTTAAAAAAACAAACAAACTGAAAACTAGAAAACCATTCTTTTCCATTATTTCCCATATATGATAAATGCTCTAAACCAGGGCTGTCAAATGGGTCAATCATGATCTACCAGCCAATTGTGGGTGCCCCTGATTGATCATGATTGATCAACAACTTTGGGTCTTCCTCCCCACAAAAAGCTCAACAACTTTGGTCAATCCAATGGGTAGATCAATACCAGTTTTTTCGAGTAGGAGTAGATTGCAGTCTCTTGGGAGTTGGACATGTGTGCTCTAAACATTCAAACATAAGGTGTACACACTAGGGTGGGGTTGGGAAAAGTTTATTTGCATCCCACATTTGAAACTTTCTAATTCTCAAATGGATGGAGGAAACTGAAAGCATTGCATCAGTTTTGTGGAACACTTAAGGGAGCCCTTTAGCAGCAAAATGAAAGAGACCAGATACCATACTTTTTCTTTTATGCATTCCTAAGAAGAAAGAGTTCTATTGCTCTCTATTTTTATAATGCAGACCCTCAAACAGTCATGAATCCTATGCTTTCTGATGCATGTATGGGGGAAGTACACATGATTTGTATGGGATAATGCATTCTAAAATAATGCACTGAGTAGCTCCACAATAGGTATGGGGAACCTGTGGTCCCCCAGATGCTGTTGGACTACAACTCACATCAACTCTGACCCATGAGGCGCATGTCATGGGAGTTGGGTGAGGGTATCAGGTTTGGGCTTGGGTGACAAAGACTGCCATCAGAAAACGCAATCTGTTTTGACAGGATTTATTTCAAAGTAAATATACTTGGAATTAGGGTGAGAGAATCAAATTCCCAGCTAGCCATGATGGTCTCAGCCTACAGCTATTGTGAAAATAATAAGAGTACTTTACATACATCGTGAACAGAATTATGAACAATAAAGTCTCAATCAAAACAGTTAATTCAACTGCTGCCAGGATTTCTTCATTTTTTAAAAAAGCCTAGATTTACGATTGATCAGTTAGAAAGATATCTACATGCATTTTCCCCACCAGACGTAAATGTTCTCTTTAAGAACAATGTTGCTAGTGCAGTTTCAAGCATGCATAATTTACAGCATTTGAGGAAACGAAAAAAACACCTTCAAGGAGCTTTTTTTAATATAAGATATATTCTGCTGTCATAAGATGCTCGTGTGCCTTTGTAAAGTATTCAAGGCCTTTTCAAAATGAATGTTCCACATAAACATCATGCTGTCTAAATCTCCAGGACCGAGGAACAAGTACTGGATATATAATCTAGGGGGGGGTTGTTTTGTTTTAAAATACAGCAGACGCTCACACTTTATTCAAACGATGTCTAGGTTTTCAAGAGATCTCAGAGGAAAAGATAAGCCTGCTGTCTGGTCAAGGCGGCCTGTGCGCCTGTTTTCCCTCAAAACAAACCCCATATGCCCCAGCAAGACACCTACAGATGTGCCATATCCTTACCAACTCGAGGGTTGTTTCTTTTTCCTGCCAACTCAAGCTCCTGCATGACACAAATCCAGTGCCCAGACAACGCCACAAACTGAACAAAAAACAGCAGCCTCCATCCGAGTGGGACCCGCACGGCAGTTGTCCTCAAAGATGTCTCCAAGACGGCATCCGCCTTCAAAGCGCAGCACGTCCAGCTTCCCCCCGCCCTCAAAAAACGTCAAAACAAAGCATTTTTTTAAACAAGAAAAAATGGCAAGCATCCTTATCCAAAGAGGTAGGGCACGTATCTTTTCGAGCTCTCTCTCTCTCTCTCTCTCTCTCTCTCTCTCACACACACACACACACACACACACACGCTCTTTCTCATCTAGACTGCTCCTTGCAAAACAGGAGAGGCAACCCGATAGGATGCGCTACGACTCGGCCACCTTTCCTGCCTCCTCACGGCCCCGGCCACTACCCGTCTTGTTTGGGCTGCGTTTTGTCTGCCGCAGGAATTCCACACACACACACACAAAAGCGGGGCTGGGGGAGAGAAGCGCCCCTTTGCCAAAGGAAAGCCGCTTACCTCGCGCCAGGTGAGCCGCTGCTCTTCTTCAGCGAGGCTCGCGCCACATGCTGGACGGGAATCCAAGCCCCCGCCCCGTCCGGGGAGACGCTGCAGCCCCTCCTTCCTGCTGCGGCTGCTGCTCCCCACACCCCAGGGCAGCCTCTGCCGCTGCAGCAAGCCCGCCACCCAAACGCGCATACACCCAGCCGGCTATGACGCCACAAACCAGCCAGGCTCCTCCGGCGGCTCTTCAGCAGCTGCGCCGCCCCCTACAGGAGAGACGCGGCCAGCGCAGGCCGCAGGCCGAATCCGGCGCCTCGCGCGCTCCGTGCAACCCTCTACCGTAGCTCTGCCTTTGCTCACTTCTTCTTCGCACGGTTGACTTTTGAGGAACCACCCAGAGAGCCGGGTTGCAAGAGGCCACGCCTTCGATTCTTCACGACACGAGTCATCTCGGTAACTGGAGTCATACATGGGAGTCCTCGTTTTTTTAAATGCTGCATCCAGACCGGTCCAGTATGCGCAATATATTTTTACACATGTATTTTTGCATATGTTCGTGTACCGAACTCAGGTCATGAAGCAGGAAGCCGCAACGCCGTTTGTTAAAATGCATTATCATCTGTGGTCAAAAGCGCCAATTACTCAATAGTCCCTAGAAGTGGCTACAGTACAGCTACCTTGTTCTCCCTCTGAACACCATAATAGGGAGAGAAGGAAAAGAAAATTGGATCAGTGAATCTGGGAGGGAATAGAATGTGTAAAGTGACTCACGTCTGTCACGGTTCTAAAAAGGCAGATAAGTGAAGATGGCAGGTAAAAATTTAGGCTTAAGAGACGAATTACAATCAGGCAAATTGCCAGGTCTAGATGGCATCCATGCAAGAGTTCTCAGACACACCTCCCCTCACAGATAATAAGGTACTTCATTCAAGTCAGCACTATGCACTTCAGAGATATGGAGCACCCCGGCAGAGGCAGAATGAAAACTTTGGGGTGTGCATATGTGAAATGGGGTGGTGTTAATAAACAAATGTACTTCCAAAAAAAGCACATTAACTGAGCATGCACCTTTGCCTTTCTCTAATGTAAGTAAGAGACCATTGCATTAAATGAAATACACACACCTGCACCTACCTTTAAAAAACCAGGCTTGCTTCCCAACATGTGGTAAGTGGGGAACTCATATTCATTTCCACATCTTAAGGTTTCATAGGGCAGATGTAAGTCAGTGAAAGTTGTTCCTGATCCCATTTAGAATTGCTCTGCTCAGCATTTTTATTTATTTTTACAAAAGAGTATTTGTGTTAAAAAGCTTGCTGAACACAATGTTCATGCACCTTATGATGAACCTTTTATCATTTTAATGTTTTCGTATGTCACCTTGGACACACATTTTTAAAATAAAGCTCATGTCACCACAAACTTGTTAGCCATCAAGGTACCAGGAATGATGTTGGAGTTCTTTGCTGAACACAGTAACTGTGTTCAAGACAGACAGTAAAAGAATTGTGATCTTCAATTCCAATACATAATGGAAGCATGCTTGCCGGAAAGGGAAAATTTAAAAAGCAACGTCAAAATGTCCTAGTTCTGAAACTATTGCCAGTGGAATAATACCAGTTGATATCTGGAATGTGCAGGCTTGCAGTTACTTCTATACTCTGTGAGGCAGAAATCAAATTGGACTATATACAGTCATAACAGTTCACATCCAAATCTTGGCAGTTTCTCTGGTGGTATTATTTCTAGGAGTCTGCATGCAAATACACATCCCCATCTGCAGAGATACAGCTAGTTCCACAGGACTTGGCTTGGTTGAGCATAATCATTATTTATTAAATTTATACACCACCCTTCATCCAAAGATCACAGGGCCATTTACAGTATAAAAACACAAAACATAGTAACAAAAATTAAAACCCCAATAACCACCACCAACACATTTAAAAGGCCATAGACTGTTTAAACAGTCAAAGGCCTTGGGTGAAGAGGAATATTTTCGCTACTCTGGGGAAAGCATTCAACAAATGGGGAGGCACTGCAGAAAAGGCCTGTTCTCATGTTGCTACCCTTTAGACCTCTCCTGGAAGTGAGACATGCAGGGCCTCAGATGAGGATTGCAAGGTCTGGTAGGTTCATATAGGGAGAGGCAGTCCTTGACATACTGGGAGTCCTGAGTTGTTTAAGGTTTTATAGGTCAAAACCAGCACTTTGGATTGGGCTCGGAAATAAATTTGTTGTGCCAGGATTCGTATTATATGCTCAAACAGTCTTGCCCCAGTGAGCAACCTGGCTGCTGAATTCTGCACCAATTGAAGTTTCCAAACTGTTTTCAGAGGCAGCCCCTTGTAATAATGCATTGCAGCATGGTTATCCCACTGGTTCCACACCTAGATATCCCTTCCTAGATCAGAATAGTTAACCTTTACGTGAACAAGCTGGCTGACAACTTCTGTATCACTGCAGAATACCAAAAAGAAAGGCTAGTACAAAAATACTTTATAATTTGGGAGACAAAACTTATCCAACCATTGAACCCCAAGAGGAAGTAATCTCAAAATGAAGCATTTCAGGTGAAGGACTCTAAAGTGCTTACGAAGATGCAATATATTTCATTTAAAATGTGATCACCACAAATGGCCAGATTTTATTTTCACTGTAGTAGTTCTAGCATTGAGCAGCTTCAGGCATTCAGTACTTAGAATACAAATAATTTCCATAGAAGTGAAACAGAGTTTAGGGAAATACAGTAGGTAATTTCTTTATTCCAGTCTTTAATCTCAAGGTGTCAGTGCATCCAAGATTGCCCCTGCTTGCTGCTTCGTAATGGAGAGTCTTCAGTATCCCTTTCTTCCTCTGAATCTTGCTCTGTTATCCAGCTTTTAAGAAGAAACAAGTTTTATATTACAACCGTTAACACTCTAATACTACAACTACTAGTTTTATTGGTGCCTTACAAAAAGGCACAAGAGACAGAACCATTAAAAAGTTATGACCCTTAGTTTATTTTAAATTGTTATATGCCATCATTCCCAGATTTAACATAAAAATGCGATTAAAAACACGCCAAATAAAATGAACACAATGAAAGCAATAAGCTCAGCAGTAAAAAAGAAAAATAATAAATAGGGATTTCCATTGGACAACCATCATGCCACCCTCCAAAGCCACCCCAATTAAGCACACATTGTATCCCCTTTTAAGGCCATAAGGAAAGTAGGAACTAGTCTCACCAGCCTCAGAAAGTCACTGCAATTGAGGTAACTACACTATGAGGATCCCTAGCTGTTGATAATTTTACCACATATAATGAAGATGAAGAAAGCAGGTGCTGATAAAAAGAGCTTAACTGGAAACGGGGATTATAGAGAGGGGAGGTATATATAATGTGTGTTGTTTCAAGCTGGTACAGTCTTAGAAAAACAGCAGCATGTACTGGATATGTTCATTCCCGTCCCCACATATCCATCAGATAACAACAGGCTGTGGCAATATGCATCAGCTGCAGTTTTCAAACAATCTTCAAGTGAAGTGCCATATTAAAACATTCACAGTAGTCAATCCTCAAACTTATGAAAGCATAAGTTAGCATGGTGAGGTTTCCTTGCTCTAAAATGGGTCAGCTGCACAACAGATGCACTTGATAAAAGGCACACCTTGTCACTGACACTACCTGTTTTTCCAGAACTCTAAGGCTCTGAAGAGGCTTCAGTGCAGTGCGTACTCAAAGAAGATATACATACCAATTCTCCGAAAAGCACTGGATTTGCCCACCAGCATCACCCCCATCTTGTCTGGATTTAACTTATATTTGTTTAACCTCACCCACTATCCCACAGTATCCAGACACTGCTGAATTTAGGGCCAAGACTACCACTCATGGACGCTGAAATAAATAAACAGCTGAGTGTCTTCAACCTACTGACAACACCCAGCTTCAAAACTCTGGGTAATTTTTTTATAGCATAGAGACTTGACAGACAGTGCAGATCAATTCCCATGGTGTTGAACTAGCCTCCAATTAAGACATTCCAAATGCAGTCCAATGAAATTATTTACATCATTGGATTATGAGCCCAAGCAGCCAGGCAAGAAGTTCAAGCTACTACAAGAATGTTTTGGCTTATAGAATAAAAAGTTACTAAGCGGTCAGTGTAGAGCTGCCACCTCCTAGGCAGATGACTGAGAGTAAATTGGATGCTGAGCTGACGCCAACCCTGTCTCCAAGGACATGGAGATGCCAGCACCTATGCAAACAAATATTGCACACCCAACCCATTCAAAAGAGTCCCTGGATGCTTGCCCAGTCCCTGGACTCTGGCTGGCTTTTATGGTGAGCTGTCCCGGCCCTGCTCTTCAAAAAGAAGAAACAGGGGGCATGTTGGTTGTTGGATCAATGTCTTAACTTGAGTGTTATCATGTGTCTATACCTTTTATGTACCTGCTGCACCTTCAACCTGTGCCTTACCTATGTACCATTTTGATTCATGTGTTAAAATCTTTGGCAGATACAGAACTGGGAGTTTGTATTCTTCTGGCAGCGAGGGCCAGGACATCATGCTTCTTTTATTTGTTTTAAAATATGGTTAACTTTTCCTCAATAAATTTCTGTACGTATATTTAAACCTAATATTTACCTAAACTGTCACACTAAATATCCCATGGCTTTTATTTTAACTGTTACCTTTCATGATCAGTGGAACAGTAATGCTACTGTAAATAAAACAAAGCAACACTTCCAAGCAATAACAAATTTGTAACATCATTGATATTGTTACAACACCACCCCAATCTCCACAAGTGGTGCAATATTCCAGGGGCTGCAGGTGTGCTTACCTGGGTCTGCGTTCCCTTTTGGGACAATGAGGCACAACTGAGACTGCTTTTTTTTAATGTATGGTTTTATTTGCACATATATACAACTTGCACCTAGATGAAGGGATTGCAGAGCACTCACATCCTACGAGGGTCTGGATTCCCCCTTAAGGGCAGCACTGGATTCAAAGGTGAGCAAAAGCCATCCTCTGTGTCTCCTACAGCCTGTCGTATCCCCAGCTCACATGGAGGCTGTTGGCAGTGAGATGGAGGGGCAAAACTCCAAGGACCTCCCCAAAGCCTAGTCATTCAAAACTGAAACCCTAAACCTGGCTTTTGCCTCTGCCCAGCAACCAGCAGAGAAGGGGTCCCAATACCATTGCCTGGCAGTCTTGCCCTCTGATGGTTTTCTTGATGGGCCATCACCAGCCTTTGCCTCCTGCTCATGGCCCATCCAGGTAGCTCTGCAGAGCTGCCTTGGCTTGTTAGCATAACTAAATCCACGGGGTTTCTGTTTTTGGCAAAGTTTAACCAAACTCTGATTAATTCCAACTTTTACTACATCCAGAAATTATGGAGAGGATCTGACACCCAGGAATTTAGGGGAATTTGGCCCCCAACAAACCCATAACAATTAAAAATCTTTCAGTTGTGTCTTATACGTAACGTACTATGGTACATATTTTTAAACGTGACCACAATCTGCAGTACAATTCACCTACTCACCAATGATCTTTTGCATTCAAAAAATGAAACTAGTAATCCTTTGCAATGGCCTTCCTTCAAGCACAGTTTGGGCCCTTTCCCTTCCTGTCATAAAAGAAATTAAAGTGAGCAGCGAGCATATTTGTTCAGCAGGCACACAAGTTGTATCAAAAACAAAATCTTCCCAAGGCAAGTTGCCACCTGATTAAAAACAATAGTAACAAACAATTTAAAAGAACACAAGAGACTACAGTAGGAAAATGTGTTTAAAAGCAACTAGGTAGGGCTCAGCAAGACCCAAATGAAACCTTGTGGAACGAAAAGGTCTTCTTCACAGCACATTGAAAGCCAGCAAGAAATGGGGTATTTCCCCTGGCGACAAGAGTTTTACAACATATTTTCTCAATCTCATCTGAACTAACGGTAGGCCAGTCTCTGAAGCCATTCTCTACCTGCAGACCCTCCAAGTGCCCCTATTTTCCAGGGACAGTCCTAGATTTACAGATGCCTTCCTGGTTTTTGATTCGATCCCAGAATGTCCCACTTTTCCTTAGGACGCCCCTATTTCCATCAGAGAAATGTTGGAGAGTATGGAGCTATGCAGTGCTTTCTTTCTTTCTTTCTTTCTTTTGGGGAAAAAGGAATGCCAGAACTCACAATGAACACCTCCCTTGTTCTCTTATGTCAACGGTGTCCATCTGAGAGGTGCCAGAACTAAATTCTGGTGAGTTCCCGCTCTGAAAAAAAGCCCTGCAGTTATACAACCCAAGAGCCAAGGAGATAAGTAATTACACAACCTTCAGAAGACATTTTAAGTCGTGATGTTTTTATATAGCTGCACAGAGTGGCTGGGGCAACCCAGTTAGATAAGCGGGGTATAAATAATAAAATTAATTGTTTGTTTGTTTGTTTGTTTGTTTTTATGGACCAAGGTGTCCCTAATTTCATCGGAGAAATCTTGGAGGGTATGTACCTGGATGACACAGTCGCTCTCCAGCAGGCAAGCCCTCAGGTCCTCGCGCACCCCTGCGCACGCGCGGAAATCCTTTTCTTTCTCCTCGTAGTACTTGGGCATCGTGGCGGCCGGTTTCCGCCTGGCGCCGCTTTTCGGTGTTGTCTCTCGACCGGCGGCGCCTTCAGCAGCCCCAGCCGCTGCCCACCGCAGCGATGGCGGCCGCCATCTTGGCCGACCCTTCTCACCTGCGCAGGGAGTTACTAAAAGGTCGTGGGGAACTACGCGTCACTTCCTGTTTCCCCTCCGAGGAGCCATTATTTTTTACATATAACAAGAATATTTACTAGATCTGTCCAACTTTTTTAGTGTAGAGGTGACTTGCCAGTGGCACACCCACACAAACAAAGCAGCAGCAGCAAAAGGACGAAGTTTCTCTTCTACTGAAGGTCGCATCTCCTCTTGGGTCGAAGTTTGATATGTTTACGGCAGCGACTCGTGTCTTTGCTGCTACCATTTGTAAGTAAGGAGGGAGAATCATAGAATGTCAGGGTTGGAAGGGATCCCCAGGATTCTCAACGAAACCATCCATGATCCATCTGTCCTTTGAGAACATCCTGCCCAATCACGGCTTCGTTGAAAAGTCTAGCTGTTTGCCGTCAAAGGGGAAGGGGAAAGAAATTGCTCAAGCACAGAATGTAAAGTGAGGGGATGGTCTACACTTTTTGTGTTAAAGCTCTGTGTGCACAACCGACGTCTAACCGTCGTCCTCTCCACCATCCGTTTTGGGCGGGGCCTACCCGTCATACACCTCGGCGCGCCTGCGCCTTGGGGAGGGTCCCTTTTGCCGGAAGTTACTGAGGAAAACACGCAGATCAGCTGCTGTGAGTTGGCAGCGGCGGCGGCTGATAGGCGGCAGAAGGCGAGCTCCTGTTGGAGGGTGGGGAGGAGAGGCGCGCGCCCTCTGCCTTCCGCTCCCCCCCCCCAAGCGTCGTCGCCTGAGGGACGCAGGACGTCGGGGCCGGGAGCCGCAGTTCTGCGCGGGGCGGAAGCGGCCGCGGAACGTTCCGTGAGTTCTCTCGCTCGGGGTTCTGGAACGCTCAGGTTCCGCGTCCTCCTTCTGGCCCCTCCCTCAGCAGCACCTACTCCCCGCATTCACACGCACCCCCTACACCCGTGTCGAGCCCGTGTGAAATTACCCATACCCACTCAGCCACTGACACGTGGGGTGGGGTGGGGTGGGGTAGGAGAGGCTGCTTGAAACTCCTTGGGTTTTTGCTAAAAGTAATCAGCTGCCTTTTCCCTGACTTTATCCACTCTAAACAAACCGCACCCAGTCAGCTGGTTGGGTGGCATATTCTCAAAATACGGGCTGTTATGTCTTTTCTTAGCTATTTCTGTTCTGTATCCAGCCAGATGGGCGGGGTATAAATAAAAAATAATCCTCCTCCTCCTTCTTCACCACCTTTGCAAATGTTCGTTCTCTGCCATTTATTACCTGTCCAGTCTCCTTGACAGGCTGGCTTTCCTTCCACATCCATGTCCACTGTGCTTTCTCCATTCCTAGCCCTAACTGGCCATTTGGGAATCTTGTATTGCAGGGATGTCCAACCAGTAGATCGCGATCTACCAGTAGATCCCCGGTTGTTCCTGGTAGATTGTGGGATCCTTATCAAGCACAAAAGGTTATTGGGGGGGAGAGCTAAAAAAACCTCTTTGTAATCATCCCCTTAAAAAGCTCAACAACAATCCACCCACCCTACGCATGCACACTCCTCCTCCCTCCAATGACAATGGGTTGATCACTGCCAGTTTTTTTTTATTCTGGGAGTAGATCACAGTCTCTTGGGAGTTGGACATGCCTGTTGTATTGTAAGTCATGGGGGGGGGGCGGAATAGTAGCTAGCTTGTTGCTTGTTTGCTTTTTTTTCTTGTCCGCGTGATGCTGGAACTTTCATCCTTGTTCATTTTAAATTCTTACGCACCAGAGTTGCTTGGCATTTGAGAAATGCATATGACGGAGACTGATTTTTAACCCTTTGTTAACAAACTTGTAAAGTTTGGTCGCGAAGCTTTTAGGAGTGCTTCATGAAGTCATGGTGCAGGATCTGGTTCTTGCTTAGGCCTCATTTTCAGTGAGATGGAAAATGTGTTTGGTACCAGAAAAATACATCTCTAATCATAGGCAAAGGTCAAGTGGGAGTATTCAAGACTAAGGCTTGTGGCTGCAACAATGAGCTGTGGGGTTCTTGCTGCATCTGAGCTAGGCCTAGATGGTGGGAAGAAAGACTAGACTCCACCCCAGTTTTTGTGTGTGGAAGGAATTTATTTGTATGGAAGAGCATTTAATGGAGGGGAAAGCCCAAAAGGAGAATAGTCAGGACTTCCACAAAGGAGGAAGGTTATCTTTAAATGATAGTGTGTACTGTATCATATATTTCAAAATGTGATAAGCCAGCCCTGATGCATTTGGAGGCTCTCTGGCTCACTCTGCTGGATGAAGTCCTGAACATCTGCCCTGAAGTCCTGCCCTGACAGCCCTGCTGCTTGCATGTATGTAACAGCCACAGAGTCAGGGTTGCAATAAGCTGTTAACAATGGCAACAGGACAAAGTGGATTTAAGAAAACAGTCTGTGATATTAAGTATATCTACTTGGATGTCCAGTTGGTGCCAATGGTGGTTCTGTGATTGCAGCATTACTTGAAAGCAAGCTCTTTAGTAGTTGTACAGATTATTGAAGGGCAGTTGCTCATCCCAGCTCTGCTCACCTGCTCCATTTCCTTCTGCTTGCTTCTGCCAACTTTCTTCATCCACTGCTATACCACCATAACTAGCTACATTAATGCCTCCTCTATTTTGAACAGACTTTTAGCCTATTGTGGGTAGAAAAGAGTAGGATTGAGCTTTATCCAGTTGCCAAGTGTTGAATTATGTGCTCGCGAAGCCCTCTGGGACTAAGGAAGGAAGGAATATGGTTATGATTGCATCCATGTCCTTGCACTTCTTAAAGAGCAAAGGAGATTGCAGGTGCCCAAGTTTGTGCAGTTACTGAGAGATCTTGAACTTGATATGAGCTGTGTCCACTGTTAAGACATTGCCATCACAGTTACATTGCATTGTTTTCAGGTAGGGTAAAGAACAAAGTGAGGTCATGTGACAAGGGCGTGTCATTCTAAGCCTGCTCAGAGGGCAGTAAGATCCACTAGATTCTAAGGGAGCATGTCTGCAGTTGAGCTTCAAAAGACTTCCATTGGCAAAATTCTCTATGTTTATTTGGCAGCAATCCCCAATTTGTTCCTTGGTGTTCACTTTGAGATATGTGTGTTTAAGGATTGTAACCTAAATGTGATAACTTGCACCTTTATTTTGTTTGTTTTTTAAAATCCATTGGTCTGTTTTCTTTCCTTTTCAGCAAGATGTTGCCTACCACGTCTCTTAATTCCCTAGATCATGACAACGGCTCTTTAAACTCTAGGGAGGCAGCCAGGCACACAGCAGGGTTCAAGCGCTACAAATACTTGAGGAGACTCCTTCACTTTCGGCATATGGACTTTGAGTTTGCTCTGTGGCAGATGCTGTATCTATTCACTTCACCACAGAAAGTGTACAGGAACTTCCATTACAGGAAACAAACAAAAGACCAGTGGGCAAGAGATGACCCAGCTTTCCTTGTGTTGCTGAGTATCTGGCTATGCGGTGAGTGCCTGAGAAATTTATTGAATACCGTACAGGGAATAGTTGACCAGAGCTGCGCTTGCTCCAGAAAAATGCATCATTTGTACTGCTGTAGCTTTTTCTGTGTAAAACCCATGCTTATATAATTTCATTCAGTGGGGAACATGTGTTCCTACACATTCCCTCTTGCACCTCATCCATGAAAACAATAAGCAATGAATAAACTATGATTGCAATATCTGCCACATCCACACTGATAAAGATTCCCTCACATTTTGGCTTCAGTTACTTCATCCTGCAGTCCACAGCCAATCTGTTCTGTGCATTGCATGGTTTTAAAATTCTCAGTTCTGTGATCCCTGGCATGTGACAAAGAATGACAAGCCCTAAGTCAGGCATAGGCAGACTTGGCCCTCCAGATGTTTTGGGACTACAACTCGCATCATCCCTGACCACTGGTCCTGTTAGCTAGGGATGATGGGAGTTGTAGTCCCAAAACATCTGGAGGGCCGAGTTTGCCTGTGCCTGCCCTAAGTGATAAAAATCCAATTACCCTGGCAAAATTATGAGGCAGGCAGAAATTCTGCCATCTGAGAACTTACATTGTGGATTTGTTTATTTCTGCACTGTGCAACAATGCGTGATTGGCTTTTTTATGAACAGAAAGGTTTAACTTTATTTGTGTTGATGTCCCACATCCTACACAAACATGTGCCAGAGATCACACAGTTGCCCATTTCTTGCTTTATTTGTGTACATGTAGTACAGCCCACACATTTTACTCTTGCAAATCCTAGTTGTATGCATATACCCAACAATTTTATGCTATAAGCCTTAAACAGCACAGCACTAAACATGCTACAAGTACTTTTCCAGTAAAATTAAGTGAAAGAAAATCTGAGAGCAAATGGGTATTCTTTCAACCTACTTACGTGTCAAGAGTTAATCCTCTGTCTCTGCTGTTCGTCTTCCTCCTTCAGTATCCACTATAGGATTTGGCTTTGTGTTGGGCTTGGGCTTTGTTGAAATGATAAAGCTGCTGCTCTGGGTCATCTTTATAGACTGCGTAGGAGTTGGCCTTCTAATTGCAACTTTCATGTGGTAAGTCTTTAAAACAACCTGAGTAGAGTTGGGTGGTTTTTTGAGAAGTTTGAATCTTGCTGTATAGAATATGATTGCTGGAACCTTCAGCTACAGTCCTAAGTTTGTCTACTTGTAAGGAAGAAGAGTTTAAGTAGACACATTTCTCATCTCTGGGCTAGATGTACAGTGCTGTTCCAGCAGAAGGTTTCAGTTCAAAATCTGGCAAAAAGAAAATATTTAATGTACAAGTAATTCTGGGCTGTTATGTACTTAAATATAAGGGTATGTTTCTGAAGGTAGCCATGGAGATGGAAAAGTACTCACTTCAGCTGTTAAATTGGCTGCCATGTTAATCAGTTTTATCTTTAAAATATTTGTGCATTGCAGCGAGAGAGAAAATGTGCAAGGGACTAGGACTACAGAATTACTAGGACAGTACATTCAGAGTTAGTATATAGAAGGCCATATTGCATCAGTTACAGGATAGGGGAATAACCTTTCCCCTCTTGCCCTGGTTCCGCAGTCTTCTTACTGACATGTACATTTGTTTAGCTGGCTTCTAGGGAATCAAAAATATTTCCTATGTTGTAGTTTTTTCAGTAATCCTTACCAGAGCCCTGTAAATCCATAAATGCATTTGTGTTCTTCAGAATATGAGAAATGGAAAATAGCAAGGATTAATATTTCTAGGCTGTAATTTCACCAAAAAGTTGAAATTGTCAAAGTTTGCATACTATTTTTTAACATGTCTGTTCCAAATTCTCTCCCCCTCCCCGAGGTTCATCTCCAATAAGTACTTGACAAAGCACCCGAACAGAGACTGTGACGTAGAGTGGGGATATGCCTTTGATGTTCATTTGAATGCTTTTTATCCACTTCTCGTCATCTTACATTTCATACAGCTGTTCTTCATCCATTGTAAGTAAACCTTCCCTTCCCTGACTTGAAGCATTTTTTGCCTTCTCTTGCTTTGTGCTGACACTGTAATTCACCTGGAGGATCCTGGGGGGCACCACGCCCTATAGCGATGGTGGCTCCTGCAGGATCAGAGAGGCAAAATCCTGCAATTTTCTTCTGGAGGAGGAGGAGGAACTCCCTACCTTCCAGACCAAGAGGTTGTCTATGGCCTGGGCTCTGTTTCTGACTAGTCACTGCCTCTTGTTTCTTTTTCAGAGAGGTTTTGCGCCCCACCCCCACCCCCAATTTCTGGTTTCTCCCTCCCTTTCCTTCCCTTTTTCCTGGGCTAGTTGGGGGGGGGTATTCTTTTCTGACAGTAAGAGTCTGCAAACCTGGCACTGCTTCATGCCACGGTTTAGTACCTCAACCAGGCTTTTTTTCCCCCTGAGGAGTCTTCTGGATTGGGTTCCCTCACAACCATGCTTAGTGCTGGTCTGGGAGAAATGGGGAGACATGATGTTTCTGGCTGAGGCAGTTGCTCTTTGACCTGACCCTTTTGGTGTGTTCACAGTTGCCTCCTCTGAGGGCAGGCAGACAAGTGCTTAGGCCCTGCTTATGTGAGTTTGGAGGTGGCTTCAGGCAAGGTTAGCCTGTCAAAGGACATGGCCAGCAGCTCGCTTTGGATCAGCCAGCAGCTGAAGAGCTCCATGGACCTTCTCTAAAGTGTCCCATAGTGGCTTTTCCACAGTGAGCTCCAGTCTGTTTCTGTATCCTACTGGAGGCAACACCCCAATGGTACACAGCGCCCTTTTTGGGACCTTCAGTGAGCAGAAGTTCACTGGGTTAAGAAACTTTGGTTTTCTCTCTTGCAGACGTAATTTTATTGAATTCGTTTATTGGCTATTTCGTTGGGAATACTTTCTGGCTGACTGCAATTGGTTATTACATCTACGTGACATTTCTAGGGTACAGTGGTAAGCATCGAAGCCTTTGCAACCTAGTTAGCAACAAGAATAGTGCCTTCTTCCCAGTCCTTTTTTGCTAAATCCCTGTTTCAGTATGAGTAAACTTTATGATAAGCATCAGGGGAGGGCTCACTCTGACAGCAACTCTACAAGCTTTGCACAGCATCGTTACTTGAAATGCTGTGTAATATGTAGTGGCTTTAACTGACCTGCCACGTGACTCTGCATCCCTTTGTGAAAGTACTGCGCTTGCAAATGTGGAGCCAACAGAAGCTATACTGGCTTACAGCTATGCATGCTTTTGTCCCTGTGGGTGAGAATGTGTGAAGTCAGCCTTCTGTGTGTTTATTTGTGGGGGGGTGTAGAGTTTCCCCCTTAGGGGATTTCCTTAGTATTTTTTGCATTCTACAAACCTGCCTTTCTCTACCCTGTTTTTCGTGTGCATGGTGCAGAACCCATATGGGGAGAGCGAGTTTGCTATTGCTGCCTAGGATAGAGTTGACAGTATCAGTTGGGCAACAGACAGTGAAATTCTGGACTTTCACTCAATTTTAAACATGGGTTTGTGATGCAGTATGGTTGGGAGGTAGTTGATGTTGCTCAAGAAACAAGGTCGAAGCGCCACAGGGCCAGTTGTGCAATCCTTTGGGTTATATATTTATGAACATGCCAGATTCCAAAGAGACGAAGTTTAAGAATGGCGGGAGGACATGTGGCCGTGCCTTATATCGTAAGGTTACCAGATTTTTTTCAATGAATCCGGGGACACTTTAAATAAAATAAATAAATGCTACACGTTCGGGACGCTGATGCTGCAGCAACGGCAGTGGCAGAGGGGTGGCCACCGCCTTGACCTCAGCCACCATGTTTCCCCTTCCTCTGAAGCTTCTATCTCCTTTCTCCATGCGCCTGGGTGGTAACGAGACTTGGGCAGCGCAATGCCTCCTTTCCCATCGGAGCAGCCCCATTCCTGCTTGCACACAAGCACTGATAGGCAGCTTGAAGCCTCCCTTCACAGCTGGGAGATCCCCACCCCCTCCTGCTTGCATGCAAATAGGAGTTGGGAGGCTGCTCCGATAGGCAGCATGAAGCCTCCCTTCACAGCTTAGTTGCTGGGGTCAGGGAAGGTGGAGGCAGCCCGGAAGCTGCATCTTAGAGCCCCTGCACCACCATCATATGGGGACTTCCGAGCAGCTCCTGAAGCCAGCCAGAGCCAACTGCTCCGGGCTGCTGAGACTGCTGCTGCTGCTGCGTTTCCCGGGGACAATTGATGAAATCCGGGGACATTCCGGGGATGGAATTTGTCCAGGGACTTATTCGCAAATCCAGGGACCGTCCCCGGGAAACATCTGGTAGCCCTATTATATCTTGCAGGACTACAGCTCTTTTCATCCTCTGCCTATGCTGCCTGGGGATGCTGGGAGTTAATAATTCAGTGACATCAGGGAAGGCCACATCTTAGCCACCCGATTCAAGTTTTTCTTTTTTTGTAAAGGATGGGAGGGGCATGCGTTTACTAGAAACAGTAGTTATTTTAGGCGTGGATTTTTTGTTGAGGACTGTCAATATTAAGATGATTGTGATGTTCCTTGCCATTGGCACCTTCAGAAAAATTGCATGCTTTCTCACTTTTGAAACTCTCTCCTACTTTCAGCTTTGCCGTTCTTGAAGAACACAGTCATCCTTCTCTACCCGTTTGCACTTCTCATCCTGCTCTATGTGGTTTCATTAGCGATGGGATGGAATTTCACAAAAATGCTTTGTGTTTTCTATACGTACAGAGTGAAATAAACTGCAGACTTTATAATGGATTGCTTGTTCTTGCCTCTTGTACCACTGTCAGCAAAGGTGAGATGCTCCTGTAAATTACTGTAAATAACTTACTCTTCACTGTAGATCAGTGTGTACAAAGTTTTGGTTTTTAAAAAATGTATTTACAACTGCAGACTTATAGTGATTCTGTATTCTCTTGCAGTCCCTTCCTAATGGAAAAGCTGTACATTACTGTAATAAATATTTTTTAAGAACAACTGTGTGCAACATTGAAAAGGCATTGACTCTGCTATTTGTAAACAGCTTTGTTAATAAATATGAGTATTACAAAGCACAGTTTCCTACAGTACTTCTGCTAGCTCAACAATTTCCTGCTTGCACAATTGAACTCCCCTCTCTCCTGAAAACATATATAAGCAGTCATGGAAAGTGAGGGAGGTAGTTCCTTGTGCTAGTGGAAGCACTTTCTTTGGTTACTGTTCTATCCCTTCACATGGGAGTAAACCCAATTGGATTCAGTAGGCTTTCTTCTGTGTAGACAGCAAAGTAGTAAACAGTTTTCAAAGTACAGTCGTACCTTGGAAATTGAACAGAATCCGTTCCGGAAACCCATTCAACTTCCAAAACGTTCGGAAACCAAAGCACGGCTTCTGATTGGCTGCAGGAAGCTCCTGCAGCCAATCAGAAGCCACGCCAGATGTTCGGTTTCCCTTAAAATCATTCAAAAACCAGAACACTTACTTCTGGGTTTCAATTGCTGGGGAGCCAATTTGTTCAGAATCTAAGGTACAACTGTATTGTTTACTACTTTCAGTTCCGAGACCACTTTTATTTGGCCTTGAAACAGTTTCTATGGAAGTGTATCAGCATCTGTCAAATCAAGGAGGCATTGAATAGCTTGCTTCCGTGACTTTAGATGGATGTAACCCCTCCTTCATGAGAGAGAAAAACAGGGCTGTAAGCTGCAAGAAAGAGCAGCAGTTCGTATCAACCAAACTTGTTTCTTTTGGGAGGAAAATGCTCTTTTAAAAACAATTTTTAAGAGTGTTCTTTTTCTTTTCCAAAGAAAATGTTCCAACTTGCAATGCCCCACTCCTGCAGAATTTCCCATACATCATACCCCTGTTTGTCAAACTATTGGGGAATGCTGTGCAAGGAGCACTGCAAGCATTGCCAATTCGCAGTACAGTGGTATCTTGGTTCCCGAACTTAATCCATTCCAGGAGTCCGTTCGACTCTCAAAACCATTCGAAAACCAAGGCACGGCTTCCAATTGGCTGCAGGAGCTTCCTGCACTCAACTGGAAGCCATGTCGGACGTTCGGCTTCTGAAAAATGTTCACAAACCGGAACACTTACTTCCGGGTGTGTGGCGTTCGGGAGCCGATTTGTTCAGGAGCCAAGTTGTTCGAGTACCAAGGTACCTGCAATTGGGCAGAATTTGGGCTTCAGGCCACATGTTACCCACCCCTGGTATGCACCTTTCTAAAGTAGCCTTGGAAAAAGAGGGTTTAGAGAGAACCCAAATGGTAAAGTGATATATCAATTAAAAAGCTCCGATCCGAAAGCTGTTCTGTACAGAGTTCCATATTTTCACTAGGTTAAGAATTCAATAACGCTTTTTCAAAATATTTATTTCAAATATTACATGGGCAGCTGTGGCACATAGAACATTGATGAAAGGCACGGTTAACATGACCCAGTTAGGTTTTCAAATATAGCAGCAAGATTAACAAAACCAAAACCTAGCTCAAAAAAATAAATTGTACTGCAAGTACTGTCAATGGTTAATGGAAACATGGCTGGCTGTAGGGCCAAAGTTGCAGGTTCCACGAGCACAGAAACAGAAATTGGCAACCACACAGCGGACTGGGAATAAGGAGTTGGGGCATCATTTCTCCTTTGGTGAATTAATTACCACTGACATCATTCAGTTACCAAAACTGTAATCATTCCTAGCAAAGTCTAATAAAAGCAAGAAATCAAACCTGCTGGCTGTCATCCTACTCAGCTATTTTTAAGGCTTATAAACATTCACAATAGTATATTAAAACCTTAGCAAATAGCTACACCGTAATACAAGTGACGCACAAATCTGATATTCAGAGAATGTGACTGAATTTGAAAGGCTTGTCATCTTTGTAGAATGGCCAGAAATCTAAAGAAGTTTTGGATTAAGTTAACTTACATTTGCAGGACAGGATTTTTTTTTCTTATTTCCAATGAGTAAGGGGAAACAACCACTTTTGGTGGTGGTTTCGCCACACAATCTCTGTATTACACCCCCTGCTTTTGGCTGATTTGTGTTCTCTCTCCCACCCACCCCAGAATCAACATGTTCAATATACTGTGGAAGATTAGGTTGCATTTGCTGGGGGGGGGGGTAAGCCCAGTTGAACTGCTAGGTAAAAGGAGGAAAACAACACTTTGGTTTCTAGGCAATAATTTGATCACTTGGCGGACAAAAATCAGGGGCATTAGAAGGGTAGTTGCCACAAACGGAATGAATTTAGAAAGGGGGGGGGTGTTGATTGATGGACTCTGGGATTTAGTAATACTATGTAGCAAAAGATCAAACAACCCCTTAATTCATACCACCAACTGTTGACACATTTTTACAAACCTTTTAGGCAGTACAAGCTTGGGAGCAATACTGCCAACCTTTAACGAGGAGCTGTAGCCCCCATGCTTTGCTATGCTAAGTGGAAGACCAGGGCTTTTTACAAAGCTTGTTCAGAGCAAATCAAATTGGAGATACAGGTCTGCATATTATCCCCCATGCAAAACACATACAAAGTTGGCTTTGAAATTTGTCCCACGGACTTGGAATTTCTCAAAACCCCCCCCCCACCTTCGAGTAGGCCAGTGGCATTACCAAATCATCAAGCACTGGTTCAAAATGCATAAATACTTGCTCCTGTAACTGTGTTGTGCGAACACTAATTTCAATGCAAGTTTGGCACCACAGACAGCATACGACTTTTCCCAATGACAATTGTAAATACTTAGCATTTATGTAGCACTTTGGGTTTTTAAGTGCCTTGAACTGCCTCATAAATCTTTATAACCACCCTGCAGTCTCGTTATGCCTGTTTTTCAGATGTGGAGCTAAGACAGAGATTGTGGCTTACCTAAGGCCACCCAGTGATTTCATGGAAGGTGATGTTTGAGGATAGGCTCTCGGCCACTATGCTACACAAGCTCTCTTTTTTATTTTTTAACTATTTTTATTAGATGCCCAATAACAGTCATTCTTTGGGCAACACACAAAGTAGTAAAACAAGATAAAATCTTAAGCGCATACTTATCTTCCCAGCCAAATGGAGAAGGAAAGAGTCTCAGCAAACCTAGTCTATAAATATAGGACAGATTCAACCAAGAAAAAAAATATTTTTTGGGGGGGGGACCTCTATTGTGGAAACATCTTGAACAATTTGAAACTTGATTTTAAAATGGATATTATGATGACACTTTTTAGAAAAAAATCTCACGAGGGGGAAGGTGAGCAGACACCTATTTGCAGACACCTATTCGCATAAATTTTACAAATCGTTTTCACCCTTGAGAGAAGGCAGACAGTTCTTTTTTGGCAAAGCTGGCATCCAAGATGCAGAATTATCTTAAGATTCAGCTCATGAAACAAACTACCACCACTTAAGTAAACTTCTGTTTACCTGCATGAATGACAGGTGTGCAGTTGAGGTAAAAAAAAACAACAGCTTATCTTCTCATATCTTGGCTAGGGTTAAGAGAGTTCTTTAAAAACTATTACATACTATTGCGTGTTTACTGTGCTGCAGAGCACAAAGTGCTAGAATTGCCTCTCTTCAAGGCTACTGACCAAGCAAGGATCTCTTCTTCATTTCCTTGAAGTACAAAAGACAACAAGCATCCAGAATCACATGATGTCCCTTGCTTCAGTCAGCTGGAGTGCAATGCTTTTAGCGGAGCTGGGCCCTCTTAAAGGGGAAAAAATCACTTTTAACACTTGAAAGTAAAGACAGACAAATCACATTTTTTAAAAAGCTCAGCTGAGGTTACTGTGTATCTACCTATTTCCACTGTTATCCCTAATAAAATGGTAAGTTTAAGTCATTCCATAAGAATGCGCAGAGACCATACAAAACGGGATGTAAAGCAAAAACAAAAATGTAAATGCGGAAACATCGGAGCGCTTTTCTATCCAAATGAATAAATTGGCTGTGTTTCGGAAGATTGTACAAAGGTTTAAAAAGGAATAATCCATTATCAAAATTTCCCTTTAATGGGAGAGGATGAATCAGACTTCAGATTCGCACACCATACTGAAGTACAAAACTCCTCAACATGCTTTCTGTGATTACATATTGTGGACTGTGAGCATTAGAAAGTAATGCTATTCAAAGTCCTTGCATGTTATGCCTTTGAACAACATCTCCTAGATTTTGGGCATAAGCCATAGGGGAAGTTGTCCTATGCAAAATCACATTTACTTTTGTGCAGGATAAGTTTTTAAAGTTGCGTTCTTAGTATGGTACAAAAGTGCTTCATCTTTAAACTCCCATTTAACACTCCTAACCATGGCAGTATATTACAAAATATGGTCACTTCATCACCAAAGCAAAATGTAGTGTCAACCCAAGAAGTAAGATAATCCGTTTTAAAAAAAAACTGCATCGAGTTATATTACCTGCATAAAAATATGTACTTTTCAAATCATTTTAATAAATTAAATCCCCCTAATGCTTTTGAATATATATCCCTGATCATCTATAAAAGAGGGCTTGAATTAGCAAAATAAATGGACCTCCAAAAAGTACCCCCTTCATAAAATGTATTCATATTTTTTTCATCTTCGAGGAATGTAACAATATGTACAACTTCCATGTAGCGTATCCCTATCACTTGGATCGGGGACACCGTGATCCTTAGGCAGCAGAGTCATGAAGGAACTCATGGATCCAAGATAAATAATACCGGTCAGTTTCTAAATTGTAATAAATCTTTCTTGCTGAGTCTTATCTTCTCAACTACAGTAGATTTCACAAGAGGTAGTTTCACTGAGAAGTCAGAGTTGGAAATAAGGTGCATGCTCAGTGATTTCACTCTGCAATTGGGGGGGTGGGGTGGATTTTGTAGAAAAGTCTTCAAAAGATGGAGATCTCTCTTGTTCCTCTTGATTGATCAGTTGGGGAGCTTTTTAATATGAATCTGCAATGCGGAGATAAAAAGCAGCTGGTAAAATATACACCTGTTTATGAAAAAGACCACCACATATTACAGCAAAAGACAGCTCCTTGTAATCCCCCCCCCCCCCGGTGTTATTGAACCACATTTTCTACAAACTACTTGACAGCAGAGACTAAACATGGCTTCTGGGTGTGCATATACTGCACGCATGTGTTTTGACACAAGAGTGCCTTTTCAATGTTAAATATAAACCAGTTGGTTTGCTGTGGAAACGCTTGATTGTGAAGCTGCCCTTTGTCATAACAAAGTCTTGTCCCACAACCGTGAAACATCCCAGCTGATCTAAACTGTTGCTTTCCACACAGATAGATACAGCTGACAAAGCAGACTCCTAAAATGCTTTTCAAACTGAATGTGATAATAGGGAAGCTGAGCAGAACTTCCAGCACCTAACAGAAAAGTGTTTGTTTTTTGAATCCCTTCCAAAAGTACTTCCTAGGATTTGGGAATTATCTGGAACAGCATGGGAGGTGGTGCCGGGGGTGGGGGGGAGTCACAAACCCTGCCATCTGCTAGCAGACACCTCTTCTGGGTTGGATATGAAGAGAAGAGCACCTTTGGTTCAAACCTGACATTCAAAAAATACTTAATAGCACTAGGATGTCATAGGGCATGGGTAGGCAAACTAAGGCCCGGGGGCTGGATGTGGCCCAATCGCCTTCTAAATCCAGCCAGCGGACAGTCCGGGAATCAGCGTGTTTTTACATGAGTAGAATGTGTGCTTTCATTTAAAATGCATCTCTGGGTTATTTGTGGGGCATAGGAATTCGTTCATTCCCCCACCCCCCAAAAGAAATATAGTCCGGCCCCCCACAAGGTCTGAGTGACAGTGGACCGGCCCCCTGCTGAAAAAGTTTGCTGACCCCTGTCATAGGGTGCTTCAGCAAGGCAAATGCCCAAGTGTTCTCAAAGCAGCATGCAAACTCACACACACACACACACACACACACACACACACAGATGTCAGCTTGTGGCATCAGGATTTCACACAACTGCAGTGTGTATCACTTGTGTCTGGAAGCCACATCAATTGACTAAAATCTGTCTGCAAAATGCCAGCATTGAGAGGTTTATCACAATAGTCCCACAGACTCGGAATGTCACAAAACACTTATTTTAAAGAGAGACTTAAACCTGAAGTGGTTTGAAGGTTGGTTTTCTGGTCATACAAGGCATTTCTGTTGAAATCTTACCTCATTTAGAATTGCCCAGACAGATGAGTTCTGTATTACTAAAAGCCGGACAGCTGCAATTGGATTTAGACTGGGATCAACTGTTCCCTCTGCCATTCCATTTTCAAATTTGCCTTCAGAAAGCAAAAAGGCATTCTAAATGAAAACGTTCAACCAATACAAGCCATCACATAAGAACATGTTATATGTAAGTCTACTGTATTTAGTTTTGAAATGGGTTCACAACTGCGGCAGTCCCCAAGGCAACACAGGAAAAGGTAGAGTTTGTGGAAGCAGTCAGAGATCTACTTTTTGACAAAAACAGGATTTTTGTGCCTCAGTTTGAGCAATGCTTCAATGGTTCATAAATCACGTTAAAAAACAACACCCCCAAACCCTATATATCACTTTCAACATTCATCCAAATATATTCTTTATTTGGGACTGAGATTTGCGTGCAAAATAAATAAATATCCCTGCTTACATATTTTTAAAATCACAGCTCTCAATTGAAACTTCTAGATAAAGGGTTACCACCATCTCATCATTCTGTTCATATCATAAATTATCTCTGTTTCAACTAAAAGCAGCATCATAGTCAGCCTGTAAAAATATAGAACTGGTGCTATGATATGTTACTTTAGCGATCCAGAGTTTATTTTAACAATATAGGAGGACAATCAAGAATTTCCTTCATCCCTTGCAGTTGTTGGATGCTACAGGGTACCGTCTCCTACACTTGGTAACACCAAAAAGTGAATCGCTGCTCAACTATCTGATCTGAATTTGGCTTCTGCTGCCATCACCCAAACTTCTGTAGGGCTTTGGTAGATAGGACCAGGCCATAAGACAAGTTGCCTTAGGCCCCATCTGCACTATACCACTTTAAACAGTGATAGCTTCCCCCAAAGAATTCTGGGAATTGTAGCTTGTTACACGTGTTGAGCTACAATTCCCGGAGTGGTGTTATGACCAATCCCTATTCCCAGGGAACTCTGAGAATTGTAGTTCTGTGAGGGGAACAGAAGTCTTCTAATAACTAACAGTTTCTATAATTCTTTGGGGAAAGCCATGGCTGTTTAAAGTGGTATGAAACTGCTCTAAATGTATAGTGCAGATGGGACCTCAGTTACAAAACAGTTTTGTTGATGATTATTTTTGTAAAACATTTCTTTTTTCTTCCTTTTACACAGTTTTACCTATTCTGAAATACCCATCATCCAATCGTTTCTCTTTGGTTTCTTTGCTTAATACCAACTCTTCACTCTGAAAAGCGAGATAAAAAAATTGAAGTATTAGTTATATGCCAATGTAGTGATACATAAGGGATAGAGAAGAATTTTGGTCTTCATTTTAAAAAAGGAACCAACCCAATTTCACAGTTTCTGGCCTCATTCACCGATGGGACAACAGTCTAAGGATCAAACACACTTCTCTGGATTTTGCAATGACATTCAGATTAAAAACTGCATGTAAAAATGCTTATTTTATGGGGGAAATGAGGGCAGGATTCACCTAACAAGCCTGGTCAGTGGAAGCAGCCCTGCACAATGGGGTTTCCCCCACAGTCTGAAATTGGCTTGGGAGGGGGTCAGGAGAACCCTCAATAAAGCATGTAGGGGAAGGAGAGGAGGGCATTCTGTCTGGCAAGCTGCAATGCTTACACAGATGAAATGTTATCTCATAACACGATGTTGAATTCTACTCTGAATGTTCTAGGGGAGAATGCATAGAAAAGCATACAGATGCATATTTTAGGACTTAAACGTACACAACACACATTTATGGGAAATATGCCTCAAAATGTATACAATTTAAATGCCATTTTTTCATGATTTTTAAAAAACCAATTTATTGAGAACAAGAACAGAAAAGCATATATGACTGAACACGTAAAGATGTCACAGAAATAAGCTGATCAGTCGATAACTCTCTATTACAGCAGGAAATGGGTCCCTTTGTTCTGTACACAAATCATGATTAGAAGTCCCCCAAACAGAGCCATTAAAAAAGGAGAAAGAAATAAAGTTTTACTTTTTGTGCAGATGCAGAGGGAGCAGTATTCTGCAAGTGAACTATAACTGACTTTGTGAGGTATAGCTAAGCATACTGTAGAACACGTTATGAAATGCACAGCCCAAAAGCTGTAGAACAGGTTGCTATACACAAATCTTCTCTCCCATCATAATCCTCCTTGCCTTATATTGCCTTGCACTTAATGTCAATGGCAACCCCACGCAAGGCGGCTCCTAGTCCCAGTCATGCCAGAAGGAGACATGCTGAGCCCAAATAGCAGGTCCTTATCTCCTGCCCTGTCCCGTCAATGACGGTATTGTAATAACAAGTCAGAAGGTAATTTAAGTCTCTTCATATTTTTATACCAGGCACCTATGCTACTTACTGTGTTCCTTCCTTTGGTCAGTGTCTGGATGCACAATGGAACTTCCATTCTCTTTCTGTTCACTGCATGTCCCCAACTCGGCTCCATATAGGGTTGCCATACATCCAGGAAATCCCGGACATGTCCTCTTTTGGGGACCAACATGCCCATCCGGGGGGATTTTTACATCTTAAAGCAAATGTCTGGGTTTGCGGGGAGTTGTTTATATTTGGGGGGTGGCACAGGGCTGCTCTGCACGCCGTGGCTGCTGCCAACCCAAGCGTGCGCACCTCTTTCCCCAGCTCAGGCTGGCAGCTGCTCAGGTTGTCCTCTTTTTTGCTCTACAAGATATGGCAACCCTAGCTCCAGAGAATTGGAAGAACCCCTCAATAAGATTTAGGGGGGAACACAAGGAGAGGACGCTACTAATAGAATTGTCGGCCTTTCTTCTTAGCCCTAATTTGAACCACAACTGTTGTATGGCCTTTGTTATCACCTCCTAAGCATCCTGAGGCTGATAAGGCCACTGGAGTCAATTTCACAAGCAAAGTTCTATAAATGCTAAACCAAGTCCTACAATTCTGCATTCAGTGGGTAGTGGCAGCTCTTGTTTACCAGCAATTTTTCTAGGTTATACTTAGATCATGAATGTCAGGCTTCTGGACATATACATTCCTTATTCCAGTTTTTTGAGATAAGATTTGGTGGGATTAATAGTTCTATCACTGGGGAGGGAGAAAACCCACATTCTCTTACATCAATAGAAATGTCATGTATGAAAGATACTCATTTTTACCCTTAAGATAAATACAAAGGGGGGGGGGGACAGATTTCTCTGTCTTCATACCTTAAAAGGCAACACTTCCACTGTTGTGTTGACGAATATATCTCCTGGATGTTCTGGGTTGCCGCTATGGAACAGGAATCTATAAATGCGAAGATTAAGAAGCCCAAGATGATCAGTCATGGTTAATGAGAAGTATGGAAACATATAGAGGCCACCTAAAAGACCGAAACCCCACAAAATCCTGTTTACTTAGAAGTTAATGTGTTCAAAGGGGTTTACTCCCAGGTAAGTATGGAAAAGACTGCTGCCAATGACACCCAAAAGAAAGCACGCTGAAAGATTATAACATTGGGTTGTATCCAACATGGTGCTAACTAAATGTTCCATCAGTGCAAGTATTTCTGCTTGTGCAATGGAAGGTTTTCCACCTCCCCCTACATGCTCCCTCAATGTGTTCTAGGGGTTCCTCCAACACTCTCAAGCAGATTTGGGGATAGCTGGCATTACCAAGGCAGAAATCCTTGCACTGATGATATACGTTAGTTGAATACTGCCCCTGGTTCTTGTACACAGCTGTCAAAGGAATCATAATGGACTAAAATTGTCAAATGAGATTTGTATGTTCTTAACCGCTATCAGTGTAAGGATGCCTAGAAGGAATTCAACTATGTTTAAATAAGAAGTATGTTTATATTGCAACCCCCAAATCAATTCAGTAATTTCAAACCATGAATGGGTAACCTTGCCCCCGAATTTGTTGTTAAGACTATCAACTCCCATTAGTCCAGCCAACATGGTCAATAGCTACAGATAGGAGTTGGTCCAACAACATCTGTAAGCCACAAGTGAGCCAACCCTGTTTTAAACAAAGCTAGATCTTTTGTCAGGAAGCCTATTCGGAGTGCTATTTTCGCATGCAAAGACAGTGACATGAAAATTGTGACTATTTCCTCAAAGGGGAAAGGATGAGCTGCTTAACCTAAAAGCAAACTAGACATCCTATCTAGAGGGAAGTGTGAGGTCCTAGGCAGGAACATTGGGGCGGGGGGTGCCTTGGGAAGAGCCCAACAAGATACAGCAACAGGAGGACTCTGGGCAGGCGATCCAAAGGGCACAATTGTTTGGGCAGATTTCAAGTAAATCATGAGAAAAGCTGACCAAAAGAACCCCTAAATATAAATCACTTTCACTTATTTCTGTTACTTGCAAGCTATAAAAAAGAGGACTGCCTATACAGTTATAAATCCTTACACATTACAGCATGATAGCAGAAAGTAAAGTCCAATGTATGTAAGCAATTCTGTTCCTTGCTCCCCCCCACCCTGTAACCATTCATTTGACTAATAGTGAAATGAAGTTCCTACAATCTTATGCACACTCATCTGACAGAAAGTCTCAATTAATACATGTTAACTTCCAGGTAAATAGTCATAGGATTATTCTGTTTGTGTCTTCTCAGGAAACATTTCCATACAAAGTTAATCCGTCTAATTTTATTCATTTTACATAAGCAGCTTCTATTTCAAAGAAATACTCCGTTCCACAGCTTCAAATTACAGTGCTTTCCATCTACATATATGCAGCTGCTTCCCTTATCTTAAAATTCAAAGCAGTAGTAAAGCAGTATTTCCCAAGCAGATGGCAAAAAAATAGATGTAGATAGAAATTCATCTGAAACCTGAATGGCTGAATACAATTACATATATAAATAGTCCAAAAGAGATGAATTAAAGCTGACTCAATTCCTACACACGGATGATGAGAACACAAGCACAGATTAATTGGCATCAGGATACACAACAACATGTTGTTGTAAATCTGTCACTTGCTGCTTGTTTAATATACTGTAAGCAATCTTCACACAAAATATTACTTCAGAACTGGATTGAACTTTAAGTTAAGGGAAGCAGCTCCATCTTTATATTGTACATATCTTTGAATCCATGCAGCAAGATCTCTTCAATGTAGAAAAAGCCCCTGTGAGTTGAATGAAACAGAAGACTTAACTTGAATGGAAATGCTATTTTTGTACAAGACACCATGACAAACTTTACTGTTGCGTGAGGAACATCAAGGCGAAGAAGGTCCTTAGCCACCCCTTTCAACCATTTGAACCTCCACAGAAATGTCAGTAAAACCTTTAAGAGTTCAGGTAACATTCCTTACAACATATGATACACATGTACATATGAAAAGGTTCCCTGGTCCTAATAATACATTTGCCTCGGCAAAACTGATTGCTGCACACATTAACGTTATCAAGACAAATTTGTAAAATATACAATAGGACATAATATCTCCTATTTTAAGGAGCATCTTGTGTTACAAATATTCCTATTTCAAGATGGCAGCTGTAAAAAAATGAGCTTATTTTTCAGCATTTCAGCTAATAGTTTCATTGTCAACATGAAACAAATCAGTAACAATCTCCTGGAGACAGACATCTACGACTGAGTTTTTAATGGTTGTGTAAAAATGACTAATTCATGAAATCTGTGGTTTCTAACCCAATTGTTCAAACAGAATATAAAACTGATCTTCCTTTATTTGAAATAATGTTCCCCTTTTGTTGAAACCAGGAGAGAAAATTATCGAATCTGTGCTATGCCTCTCATTGATAATTTTTAACATCAGTAATAATTGAAGCCACTTGATGTAGGATTTGAAAATGTAATATTTAGTGTTCTGAACACCATTTTGCTATGTTCTCTCTGCAGTAGAGATCAAAGAAAGACAAATAAAACTGAACATAAGCTTGCCTATTATCTAATATGGATGTCAGTGTGACATTACGAGTTTCCATTTTCAAAAAGATAACATTCAGTTTAGGGGTGTTGGCAAAGCTAGATGATCTTACAACTTAGATCTATTTTGCCATGCGGACAGCAAAACTTAACTTTGTCTTGTTTCTCATCCTTCCAGATTAACAGCTGCTCATGCGCACTTAACTACCCCAAATTAGTTTATAGCATTATAAACTAATTTTGCAGACCACTTACAGCCCCTGGGTTGTTATTTGAATTGAGGTGGTGCGGGAGACACCCCAAATCTGCGCCCAAGGAATTGCAAAATGATCATGAAGAAGCATGATATAATTAGTACCTTTCAAAACATAAATCAATTTTACTGTTTTAAAAAGTGAGGTGGAGGTGGAGTGCAAGTTGTGAAAGGTCATTGGGTTACAAATTGACCATAGAAACATCTTGTGATGTTTACACAAAATGCAAAATTTGGCAATTGTAAACCTCCCCTTGGTGGGGCATCCACAATTCAACTTTTTCAAGTAAGCTCTGCCAGCAATATCTCTAGTGGATGAATCAGAAATCAGCAAGTAGTTGCTTCTTAACCCACAGCTGTAATATTTTGAGAACAAGTTCATTGTCAGTGATGTTAAAACAAGGATGACTCTTCATCTGTCAGATTCCTAAGGACCTATTCCAATGTGAAATTTTGATAACCCAGCTGATCATTTAACCTCCAAGATATACCCTTCTGCTTAGTCACCAGCATTTAATTTAAATGACCATGAAGCTCATCTGCAAAATTCATTTCCAACCTCATGACAGGATTAATAAGCATGTCTAAGCAACGGAAACTGGAAAGAATTCCCATAGAGATGTGTGCATGAAAACATTAAAGCTGAGTGCTAAATACACTTAGAACTTAATAGAACTTAAAAGCTGTTAACAGTACACTTCTATCCTAACCTAATAGTACAAAATGGTTTCCTGCACAAGTTTTTCTTTGCAAGAAGAAAAGTGACATTACACGGAGCCAAATTTACAATATGCATTCCAAAATGGCACAAATAACAACTGGGCTATTTTAATTCTAAACAACCGGTGTGGCTTTGATTTGTCTAGAATACCAAACATTTGACAAAAAAAGTCCAACAAGCAAACTAATCATTCTATTGGATGCCATGAACAATTGTTTATAAAGCTGGTCGATTTGTTGTAATTCCAACCTCATTTCAAGACACCGTTCAGCAGAAGCTTCATTTTGTCATGGAAGCACTTACCTTTCCACATTGACAGGCTTGTCAAATTTAAAGAGGATATAATCTCCAGCAACTGGTGTAACAGCCCAAAAGAAATCTTCACCCATGTAGGCTTTTTCAAGAGCATGACCCTGATAGACCTTCAAAGTTGTAGAAACCTCTGCAGGTGGATTGACATGAATTTTATGCAATAATGGTTTCAGGAAGTCTTTATCCTAAAAAGACGTTAAGATTCATTAAGCTAGGAACTGAAGAAGAGGTCAGATACAAAACAGACTCTGCTTCAGTGAGCTGTAGCAAAAAAACCTGCCTGAAGCAGCTTTTATCAAGAGGCATTAAACATTTCCCTTGGCAGGAAATTTTCCTCAACAAACGTTGGGAGTCTATTGTTCAGTCTCCTGTTTTCCTTTTCTGATTTTTCTGCAGTGATTATTGATCCTCTCTCTGTTGTCAAGCTGGCCATCAGCCATAATATATTTTCTCCCTGCTACTGGCTTATTTTGCAGTTAAATGAAAATTCAAAGTCAATTAACATTAATCAACAAGTATACAATTTTAAGAAAGTTTACTTAAAAAGAGAGAGAGAGTGAACAAGACAGTTTTTATTAAAGATGAGAAGAACAAGACAACTTTTATTAGAGATGAGAAGAACAGGATTTTCCCTCTACCCTGTAGCAAACAAGGGGTAATATCCTCTCCCTCACTGACAATATTGCACAATGAAACTATTGCTCCTCCATCCCTCTTTAGCCTTCATGTATCCCAAAATCTACTCTGGAGGGTGGGGGAACCTCTGGTGAAGATGGGGGTTACAAGAATAGGAGAAAAAGGAGTAGATTCATCACAACCAATGGCACTTTTGCTTTATCATATTTGATCGTCAACTGTGGGGCCTTGCAGTAGCCAGAGACAGATGTAATTTGCAACATTACCCAGAAGATTGATTAGTATGCAAGTTGCAAAACCTGGTCTTCCAAGAAAAGGAAAGGAAGCATAAAAGTACTCACTGTAAGTTTCTGTATCTTTCCTGCTAGGGAGGAGTGCAGACCCACATGCTGGAAAAGTGAAGGCCTGAAGCGTATTCTGAGATTTGATTTCTGTCTATCGCAATGTTTCTGAAAAGAAAAGTTGGGGTGTGGGGGAAGACTTTAGTAATGTAGAACAAGTTAAACGCTATCCTTACGCATGATGACTTAAAAATAAGTGAGCCAAAATACTGCGCAGCATTCTTGATGCTGGCCTTCCATAGCCCCGTTGTTTTGCTTGATGCCTTGCCTTTCATTCAAGGAGAAAAGAAAACCTTACTGTCACGAAAAGAACAGCACAACCTGCCCCCATAAAGATCAAAGATCCTGTTGGCAAGGGATGAAATAATAGCTAACAAGGAAGGCAGTCCATCATCCCCCTCTCATAGCAACCCAACTTCAACAGAAAACAGGAATTTATCAATAGCACTCAGTAGACCAAAGTGGGTTTTACGGTGTGGAAGAAACCAAGAAGGCTGCACCCAGAATGATTCACATCTGTAGCTCAGTATAACAGATCAGTGTCAATGCCAAAGGAATCACAACACCCAGACTGCAGGCCACCATAATTACAGTCTATTACAAGAACCATGGTGATGAGTAATTCTGTGCAACTCTTCAGCTAATTTTAGCAGTTATGCCATCTGCACAGGCACAGTCTGAAACGTGGAACTTTGTTTTTAACGTAGTCAAGTGCTCAGGTTTCTTTGGAGGCCATAATAAAATGCACCTTTTAGAGATTTTAGCTCCCCTACAAACAAAAGGCTTTAACTTCCGCATGCGCCCTTTCAAATAAGCATTTTACATCCTCACCAGTCTGAAGAAATTAGAAAATGGTTGTTGGCCACTACTTTTGTAGCGCCCCATTATGTTTATATTTCATTTTTTCATTAAGACAAACCATTTCCCCCGTACGATAATGGTTGCCAAATCAGAGCTTCCCATAGATTTCACAGAATAGTAAAGGCTTCTGTTTCCCTATGCAGTACTGTCATGTGTGGAAGAAGAAAAGAGACGCCACTTCCCTTCCTCTTATGGTGCTTCCAGATGGCAGCACCCTTATTTCACAGAGATATCCACAATAAAGTGACTTCTTACATTGTTCTTGTTCACATGTAATGCTAAGCTAAAGCATGGCTTAGTGTGAACAAGCACACTTGTAGGTTCCTGGAGAGGAAATCGTGGCTGTTCTGCTCCTCCTTGGTCAATCCACTGCTGCACTGTGCTGAAATAAGTCATGGTTTGGGTTGGCATGTCATCCAAACCCAGGGCCATGGCTTAGCTCCTTCCAGTTGAAGCATGAGTTGTAATCAAGGTTTCTCCTATTGTCTAGAACTGGTGGTTTGTCTGGAGAGAGCTAAACCATCAGCCCAGGTTCAGATGACATGCTAAGCCAGTGATGGAGAACCTGTGCCCTTCCAGATGTTGCTGAACTCTTAATACCTATCAGCCCCCATCAGCATGGTCAATGGTCAGGGATGATTAGAGTTGTAGACCAGCAACATCTGGAGGGCCACAGCAACATCTGGAGGGCCACTAAGCCAAGCCATGGCTTTGTTCAGCAGTGGAGTGGTGGAACCAAAGCAGCCACAATCTTCTCTCCATTTGCTCATTCACACTAAGTCGTGGTTTGGCTTTGCATTACATGCAAACCAGGCCATTCACATAAGACAGTATTTATGAGAAATACTTAACACTCAAAACTTACTGCATCTTTCTCGGGGTTGCAAACTTTCACCCAAAGAATGTGATCCAAGAGCCAGTCGATAGGTTTCTCTTTATAAAACATAAATATGAACTCTACAATGAGTGTAATATCTGGAGACTGAAACATTTTACCTGTAAATAAAATGAAGTTATATCAGCAGCTATCCAGGGCTTTGTAAATGCAAATTCAGCCTGCCACCCCCAAAGAGCCATTTTAGCTAGTGTGACTAAAGGTAACAGAAATTTCAGAAGCAGGCTATAAATTATATATAAATATCTGATGCTCAAAAAACAACAACTCTCCACTGCAGAAGGCTATAAATTATATATAAATATATATGAATATAAATATTTGGTGCTCAAAAAAACCTCTCCGCTGAAGATTTGGTGGGTTGCTTTTTTTAAAGAATCTTAACGCAAACTAGTAAAAGAAAAGATGGCACTCAAATAATTTGGGGCAGAAGGTCTGCAGAGACTGAGAATCTTGGGAGAAAGTTACCCAGATATTCCTTGGTTTATAGATATTTAACAAAAACTTAACATGTGCTATGTTTCTCCCCACCCATTTCATGTCTTCAACAATGCTTCTTTTAAAAAATTACAATTCCGAAAAATTGGTCTCCCATAATCTGCACTGAAAATCACATTCCACACTTTTGTGGTAGATCTACAGCTCTAATGTTTCAGATTCCTCATTCAATCTGATCAGCAGATATTATGCACGTACAGGAGCCATAAGACTGCAGATTAAGCTTCCCTGTCCACAAGTGCTGCCCTCTTCACTTCAAAGGTAAGAGCATCGCAATGAGAGCAGAGGAATCTGCCCTCTTCAGTCAAGTGAATACCATATTGAAAACGAAAGGTTTCTAAGTGAAACGTTTGAAGTCACTGGCTTTGATAGAGGTGGGAAACCTGTAGTGGGAAAAGCTGTAGTGGGAAACCTCTAAAATGAGGGCAGCTCTTCATTGAGCCTAACCTCCATGGGAAATAGTTTAAATTACTGGAGCCCATATAGAAATTTGTCATCTTCTGAGATGGCAGCCACTGCTATAGAATTATTCTAACTTTCAGCAGCTGGATTCTGTCACAACAAGCAGCATGCAACTGAATATGTGGAATTATACAGGGAAAGCCACAAAATTAAAAGAATTAAAAACTCACTATATTTCCATATTTTAAAAGCTGGGACATTTTTGTGGATTCTCTACCAGAGTGCTGGATTTCTCTTCTTCTCTCCACCCTCCCCTGCACCTGCCCAGCAGCGGAGCAAGCCGATCAGGCACCTGGGGTGGCACACATGCCCAGCGCCCAGGGGCGGGGCCAGCTGCCCGTGGGGCAGGGCGAGCCGGGGCAGGATGCTCTGCAGTGCCTCTGAGGAGTCTGCCTACCTCCTCCCACTCAGCCACCCTACAGCTGAGGGGGAGGCGGCAGGCAGACCATTTGGGGCAGCACAGAGCCTGCGGGGGCCCAAGCCACTGCGTCACTCCCAGGAGAGACACGTGGCTCAGGCGTGCTTCAGGCCCCGCAGTGAGTGCCGCCCGGCATTTTGTCACCCCCCTCAGTGGGGACACCCGGGGCGGCCCACCCCTACTGCAAACCCCTTCCTCCACCCCTTTCAAACTTGCTAAAGAGGAATTTCTCTTACCAATGAATCCCAGCTGAGAAAATTCAAGAATCATCCAATCTTCGGATGACAACTGAAGCGCAAAATTTTTTATTGTGCTGAAGTAATTCTGCTTGACAACAATGTCATCCTCAAGCTAGGGGAGCCGAAGAGCAAGACCAGCAAAAGAAAAGAAGAAACGAAATGTGAAAAAGAGTGTGTTAGGCAAACCACATTTCAAACTCAAACGTACATATGAACTTCTTGGGCTGCATCCAACAAATGTATTCCATTAACATAACTTTTCTTCCCTCACTTTCCCCCACCCCCCCAAAAAAAATGTTCTTGGGACAGACAGACACAGAGAGGAGAAGAAGTTACGTTGTTGAAGCAGAAGTTGTGGTGTTAATAGAATGACTTTGTTAGATACAACCTCATTATTTGCCTCAACTGCGATCACTGGGAGGGGACTGCAAACTATAAATAAAAAGGGCAATCACTTTTGAGAGGCTGCAATCCTATACACGGTAAGGGGTATACTGCGAGATGCCTGCCCTTCATGCATGCATTTTTAAAATAAAAAAAAATTGGCAGCATCCCCAGAACATCATGGGCATCAAAATGCCAGTGGATATTTTGTTTGAAATTTAATCTAAATTTACCCTTTCCAAGCAAAATCCAGTAAGGGGAAAAAAACACCCTACTGTTGTGATATCTGAATGACTTGTTTGCACTATTCCAGTCTCTAACTGGAAGTACCCTGAATCTCACTGATTAATTGCAACTTACTTCTGAGCAGGAATGTCCTGTTAACTCAGAAATTAAATGGAAAACAAAAACAAAAACATGTTTTTGGTGATCAAAACTACATTGCCCATCAACAAGAACATGTCTCACTGCTAACAAGGTTATTTTTTCTCTTTGAGGTTTAACCTTCTTGCCTTATGAGAAGCCCATTACTGATGAAATTTTAGGGTTGAAGAGACCCTAAGTTGGTCATCATCTAAACAGAAATATTTGAGAAGGGTCTGAATCCAACATTTGATTCAGTGCAGGCTTCCATGAGAACTATGGACACAAATTTCTCCGATCTCCAGCTGTGACTCCCCCTCTGCCACCAAACATATTGTTCCATGGGTGCCCCAAACCTCTGGAGTAGAGTTCAAGGGGTGCAAAGGAAGCTGAAGGGGAAAACAGCAAAAATCACCTCCCACGTTTCCACTAATGGAATCCTCCAAAAGATTAAAAACGCATTCAGTCAACAAGAGGGTCACAATCAGAAACAACACAACACCTCCAATATTATTTATTTCCATGGTGCCAAACTAGAGACTGCATGACCACACAGCCATGCCTTTAAAATCCACCTACACAATTAGATTTATCACATGGAATAACACTGGTGGAACAATATCAACAGAGAGGGTTTTTTTTATGAGAGACAGCATATTTTAAAACAAAAACAACCCTGCACAATAGGATTGTTAAAAGCTGTTTATTGTACAGGGACACAGTTATATAAGGATGTTATCTGGGATCTAATAAACTTCCAAAAAGCTTGTGCATGTGAGAAGGGAATACCAGAAAAAAACCCAAATAGTGCAGGAATTATCATGTCAGACAGAGACTCTATCCATTTCTCGTTGCAATCCCATCTTTTATATGCAGATAGGATATGGAATGGCTGGCTTTATGCGGGGGCAAGGCACTGCAGGAGAATCACTTAAAGGATAAAATGTGTTATTTCCAAATTACTTTGATGATGTAGGATCGAAGGCAGAGCTGGAAAAAAACATTTGTGCAGTTCCGTAGTTATTACAGGCTTTTGCTCTTACTGTAAATCCTATTCAGGCAAGAAATGACGCAGCTGCTCAATTTTACAGGAGCAAATTAGATTCACTGAATTAGAGTCAGCTACTTAGACAGTGTGTGAAACTAAGCATGTGCATATCAATCTTGGTCTTATTGCAGCCATATGTGACGAACTAAACCATATTTGCAAAGCATCACCTTGGCAATTACAGCTGTTTCTAAAGTAATAAACGCAGGCTTGCCCAAGCAACTAAATCTGGAAAGAATCTTAGCATCATTTTTTAACAATTAAAAAAACAACAATATTTAACTAAGGCATTTTATATTTTAAATTAAAACATTTAAAGGGAAAACACAACTACAAATCACCTTACTTGTTTTAGCTCTATTTTCCTAAAAAGTTATTATTTACATACCCATCACCCTTAGTTGGCTTGGCTTTTTGTTTGTTCGTTTGGTCTATCTATAAAACACTTATAAACAATTCCCATATACTATGCCAACACTGCAATTCAACTAAATAACTGTTCTTATGCTGATTACAAGAGCACAGGACATGTCTTGGATACTAGTTTTCACCATTCAAAGTAAAACAACAACAACAACAATTTACCTGAATGTAGTAAACACCCTTTTTCTGCGCATACATCATAAGGAAACAATAATCCAGATTCTGCTTTGTCCGCCATCTGAAATTAAATACAGTTAGTTTTCTAAGCTAAACATCTCCGTAGGCAATGAAGGCATATACAAGGTTTCAGGAGTAGCATTCCTATCATGGTGGTGAACCCTGAAGTCCTCTTTGGAGTCACCATTTGGGGAGCTGACCTGCCAGAAGCAATGTAGTCTGCCCTTTCAGTTGTTTCATTGCAGGATTCTCCCACCAAACCAACTGCTGTTCAGCTGCAGCCTGTTAGAAGCCATCTTACCAAGCAGTCCCACAAAGAAGCAACAAGATTTCAAGTACCTATATGTTTTGCCCTGTAGGGTGAACATCATGGAGAGGGAATTTCAAAACCGGGAGAATAGCATGGTGCAGAGAGATTAAGTTTCTCCCCTATGGTAGCAATCTGAGTATTTCACCCCCAGTTACTATTAATACTAGGGGGCGGGGGAACATGGCAGATTCCATTTATGAAATTTCCATATCCTGAATTTTCAATGCACTCTACAATCTACAATGAATGAAGTTATTATTCCCCAGTACCCTGAGAAATTCTTACCTGACTCTTTCTTTTGAGTCTCCAAACGTCTCTTTTAGGTTTGTCAAGTCAGGATAGTAGGATGCAGGTGGAGCTATTACTTCCACCAAGCCAGAACTGATTTCTTTAGAAAACCTGTATTCAGAAAGTTCAAATTTGTCGTTATATACTATTCTAGGGAACGCTACACTCCAGAAACCTAATGTGGTGGTCAAATGTTGGAGCTGGGTTGGTTCAAATTTCTGTTCAGTCACAGTGCTCACCCAGTAGCACTGGGCGAATTAGTATCAGCCTAATCATATTGTGGCCAAGTTAGTATCAGCTTAACCCAGGCATAGGCAAACTTCGCCCTCCAGAAGTTTTGGGACTACAACTCCCATCATCCCTGACCACTGGTCCTGTTACCTACGGATGATGGGAGTTGTAGTCCCAAAACATCTGGAGGGCCGGGTTTGCCCATGCCTGGCTTAACCACTAATGTAGATCCATATATAAAGTGATATGTACAGGTTGGGGTCCAAAGGCTGTGAGGTGACTCCTGCATGATCTCCCCTTTCCACAAAACCTCCCTATGTCCCTTGAAAATCCCACTGGGATAGAATCCAACAATGCACAAGCAGCTGCAACTAGCAAGAACTGGCATCCGGGTCTTCTACAAAAGCAGAAATTGCTTTAGGGTCTGGCCTTAATTCTCATAATCTATTATTCAAAACCACAATATGCATTAACTTCTTAAGTATGCAGGTAGCTGCTTCTATACTTCAGCGCTAGCATAGCAGCTTTAGCATAGGTGCTTTGCAATCCATTTATTTCATTCCAACATAATCCGTTTATGACAGACTGAACCTTTTAATCCCATTTGCTGTTTTGCAAGTTGAGACCATCTAATTGCTCCATGCAATTTACCACAGTATGCAACCCATGCATATGAAGAAAACTATTACTAAAACTGAAATAAACAATGGATAAACAATGAAATAAACTTACTCCTTTTCTAGGCTTGCTACAACGCCATTTACATAATCAAGATCTGTCTGGGGGGAGAAAGAGAGGCATTTTAAAGCAACATTTTTGAACCAAGTATAACAAATTAGTTTTAAATGACTGTATAATTTCTACAGCATTTATTTTCAAAAATTCAAGTAGCAGTGAAGTGGGTTAGAAATTATTTAAATACATAAAATAATGATTAATGTTCATCAAAAAGTTAGCATGACAGAGGTCACAAAATGTGTCCATTCAAACACAGAATAGCAAAGGATTGATTTCAATCTCGCACACTGGCCAGCACAATTTTTAATTCAATTCAGAAAATTGTGTTTATTAATTTACTACATTCACTTCAAGTTAAGCAAATGCCAGTGTTACGGTCTTTAGTGAAAACAGAACCTATGTGGTGGTATAATAACCATGGCCATGTATCAACTGTGAATGACACATGTATCTTTAAAGCAATGCTCTCCATGGCTAAATAAAAAACATAAGGGATAGGGAAAGGTTCCAGTCCCTGCTTCTATGTATGTTGTTGAGAAAAACAGTAATTTAAAACTAGGATGATCAAGGGTCTAGAAGCCAAGTCCTATGAGGAACGGTTGAAGGAGCTGGGTATGTTTAGCCTGGAAAAGAGGAGACTGAGAGGAGATATGATAGCCATCTTCAAATATCTCAAGGGCTGTCACATGGAAGATGGAGCAAGCTTGTTTTCTCCTGCTCTGGAAGGTAGGACTCGAACCAATGGCTCACAGAAACTCCTTGGAACCGAAGTCTCACTCCTGTCCCCTTTTCCACCTTCCCCAGGTTGCTTCTCCCACTTACAGAAACAATGGATATGTACATTTGTGTCATCACGTCTTGGCAGACACACAAAAATTAGTTTCTGAACGGATCTGGGGAATGAAGAGGCTTTTATCCTGCTCTATATAAATCTCAAATCTGAATTTACCCCAAGGGTACAGAAAAATCTCTCCAAATCCATTAGAAAAGCACGTAGCTCAAATGGTTGCTAAACTACCGTACACTGCTTAAGCCACCATGGTTGTTTTTGATACATTTGCCCTACATGCAATCTGTAGGGTTTTTCATGTTGTATATTTAGATTGTTTTATAACTTTAAAGGCAGTATGTATTAACATATTTGCACGGTGAAGCGACCTTTACCTTACCTTGCAGTCTAACACACCATTCTAATAAAAAGGCATCACTTTTGCTTACTCTGAGTGTCTCAGTGCCAACATACCACCACCCTGGAATAATCTACCTCTGAAGGCAGCCTAAGAAAAGCATCAAATACAGAACGTTCCCTGCTCTTCTTGTGCTAACTTCAGCAAACTGACCTGCACTTCCTTCCATCCTGCACAAAAGTTCCAACAAGGCATTGGAAAACAAAATGTGGTTCAATACATACCAGCCAAGAGTTTTTCGCCTTGACTGATCATATCTAAAACTATAAACTACTAAAAGCTTAATTTTTACAGACACAAGCAAAGTGCTAAAATGAATAATCAGAAATATCTCACTTGTCTACAATACACATCTACCTTGCAAGTGCTCTCATCTCTGAAGTGTGGTGCTAAAGGAAATGCAGTGGGAAACTGACTCACAAAGCCTCTCCTGTATTTCACACTTGTTTTTCTACCATGCACAGAGCCCATGAGTTATCCTCTGGTTTCACAATGTTTTGTGTACCAAGCTCTCTTTGGAAGCTGTGTGGTCTTCCCAGTTCCTGCATTGGATGCCCTGGTTCATAGATCTATAAAATCAATTGTATTACATCAGTTGTAACAGCAAAAACGTGGTATCTAGGGGGCTAAATGGAATTTCCTTGGGTAAAAGAACTGTAGAGGTCTGAGTACTGAGAACCTGCAATATCTCCATGATGGAAGTACAGTTCGGGGAAAATACATGCTCCAAATTAGAAATTGGTGCACCGTTTAGAATGACTGTTTTTCCTTAAAAAAAAAACTTCGTACAATAATTCCTCCTTTACATGCAACACAGAAGTGTACTACATCAAATACAGGTTTATATAACTTCCAGACTAACTCTATTGCTGCTCCAGGCTCAATGCCAACAGTAGCTTCTGCAGTTAAATAAGCAATATGTAGAGTCATGGCAAACAGTCTTAACCATATATTTGCAGAGCTGGCTGCCTTGGTTAGCAAACAAGGTACAGTATATGTTCCCAAAAAAATTTCTGGGGACAGGAGATACTCCACAATGCTCATTTTGTACAGCTCAAACTGTCTTATAAAGGAGCACATTCATATTTCTAATGAAGTTAGCTTAAGCAATCTCTTTCAAGCCTCACCGTTACAAATTTATATAATTTTTAAAAAATGTACAGAGAACTGGCAGGCTTCTACAGTTTGTCTAAAATTCTTCTGGCTGCTGTTAAAGGTGTTTCAGCATAAAGAGTATATTTTCAGTTGTAAAGATTCCAGGTTCTATCCCTGGGATCTTGAGGTAGGGCTGGAAAGGGCTCCTGTCTGAAACCCTGCAGAGCTCCTAGTAGTCAATTTAAACCAGTGTTTCTAGCTGTTTTGGACTACAACTCCCATCATCTCTAGCCAGCAAGACCAGTGGTCAGGGATGATGGGAACTGTAGTCTGAAAACAGCTGGAGACCCAAGTTTGGGGAACACTGATTTAAACAAAGTATGCCAGATGGACCAAAGGTCTGAATCAGTACAGTGGTACCTCGGTTTAAGTACAGCCCTGTTTATGAACTATTCGGTTTAAGAACTCCGCAAAACCGGAAGTAGTGTCCCAGTTTGTGAACTTTACCTTGGTCTACGAACAGAAGCTGAACGGTGGAAGGGCACCGGCGGTGGGAGGCCTCATTAGGGAAAGCGCACCTTGGTTTAAGAATGGTTTTGGTTTAAGAACGGACTTCCGGAACAGAAAGGTTTGTAAACCGAGGTACCACTGTATAAGGAAGCTTCCTATGTCCTTATGTTGGTTGATAACAAAAACATCCTGGTTTTGTATGGGATTTCCACAGCTCAGTTTGCTCCTTTTCTCTGCTCTCCCACCACATCCCCCCCTCCCCCGGCTGCTTTTCACTTTAACCTGCAATAGGCAACTGAAAAAATCGTTACTCCAAAAAGTGGCAGATCACAGCCTAGGTTTGGGCAGTTATTTACTCTCTCTAAATTACCATATGCCACGTTTGTTCTGACTATCTCACTGTTTATTGCTTAACCTCCAATCCAAGTGTAAAATGTATTGGAAAGCTAACTACCCGATGACAAGGGGTTGGAGGGTAAATACACAATACCTAGTGAGGTGTTTGAAAATCGTTCCAATTAGAAAGACCAGTTTTTTACTTAATATTCAGGCAGAAATTAAAAAATAAATTAATGCTGAAAGATTAAGAGTAGAGTTACACCTTTAGGGATTTATTTGAACTAATTGAAGGGCTTTTTCTTCAGCCGGAACTCGCCGGAACTCCGTTCCAGCACTTTTCAGATGGGCCCCATTGCCATTATAAAAGAACAAATAAAGGCACACATGGGGAATTCCAGCACCTCTTTTTCTAGAAAAATAACATTGACTAAATGTGATTTGATAATTGTAAAATCAAATGTCTGGACTCTGGAGAGTCACTTAACTTCTTTGAAACATATGTGGGGACAGAGTACTGAAGAACTGTTTGGATGATATTTTGTATTCTAACGGATTAGCCTCCAGAAATGTCAGTTTCCTGACCGTTCTCAATCAATCTTAAATTTGTTACAGCCGCACAAACTCATTTTGTGTTAGTACCTATCCAGTTAATTAGGCAATTTAACAGTCATGTATTAATGCACACAATGTATTTATTCTCTTTCAGTTAAACAAGAAAGAGAAAGCAAAATGCCCCATTATAGGTTGAATGAGCACAGATTTAACAGGTGCTTTTTGCCTAAGATGAAATCAGGAGATCTGGGCAACACCAGAACCCAGATCAGCAGTGCCTTCAGATGAAGGGCAGTATACAAATTTAATAAACAAGACTATACATATAATTGCATACTCATGTCCATTCCTTATTAATACATTTTTCTTTCCCTTTCTCTCCCCTTCTATCAAAATTTAGACAGCAAGGTCTTTAGGTCAAAAGCATATATTTGGCCGGTCTTAGTAAAAAAGCATCATGAAAGTGGATTGCATAATTATAAAAATCTTCATCTTAATGTCTAATCCTCAATTGTTCTGGATTGTTACAAAGCATGGGCTTGGGCCACTTATCACTAATTAAAGCACAGCCGCTTAACTTTCATATCCAGGATCAGGACCTAGCAATACTCCTGGGCTGTGGAGTAGCAAGAGTTCACACTGCTGTTCTGGTGCTGGTTTTAAAAACTGAGGCAGGGTGGCAGTGCCCACAACACTTCGAAGACTACCTTCTTGCCATTGCATGCTTGCACCAGATAGAAACTGAAGGAAGATGTTTCTTCTCATATCACAATTACAGGCAAGCTCTGTCTTGTTTGTTTGTTTGTTTGTTTGCAGAACATCACTGTAGTTGTGGCATAAGTCTGTTTCCTTTGTTAAGTGCCTTTAGTAGCTGATAGCATCACAATTGTGTGGTGTAGTGGTTAAGAGCGGTAGTCACGTAATCTGGGGAACCGGGTTCGCGTCTCCGCTCCTCCACATGCAGCTGCTGGGTGACCTTGGGCTAGTCACACTTTTTTGAAGTCTCTCAGCCCCACTCACCTCACAGAGTGTTTGTTGTGGGGGAGGAAGGGAAAGCAGAATGTTAGCCGCCTTGAGACTCCTTAAAGGGAGTGAAAGGCGGGATATCAAATCCAAACCCTTCTTCTTCTTCTTGTATCCTACTACAGGAATAACGGGACGCGGGTGGCGCTGTGGGTTAAACCACAGAGCCTAGGACTTGCTGATCAGAAGGTCGGCGGTTCGAATCCCTGTGACGGGGTGAGCTCCCGTTGCTCGGACCCTGCTCCTGCCAACCTAGCAGTTCAAAAGCACGTCAAAGTGCAAGCAGATAAATAGGTACCGCTCCGGCAGGAAGGTAAATGGCGTTTCCGTGCGCTGCTCTGGTTCGCCAGAAGCGGCTTAGTCATGCTGGCCACATTACCCGGAAGCTGTATGCCAGCTCCCTCGGCCAATAAAGCGAGATGAGCGCCGCAACCTCAGAGTCGGTCACGACTGGACCTAATGGTCAGGGGTCCCTTTACCTTTACCTTACAGGAATAACAAAACTATCACCCATACGTAGCTCAAGCTGCTAGCCAGAAATCACTATTTTCCATCAGAAATGCAGGTTTTATTTCACTGTCCATACGAATGCACATGCAAATGCAAGCAAAGTATTTAAATGAGAACTATTTTGAAGATCTGCTTAATTCTCCCTACTGAAGTTAAACCCACTCAGTGTAGGAGAGTGGAATAAGATATAATTCCACACGCAGTGAGCCTCTTCATGTTCAGAGAAGGCAAAACATTTTCAATATGACTATACAGCAGGAAGAGATGAAACACAAAACTTGCAAATAACATAACGAGCAGTAACATCCCACACACTGGTGCTTCTTGCAATTAGAAACAGAGCTACAATGGTAACAGCCTGCCTTGGGCTTACCTCTCCTATGAAGACAACCATAACACAGTCTAGTTTCTCTTCTGGAGACAGCTTGTCAATCAGTGAGTGAAGAGTTTCTGTAAGGTAAGATTTTACTTTTCTCTTTACAGTCGGAATTCCCATTACTATAGAAACTGAAAAACAACAATGAGCAATTCACTCGGGTGGTTTGAACAGGAAAGAATGTGGTTTGTTATGCAAGGTGTAAAAATACTTTAAAACATAACAGAGTGAAACAGGGCATAATCAAGGGGTGATTTTGTTTTCGGTGTAAAGGAACAAAAACAATTTCAATACTACAGGTATACTCAAAACAGGAAGCATACATTTGGGCGGGGGGGGGGTTTTCTTATGGATGGTGTGTTTGTATAAAAATCTCAGACCAAAGTTTCAGCCTCTCTTTGGTCAGGAAAACTGAATTTTGTTCAAATGTTGGATTGTGCAAGATACAACTTTTCCCCCAAAAGGCTCCCTTTACTCTGAGTTTTTCATAGCTACATAGCTCCTATCCATTATGACTAATCCAAAATCAGCATCACCTACTTTTTCTTCCTCAGTTCCTGTACAGTAATTGAAACCCCTTCCCCCATCAACTTTATTAACACAAGCAGCCTCCTCAGTCAATGGGTGGTGAGAAACCATTGCAGAACAACTGAAAAACTATCACAGCTTTTTTTTGGGGGGGGGGGAGGTGTTGAGCTGGTTGTCTGAAGCTGTCCCAGAACTGCCATATTTTCTTTTTACAGATTTTAAGTTGGATTTTTGCCAACAAGTGCATGATACAAGTCATACAAGTCATTTGCCTGCTGAAACCCTTTCCATTAAAAAGAGTTTTCATGCATACATATAAACCATACGTATAAACCATAATGCTTGATCATGTGCCTTTCATACCTGACATGCATTAAAACACACACCTCTCGTTAAATCCAAACAGTACTAAATCCACAAATGCAAAGCCTCTCTATTATTATTATTATTATTATTATTATTATTTAAAAGCCAACCAACAGAAGTTGGATTATGAAAACTTTGGGCTACTAGATAATGCAGACTTAACAATCCATGCAGAGCAACGGATGTGAAAATAATGTTTTGCAGACAGACACCCATAATTCAATAGCGAACATTTCTCAGGAGATGTCTTCATGACTAAGTCCTACTAATCTGTTTTGCAGGACTGGCATTCAGTAGCATAACATGAAAGAATCAAAACTGAAGGAGAATGTACAACCCATTTACCTTGGGGCCAAAGATCTACTTACGCAGAGAGTCTTCCTTCATTTTCTCAACAACAACTCCTCTGTCCCTAATGAAATACTATACAGGTCACTTCACACAACAAATTTTTCTGGGTGCAATTTCAGAACAAGAAGCACACATTTACCATCATGGTTTATAAACAGTCAGTGAACCATGGCTTGCAAGTGTGGTTTGTTTGTGATTAACAAACCATAGTTATAACACTGGGCCAGGTTCAGATGGTCAAGTTATAAACCATGGTTTAGTGTCATGTGGGAACCAGGCCAATGTCTGAAGTGCACTGTTAGTTTTCCTTACTACGTACAACACCATTGTATTGACTCGGGAGTGTCAGAGACCATTTCTTGATGGGCTGCAGAGGAGTTGGCAAGGAGAAAAATAAATAATAGTCCCCACTGGGCATTCAAAAAAATTAATAAGCAGCAGTTGCATTGGTCTCCTTGGACCAAGGTGATTATATTTTATTGGAACTACTTTGTGTACTTTAAACACTTGCAAAAAAAAAAAGCAATAAGCAACTAAAGGAGACCCAGTTACCTACCCCTATATTCCACATTCTACAGTCCCTACACAGCATGGAAACAATGGGCAGGACTCACTTAATGTGCCCATCAGTGGAACCCTGTGCAAGGATTTCCCCTTGTGCAAAGGGGCTTCCCCACTTCTCCTCCCCATGCCCCCCAATTGGCTCTGGGGGGTCAGGAGAGCCTCCAGAAGAGCATGCGGGGAGAGGGGAAGGGAGGAGGGTCGTTCCATCTGGCAAACTGTAATTGCTTGCACAGATGGAACGTTTGTAATAGAACAACACTGAATTCCACCCCAGCCTACTAATTTGTGAGCATGTGGAAAAACCCATGCATTGTTATTTTTAAAAACTTAATTTAAGAATAGGCATGCTGCTTCAAATTAGTGGGGTTTTTTTAATTATACCTTAACATCAAAAGTGTGGGATCTGCATGAGACAATAAAAGAGAAGGTTAAAGACAAGCTTCTTCGACCTTGGATTCACCCTGAATTCTAAGAGACAGCTAACAAAAGAAGTAAGATTCCTATATCTTTTGTCTGCGAGTAGTCGTGTACTGAGCCTTTTTGCTACAGCCACAAGGGTTTGTATACATCTTTAAGTGCATCAATCATAGAAATATTGTCAGTTTTACCTCCGGTTCTTCCAAGGCCAACCTGCACTGAAGGTCGAAGGCTTCCTTCATTTTTCAATAAATGAGGCAAGTGGTAATATATATTTGGCACTTGAAGAGCTTTCCTGCTTGTTAACTCCTTTAGCAGTTTTAACGTTTCGTCTGAAAACAAATATATACATTATATAGCTATGCAGCCATTCGACCAAAATGGACCCTAACCAAGTATCTAACCCAAAGTGTAAGGAACTGTACACATTTCACAGGTTTATATGAAACAGAATATTTTTTTAAAAAAAAGATTCTAAAATAAAAGCAATAGTCATGGAATGTCACAAAATAGTGGTTTGCCTGGGAATGGAAGCAGCATTCTGTGCAACATTTGAAAGTCGGCTACACAAATGAAGAGGGCTTGTTGCTCTTTTTCAAACTAATGCAGTCCTAGGTCCCCACCTAATGCCCTGTACATTTAAAGTATGACCACTTTAAACAGCCCCTAAGAATCCTGAGAATTGTAGTTTGTTAAGGGTGCTGAGAGTTCTAGGGAAATTTCTGTTTCTACAATTCCAAGGGTGGTTTTACAACCAATCCCTCTGCCTGGGGAATGCTGGCAATTGCAGTTCTGTGTAAGCTAAGTATACTAAAGTAGAATTGTTTTCCAGTCTAACCAGTTGCACTACTACATTAACTTACATGGGTTTAATAAACAATTGTCATTACGAAAACAAAGCCTAGATGAGTTTTTGCACCTGAGGGAGTCCAATCTGGTTTTATGTATTCCCCCTCCAAACACAAATGATTAATCTATAATGAAGTCACCAAAGCAAGACGTTTGGCACCAGGGAGCTGGCAAAGAGAAAGTCTCCCCCCTATTGGCCCAAATGAATGAATTCTCTGCACACATTATACAGAGATCAAATCCAGAATCCTCCATGGAACCAATCCATATCTCAAGACGCTGGAAATAAGAAAGAATGCAAATATAGACAAGCAGTTGACATCTGACATGGATGCTTTAGCTGAGATTCATGAATTGCAGGGAGTTGGACTAGATGACCCCTGGGGTGCCTTCCAACGTTACAATAAATGACATTTATTCCTGTACTGGGAAAATGAAATTTTATTTAAGTATTCGTAGCCTGGACATCAGGGTGCTTCACCAAAGCAACAGAAACCAGGTAATAATCTCTAGATGCAAGGTATAGTGTATTTCCTTCACGTTCAAATATTCAGTACAAAGCAAGAAATTGGATCCTTCTCACACGCACTCTAAAGGTGGAACAAAGTTAATCCTGAAGGAAAGAGCAAGGAAGGAAATATTTGCTATGTCTACAGGATAGTTTTTATTTACAAGGTAAAAGGTACCCCTGCCCGTACGGGCCAGTCGTGTCCGACTCTAGGGTTGTGCGCCCATCTCACTTAAGAGGCCGGGGGCCAGCGCTGTCCAAAGACACTTCTGGGTCACGTGGCCAGCGTGACGAAGCTGCTCTGGCGAGCCAGCACCAGCGCAGCACACGGAAACGCCGTTTACCTTCCTGCTATAAAGTGGTACCTATTTATCTACTTGCACTTAGGGGTGCTTTCGAACTGCTAGGTGGGCAGGAGCTGGGACCAAAGACGGGAGCTCACCCCGCCACGGGGATTCGAACTGCCAACCATACGATCGGCAAGTCCTAGGCACTGAGGTTTTACCCACAGCGCCACCCGCGTCCTTTTATTTATTTACAAACTCATCAACAAATGAATATTTACAAATGCACAAGGAGAAAAAGATTGAGAGAAGTGAAGTGGCAAACATGTCAATCTTTAATTTGTATTTTTAAAGAAATAATAATAATAAACAAGAAAATTAGCCTGTACCTGAAACACTGCTCAGCGCATCCTTACTTCCATTTGTTTCTGCGACTGCCCGTCTGAACTGCTCCAAGATGGCATTTAATTCAGAAGAACGCTGCAGGGTTCGGTGCTCAGCTACGCGAAGACGTTCTTTCAAAGCATGAAATTCCCTTTGATAAGCAATCAGCTTTTCTAGAAGTGGAAATAATGAAGGTTATTCGCTGTTTTAAGTCTGTCATGACATATGTGAACGCTGCTTCTCCTGTAAAAAAAATTGTTTTCAGTTCAAGGAAATAACACAGAGACTCCAATCTAGTAATATAACATTTCTTCAGATACAATTTAGCAGGTGGAAATAGACCGAAGGACTTATCTGCACTATAGGAAGGAGCACCAAGAACAAATACAATTACACCGTAACAATATTATTTTGCAAATTGAGTGTTTGTGAATATGCTCATGTATACTGTTATTGGTGGCGCTGTGGGTTAAACCACAGAGCCTAGGACTTGCCGATCAGAAGGTTGGCGGTTCGAATCCCCGTGATGGGGTGAGCTCCCGTTGCTCAGTCCCTGCTCCTGCCAACCTAACAGTTCAAAAGCATGTCAAAGTGCAAGTAGATAAATAGGGACCGCTCCAGTGGGAAGGTAAACGGCGTTTCCGTGTGTTGCTCTGGTTCGCCAGAAGAGGCTTAGTCATGCTGGCCACATGACCCGGAAGCTGTCTGCGGACAAACGCCGGCTCCCTCGGCCTATAGAGCGAGATGACCTAATGGTCAGGGGTCCCTTTACCTTTACCTTTACTGTTTTTATGTCATCAGTTTTAACTTGTATGAATGAGAGGAGAGTGAGCGAGTCTTTGGAAAGGTGGCTCTGCAACATTGCCAGAGTCAGGAAAAGCAAGTTCTAGTGACTGATGACAACAAACAGGACTTCATTTTAAGCAAAACATAAGATTAAAGGCCAAAATCATTCCTTGGGAAGAGGAAACGGCACATTCCAGAGCATCTGTGCCCATTTGACTAGACCCTAAAAGTACAGTGATAAGGAAAGAGCTCAGGACCTTTGGTTCCTGTAGCAAGAAGAAATCTTGCAATCCCAAGACCTAGCGGCATTTGGAAGGGGGCCCGAAAGATGATGCAAGGATCTTGCAATCTTCTAAGTCTGCTTTGCAGTCTAGAGAACATCTACAATTAAGACTGTGCCATGTAGTTAAAAGACTGAGCTGAGAGTGTAAGTACTTTGGTGTCTGGAGCAAAAACCTAGGCAGTGCCCCACAATGCAGTGTGGCACTTCAGCATGGTTGCATTCTTGTCACTGTGTGAAACCCAGAGGTTAAGGGTGGTCTCTCTGAACGGAAGGACCCTTTCTCTTCAAAGACGTACTCCTTCCACCCACAGAGTGACAATTTCAACTGCTACCCATTACGTATAGAAATGCTTAGTGGCTTTCCCACTTCCCGCCCCCATATCGTTCTGATCTTAGCATCATAGCCTAGGGATACTATATGCAATTTGGAGTTGAGCGTCGGAGCAACCTAACATTGTAGCACTAAAAGTTCTGGGCAAACATCCAACCTGTGCTCTCAGTATAAGAAAACAAAAGACAAGTGATGAAGCTCAGTTTTGATTCGTAACACAGGCAACAACAGGGTTCAAGGCACCCATTAGTTCCACGAACCCTAGTTTCACCTTATGAACCTCCTATATTCTGCTTCTTTTGGCTTAGATGTATTTACGAAGAGGAGAAAGAACGGGCATTCCTGTTGTTAATAATCTGTACACTCAGGTGGTGCTTGAGCCAAGTTCTTACAGGTGGTAAACCTGCATATGCATTGCAATGCTCCAGATCGTGCATAAGGATTCACATGCCAAGGTTCCCTCCATACAAGGAATCCCCTGCTCACAGAAAACCTGGGTATCAAGAATAAAGGTTCTTGCCTAGCTTTCTCTCCCCCAGCTCCATGGAGAAGCATGTGACTCTAGCTTCTCAGCTGCCAGGTGGACACATTGTAGGATAAACTCCTGATGGAACCATTCATGACTTCCATTATTCCTAACCAACTTCTAAATTAAGTACAGTGGAACCTCAGTTGTCAGTTTTTTATCTGTGTTGTTTTAAATGAGACCATCTTGACTGTGAGCCCTGGAAGACCTGCACCCTGCCTTGCTGGCCCTTTCCCATCTGGCCTGGGAGAATGGAGTGCTGACTGACTCCAGCTACAAAAGCTATTCTGTTGTGTACTTTTTGATATGTTTTATTTATTGTTTATGACTTCTGTTATATTTGTAACTATGTAAATCTTGTCATGTTGAAAGCCGCCTTGAGCATAGTTTCAACTGTGGAAAGGCGGCAAACAAATAAAATGATAATGATGATGATGATACAGGCAGTGCTTGAAATTAGCCAGGCACCAGACACATTTTGCACCTGACTATCGACCACTTGCGACCAAGTGAAGATGCCTGGGCACCAGGATGGGCCTAACATCTCCATCATCTAGAGGTGCACACCTGGGGATCATTGGATCTTGACTGTTTTCACACAATAATACCACAACCTGTAGAATACTATCTGTTATATTTTATCTGCTCAGTTGGAATAAATTGCAGGAACCAAAACGCTTTTTCTGTGCAGCCTGAGCAGGAGCAGTCACCATTAAGAAAAAGAGGTAGGTATAGCACAATATTTATGTGGACTGTCCCTGGATCAAGTGACTTTTCTTCTTTAAGTTCTCAGAGTTCTTGACCTAGCTCAAGGTTGTAATCTGAACTAGCCAGATGTTGAACTGAGAATCAATCACAGTCAGTCCATCGTTTGAAAAATAAGACTTTAGAGCCATCTTGCCCCAAAATGGCAACTAGACATTCCGTTCTAGTGACTGTAACCTTGGTTTAAGGAGCCATTTGGTGCTTAGTTTATGTATCTGACTTTCTAACAGGCAAGACTCTTGAAGCTGAAAACACTTTCATATTGCTCCTACAATATGGTGGCAAGGCCACTGAATAGCAAGGACTCCAATTCCTCTTGCTTCTCATTTGCCTCTGATTCCTCTAGCTTCAGCATCAAATGAAATAAACTGCTAATTTTTAAAGAAAAACAGATTTGCATGCCATCAAGAAACAAAAATCCATTAAAAACTCCATTTAAAAAAAATACATGCAGCACAATTTTCAGAACCAAAAGCAAAACTATTTATCTTTCAGACTCTGAAATTTTAGTTATGCTAGAATCATCTACTTGGTAGTGCTTCTTTTGCAGGTTGGCATCTTTACCACCAGCCACCCACCAGTTTTATCTGCAGAATCTCACTTCCATGCTCTGGAAGGAAGTGCTTGAACTACGCCATCAACTGCCTGGGGCCAGGGAACCTGCTATGCCCATGCTATGCCCGTAATGTAATTGTATCTGTGTATGGATTTTAATTGTTAGCTACTTGGGAAGTCAATGCTGGCTGAAAAGCAGGGGGAAAATAGGATAAATAAACACAGCCCCCCTCTTCCTTCCTTCACTAATCACAACACAAAATAATATAACTAGGGGCCGAATCCCTACCAGATCAATTTTAGATTAGTTTGAGGGATGTGTGGGGTTTTTTGCAACCTGGCTACTGCCTAGAAAGCTCAATCTCAATGTCAGTTGATTGAGGTTTACCATTACAGTACCAGTTGCTGGCCTTAGAATTGCTTTATTATGTCTCCTTCACTAGACTGTAGAGTTGCAGCCAAAGAATCACATTTTTTCATTCTTTTGCAACAGGACTAAATAAGCCTTTGGCCTTCAGAAATAAGATTGTGTTATCCTTGGCAAGGATGAGGACAGGAGATTATTTCTGTTGAGAATTCCAGAAATCCTATGACTTCCTCAGTTCTTCAGTTACACTAACCTTTTTTTTTTAATCCCTAAAGCCTGGTTATCAGTGATAAAATACCTTTTTTAAAGAGCTTTTCCCCCATTTTGTTTAATACTTCCTACTGACAACTTCCTTTCCTTAAATATGAATGCCCTGGTGGTTGTACTGCCTGATTTGGCCTCAGAGGAAAAACTCATTGCTCAGTTACAGCTTACAACAGACATTTATTTAACATTTGCACTGTGCAGTACAGCATACAAGTCTAGCCAAAGAAGTGTGACCGTGGTCAGAGACTATCACGAGTCAAACCCAGAGACAGTCTAAACATGTGGTAAGTCAGATCCTAGAACTGCAGTGTCAGAAGGGACCTCAGATGTCATCTAGTCTAACTCCTTGCTCAATGCAAAATCTGCAGTGCAGGATACAACTACAGCATCCTTGACAGATGTATATCCAGTCTTCACTTACATATTTCCATATTTTAAAAATATTTGTAATGATACTATTCCAAACACCACAGCCACTCCCCAGACAAGAAAAGGGCAAGGAAATACATACACTACAAAGAAAAGTTTCAGATGCCATTGTTTACAGTCATGTAATGGAAATTTCATAAAGTGGGCTAAATACTTCAATCCTTGTTTCATCTTCTTTCTTTACATGTCTGCAAAATCCAGACTAATTTTGTGCTGTATTAATAATCTTCTCTTATCTCCTGGGTAACAAATGTTACCATAGAAGATTTCGGTTTTTAAAAATCTAGAATGTTTTTCGCTCTATTGTTAGATCTGCTCTCTGCCCCCCGCCCCCACTGGCCACATATAAAAAGCATTTTTATACAGTATAGTGAAATGTTTTCACAAGAGCTTTCAGGGGCATGAAAAACAGACATAATATAGCATTCAGGAACTGCCAGTGTAGAAGGGGTTTTTTTGTCTCAAGACATTGCATAAGAGCGTATAAAACTCTGTTATTATTGTGTAATCCACTTCAGAAATTAAATGTAAATATTTGAAGAGGCTTGACATTTCACATTCTGAGAAAAGTAACTCTGCCTACACCTTCATTGGATTTCATTACACAACCTTTCCCCATCCTCAAAGCTTTTCTCCAAGACAGATTTAAATACACCCACACAAATTTTCATCAGCCACAACCATTCTTGCCTTCTTCCCACATAAGATACAAGGGGGGGGGGAACCCTCATTGGGCCTAGGTAATTCCACAACATCATCAGAAAAGAGGGTCTCTGTATCAAGCTAAAAGAATCCACAGTAGCAAATGCACCATTATTGCCTGATATCCAACACATATTCAAGAGTGCCGCTCTCCAGAAAGGAAGATGTATAGTCCTTGGCAGGATTCCTGTTTCTGAAAGGGGCTGGACCAATTGTCACCATCAATACTATGGGCTAGTTCAGAAAACCACTACTGCATACAGAAGAGTTATTTCTGCACAGCATTCGAAATTAGCCAGGCGCCAGGAGCATTTTGCACCTGGCTATTGGCCATTTGCGATCAAGTGAAGAGGCCCGGGCACCAGGATGACGCCTGACATCTCCACCACCTGGAGGTGCATGCCTGGGGATCATTGGATCTTGATTATTTTCACACACTAACAACACATCCTGTGGTATTCTAGCCATTGTATTTTATCTTCACAATCAGAATGAATCTTAGGAACCTTGGTTTAAGGAGCCATTTGGTGCCTAGCTTATTTATCTAACACCGTCTCTGGTGCATGGTATGCTGCTGGTGGCCACATAGAACTCTTCAGCCAGGACCCACCACCATGAGAATCACAGTGATGTGTGTACAGAGATCAGTCATCATTAAGAGACCGCCTCTACGTGACCCTAGCAGTGGTGACATATGCTCCCATGGTCCTCACATGTGAGGTGCTATATCAAAGTCACCTCTATGGGAGGAATTCAATGCCATGCTCTTCTGACTGCTCCATCAGGTGCCAACTTGAATAAAATATTGGGGGAGGGGAGCAGGTACGCCCTTCTCTGCATAATCAATAAGAAGACATGGCACATGCACACCATGTGAATGGCAATGCCCATCAACTTTGGGGTGCTCAGCCCCCTCAAATATTTTATGGGGCGCTCCGAAGGGACCTCAGCCCCCAGGAGTTGGCTCCTATGCATCAGGGTAAACATTTCTGCTTGCTAGCCAGAATGATTCCCCCTCTCCTCCTCCTCCACTCCACGTTGCACTGTTCTGGGGGTTCTCCTAACATTCCAGAAATGATTGGGAGCAGGTGCAGGAGGAGAGGGTGCAAACCCCATTGCACTAATGGGAGCCCTTGTGCTGACGTTCGCTAGCATGCTGGGTTAGTTGAATCCTGGCCTATGTTTCTGTACTGAGTATAAATGGCTGACTGAGAGCCAGTGAGCAGAAACTCAACTCATATAAGATATAGTCAACAGGTGGGCCTTATGTCCAGATAACTAGTGTTCAACCTGTTCACTGGGGGTTGCTCTACCCCAAAGATCGATACTGGGGGATGCTCACTGATCCATCTTTATAACTAGAGGGGAAAAGTAGTCTGTAACCCCCAGGACACTGAGACCTGGCTGCAATTCTACCTGGATAGCAAGAGTCTTGCTTCATTGATCTACACCCTAGTAGTCTCCCAAATGAAATACTGACTTTAAAACTAGTCTGGAAATTACCAGAACATGGCTAAAAGTCTGCCCAATATAATCACATCAGGGCAGTAATTATCCATTCGTTGGCTCACACGCCATTTATGGGCCCAATTCAAGATGATAGTTCAGAAACTTGGGTACATGGAAGTCCATCTCACTGCATACCGTATTTTTCGCTCTATAAGACGCACCAGACCTCAAGACGCACCTAGTTTTTGGAGGAGAAAAACAAGAAAAAAAAATATTCTGAATCTCAGAAGCCAGAACAGCAAGCAATCCCTCTTGCTGTTCTGGCTTCTGTCATAGCTGCGCAGCCTGCATTCACTCCATAAGACGCACACACATTTCCCCTTACTTTTTAGGAGGGAAAAAGTGAGTCTTATAGAGCAAAAAATATGGTACATACCCACCTGACATTAAGACCCTTCAAGGTTTTTCTCCAAACACTCCTGCAAAGTGACTACAGGACAGAAGCACTCCAGCTGCAGACTACCCTCCCGAGAGAGGTTCATTTACTTTGGTATCAGTTTAACACTAAGCAATGATCTTTTTTTATTTTTATCAGTTCTGAATCTGAGCCGCTTTACCCTCTGCAACAATTTTCTATGCTGGTTCTATACTAATGGTTTTATAAGAAAAAGGATAGCAGGAAGGCAAGGCCTTAGATATAAGCCACAAATGATAGCAGCACATGAGAAGGTCAAAACACAACAGTTAATGTTATCTTGCCCCTGCAACATTCAGAGTGCATGACATGGGTGAATAATTTCTGTAGAGTAAGCAGTCCCACCAAAGCAAAAAACAACAACCAAACACAGAACAACTACTCCTATACTATCAATCAGGGAGATAAAAGGGAGAGGAAAGAAAAGTTCTACAAGCTATTTAAATTGGAAAAGAAGTGTGCAGCTGGAATCCTACACCCATTTTAATTGTTAGATGAGCAGATATATAAGCTAATCACCAAATGGGACCATAAACCTGAGTTGCAGTTGCCACAATGGAATGTCTAGGCCCCATATCCCCCCACAATGGGATTTGTTGTTGTTGTTGATGATGATTTCATTTCTATATCGCTATAACAAGTCTCAAAGTGGTTTACAACACATTAAAACATCAAACAGAACAACCTAGAATAAAACAAATATTTCAGATCCTTCTCTAAGTGACATTTTGCTTTCCCCGGTCATCAGCCTGGCATCCAGAGATCTCCACGTGGTTGTGATTGGACCAGCGCCAGTCACAAAACACGCCTGGTGGTGGGCTAATTTCTAACACTGCCCACTTACACGAGAATAAATCCCATTAAATTTCATGGGACATAGTTGTGAATAAAGAAGTACAAGGCTGCACTGTAAACTGAAAATTAAAGAAAGAAAGGAATATATCTAGATAATTCTGTACAGATGTAAGGGCAATACCCAACGCTTTATGAGTGGACACAATAGGACTTCCCCTTTCTTCTAGTCTGTGCCTAAAAATGTACTCTGAGAGGTCCCCCAATGCACAAAAGCGGGTCTGGGGATGCTGTAAACTGGTGAGTAGGGAAAAGAGGAAATCCCATTGCATGGGCAGGTCCATTCTGCAAGTGGGTTGAGAGCTTTGGCTGGTGTGAAAAACATGGCCAAAAGTCAAATTTAATTAGATTTCGTTTTGCAGGTTTATTAAACTGTGAACGCATTATCTGTTAGAAGTATTCAGTTCCCTCAAGCCCTTTAATGGTTTTTTTTTGGGGGGGGAGATTAACCCCCCCCCCAAAAAAAAACCCTCAAACCAATCAACCAGACTTTGAATTGGTAAATAAAGCTCCCTAAACTTTACACACTTAGGTAATTTCTTCTAAACTATTAAATAATCCATCAAGTCAATCTATTCCCCCATTCACCAAGGAATAGTAATAGGGATTGTTTCTCATATTACACTTGAAAGACACAGGTGCATTGGGAGTCACACCAACATTAAAATGTCTATGAAAACACAGTGTAAGAGCTTAACCATGTGCTTTTGTCTTTAAGAGAAGAGGCATACCAGAATGCCAGAGGGACTTTCTGAGACAGGACATTTTATCTCAGAGACCAATGCACAGACAGGACTTCTGATTAACTGTTAGCCTGGGGAACAATTCCTATGAATCAATGTCGAATATAATGTGGAAAAACAAACGAAGTCACATCTCTACTGACTAGTAAAAGCCAGCATTCAGTTACTTTAATTTGACACATCTGGCTACAGAATAATCTTTCTGCAAGGATGTGACTGGAAGAGGCAAAGGCAGGTAGGAATAATGAGATGGCGAAGGGAATAAGTCAACTTGCCGCACCAAGACTGTTAACGAAAAACAAGTTGCTACAATATGATGCAACATTCCCTGTATGAACATGGCTGTGAGATGAATATAAAAATAAAGGAGTATAACAGCTTGGAAGAGTTAAGCATCCAAACAAATGAACAGAGACAATTAGACATGCTTTTCAACCAAAAACACATATTTTGAAAGCCTGCAGATTTTCAGAGGCAAGTTCAAAGTTTGGCGAACTCTGCTAACACAAAGATATTCTTGTTTTAGACACAATTGATGTTCTTGGATATTCACAGAAACCCAAACACATGGCCATAACCAAAATAAACCACTGCTTCATTTTAAAAGCTGGCGGAAGGAAAGGAAAGTTGCCAGAAAAAGCAAAGATCGGAACAATTAAAAACGTGGTGTTAGCAACATCCACTTCCTGTACAGATGTACCTGAATACCGTGTTGAACACTAAAAAGCTTGTTCTTATCAATTATGAGCTAGGGGTTCAGACTTTAGCACGGGGAGGGGGGATCAGCCCCAAATGAAGGTCAAATGAGGCAAGCATATGGTTCTCTGTCTGTGCATTGCTTTCAAACAATAAGGATAATTAAGTCCATGATCTGGATGGAAAGATAAGTCCTTTACTACAGTTCCGTGTTGAGGATTTGTTTCCTTATATGTTGCTGCTGTTATTATTAAATTTGTATACCACCCTTCATCCAAAGATCACAGGGCAGTTCACAACATCAAAATCCAAAATGAAAACAAAAAATACATAATAAATAAAACAAAAACAAGCCAATGACCCCCTCTCCCACAATGTAGCATGTTTAACCAGCCAAAAGGCCTGGTTATAGAGCAACATTTTTGCTTGGTGCCTAAAGATATGTACTGAAAGTTCCAGGTGAGATCAGCAAGCTAATTTACAGCTCTGCTTCTTTGATCAAAACCTGGCTATTCGTTTTGCATTTTGGCACTGGGGATGTATAGTATATGCGAACAGATTTTGCCAGTGGTCCCAACAAGAAGATAAAATCATCAACAACAACATTCCTGCATTCAGCAGGGATCACAATGAATTTCCAGATATGCTGCTGCTTCTGCAGTGGAAAATATTGGAGACTGAAGTCAATAAAATGAATAGGCTCTATTCAGCATGGTAACTAGGCAAATACAATCTGAGTGCATACATCATCCATATCTTGTATAAAATTTTAGATCACCTTTTCAACTAAAACAGTCATTCTTATGATTGTAATTAACCCATTCTTTCCAGCAGTAGGGGAAAAGGGGGTGATCTACCTACACCCAGCCTTATCTTTAATGCTTCTAGACAGAAGGCTCCTATCCACTAATTGTTATTCCATTGCAACCTCCAGCAGAATTGCATTTGATTTTTCATGGTTGAATTTTTTTTTGGGGGGGTGTCACTTTTCCTTCCTATGTTCCATTTATATCTGTGGGCATGACATGGGTGAGAGGGAGGTGCTGTTCACCATTTAAAAAAACTTTTTGAAAACTTTTTTTGCTTAAATTTTCAAGATTTATTTTAAACAGTGATCAAGCAAAATTGATGTTTTGGTTTGGGTAAGATATGTTGACTAGGGGAGGAGTTGCTAAAATTGCAATGGCCAGAAAAGCAGCAGGGTTTTTTTAAAAGAAAAGAAAAGAAAAGAAAAGAACCCCAAATATTTATTTCATTAGTGCAATTTTTCTCTCATTTAAGAACTATTGTGCAAATGGGGGGGGGGGTTAAGAGAGAGAAGCGTTTTAGGGCCAATTAACTACAAAAGCAATTAAAACAAATAGGGTAATAAGAGAACACCCACCAGAAACGTAATGATGAAGGTGAGTCTAGTGGCAAAAGATTTAATCTGCCTGATATCCCTTAGGCCAGAGACAAGTAGAATACTTCTAAGGGAATTTATACCTACAGATACTGTAAGACTGTTCTTCTCAAGAAGTTGGACTTTCTAAGTTCTGACAAGATGGAGCAATACCAGACAGTTACTGGATCATTATATGAATGAATGAAAGAATGAATGCCTCAAAAAATGTGAGAAATTTAAACATGTCAGTTTCACACTAGGGCTTCAATCTACCGTATTTTTCACCCTATAGGGCGCATCGGCCCATAGGGCGCACCTAGTTTTTTTTGGGGGGGGGAATAAAGAAAAAAATTTTTATCTCCCCCCCAGGCGGGGGCTGGGGCGGGGGAAGCCCGAGCTTCCCCAGCCCCCAGAACAGGCTGCTATCCGCAAGCCTTGGGAGACCAGCAGAACTTCCCGCCGGGCTCCCTAGGCTTGCGGATAGCTTCCTGAAGCCTGGAGAGTGAGAGGGGTCGGTGCGCACCAACCCCTCTCGCTCTCCAGGCTTCAGTGAAAGCCTGCATTCGCCCCATAGGACGCACACACATTTCCCCTTCATTTTTGGAGGGGAAAAAGTGCGTCCTATAGGGCGAAAAATACGGTAAACAAAGCTGCAAGGGATTATGGTCTAGTGTGAAAGCACTATTTGAGAAGGATGAGCAATCACAAGGGCAGGGAGGTGGGTGTGATGAAGATAGTCTAGATCAGGTTTGAGGATTCTGTGCCCTCCAAATGTTGCTGGACTCCTTGAGTTGTCCATCCACCTTGAACATTGGCTAGGCTCTAGTGCTTTTTTCCTAGAAAAAGAGGTGCTGGTACTGCGTACCCTTAAGTACCCCTCCCTTTTAAAAAAAAGCACTGATGGGGTCACTGGAGCTGATGGGAGTTAGAGTCCAACAATATTTGGAGTGTACTTGTTCCCCACCAGTAATCTAACAGAAAAATTAAGTTGGAATGCAATGTAGCTTTACTGGACAGTAGCCTTACAGTCATTGCAGAGTCACCTTCCTGGAATTGTGCTGCAATGTGCCTTTTAAGCATGGGAAGTTTATTTGGGGGGAAACAAAGGAAGGAACTAGGATCATCCCATCTACACATGGGACCTTGTTCTATCACCAGGAAGGTGACTGTGCAATAAACAGGAAGGCAGCCATGCAGATTACACAGCTTGAGCCGTCTTCCCCCCCAAAAGGAGAACAGTGCCAAACCTACCAATATTTTAATAAGTTATGCAGAGAGGGAGCCGCAGCCCAAGATAGGAAAGGAGGTGGTATGGGAACACTTAGCTACTTTAGACAAATTCAAATCTCCAGGGCCCAGTGAGCTGCATCCAAGAGAACTAAAGGAATTTGCAGATGTAATCTCAGAGCCTCTGTCTATAGTCTTAAAGAATTATTAAGAGAACAAGTGAGGTCCCCATCTTCAAAAGATGGGGGAAGGACAGAGGCAACTACTGACTAGTCTACTTGACGCTGATACCAGGAAAGGTCCTGGAACAGCTGCACACCTCCAACAGCAGTGGTGCAGCTGAATCCTGTAGTCAAAAATAGGCGATCTTACACCCACATATTCTACTGCATCTTATCTTACTATTTTTTTAAATATATCATAAACTTGTATACACAATATACAAGTAATAAAATTATGGCACGTTGGAGTACAGTATACAATCCACTGAGACTTGAGATATAGGTGGTCATCAAACAATAAGACATTAATAACCACGTACTACAGAAGTACTAGACTTACCTGTATCAGCATTACCCAAACACTTGGGCTATTACAGAATAGCTGCAACTTTGAGTATATGTCCCCTTCCCGCTAAATGACCAACAACTGAGCCCCTTGAGTTATACAATTTATGTAATATCAAATTGCAAAGACAGCCATGTCAGCTCTTACAATGTTTGTGATAGACAGCTGACTTGAATACAAAGTTTTGACTAGTTAAAAACTTTTCCAAAAATTAATGTTTTATTTTTTTTTTTAAAGCAATTTATTGGATTTTACAATAAGAATAAGTGTAATAAACAATATAACATTCGTCTTAACATAATTTCACATTTTCTTTGGACTTCCTCACACCTCCCGCTCCCACCTTCATCATTATAACATTTTGTCAGCAATTTATCATCTTATTTAAGTTCTTATATCTCTTTGGTATTTCATAATCTTAAAGTTCTCATAAAGAGTTAAACTTTCACAGTTTTTCTTACTTTCTTAAAAACTTCTAAGTTAAGTGGTGCTCAGTTATTTAGTCTAGCATCTTATTCAGCATTCAGTCAAATCACAATGTTTTTGTAGATAGTTCTTAAATTTCTTCCAATCCTCCTCGATTCTCTCTTCTCCCAGGTCACGGATTCTGCCAGTCATTTCAGCCAGTTGCATATAGTCTATCAGTTGCATCTGCCATTCTTCCAGTGTGGGTAGATCTTGAGTTTTCCAATGTTTTGCGAGTAGTATCCTTGCTGCTGTTGTTGCATACATAAAAATGTCTGGTCCTTCTTTGCCACCCCTTGGCTGACAATACCCAAAAGGAAAGCCTCTGGTTTCTTAGTGAAAGTATATTTAAATACCTTTTTCAATTCATTATAAATCATTTCCCAGAACGCCTTCACTTTAGGGCAGGTCCACCAGAGGTGAAAGAACGTTCCTTCACACTCTTTGCATTTCCAGCACTTGTTATCAGACAGGTGGTAAATTTTTGCGAGTTTGACTGGGGTCATATACCATCTATAAATCATTTTCATTACATTTTCTTTCAAAGCATTACATGCAGTAAATTTCAATCCATTACTCCACAGCCTTTCCCAGTCCTCAATCATAATATTATGCCCAATATCCTGTGCCCACCTTATCATAGCCGATTTGACCATTTCATCTTGTGTATTCCATTCCAACAGCAAGTTATACATCCTTGAAAGTATCTTAGTCTTTGATTCTAACAATTCTGTTTCTAATTTCGATTTCTCCACCTGGAACCCTAGTTTCTTATCATTTTTAAAAACTTCTTTAATCTGAGCATAGTGTAACCAATCTCGCACTTTGTCTTTCATTTTCTCCAAACTCTGCAATTTCCAATTGTCTCCATCTTTTTCTAGTATTTCCCAATATTTCAAAAATTAATGTTTTAAAGCAAATACTTTGCAGAAGCTAACTCGGTTTTTCAGTTTTGGTTCTTGCAATGCACATGCAGGGGGTTGCCACATCTATCCTATTTTATTTGAAAGCCTTTGAATAGTGTTAAAATGGGATTTGGGCCACAGGCTTTAGTGGTAAATAATTTAGCATCAGGATATCTCAAGCCCTAATTTGGGACTTACAGGACCATCATTACATATAATGTATCACTGCACTGAAGAGACATTTTGACCTGAAAAAACTGCGGAGAAGAGAACGATAAGACGACAATGCAATTATCCTCCAGATGAAACTCTAATCAGGTAGTACAGTTCATTTAATTTACACAGAGCCATCTGTCACCAGTAACATTTCTCACCTAATTAGTAACCACTATTCTCTCAATCGGTTTGCACATGGAATGTGTTTTACTTACATCAAGCTATCAGCTTTGGATTGCATTTTCAAACAGCTTCAAAATCTTAACCAGCTAATATTCCTTAAAAAGTATTTCAATTACACACAAATGAAAATGTTTGCATGGTGTGCTAAGCCAAACTATGGCTTTGTGAGACAATGCAAATGGCTGGGCTCTCACAGATAGAAAAGAGCTCTCACAACCACTTTGTTCCTTTTTACTGCTGCACTGCATTAGCAAAATTTTGGCTTGGTGTGTCATCTGAACCAGGATTCACAGTTAAGCTCTCGCTTCACTAACCAAGGTTTGATACAAAACACAACAGAAGCATACATCGGAAGGATGATATGTGAAACAAATGCACATTTGCAGCGTAAAAACTGATTCTCCAGAAGGACAGGAGTGGCGGAGCAACTGTGGGTGTTCCTGAATGCTAGTGGGTGAATTCAGATTATTGCATTAGTAATTGCGATACTTAGAAGAATGGGAACTTTTTACAAATTACTTGAAAAGACAACAAAATGAATCGGACTCCTTGGCAGGTTTTGAATAAGAAAACACAAATTTATTGATTGTTAACATAGTCGATAGATAATATAAGAAGATATACAATTTTACAGTATGCAGAGAACAATATAAGTTGAGAAATCAGAGAGAGGACCTGAGGGAAGTCTCGGAGGGGGAGGGTTTGATGGGGAGGTGGGGGGAAAGGGGGGGAAATAATGAATATGAGATGTTTTGACATTTTGTTATCTTGAAATTATTAATAAAAAAAAAAGTAATTGCGATACTTAGGACCAGTTTCCCATACTTGGGTCTCCAGCTGTTTTTGGACTACAATTCCCATCATCCCTGACCACTGGCCCTGCTAGCTAGGGATGATGGGCACTGTAGTCCAACAACAGATGGGAGACCCAAGTTTGGGAAACCCTGCTGTGGTTATTTGCTCCAGAAAACTATAGAATACTGAAAACAAGATCACATGCTCCACATGAAAGAAGCCTGTGAAACACCCTGGGCACAGGAGGAGAAAAAAGAAGGCACACCACATGCTGCCGGATTCTCCATCACTTTGGCTCTCCCTTCTCCGAATTGTTTCCCCAATATATCATCTTTGGTACCAAAGCAAACAGCAGAAGCTTCCCTAAACAGTCATCCAGCCATGGGACCTCTTGCCAAACTCAGGCTGCCTCCACATCCCAATATATCTGCTTCTTCTCTTCCGCTTCACTCTTCCTGCCTCCTAGCCCTCCACTGTGATGCAATTTCTCCCCTTCTGCCAACTTGAGCTGCCACTACCGTCACCATAGCTACCCTTCTCCTCATCTCTTATTGTGACAAATTCTCTTCAGATAATGTCTGTGACCATTTCAAGGTATCAAAGCATCGTAGCCAAAGCATAGCTGTCAACTTTCAGATGTGAAAATAATGCATCAGCAGCCTCGAAAATAAGGGATCAGCAGCCTCACCTGTCCCGGGGACAGTCTACGGGATATCTAACAATCCGGGATAGCAGCGGGAAATGGCACTGGAATAAAGGAATTTCCCGCAAAAAAAGGGAAGGTTGACAGCTATGAGCCAAAGGTGGAATATGCACACTCAACCATTTCTTAGCTGACTATACACATCACATGTATGTGTGTGTGTACCTTAGACCATGGTACCCAATAAGCTGATTTGTTGTTTGTTAGGCAGATCAAAAGGGTCCATGAATGTGGCTGCCAGAAGCAAATCAAAACTCCTTCCAGAAGCCTCTTGCCCTCAAGCTCAGGAAGTGACACATATGCATAGCGAAAAGGGCCCTAGCCCTCCCACTGAGTTATCCTTCACACACAAATAGTTCATAGAGTGGGGTGTCAGTCTTGCACCATATTGAGTTCTGGGAGGTAGTCTACAACTACATCTGACATCCCCAAAGCCTGGAAACAGGTGAAACATGGCCGCCTCCTCTCCCTTGAGTCCTCTGTATATGCCAGTAGAATGAGGGGTTTGGGACACTGTCTCAGGAGGAACATGAATAATTAAGGTCGAAGTGTAGAGCCTACAAAGTCAGCTTACAAATACAAGTAGCATCTGAATAGTCAACAGATGTGCACAGTATATCATATTAGAAGGTGTGTGTGTGTGTGTGTGTGTATAGTGCTAACTGTATGCATCAAATGACACACTGGAAACCAGATGTGGATTTTCACCAAAGGAGTCCCCCTGGAGATCATTTCCTCCAGCATTCATTGCTCAATGACTGCTTGCATCAGCAGCGCCTTTTAAAATGGTGAACACAATGGGCAAAGGAGGAATCAGCCAACTGTACTTTGAGGCAGGATATGACAGAACACAAGAGCCCTCTGAAGAGACAGACACATTAGCCACATGCCTTTATCATCTTCCCCAATGTTGGAAAGGCAACTTTTGCAGCAGGTCTTCTCTACTCACGGAAGCTCTCTGTGTGATGTAGAACATGGGTAGGCAAACTAAGGCCCAGGGGCTGGATCCGGCCCAATCGACTTCTCATTCCGGCCCATGGACAGTCTGGGAATCAGCATGTTTTTACATGAGTAGAATATGTGCTTTTATTTAAAATGCATCTCTGGGTTATTTGTGGGGCACAGGAATTCATTATTATTATTTTCTTTTTCAAAATATAGTCTGGCTCCCCACAAGGTTTGAGGGACAGTGGATCAGCCCCCTACTGAAAAAGTTTGCTGACCCCTGGTGTAGCATAGCAGATTCCCCCCACTGCCATAGTTCATTTCCCAGCACTGGGTGACAATGAAGATGGTGACGAGGGTGTTGTAGAGGGGAGGGCAGGGACTACAAGCTGTTCCCCCTCAAGTGATGGTAATCATATAGGGAGAAGCAAACAACTGAAGAGAGCTCACATCATTTACCACTTCCAGGAAGAGCACAACCCAGGTGACCAAAATTTAAGCAGACAGAGAGAAGCTGGGATATATAATGGGCCCTATAGAGTGCTCATAGGCATAGCAGTTAACAAGATTGGATGTAAGGAACCATTATTACTGGTTATTTGGTCAACACAGGGGTCTGTTCCATTTCCAGTTTTAAAAGGTCCACATAAGCACTGGTGTGTTGCTGCTTGACACATATAACTGCTGTAGTGGATAAGTACCAAAGATTTTAAAAGATATGTGTATTACCCTAGAAAGAGCAGCAACAGGAACAGGGCTTTCAGCAACTGAATTATGTGTATAGATGCAGCTATGGAAACCACTTCGTAAACACAATTTCTACATAGTTAAAAAAAAACCCCACAAAAACAGGCCTTTAAAACCTGAAACCAGAACTAAGCTCGTAGAGAGGGGTGACCTAGTGTACTACACCGAAAGGATGGCTTTCATTTTGAATGCAATTTAGCATCTATTGTACTGCTTGTTGACAGGATTACAGTGGAACCTCGGGTTGTGGATGTAATCTGTGATGGAGGCACGTCCACAACTCGCAGTGCTGGGCCTGTGCATGCGCCTGACGCATTTTGGCGCTTCTGCCCATGTGCAAGCGGCGAAACCCGGAAGTAACCCTTTCCAGAACTTCCAGGTTTCCCGCAGTCCGCAACCTGAAAACATGTAACCCGAAGCATCTGTAACCTGAGGTACCACTGTATTTGTCACGGTCCGGTTCACGGGTGATCAAAGTCCCGGCAGGGGACGTCAGGACCAGGGGCAAGATGGTGGGGTGGGAGCAGGAACGGGGGCCCGGAAGCCAGGAGTCAGGAAGCCAAGAGTCCAAGGGTCAGAGAGCCGGGAGTCAAGAAGCCAAGGGTCCGAGGATCAAGAAGCAGGGAGTCAAGAAGCCGAGGTTCAAGGATCAGGAAGCAAGAAGCCAAACACAGCAAGGCAGGAAGTGTGTTGCTGTGGCAAAGAGCCGAAGGGAAATGCTGACCTTATATCCCTTCCCAGCTCTTGCCACCAGGTGCTGTGAGTTACCAATTGCCTCACCTGTGAGGCCGCGCCTTGCTGCTTCAGAACAAACTTAGGAAGGCCCCAGTCCTGTTAAGTCCTATTGGTCACAGGGCCTGGCTCCTGCATGCACACCTGGCAGTATTCCGAAATAAGTTACCCGCCTAAAAACAATTAAGCATTGACACGAGCCTAAGTTATGGAAAAAGACTAACAAGGCATTCAACTTTAAACCTGAGTTGCAAATAACTTATGGTCATAATCAATTACTTGTGAACCTAGGGTCATTTTCTGCCCTGTGGGTGATATTGTTAAGTGTAAGAAACACAACTTTCATGAACTGAATTAACCTGCTGCACTTTGTCAGATCTTAAAGTAACAGACTATTTAGGCCATCTGATTTGCATGCAGCATGGGATACAAATATCACACTCATACATACTGTACATTTAGGCATGCAAGCTACATATAAGTAGTTGCCTCTTGGAAGAAGCAATGCTAAGAGATACAAATGTTGCAAGGTTGATAATAAGGAGAGGAAAATAGCTCTTTGACTAAAGAGATGAAAGTCAGAAGCAGGCAAATCCTGCTAAAACAGAAGTGCGTGAATGCGATATTAAATAGTCTCTAGAGAATGAGCAAGAGTTTTCAGTGAGGCATGCCCTCTCTTATTAACTGTGTTTATTTTGTGATTTGCCTAAATAAACTCCAAGCGAAATAAATTTTAACCTGCACAGATTATAGTAAATGTTTTCAGTTTTATCAAGAAAAAAATTCAGAATCACCTGGCCTGAAGTGCAGACGGCAGACTGACATGCGACTCAAATAAAAGGCTTAAAAGCTACATGAATAAATTAACGCTACTGAATGAAATGGACCGTGGAAGCTAGAAAACATTTAAGATTTTCAAATATACTAAAAACATCAGTCAAGAGGCAGCATTTATGTATTCCCAAATGGTCTCTATTTATAAAGAGACCATCTTGTCTGTAAGTCCTGAAAGACTTGTTCCTGCCTTGCAGGCGATTTTCCACCTGGCCGATCAACGTTACAGTATTTCATGTCCCCTTCGAAAAGCAGTTTTTCCTGCTCTCAGTCCAATTCTATACATTTTTACTTGCAATGCAAACTTTGCTCTGCTCAAGGGGACATGACCCCAGGAATACTTACACAGATATAACACTGATAAATGGGCAGAGCAAGAAGCAGGAAGCACATCTCCAAAGACATCCCCTGATATATAAATCAGTCTTTAGTTTCAAAGGCAGCAGTTCTAATACATATGTACATGAAGCTACCTTGTACCAATGGTCCACTGGCCCCAGAACGGTGTTCTATGGCAGGCACAGTTTCTCCCAGGTGTATGAGAGAGATCTTTCCTACCACTTCCCTATACTGAACTTTACAAGCACAAATAATGTCTGGCTTGCAATGCACACACAAATAAAATAAAATCCTATTATATTTCCTTTGAAATCTGCCAAATCAGCAACAGTAGAATGGGTCAACATGACTGAACCTCTGGCACTGTCATAGGGAACAGCACTGGAACATCTACCAAAGGGGGAGGAAACTGAGCAGTTACGAGTGTCAATCAATTCATTAGCACTAATCTCTCTCTCACACACACCCTACACACAATTTTTTGTTTACCAGCACTATTTTCTGTGGGAAGTAATTTATTTGGCCCTTCTAAAATGTTACTTATGTATTTTTAATTTTAAAAACATTTTAAGTGGAGGGGATCCCAACTTTATTTTAAAACAGTTTCCCAGCAATTAACCAACAAAATTAGAATGCTGTGAGTATCTTTCATAAAAGAATACTGTGGATTAGTCTATTGGCCTTGTGTACCCTACCACTAAACAGGCCAAAGACATAATTCTCTGAATAATTACTGCAGCTCAGAATTGTAGTTACTTTGGGATTCTTCCCCCCCCTCTCCACCATGTGGAACCAAGATCAATAGTGCAGTACCATACCTTGGTCGTTGCAAACTTAAATAAACTTTAAATTATTTCCTTGTAGGGTTGAGAGAACTATCTGAACATAAATCAAATAAAAAGCAGCAATTCATTCCACTCCGGGGGTCCAACTTGAATGAAATAAAATGACATGGTGCATGCACACCATATGAGTGGCAATGCCCATCAACTGGGAGGGCAGGCCCCTCAAATATTTTCTAGGGTGCCTAAAGGGACCTCGGCCCCTAGGAGTTGGCTCCTATGATTGCACTCTATTTAAAAAGAAAGTAAAAAAAGCTGGAGACCTACAAATGTCAGGTGTGCACTGACCCACAGAGAGAGAAAAAACTGCAAACTAATACTGTACTCTTCATTCTCTCCTTCTATGGTTAGATTTATCAGAAATCTGGATGTGGTCTGCTCTGCATTGTGTGTGGGGGGGGGGTTAAGCCCTCAAATGCAGCGCCAAATTTGCAGACAGAAACAGTCAACATACTATTTCTGAAATTGGTCTAAAATAAGGATGGAGAATCTATGGCCCTCCAGATATTAGACTCCAACTCCCATCAGCCCCATCATGGCTAATTGGATGATGGGGGTTGTTTTATCACAAAAACTGGATTCCCCACCTCACAACATGTCCACACAATCTTTTAAAAAAACACACACACAACCCTAAATTATATTAACAAACATAGACAAAGTTATGCATTTCTTTTCAAGGAAAAAAATTCCACTTACCTTTCCCATTCTGCCATGCTGTGTACCAAGACAAACTGAGGAAAGATGTGATGAAAATTAATGCAGTGGCCACAGTCCCATTTCGGAGCCTCATCTCATTTCAACATGGTTTGTATTTGGCCAACAGTCAGGACTTGAGTTTCGTCTGTTGGCTTGAAGCCCACTTATTCCAGCGCTAGCACGGCATAGCCAGAAGCAAAAGGAGTATGTGGCATTGTCATTTCCAAATCATTGTGCAACCTGCAGAGCAGACGTATCGCTGGAGAATGACAAACTCTCAGAAGCTTTTGACGAGTTTGCCCTTCATTCTTTGTTCTTCTACTCCCTAAGCATAAAGGGGAAACAGTTTCAGTCTAAAAATGAAGAGAAGTCTTGTAGTAAACCGAAGCACATCACAGAACAGAGAAGAGACTGAGGGAACTGCAAATGACAGAGCCTCAAACCTCCCATCTGCCATTATCTTAGTAAGAGGCCTTGGGCAAGCCACATCTTCTCAGCCTTAACACCTACCCCACTACTCTCTTGTAGATTTACATTATCTCCAATTTACAAGACTATTTTATGCAGTGCTCTTTTTTTTTAAGTTCTCTTAGAATGTCAATGGTGCCCACCTGAAAGGTGCCAGCACCCACCTGAGAGGTGCTGGAACTGAGTTCCACTATGTTCCGTCTGGGGGAAAAAATCCCCGTCTTTATGGATTACTGGCAACATACATTAATTGTTTGAACATTCATGTAGTGTAATCCTATACATGGGTGGGGTGGAGTACTTGTGATCCTCCAGGTATCACTGGGCAGCTCAGACTCCTACAAGGTCCAGCCAACTTGCTGACACATTTACATGCCAGCTTGTTAACACATTTCTCTCATCTCAACCCCCCCTTCATCTCACAGCCACCCTTCTCCTTTCAACGGTTGCTTTTCAGCTAACTCACTCTGCCACTCACTTAAACAAAATCACTTTTCTGTAGTCAATCGCTACTGCGTTCATTCCATCAACAGGTGCTTTTGTCCTAGTAGGTGTGCTTAAATTTGCAGCCTAAAGTGTTCGAAACATATTGTACACTTGAAGTGGTAACTATAGCACGTGAAAAGCTGAGAGAAAGTTAAAACATTTGAAACGTCAGAAGTTGTTACTGTTTCACAAATGCTTCTGAGATTCATGGTTACATGTAGCTGACATTCGTTTTGATCAAGGGAAGCCTGCAGGATCAGTTCCCAAATGCACCAAGGAAGGGTTACGTTCTGCATCGTGTGCTTGTACCTAGTAGATCTAGGCAGGATTCAATCTTCATTCATGCCCTTGAAGACCTTTTCAATAGAGTTTTATCTAAAATAGCTTGTCTAAAAGGTAGAGAGAGAACGACATACAGGTTCACGTTACCCCAATCAGTAGGTCAGTGCCGTCAACTTTAACGGCACGGCACTCATAGTTTACAGCAGTACACAAGAATCTGGTCACAGGCCTAAGGTGGTTATGGCCCACTGTAACTGGGAGAACTGCGCTGCTTCCTATAACTTCACCAAATTATTTGCGAAACCTAATCATAGCCCCCCCCCCGCAAAAAAGCGATGGGCAAAGTTAAAGTTGGTGGCAGCATGGATTAGCAAATCAAACACCCATTGCTGGGCACATGCCCAAGCCCACACATACGCAGCATGAAGCTAACCAGCACTTACAATGGAAAGGAGACAGATGGGGAAACAAGATATAAAGATGCAGCACACCTAACTGTGGCACCTCAGTGCAGTAACAGCAGCAGAGGCATATACTGTAGTTAAATTAAAACCATTTAAGTACAAGGAATATTAACCATATTGGTTCTATTTTAGATGAAAAAACTAGGGCAGAAGTTATCTGGAATTAATTGACCCTGGACATATATATATATATGCACATACATCTTTGTGCACAGTATTCCCACCTTCTCACTCCTAAAGAGCCTTGCACACCCAGGATGCTTACAACGGCTCCCATTTCTCTCTCCCTGTGTGTCACATGCAAATCTGTCTTCTGCTCACCTAAACTTCGTACTCCTACTTTCTTCCTCTCTTGTATACATAAACACGCCAATCTCGGTCTATTCCTACCTCCCGTGCTTCATACAACCCTCCCTCTTTCTAACACACATGCTTCCGTGGGGATTAGATACACTGTCAGGTGATTTATCCAGCCCTCCGAATCATCCCCCCTCCACTTCGTTCCAGCAACAAACGTGTGTCAAATTATAGCGTGTTACAAGATGAATGTATTTTCACCCGCACAGGGAAAACGGTACCCCCGTAGCAAAGTCAGGTCCAAAGCATGCTTAGCCTGCCAATGCTCATCTCTCCTCCCCCATCCTTCTGATGCAGGCGGAGAGCGAGTTTGCCCGCGTACACGCATTCACACGCACGCACAGACGCAGTCTCCAGCGGACCCTCTCTCCACCCGCCTCCTTGCCCTTCTCCTTCTCCTCTCTTGCGTTCCTTCTTTCTCTCTCTCGGTCCCTCCGCCTGCGTGTACAACCAGAGAGCGAGCTCGCTGTCGCATTGCACAGTCCACTTACTCCAAAACAGTCCCCTCCCCGCCCGCCGACCGACTTTGGCAGGACGAACTTGGGGAGGCGGCTGCACCAAAGAGAGAGTGGCTGGCTGGCCGGCCGACCGGCCTGCATCTCCCTCGTCACACAGAAAAGGAGGCTTTTTATTATTTTAATTAAATTTTTTTTGGTTTGCCCACCTCACAGACACCGCCACCGCCGTCTTGCAGGCAGACGCGCCAGTAGCAATAATCATACCAAACCCACTGCAAGCCGAAAGCTCCAAACTCGCGTCAAGTCATCCCACCAGGGCCGCCGAAGACCCCAGGAAGCCCCTGTTCGCCCTCCGGGAATGGGCAGAGCGGAGCCCCGAGTGGACGCGGAGCTTTGGCGTGCGCTCACCTTGGTCCCGCAGGAGCCGCCCTTTGCTCCTGCACCGAGAGAAAGAGAAGCCGAGGGTTCCACACACACTCTCAGGCGCGCGCGCGTGTTCTTTGCGCGCGTGCCTCCCCGCGCAGGAGGCGTTCCAAGAGTCCCCTTGCAGTTACAGCTGCCTTGCCCTCGCCTGCTGCACCACACACACAAAAAGGACTTCACCTCCTCGGTCCTCTCTCACCGCAGCAGAGGAAACGCTTCTCCCAAGCTGCCGCTGAGGAGGACTCCCAAGGAGCAGAAGCCCACACCGGCTAGGCTTCTGAGCGCCCGCCTCCTTTCACCTCACCCGAACCTCCATTGGCCAACCCAACCCGCGCAAGAAGCCAATGGTCGTCCTTTACTGGATGGCACGTTCCAGCGGATGGTGTAGTCAGATGTCAGTCTCGGACTAGGGGGTTTTTTTTAATAGAAATCTCGCGAGTTTTCTTTCACCTCCTATTGATAGCCGGAGTGCGGGAGGGTTGGGGGTTTGTGCTGTGTAATCTGCAGATCCTTGCACCTTGAAAAATTCGAGCAAACTCATTAGAAGGTCAGTTGTTGCAAATGTCCCACTGTGTTCAATAGGAACTTAAGTGCTCAGAGGACTGTGGCTGTTTTCTGCGGCTGGAAGTGGCTTGCCAGGTCCCAACAACTGGGCAATATTCCTGAGAGAAGCAGCAAACTGAAATCTACTGATCTTGGGTTTGTGAGGTCACGATAGGGATCTTTGGCATCTTTGGTTCAGATCCACCCTCTTGTCTAACATCAGCCTCCCCTTTGATTTTTCCTGTCCCCTAATGCTCTGAATGCAATGTCTCATTTGAGCAGGATTGTTTCTTTGGCTTCCTCCTCCAGACAAGAAGGTTTTGTAAAATTAGTGCTGCAAGTTTTCACCTTCCAAATCAAGAAGCCAGCCCATACTACTATTTTTTAAAAAACATTTTAAACATTTAATCTGAATTTATTTTTACCATTTAAAGTCTGTTTAGTAAATAGAACCCGTTATATGCCCATTGTCACTGCTGATGTGGCAGATTAGTGCAGTTTTTCATGTGTGAGGTGACATTTTTCTGTAGCCACACTTACTTCCCTTTGTTCCTCACCTGGGCACAACGTGCCTGTCAGCTCAAATGAAATGAGATTTATATCTCTCAAGGGCTCAGCACCTTGAAAAATTGCAGTGCATACAACAGGACTTTAAAAACCAACAACTAATAGAGAGGTCTTTCAGAAGGTACCTTTATCAGAATGTTTGATGCAGCTAAAGATTAGATCTCTTTGTTAACTTTTAAAAAATGACTTGAGGGATACTGATACATTGTTTTTAAAAATAATCTGGTTTTGACAAGAATAAATAGCAGCAATGGACACAACAAAGAAGCTAATGCTACAGAACCTTTCCCAGCTTCCTTCTTGCAGTACTCAGCCCTTGTTTTAAACTACCACTTTCCCCCACTCAGTGTTATCCCCTGCTTGCTCTATTCAAATATCTGCCATTGTTTAAAGCTGCCGCTTGTTCTTCCATCACTGCTTTACTCAAACTTCTGCCATTGTTTAAAACATCCGCCTTCCGCTTTTCAGTGTAGCTCCCTTCTTGCTGTACTCAAACTTTTCCCTCTTCCATTCCTCAGCTGTCTTATGAGAGAGAAAGAATGCAGTGCCCCCAGATATTTCAAAGTAATATTCAAACCTTGTTAAAAACTACAAATTTCCTCTGTTTTCACCCACCTCTGCTTTACTCAAATGTCTGCTGTTGTTTTAAACCAACAATTTCCCCCTCTCAGTATCCCTCCCTTCTCTCTCATGTCATAGCCACTGCTGCTGTACAATCCTCCTTCACTTTTGCTCCCCTACTCCACCCTGACTTCATGAAAATCAAGGATTGTGATGCACCACAGCAAATCCTCCGAGGACTGCATGACGACATTCTTACATTTTTATTATATAGGCATATATAGAAATATGTATGTTCAAAAGAAGGCCAGGGTCAACTGCAGCAAGTCTTTGTGGGCTCCAGCGTTTACCCCACTATGCCAGCTGCTGAGGCCAAAACCTCTGCATTTTTAATGACACCAAAGCCATTAACGAACCTATGATCAGAAAGCAGTGGGCAAAGAGCAAATAGAGCAATAACAAGGTAAGACAGTGTGCTCTTTTCACACACAGAAAAGAGGCAATTAAAAAATGGGTGCAGCTGTGGTCCACACTAGTTCAAGTTACATATTATTTTGCAAAATGAATCTAAAGATTTTGTGAATATACTCATGTATATTATTATTCTTACTATGTCTAATGTAATGTCTTGTTTCTTCCTTTACTCACAAGTATAAAGGGGAAGAGAAACAATAGAATTACTAAGTAGAAGGTAATTTAAGAATGAAGGAAAAGAATAAGGGAACTTTTCTAAGAATGGGAGCCTACTTTTGAGAAATGAAGAACCATCCTAGAAGAAACAAATAATTCATTAAAAGGAGCAAGATCTGGTCAATAAGAATTGAGCTAGACATCCTTTATTTGAGAAGAAGCATTCTGGCTTCTGCCGCCGCCGCCACCCCATTTTCTCCCACCTGTGACATACATGCTTAGCATTTTTGTAATCAATATCCTGTTCATGAAACTCCCACGAAATGTCAGCTGTACTTTTGATTGCATCCATTCTAATAACAATAAAGAAAATTTTAAAAAGCATAGAGATGAACTATGTGCTTTCCTTTGATTTCTGCTCTGGGCTTTGATTACTAGAACAAATCTCAGTGGTTTCAACTATGTCGTGCCTTTTGTAAACAATGGTGCTGATTTGCACTTCACCTGCTTTTTGCAGTTAGCGCTGTCTGAAATGTGCACACCGTCCTTTATCCCCAGCAGACCAGCAAACTGGACGCATGTTGTTTTCTAGCACTGAGCCCCCCACCCCGCTCCCCTGCCTTCACAATAAATGTACAGCGTTTCTGTTTCCAAAAGTTGTAAATGTAGTCGCAAGTAGCTTCACATCATTTGGACAGTTTGGCACACATCACCCTAGAAGGAATTATCACAGGCTTTCCCAGATTCCAAAAAAATTCACAAAAGCAAATTAAAGCTGGACAGCGAATTGTCCCCATCTGTGAGCAAGCACAAGCCAGAGTAGCGCAGGGAAGGGGGCTTGTTAAGCTGCTCAGCTGAGGTGTGGAAAGCTACCCTCACCTCAGCCAAGCAGCCTCAACAAGTCTCTGGCTGGCAAGGAGACTGCCTCCCATTTCCCTGGAGCCTGAAGAGATCCTCTTTGGGCTCTGGGATGGGTTTTCTGGAGGAAGTGCATTCCGGCACCTTTTTGTGGGTAGAGCACGATATATGCTGATATCTTTCATGTGTGCCACAGGAGGTACTGGTGGTGTAGTGGTTAAGAGCGGAGGACTTGTAATCTGGTGAACCGGGTTCGATTCCCCATTCCTCCACATGCAGCTGCTGGGTGACCTTGGGCTAGTCACACTTCTCTGAAGTCTCTCAGCCTCACTCACCTCACATAGTGTTTGTTGTGGGGGAGGAAGGGAAAAGGAGAATGTTAGCTGCTTTGAGACTCCTTACGGTAGTGATAAAGCGGGATATCAAATCCAAACTCCTCCACCCTGATAAATGTGGGCACCATCTTGACTACTCCTGTCTTTAAGGCCTTGCAGAGCCGTTACGTCAGGGGCATTCTGGGAAACAAATATGGCAGCAAGACCCAGGCACTCAACATTGCACAGGGCAAAGGACTAGGGTGGTTTTGTTGTTGTTGTTAAGAGGGGGCATAAGCAGTGGGCCCTGGCAGTTTCCCAACCATGCCAGATGCTGATGCCAGCCCTGATGCCTCTACATTCATCCCACCTGCCAACAATACAGCTATTTAAAATGCGTAGGGCTGGGGACAGGCAAGATCAAGCATTTAAGTGTAACTGGCAGGCAGAGTTACAAAGCAATTAATAAATCACGGCTGAGGTTGGTGAAGTGCCAGAGATGACAAATTTGATAACTACCGAAGCTGCACTGCCAGCATAATTTATGTCATGATTATGATTCCTCTGTTCCTGCGATTCATAGCCATGAAAGGAACAAAGCTGCAAATTATAAGAAAAAATTTGACACAGACATGCTCCATTATTTTCAGCACTTCAAGGTGTATTCTTATACCGGCAGGGTAGAGAAGATATGGTAACATACCATTAAAAAACTCTGCGGCCAGACAGAAGTTTATTCGTAAATTACACATTTTTAAAGAGGCACGTTGTGTTGTTAAGACTTGAGTGGGAGGAGTTTCCGTTCAATGGCTGCTGTGCTGTTTCCCTGGGGCTGTTCCCTGGAATGAAAGGCCTATTGCAGTCGCGGTTGCATTCAGAACGGTTGACGAAAGTGCTGTAGTTTAAAGTACGCTGTTACCAATATACTGGTGACATTTAAGAACACTTCCTGACATGGCTGCTAGGAGTGAAAATAGCAAGAAGAAAATACAGATTTATTTATTTTTAATGGATGCTTCCTGTTGTGGGGTGTGTGTGTGTGATTAATTAATTAATTATACGTTTTGGCAATAAAACACCCCACCTTTCAATCATATTATTGTCAAGATGGCATAAGAAAGTAAGAAGAGTCTACTAGATCAAACCAATGGCCCATTTTGTCCAACAACCTGTTCTCTGTGGGAAGCCTGCAAACAGGACATTCTTTATGAATGTGTGGTTGTGAATGGTCTGGGCTCTGAATTAGTGTGTAGCTGCCAGCCCACCACAGAATTATGACCTCTGGAAAAGGGCATCATATGGAAGTGATATAATCCTCTGCCTCCTCTGTAGTCTGCAGTACAGTTATATCCATGCAAAGAGCTGCTTGAAGAAAAGAAATATCTGGCTGAAAGTAAGCTAATGATGGTTGGCAGGTTTTGTGACCTACTGGGAACCAGTTCATTGGTCACGGAGGGGGTTCATCCTTGTTCACTCAATCATGCTATTAGCGTTTGGTAGCATTCCTTTCAATGTCTTACGTTTCTTGAATACATCTGACCCATACCAAGAGTTAATGACAGGATTAATTTGGGCTAGATATGGGAAAAAACGATAATACAATGTTCAGCCAGGAAAGTAAGGCAAACAGAAGATCTTATCCATCTTGTCTCTGTCCTGGATGTTGACTTGTCTGAGTAAATATGAGTAGATGATTATTTCAGCGGCTCTCTATTTGCAGTCTTGGGATTAAATAAGAAGTCCCTTACCTAGAGAAGGGATAAAAATACCAAATCCAACCACCATTGGGAGCTCCTACTGTGAGAAGTGGCAGAAAATCACTCTTTTGCTCAATAACAGCTCTTTTTCATTTAGTTTTCTTCCTTTCTCTCCCTGCCTGCCTGCCTGTATCAAACTCAATTCCGAAAGCTGCACAAATTAATACCCTTGGGAGGAGCAGGATGTGCTCAGAACAAACAAGTTAGAGAAATTCCCTTTGTCCTTTGACTAAGCAAGTCAAAACTATGCCTAACCTTATCTTCTACCAGTTACTTCAGGCTAAGTTAAATTCTGTACCTCAGAAAGATTCAGGGTGTCTAAAAAGAGGTGTGTGGGGGGGAATGTGGAATCACAATAAAACATTTTAAACCAGGAGTCTCTTTTGGAATCAGCTTGAGGCACTGTTCAACATCAAAAAGGTCAGGTAGCCATCTGCCTCAAGCGTTAAGTGCCCCGTATCTCTGTTCCCCCGCAGAATGTGATCAGTTGCAGAACCTGAATTTAAGGAAACTCCCTCATGTTTTCACCTGAAACAGCCTTATACTGGCAAAACAAATAAAAAACACATGCCCAAGGCAAAGAAGCTTCCAGAGCTAAGGAGATGTCATACAGAAATGCACTTAACTCACAAATCCTGCTAATGGAAAAAAGATTCCCTGTGACAGTTTCCCACCCTCCACGACTATACATGGCAAAAATAAAAATGGTAGAATGGAAATGATTCCATAGACATGTTTTTATTCTGCTGCTGCAGGGCTAAACCACACACATTGCACGGGGACTCACTATCATTTCTTATTGGCCTCCCCTGTTTTTTTTACAGCAACATGGTCCAGTTGTGATCAGAGCAGTAGCACTGGGAGAAAGGAGGGATTAACCCTTTTCCTAATGCCATTTTTTGAATCTGGGGTAGAAATGATTGCAGGTGTGGCCTGGTGGCCTCCAGGGATGAGTGTGCAACTTTCTACCACCTTCTGGTATGAATTTGAACAGGGGAAATAGCAGCAGAAGTGAGGGTACAGCTATTACCTACAAATAAATGACTGCATATTTGATGGGATATTTTACCTAATTGCTATCTTGCTACTGCTCTAAAATCTATATTTTTGTTTTATTGCATCGTCTTTTGACTTACATTTTTAGGAACTTTAAAACCACTTCAGGATGAGGGATTTAAAAAAACCAAGCAAACATAAAGTGGCATATAAATCACCTAAATGAAAATGTTAAAAATGAAGACAATGAGCCTATTTCATCAGAGCCAACATCAAACATCCAAGGAAGTTAGAGTCTTCTACTATGAATATTTATGCTTTAATATATTTGTTTGCCTGTAAAATGCCACAGAACTCTATTGTTGTTGTTGTTGTAAAAAACATGGACATTAGAGCAAGAATTATGCCATCAACAATGGGAATATCATGGGTACTCCAAAAACATGCCAGTGATTTCACTGCACTGTGTTCTTGCAAAACCAAACATGGCTTCTGAATAAATGGATGGCTTTTTTGAACTGCATACTCCTCCTTTTCATGCTATGTTGATACATAGATAATGAGCGTTTGAGCCGTGTCTATTTTAGTTCTCTTTTCAGCACTTTGTACAATCCCAAGAAAAGTAGCCCACTGTTTACTGTACTAAGTGGTCCGAGATCCTTCTCAAGTTAATAGCTCATGTGTTTTCTCTCACTTGCATTGGCGTTCATTAAATAATCCCTTAAAGGACACTCATTTTGAAATGGGCATAGATAATAGCAGTGATGATGAATTTCTAGGATGTAGCTGGTTTCTCAATTGATAATGCCTATTGTTTTTATAGTCAAAGGCTTTTATAGTACAGGGATGGTTTCAAGAGCCTCGGAGAACATCAATCATTTAGGTTGCTAAATGTGCAGTGCATAATATAAGATTGATAAAGTATCTGTAACAAAACAAAAGAATGTACAAAAAAGGGAAAGTTAATTACTCTTGCCTCTAGTAATAAGAGCAGAATGTGGCAAGGAAGACAGATATTGCAAAACGAAACGAAGACATTTAGGTTCCTTATTTGAATTGCCCCAAATAAAGTTTCCACAGAACTTATTGAAACACTACTTCTTTGGATCGTTGTTGCTGAAAAGAGGAAATAGTAAGATTTTCCTGGATGACATCCACTTAAGCTGTTTGAGAGCAATTCACAGATAGGTGTTCTGGGCACCGAGCCAATATACACAGAGAAGTGGAAAATCCAAGCAAAATGTAGACATTGAAAGATCCTATAACAAAAGTGGCTGTGTAAGGGACCTCAGCAATCATACCACTTTTAAAAATATATATACTTATATAGTAGAGAATAACAGAAACCTTGCTTAACCGAAAACATTCAAGGAACATTTATAAATCAGAGAGCAACAAAACGTTCACGTTGTAGAATCTCACAATTTGCCCCTCACTAACGACTTGTAAGAAACTCTGGGTGCAAGCATTCAAGCAAAATGTTTTTGTATTGCTAAAGCTGCAATCCTATGCACACATAGTTGGGAGTATCCAAGCACGTGCAATGGAATTACTTCTGAGTAGACCTGCCTAGACTCTTGACAGGCTGTCTTATTTGGCAAGTCTAGACTTCTTCATAGATGCCATGTTAAGATTTTGCCCAGTGGCTACATTCACTTCAATCTGATGGGGAACGCTACATTTAAAGTGAAACCTTATGCATGTTTACTCAGAAGGAAATCTCACAGTGCTCTATGGGCTGTTTGGTTAATAACCCTGACAGCCTAGAGTTAGTGTACATCCCAACCTTTTTTTGTCCTCTGTCACCCTTGCAAACCAAATATCCGAATTTAGCAATACTCAGGATGGCTATCCAGACACAAAGCACCATGGATTTCAAAACTCTGCAAGGCCAAGGCAAGAGGAGGTACAAAATACTTTTCTGCAATGTTTCTGACACAGGGTTTTCTCCACTGGAGCTTGTTCAGCAGCTGGTAGAACACAGCGCCATTTTATATCCATTATTTGCAATGGTCCCTGGCTATGATTGCATCATGGAGAGGGGAAGCAAAGCAGATCAAGGGAGTTTCACTGCCTGCTAGCTGTCTTCTCCTTAGTTTCAGGGCTCCTCCACATATACACTTGTCCCACAGACATTCACTCTGTGTAAGGCAGCTTCTAACATCCCCATGGATAGTGTCCAGCATGTGTTAACACATTACACAGTCAGTAATGTCCAACAAGATACTCTGGACTCAAGAGTTTATTGCAGTTCTCTATACAAAACAATAAAAATAATTTAGTCGACATTAAAAAAAAACTAAGGCTGCAATCCTAAACATGGATTACTAGTGAGTAAGTCCCATGCGACTTACTAGGATTTACTACCATGTAAACATGCTCAGCATGTGCAGCACATTGCAGAGATGTAAAGTTAAGGTAGTTAACATTACACGGAGAAGCAAAAATTAGAAATAGTGCAAGTCATAAAAATCAAAGCAAGATTTACAATGTTTTTAAAAAACACAACTCACAGTTAAGTTTACATATTACAAAACTATTTTAAACCAGAAGTGTTCTCCGTCTAAAATTAGCCTTGCATTTTACTCCATATGCTGTAGTTAATACAGAGTACATCATTTCTGCTCGGGGGGGGGGGGACGGACCCTTTAGCATTTGACTTTCATTATTTTTATTGCGATTTAAGTAGCAGTTACTTGCTTTGTAGACATAGCTTATGACTGACCTCTGCCTTGCATTTCTTTAGAAGATGTGATAGAAAATGCATGTGCATTAAACAACAGAACATGGTAGATAGTCCACTGCAGTGCTCCTAAACTAAAATGCAGTTTAAAATTCCTTGCAAGGTTTTTCCTTGTAGTAGATATAGAAAGCAAGCCATTCTATTCACTGCAAATATATAGATTAGTACTGTATGTCCTGTTTGCCAAAATTTGGCTGACATAGGATATGCAAAAAGTAACATAGTATCAACATTGTCCTAGTACTTTGGAATAAAGCTCAACTATAGGTCAATATCTGAACAATTTCCAAAAGCAAAGGCATCTTTAAATATGCATTTAAAATGTTGAAAAGTCTAGGGCTCGGTGCGAACATAATAGTAAACCATGGTTTCCCACTACACAAATGAACCTGGACAAACTTCAGGCTCACACACTCCATCCTCTTTCACATGCTAGGAGGAGGAGACCAAAAGCATGTCTGAACTTAGGAAACTCTGGCTTTGTTTAAAGTATAGCTAGTGAGAACAAGCCTGGATCAAACCATGATTTCTATGAGTTCTCACTAGCTGTAGTTTACACAAAGCCACAGTTCCCCAGGGTTCAGATATTCACAGGGAATTTGGGTTAGGTTTTTTGTTTTGTTTTTTTAAAGTGGAAGCTTTCTGTGGAATGCAGTATGCACACAGCCACATTCTTGGAATTATGTACTCCTATTGCTTTCTGATAATTTACCATTTGCATCCCTGGTCCCTCTTTCGGTGGCATGTAATAAGAATATTGCTGATGATCACAAGAAGCATGCACTTTGAGTGGGCTTTCCTGTTTAGGATGCTCAACCCCAAAATCATGGACTTGAGACATACTGAAAACATTTGTAAACACTCCATGCATGGCACACTACCTTGGGAGTTAAAGCAGGTTAGGCGAAAGGTGGTAATAAAACCCACAGACATACACCATGTTTTCAGAATTACGTGGGTGGCTTATCTAAGGTGCTTGGTGTACATACATAGATAAGGCCTGAGCCTCTGTTTGCCACATGAGAGAACCAGGATTGCTGCCCAAGTGACCATTGAGCCTTGCACAAACAAAGCATGAACTCTGCCACCTATCTAGTGCCTTTCTGCAATACTGCAAGATACTCAATAGATTCAGTTTAACTGATACCACACCTTCAAGAATACGGAATAGGCTGTACCTTATGTATAAAATCCAATGGTTATTTTTGTTGCTGTGGAAAGATGTTTTACATGGTATCCATTTTATTACACATCAAAAGGCACCTAAAGTAACAGCAGCAGGAAAAAATATATATCCAGCATTACATCACATGCTAACAAAATCCTAGTGATCATCTGTAACATAACTGAAAATGTATATTGAACATGCATGCAAAAAGAGGGCAGAATAAAGGCCACTCATCCAGGCAATTTTGGATTATCAGTGTACAATGAAGGACAAAGTAATATTTTCTCCTTAGATAAACAAAGCTTGCCAACTATCTCCTTACTAGGGACTGAAGTTTGGTCTTTTTCCCCCTCTGACCCTGAATCCAACGGCTATGCATTTATTCACGGGCTGATTACCCCAACTGTGCAGATAAGAAAGTAAGTAGCATCAGCTAGTTTTGTCTTGAATTTTCTGTTGTGATATTATACATCTGTGTGAAATTGGCTTTTCTTTTTTACAGCTGTGCATAACTTTAAAATGTGCAAACTCCGGCAGGCATTATGACCAGCCTTCAATATCATGGATGAGGTCGTTTCTCCAAAGTGTAAGAGCAGCAACGGAGCTACTAGATTAGAAAAGGATACGGTTACGAAAAGGAGGTAAAAGCAGTGTCTAATTCAGGCATCCCCAAACTTGGCCCTCCAGCTGTTTTGGGACTACAACTCCCATCATCCCCACCTAACAGGGCCAGTGGTCAGGGATGATGGGAACTGTAGTCCCAAAACAGCTGGAGGGCCGAGTTTGGGGGTGCCTGGTCTAATTTTTGACATAGATGTAGATCAGGAGAAGGGAACCTGTGGACCTCTACATGTCGTTGGGAGTCCAACTCCCCATTGGCCAACCCCAGCAGGTATGGCCCATGATCTGGAATGATGGGAGTTCCCAGCCAGCAACATCTGGAAGGGCAACATATCCCTCATCCCGGATATAAATTCCTTGTCAGCTCAGTTTAGGAATTGAAATCATGGGGCTGTTCAGACGCTACTGAATGCCCACTAGTCAACTAGATGTGGAAAAATCAAGCATGTGTGCTCTTTCTTCCAATCAACAACTGCAACAGGAGATCTTGAATTTTTGAATACAGATTCTCCCTTTTCCTGTAACTATGCTACCTATTTGGAGTTCAAATAAATGAGGGTTCTTCTAGTGGAGTCATGACTTTCTTAGGTATTGTCAAGTAGCACATACGTCTAACGCTTGGTTCTGATCCTGACCCAAAAGTGTGCAGAGGTTTGGGGAGTGGGGAGAAAGTAGTAGTGACTGAATCAGTCCAGAGAATAAATTAGCATTCCAGTCTATTTCCATGTTTACACCACAATGCTACCATTTTTTAATTTTCTGTTAATCTATCAACCTAACATCATTTGTTTTACATGTGTGTTTCTGCGAAAGAATTTAGTTTCATAACTCAAAAAAAGTGGGAGGAAGAACTTTGATAGGAAGATTAGTTACAAGGTAACAAAACAATGGTAAACCAATAGTTAGTAAATATTCCAAAGCTTATCCATCACAAACCATTTTGCAGAGGGGAAAGAAACAAAGAAGATGTAAGATAAGCAACATCATCTGCAACAGATTATTTTTCCAAGCAAAAAACAAAGAGCCCAGCATTAGCTTTCTAGCAGAATCTTCACTGCTACACAGTGGGTTAAGAATACAAATGTGTGGCCAACATAATAGATTTCATGATTAACTATCTGTTCAATTAACATAGCCCAATAAAAAAAAAATCTAGAACAACTATTATGCATAAAAATGCACACTCTATTTTATCCTCTGAGGCATGTCGCTCCAAGCTTGAGATTTCTTTTTGGCAAGTTCCATCCATGAAGGTTGTTCTGGGGAAGAATGACTGACCTTCTTAAGAGGCTTTATATCTTCTCTTTCAATCAGCACTGAAGACTGAACTGTGTGGAAAACAAAAATATCGCTTACTTACTTAATAGCAGTGTCATGCTCAAGAATAACAAGTAGGATTTTTTTTTGCCCTATCAGCTTAATTAACCATTATGGTATGAAGTGCCATTAGGCGATGCTGAAAAATCTTTTTAAGAATCCTAACCCATGATGAATAACCTACTAATAACACTTTTAAATTTGCTGCGATAAAGGTTATTCTGTAGCACACACCTGAACTAAATTTAAAGTGCCCAATTCATCATATGCATCATTTGTAGGGATCATTTTATTGTTCATGCTACAGAAAGCGTTCAGTCAGCATGTTTGATGTAGGGCACAGAAGCAAACCTGGAACTTTTCCTGCCCTTGCTGAAGTATATATGTTGGAATCAGAGTCAATCTCTGACAAGGCAGCCTTTGCAGACTTGCACAAAGTGTGGACGGGAGCATGAGGTGTGGACAGGTGGAACAAACTTGACACAACAGCTTTCTGGGATTAAAAATTGGCCACAATTTCATTGATTAAAGATTTTAAGTAGGCTTTGGCTTAGGCATTGGGTGTGCACATTGTATCAGCCTCCCGGCTGCAGGCTGAAGCTTGGACAGGATCATGCCTGGGTTATGGGACCACTTCAAGGCACAACTCAACTCCTCAGGCTGCTACTGGAAGTTCTATGGCCTGCCTGCTCTTCCTTTGGCTTCAGGACAGAAACTTCCACTCAGACCCCTTTACCAGGGTACCCAGCAATATCACACCAGGTTAAGTCAAAGTGATGCCCCACACCCGGGAAACAGACTAAGGATTCCACCCAATGCCTTATCCACTGAAAGTTGTGATGACTGATGAAGAAGGCACCCAACGGGCCCTTTTTTTTTTTTTTTTTTGCAGGCAAGTTCCTTCCCAGCCCTGAATAAGGTGACCATTTTGATCCACAGCAAGATCTTCTTAACATGGTGCCTAAAGAACAGCATATAGGGTGGGTTGCTCTTCCACTAACTGAACTGCTGACCCCTTGCCACAGTTGGCTTTCATCCTCCAGAGACAGATCAGAGTGAAGACTTGTTCACTCCGGTCTGCTGCCCAGGTCCCGCCCTCCACTGACGCTCTCGTTGGCCACATAGATTCACGTTTTGGTGGGCAATCCCACCAACCTCCCGTGGCCAGCTGAGGAAGAGCCCAATGTCCGGCCACAAGGGTGAAAAGACTCTTTCCGGCCCGGGGTGCTGGGCAGGGCCACAACTGCTGCCCACCCCAAATTTGGGTAAGCAGATATACACCTGCTAGAATGCTCATCACATCTGTATGTCCTGTTTTTAGATGTGTGGTTGAAAAACGTAAGATGTGGAGAGGGTGCCCTCAGTCCCACTAATAGCATGTGAAATCAGAACTACAGGTTTAAGGTTTTACTACAGTATATAAAGTCCTAAACCGCCTAGGAGCTGTTTACTCGAGAGACTGGCTTTTCCCACCTCCTCCTACTTAAACCCCTACATCATCTAGTGAAGACATCTTGAGGGTGCAACACACCTTGGAAGTTTGCTTAATGAATACTTGGGCAGAGTTATTAGCATGGTAGCACCCACAATTTGGAATGCATTCCCCCTGGAAAATAGAGTGGCACCTGTATTCCTTTGAATGCCTCCTTGAGACTTTTTAAAATTCAGCTATGCTTTTTCAGGTAGCATTGTCAGACATGGTTTATGCCGGTTTTACAGATAGATTTGATTCAGTCTTGTTGTTGTAACCTTGTATTTCATTTTTAATTTCTTTTTTTGGGCACTACCATGGTATTTGTGAAAGGTGTACAGTTTATAAATTCTTTAAATAAATAAAACCAGCAGCATGCCTTCAGGAAGAAGTTGCAGAAATGCCCAATCTTGTGAACCCTTAATAAAAACTGGGAACGTTGTTTGTGTGATGGAAAATACTTTACAGCCTGCGTCTATGTCAGAATTTTAGCGTCTTGTTTTCATACCAGGGTTATGGTGTGACAGCAAGCTGCCTCCTGGCAAAGATTCCTGCATATCTGACTTAGTTTCTTTTCTCTGTTCTTCAGAAGAAGCTGCGGGTGGGAAAGGCAAGGATGTGTTTCGCGTGAAATCTGTCTGTTGCCTCAGAACATCCTAAATAAAAAAAGGGGGGGTGAGAGAGAGAATACCACACACACCATAGGATAGTGTTGTTCTAAATAATTCAGTGGGAAAGAGAACCACAGTAGGGATTTGACAGAACACAAGAAACTCAGCAGCAGACATGGCTCCCTGCTCAACAATAGAATAATGTGGTCTTATGTCACACACACTTGCCCTATTTATGCCATCTGAGCTGTAAACACTCCATAAACATTTCATAGTCTACAGACTGGAAAACTGTTTGGGGGATTTTGAATTATGCAATTAGAAGCACTTGGAGATGAGCTGTTGCAGCCACAGCAAATTATTCAAGGCCTCTTTTGATAATGAGGGCAAGCGCAAGCCAAAACTGGCAGCAAACAGCTTCCCATGGACAATAGGGAGCTATGGCTATGCAGCAGTGGCCCCTGCGCTTTTAAAATATGACACACCAGTGGATTTATCTTTTGCTCCAATGCTGTTTTAAGCCAAAAGCAGCCTCAGGGTGGTACAGGTCAGAATGTAAGGAAACTGAAGAAAAGAGAAGGGGGTTGGCTTAAGCCTTTCAGCCATTTTCTGGTCAAGCCTCTGTCTTCCTCAATGGCTCCAGGGTTTCCAATACTTGGTTCTCCAGATCTACAATTCCCATAATCCCTGACCACTGGTCCTGCTAGCTAGGGATGATGGGAGTTGTAGTCCAAAAACAGCTGGAGACCCAAGTTTGGGGAACCCTGCTCTAAGCTAGTTTTATTCACAGGGTGGTACTACTGTATGCTGATAATACATACTTATTTCTCTGTCAGAGACACACAGTCAGGGTGGTTCGAAAGGTATGACCACAATGTGAAAATAACAATTGCTTTTTGACTCAGCTTCCTGTAAGACCAAATCTACATTGGACAATCTACAGGAAATTTTGCAAACCAAAAATGGAAGTTTTTCTGCACACTATCCTTTGGAAATGTCCTACACAATGGAACGTAACTGACTTTCTTTCTTTCAAGTATTACTCATCTGAACAAAGTTTACTTTGGCCTGGGATCTGACCCAAAACCAACATTTAGCACAAAGAAATAAAACCATAGAATTCACACCACTAGTGGGTTTTCCCGGCTTCCGCAATCTAAAAATGCTGCTTAATTCAGGATCACAACACAAAAACATTAGTTTTATCAAGAAAGCTAAATGTAAGGAATATTACATAGGGTGAATAGGGTGAATGTCTATGTTAAAAATTAGCACTACCAACTCATGCTTTATGTAGGCAGAAATTGCCAAAGCTCATTTATTTGTCCCATGATCAAAACAGAATCCAGCGAATATAATTGGCATTTGCAGTCATTTCAGTCTGCAAAAAACTGCAATTGGTTATGTTCCACCACCATCCATTTGCATAGTATTTCTTTGCACTGAAATGACTGAGCTGGAATAACATAATGATTTATGCAATTAACTATGTTAGTTATATAATTTTACCACAGAAGACAGTGAGACAAGTAATGTCCACAGAAGAAAAACTACAGCAGAATCACTGCTGCAGTTCTAGATTTTGATTCCAATGTTGACATTGACATCAGAGATGCTTTTTGTGTCTTAGTTCGTTTTTTCCATATACTGGTTTATCTCAGTACCAGAAATAATTGATTTTGAGTACTGGAGGCAAAATTTCTCATTCTGATTCAAGTCCTCACCAAGGTTTATAGGTTACAGGAAAAATGTAACATGTTTTTTAGGGTGACATAACATTTATCTCTACATGAGTCTTTAAGCCTGTAAATATACTTTCAGTGTAAATCATCAAACATGGATGCCATACATGACTTCCCTTCTCCCTACTGGCAGATTAAAACCCATAGATGTTTTTAGAAGGAAAAGCACACACTCCTGCAACTAAGTATTCCATCAGCTGAGCTTTCAAGACACGCTCAGAACTGAAATGGAGAACGGTGTTCTGGTTTACCACAGCTGCAAATTGAACAAAGGGAGATGAACTGGTCAGAATGAATGCCTCATTTGAAAACTGCTGCCTTCTGCTGTTGGTATTGCAACATTTATATTCTGTAGTAATGCACTGCAGATTAAAAAGGTATCTTTAGGGCAGTTGCATACAGACATTTGCTGCAGTCATTACAGTAACTTCTCCCATGATGCTGAGCTCTTCCTGGTTGTTTTAATTGTATAAAGAAATGGAAGGCTAAAGGAAACGCTGCAACGCTCCTTAAAGAAAAAGCTCCCATCGGAGATAGGAGCTCCACTGTTGAAGAGGGAAGCCCACCTTTGCAAAAGGAAGAATAGGGTTGATTACAAAAAGGGCTCAAATGTCATTGGGATATTTGCTATAGAAGAAAAAAAAGGTGCATCAGGTGAGCACTTGCCCTTTACAGAATTAAAACTCCACCACACGCATATCTCACTTAAAAATACAAAAAAAGTGTGTGGGTGTGGGAAAAGGAGAACAAAGTCTGAGGGTGCTTGAGGAATTCATTCTTTGTGAATTCCAACACGGACAGCCCCGTGTAGCTCAGAACTTAAGTTATCTACCCGCTTTTACGCTTGCTGAACATTTGCATGCAATAGCAGAGTTGGTGAATACCTGCCAACCTTGATTACAAGATACCTTGCAGAAGCAGGTTAAAGCAAAGAGCCCCAATTCAATGTCACATGCAGGTCACAAGCAGGGATGACCTGTATTACCTCCATTCGCTCCTTCTCTTGTATTTGTTTTTCTGCGTCTGCCTTATCCGCAGCCACCAGTTTATCTTCTTTGCTAAGCTCTTGCTCCATGACCCTCTGCTTTTGTTTTGCTATGGTAATCCAGGCTGGCACTGTCTGGCTTTCAGTTCCTCTTGCAGTGTCTGCTGCAGCAATCACAGGAGAAGGCACACTTTTCTCTGCTGAGATAATTTGGGAAGAAAGGTATTGGAGAGGGAAACTCAGTCTGTTGTTACTGGAGAAAGAAAGTCGGTCTTAGTGTTAAAGAAAGCAAAGCTTTCCTTGTGAACCGAAGAGATGGCCAGCCACTAGGGAGAAACCTCTACAAATACACACCCCAGAAAACTGCTCTAAAACTGTAATATTGTCAGCTTCGGATTTCTGAACTTGACCTTTGTCCTGCTTCTCTCCTGCAGACTCTGATAGAGGAATGGATATGGCGTGACTATAGTTGCCTGGGTTACATGAAGCCCATGTTATATACAGTCAGAAGGAGTGAAGCTAGTGCAGAACTGTTATCTTGCACACTACCCCAAATCACTTTAGGGAGGTTCAGTGACATGCTGGTAGTGAACAACAAGCACTCCTTTGGACAATCTTAATGACTGAATGGGGATTATAAAGCCTCAGGCAGTCCTTAAGGTATCCAAGACCCAAGCTGTCTGGGGCTTTTTGGATCAACACAAGAGCCATGGATGCTTCCTTCCGTGCTTGTCCTGCATGCAGGAAGATGCCTGCAACACATCCACAATAAGTTTCCCAGTCTCACTCTGCCATGCTTCCTGCAACTCAACTCAGATAGGAAGAAGCTGATGAACCTTCAATAATGCTTACAACAGCCACCTCTTCTTTACACGGTATTTGCTTCATTTGTTTATGCCAGGCTTCCTCAAACTCAACCCTCCAGATGTATTGAGGTTACGATTCCCATCATCCCTGACCACTGGACCTGCTAGCTAGGGATCATGGGAGTTGTAGGCCAAAAACATTTGGAGGGCCGAGTTTGAGGAAGCCTGATTTATGCCCACCAACTGCTCTTCTGCGACTTCTGAAGTTACCTTTATTGTAGATGTGCATACACCTGCTATTACTTATTAGTAACAAAGTGGTTAGATATGCTGGGTGCTGTACAATCAGAGCAGCTTCTTTCCCCCCCTTTTTTTGGAACTGAGTTCTGGCCCCTCTCAGGTGGGCACCATTGCCATTATAAGAGAACAAGGGAGGTGTTCACAGTGAGTTTCGGCACCTCTTTTTCTAGAAAAATAGCACTGTGTACAATAATTAAAAATAGAGTGCAGTCCAAACTTAAAAACCAATAAACTATGCATATAAAGACAAAGCAAAACAAAATGCAGTCCTTGCATGCAGGCTTACAATTGCCCTGGCTCCATATTTATGGAATGACCCCAGCTCTGAGTTACATCAGTCTCCAACATAAACTGTCTTTTCTAAGGTAGGTGAAGATGGACCTTTCTGTGCAGGTCACTGGGGAAGGGGAAGGCAAACTCTAATGATTTTATCTGTTGGCTGTATTTTTATTTCTCCGCTGCTGCCACAATGATTAAAGATTTGTTTTGACTTGATTTTATATATCGTGGTTTTAAAATGTTTGTTGGGCCCTCTCTGTGGAACTCTAGGTGCAGGGCAGATTATATAATATGTGAAATATGCAAAGATGAGGCACTTTAGAGAAGAATGGGAAGGAAAGTTAAAAAAGGAAGAAGGGGTAAACTGATGCGATCTAAACAGGGGCTAGGATGTACAAATAGAGCCAGAGAGTTCACAGTGCAACCCTGTACATGTCTACTCAGAAGTCAGTCCCACTGAGTTTAACTGTCCTTTCTCCTAGGTAGGTTTGTCAAGCATTGCAGCCTCAAATATCAAGGAGGTGGTACTCAAGTGACCAAGAGCAGAAAGGGAAAAACAGAGGCAAATGGGGTTGGAGAGGAGTGGGGAAAGGGAGGGGAGAGGAGAGGTTGAGAAACAGAAAACAGCAAATGAGCAGCAGCATTTGGGATGAAGAGCTTGTCCACACCTGTGTTTGGCCTGCTGCGTTCCCCAGGGGAAACCCGATATTTAGCACTCAGCAGGATCATACAGCAATGGAGTTTTTGGCTGATTGCGACATCTCTGATGTCTTGTGATTTAGCATTAAAGAGCAGGTTTTCCTGGGGAAAGAAGCGCAATGAAGGCAAAACTGCTTGGATCCATGCCTAGAAAGCACGGGGCAAGTGGGAAATTGCTCAGACCTGTGTGCCTTCTAGGCATGGGACAAGGACAAGCGTGGATGAGCCTAACATTGAAGGAATTCAAGGCAGAAACAAGACCACCAACAGGCAGCGGCGTAGTGTGGGTTGTCAGCACCCGGGGCAAGGCAAGTAATTTGCGCCCCCTAACCCCTAACCTGCCGCTGCTGCCAGCTTCTTCTTGCTGCTGCCTGGGCTGGGCTGGTGTGGTTCTCTCCCGCGCTCAGCGCTGCGCTGGGCGGCCGCTGCACTGTCCCTCCCCCAGATATTCCCTCGCTCTCTCTCCGCACCGCACGCCTGGCACCCACCTCCTCCACAGTGGGCGGCGACCCAGCAGCTCGGATCGGATTCGCACAGCCAGCACTGCAGTGAGAGAGAGTGAGTGAGCCAGGTAGGGGCAGAGAGCTGCAAGTGCGAGCGCGCCCCCCCAGATGTTGCGCCCGGTGCGGCCGGCCCCCCCTGCACCCCCCACGCTACGCCACTGCCAACAGGAAGAATGTTAGAATGTCCAATGCAAAACAACAACAACCAGAAGAATGAAATAAACATTTGTATGCAATGTAGGCAGCTCCTGGTTTAAACACACAGGCATACCTTGTCATCTCAGGTAAAAGGTAAAGGGACCCCTGACCATTAGGTCCAGTCGTGGCCAACTCTGGGGTTGCGGCGCTCATCTCGCTTTATTGGCCGAGGGAGCCGGCGTACAGCTTCCGGGTCATGTGGCCAGCATGACTAAGTCACTTCTGGCGAACCAGAGCAGCGCACGGAAACGCCGTTTACCTTCCTGCTGGAGCAGTACCTATTTATCTACTTGCACTTTGACGTGCTTTCAAACTGCTAGGTTGGCAGGAGCAGGTACCGAGCAACGGGAGCTCACCCCGTCGCGGGGATTCAAACCGCCGACCTTCTGATTGGCAAGTCCTAGGCTCTGTGGTTTAACCCACAGCGCCACCCGCGTCCCGCCATCTCAGGTAGTTTGAACCTAATATTGTTTGGCCTTCTGAGAAGCCTGAGAGCCACACATACCACAGACAGGAATGGCTGCACTCAGAATAACTGCTTGTTATCTATTCGTAGGCCTGATGCTAGATCACCTTGAATGGCTGAAAAATAAGAACCATTCATGTGGCAGTCAAGCGAGCATTTATGACTCACTCTGGCAACACAAAACACTGAGGATGTCATAAATCAGGGTGGGACCCAGAGTCCTGAAGCCAACTCTTTTCATAGTCTGATTGCTGCTTCTGTCCATTACTGCTACAAAGAGAAGCAGTAAACTGAATAAACGGTCTGTTTTGTTCTGGGATTACTAACAAAAGATCTGCACACAATAAATCAGAATTCACCTTCCATTAGGCAGGATAGAGCAGCTCACCTCAAGCAGAAGATTTTGGGATATCATTAGCAAGCAGCAATGTGTTGATCTAGCTTGGTATTATTATTTTTTATCATGTGGGGATTTTCTGCTTTACATCATTGGTACATTTCCTCCCAAAGAGAGAGACTGACAGAAAGAAACACATTTGGAGAGGCTGCTATCATTCTTATTATATATTTCTTCAGCTAGTATTCATTAGGTTCCTTTTTAAATATTATACCTGGATTTTGAAAAATATTCTGTTCTACACATCTATGAATCTTCAGTTTTAAAACAAGCCGTGTGGCAGTATTCCAAGGACATTTTTAAAAAAAGAAAGGGGGGGAACCACCCAATTATTGGAATGGATGCAAATGCTTTGAGAGGGAGAAGCTGTAAAAATGATGCCATTGTTTACATCATCTGCATTTCACTTATACAGATGAGCTACTAAATGTCATGTTGCTAAATAAATTTGGATAGGGTTATTTTCAGTCACAGTTTCTCCCTCTTCCTGAGCGGTAGATAGTTCAGAGCAGACTGTGCAAGAACAATTTTCCTAGGACGAATGAAGTCTCCTTGCAATCCAAGCAGAGGACAAGGCAAATCTAATGTTAAAAATTAGGAAGGAGTGAAAAATAAAGAGACTAGTATCAGAATGGTGTTTATGTATTCTCCCATGCAGGCACTCACTAGAATGTGATGTTATTGTCAGCCTGTATTGACTGTTGATAGTAGCACAAGCTAGCCAACCTTACTAGCTTTGTGCTGAGTAATCCAATCCAATGGCGTTGCTCAAAATGCCATTAGCTACCCGGATGTGAACATCAACAGCCAGTCACATTGTGTTCTTGGCTCTGTGTCTGGTCAGCTGTGGCAGAGCTACTCTGCAAACCTTCATTCCAGACAATCATTTTGCTACGGGGTAGCCAATATTCCAAATCTTCTGAAACGAAAAGTCAAAGGTCTGGGAAAAATTCCTGGTTCCTTAAAACAGTCCAAAACACACAAGATGGTTGGGAAGCTGCACACAAAGATTGTGTGGGTGGGGAAAGGTGGAACTTGAACTGGTCCTTCTCCTGGATCGGGTCCCTATTTAATTGCCAGGTGCCCCTTCATGGAAGCCTCCACTGGATCAAAGAGCTTCTATGAATGGTTACAATTGGGGGACACACACACCAATGTTTTGGTTTGAAAGACAGTTAAATTGATCTTTTGATCTACTCCTTGACGATACTTGATGGGTGCTTATTTTTATCTTTTTTATTACAAATATTGTGTATTTAAAATGCTGTTTTCCCTCTCTGATAATTTGGGTGGGGTTATTGGGTTGTTCTTGTTTTTATTTTGATGATGCATTTTTTGTTTTCATATTGTGATTTTATCCCTGAGACCTGTGGGTATAGGGCGGTATATAAATTTTAAGAATAATAACAAAAATGAGGTGCAGTCGCCACTCCAATTTGCACCTGGTTGACGTTTGCTCCTGACCCATTCCCCAGAACTTCCCGTTCAAGTGGCATCACTGTCAAAGCCAGGCTCTACTGGGGCTGTCTCAGGCAATGTAGGTACCATTCTCTGCACCAACACAACAGGGAGAAATGTATCTTCTCCAAAGGTTGCGGAAAGTCTGGTTTGGAAAACGCGCCTATATATCCTGCAGTTTTCATGCATGAAGTTGGATTTGGTTTAAGACAGAGGTGGACACGGAGTGTTGCAGATTAGGCCGGTGTGTGTGTGTGTGTGTGAATTAGAAGCAGAAATGAAAGAGAGAGCGAGCAATGATAGCAAACAAGTAAACGAATAAATACCTTGGTTCTCAAACTTAATCTGTTCCGGAAATTCCGTTCCAAAACCAAAGCGTTCCAAAACCAAGGCACACTTTCCCATAGAAAGGAATGCAAAACGGATTAATCCGTTCTATTGCATGTGAAGTCTATCCATTTCCAGCACTGTCACTCAAGTAAAGAGGCACCGGAGTTAAAGACATATTTATGACCCATTTGCACCACTAAAGCAGCATATATATGCTAAACGTTATAGAATCATAGAATTGGAAGAGTTGGAAGGGACCACAAATGTCATCTAATCCAACCCGCTGCAAAGCAGGAATCTTTTGCCCAACGTGGGGCTCGAACCCACGACGCTGAGATTAAGCGCCTCATGATCTACTGACTGAGGATAAATGAGCATGTTGCAACACTATTCATCTTGAGGATCAGTCTTTAGCCTACAGGTAATGCCCAAGCACTACAAAATATATGGTCACTATGCAGCACACACCGCAGTTATAAGAACCTGTGGAGTTAACCTTGAGGTAAAAAATAAAAATAATAATTACTTATTCATTTACAAGACAGCTTACAATTGCAAATCAAAACATATTTCATCAAGAGAAGTTAAAGGAACATTATAAAATCGGTGTATGAACAGTTTTACTCATACAGAGTTTTCACAGTATTAGTTACATATCCCTCCAGACCACTGAAATGTAGGAAATTCTGGTTTGTAGGGCTGTTGCCAGCTGGCACTCGGTACATCTTCAAATGCACAAACAGAGCACCACTGTTGCAGTTAGATGGGCAGAAAGATATGGGGCACACCAGATTTGCAAATGCTTGGAAAGTCAAACGGATTTTCCACCTCATCTATAAGCACTTATTAGAGTCTCAGTTACGAAGTGTAATGACATCAGTACAAAACTGCCTCCTTATAAAACTGGTCTTGTGACAGTGAGACAGCACCATGATTAATCTCAAACAGGGTTGGCTAACCTGTAGCCATCCCAATGTTGTTGCGCTACAAATTCTACCATTCCTGACCACTGGCACGCAGGGAACAAAATTTAAGTTTGGAAAAATGGGAAATAAAGATTCCCCAACATAGAGACTGAATTTGGGAACTCGTTAAATAGACCAATGTTCTGAAAGGCAAGACACATGAACTGTTTTCAGAAAGGCTTTGCAGAAATATGCTTAAATAAATACATTTACTGTCCATGCTAAGGAACATCTAAAAAAGGGGTACTGCCAGTGAGAGTTACCATGGTTGGTAAGATAATGTCATGATGCTGGAGTTGGATTTCTCATCTTCAGAGATTGAGAGTGGGCACTCTGAAGCAGGAGGGGAAGGACAAGCAAAGGCAGCCCCATAAGTGTCTCAGATGAACCTCCTGGGCCAGTTCCGCTGCCCCCTGCCCAACCTGAAGATGTGGCACTGCTTTCCTCTAACTCAGCGGACACTTTGAAAGAAGACTTCGAAAGACCTGAGGCTCCTCCACTCCTCCATCGCAGCAGATTACTGAAGACAACTATGCAATTTAAGGCAAGGAGCATCTCGCAGCCCAGGTGGTGATAACAATTAGGCGTAAACTGATGCTACTGCTTCTAAAGGGATGCAGGTGGCGCTGTGGTCTAAACCACTGAGCTTCTTGGGCTTGCCGATCAGAAGGTCGGCGGTTTGAATCCCTGCAACGATGTGAGCTCCCGTTGCTCTGTTCCAGCTCCTGCCAACCTAGCAGTTCAAAAGGACACCAGCGTGGGTAGATAAATAGGTACCACTGCGGTGGGAAGGTAAATGGAGTTGCCATGAGCTCTGGTTGCTGTCTCAGTGTTCCATTGCACCAGAAGCAGTTTAGTCATGCTGGCCACATGACCTGGAAAGCTGTCTGCAGACAAACATCAGCTCCCTGGGCCTGAAAGTGAGATGAGCACCACAACCCCATAGTTGCCTTTGACTGGACTTAACTGTCCAGGGGTCCTTTACCTTTACTTTTTACTGCCTCTATTGCTATATAGGGGCTCTGTTTCAGCTTGTTCCTTGCTGGGGCAACATTAATCCACGTTAATCCCTGGCTACCCAAGTGTCTCCCTCCTATATGCCTGTTCTCCATCTGTTCTCTCCCATTTGTCCAACTCCACCTTGTAAAGTATGATGCAAATTAATGGAGCTATATAAACAAGAAACCTGCTAGTTAGTCTCAAGGTTATAAAAATAATAATAAACAGAAAAACTGGAGTACAGTAGTACCTCGGGTTACATGCGCTTCAGGTTACATGCGCTTCAGGTTACAGACTCCACTAACCCAGAAATAGTGCTTCAGGTTAAGAACTTTGCTTCAGGATGAGAACAGAAATCGTGCTCCGGCAGTGCAGCGGCAGCAGGAGGCCCCATTAGCTAAAGTGGTGCTTCAGGTTAAGAACAGTTTCAGGTTAAGTACGGACCTCTGGAACAAATTAAGTACTTAACCCGAGGTACCACTGTACTGGCATACCTATATCAGACATCAGCTGCTCCATTTTTCTCACAAGTGAAATCAGTGCTTTTTTTTCCTAGAGAAAAAGGTGCCAGGATACACCTCCCTCAGAAGACCCATCCCAGAGCCCAACTGCGCCCGCTCTGGGGGCTTGCTCAGCTGAGGCACAGCTTTACCAACATGTCAGCTGTTAGCTGGGAGGCTGAAGAGCCTCAGCAAAGCCCTGCTGCACATCCGACACACGAGGAGACCCTCTCTTGAGCCTGTAGAGGATGTCGCCTTTCGGCTCCGGGGGAAGTCTCCTTGTGAGCTGGAGGCGCATTGGGGCTTTGCTTAGTCTGGTCAGGTCTCTCCCCACCAAAACAGGTAGATAAGAAATTTATGTACCTCCCTTTGTGAAAAGCCCATAGGGCAGTTTACAACACAGAAACATAACAAACAACACAGTGTATATACTAATGCATGTATTAATGATAACAGTATAAACACAAGCTACTGAGCTTTGCAGACTGCTGATGGAGCTGTAGGAGATTTATCCTTTTCTGGCACGCTGTAAAAAAATGTATGGTTACTTTACGGTTTGTTCTGTTGCTGTAAAAGTGATTTTGCAGTAATTTTTAAAAAAGATATTGCAGTTTAAATATATTCAGGGCAGAGGTGTGAAACTTCTGACCTGGAGTCCTAATCAGGCCGGGCAAGCCTCTGAAATCGGTATGAACCATTTTGGGCAAACACAGTGATCCAGTTCCCCACCCCTTCTTTAGGCACACAAAAATCTCAAGAAAGAGTATTCTTACCAGGCACTTCGGGTGGGCTTGGTTTCGTCTCCAAATCTTTGCCTTCATTTTTCAACTCAGGATATTTGGTTACCTTTTCCTGCTTTTCTATGTTTGTGCTAGTGCCAGCAATAAAGTAGTGTTGCAAAATAGGTTTCCTTGGCAATGGAGGTTTTGTGCTACCCTGTTCAGAGGCCTTTGATTTAGCTTTGAGGCTTTCAGTTAAAAAGCTAGTGGCATTTACATCACTTGTTTTTTTAGCCTCTGCTTTTTCGCTTTTTAGGGATGTCAAAGGTAGTCCCTCTTTTTCCACATTAAACTCCGCACTGTATCTTTTAGCCTCCTTTGATTCCTGCAAAGAGCTGTTTCTATATTTCAGTGATAAAGATGTGGATCTAAGCTTGACTTGGAAGGGATTTTTTTCTTCACAACTTGACTCGGCAGTACTTGACTGCTGTGGAAGAGCAGTGGAAAAATTACTCAGCACTGGTTTTGAAGCCATGACCTGGGGCGGTGGACTAGCTTCCATTCTGTCTGATGATCTCCCAGAGGTTTCTGATTCCAACTCTGATGAGGAGGCCCACTTGCTAGTGCAGCCTTTTCTCTCTTGGCAGGAGTTAACCTCTGTATCCTCTTTTACCTTCTCGTTTCTTGGAGAGTTTTTAATTTTAGCCTGCAAGATCTGCATTGCTGGTAGATTTTCATACACTAAAGTGTCCTTCATGTTCAAGCTGCTAGCCCTTGACCTTCCCCAAGCTGACGAGACAGAGAATTTTCTTGCAGTGCTTTGATCACTGGATTCTTTCCCTCCTAAAATCAACACAGCAGGTATTGCTGGGTGACTGTTTTCTTTATCGGATACAGATAGCACCTGAATTGGTTTTACTTTTTCTAGGTTCAAAGGAGGAGGTTGGTCTGTTTGTGGTGATGGGACCGTGCAAGAAGTTTGGGAAATACTATTGCTCTCAGAATATGGTAATTCTGTGATGTGGGATGAATTTTTTGATATAAGACTGATGGTGCTAGGCAGTGAAGGAGATGCATTTATAGTTCCCTTGTTAGAAATGTCTTCCAAAAGTGCCTTGGCATCTTTGAATGTATTTTTTTCTCTTCCACCTAGCGTTGGGATCACATCATCTTTGGTTGAGACATTCTTATCAGACAGCATGCCATATTTAGATTGCACACCATAAGTCTGTTTATTTTCCTGATTTAAAATATTAAGTGATGTGCTATTTAATAAACTGCAAGAGGAAATCTTTAGTGTTTCAGAGTGCTCTCTCTCCCTTTGTGATTCTTGGTTTGCAATAAGATTTAGGGCAGCTGTATCTACTTTCTTCTGAAGAAACAATGACAATACGGTGTGTGATATTTCTTGTGTATTTTGGCAGCCCTCTGGCTTATTTTCACAGAGAAGCATATGTGATTCAGAAGTGGTGTGCAGAGTGCGGGTTTTTTCATTTTGGTGACTCAAATTATGCTGAAGATCTTTTGACATTTCAAGTTGCTGGGAGTACACTGAATTTGCTAAATCTGCGCTCTCTGTTGGCTTCTTATGGTTGGAACTATCACCTTCACAGGTTAGTTCAGCTAGCATCTCATTCCTTTCATTTTTGTCTTCTTCAGGTGTGCAGCTCAAGTCATTCTGAAATTCTGACAGGTTCCTCTACAAGTGAGAAATGGAAGATTTTTATCATATGTTCAGCACATCACAACTTTATTTTATTTACCTGCTGTCAAGATGGCAGAATCATTAATGTTCCCCCAAGTGCTCCCCCCAAAATAGGACAACTCCCTGCAGTGTTTTTAAGTGTACTATACATCAATTTCTTTTATTCCTATGCATTAAAAATCATTATGCGATAGGAGGAAAAGGGAATATAGTGAGCTATAAATACTCTAACAACTAAATACATGGGGCAAACAAAAGTAATGAAAACATGTATACATGAACATAAGTTTCATCATTTCATAGTTCTTAATAATGATTTTCCTTTTCCTCAAATGGTTTTGTTTGTGCTGCCGTTAAATAAGAAGAAAACATCAATGAAACTGCAATTTCAGCTGGCTTTTTTTATAAGCTGTGACAATCTCTCTCTCTCTCTTTTACACTTGATCTTTATTTTCTCTTTCAAAATAGGAAAAAAGCTTCCTGAAAGATCGTAAGATATTTATTTTTATGTGAGATGTTTTTGATATAAATCTTCACAGGATGATGTTGACAAAATACACAGATTACACATCTTCCTGTAGTTCTAGTATTTATCCATCTGTTTAACCACAGCCAACTGTGATAACTGACAGTTTGGATGTGGATGGTTTAAAAGCAAGACTTTGCATTCTAGAGGTACAATAGCTTTTTGGCCACTGGCTGCTACTATTTTTCTCAAACCAAACTGGCCATGAAAAGCAATCACCAAAAACCCTTAAGGGAAAATGGGGGTGGGAATACGCACATACAAAATAACACTTAAAAAGGAGGGCAGATGGATGCATTTCAGTGCAAATGGCAGAAGACTCCCAAGCAAACTAAAATATCTGATATTTAAAGACCTAACAACTATACTGAAAGTCTAACGGAGCAGAGAGAAACACACTTATTTTTTACAATTTACCTTTACTCCACCTGGGAGGGGGGGAAGAATTACAGAGGAGGTGGCCTTGCATTGTACCATACTTCCAAGTTGATAGGTATAGGGCTGAGCTGTAAAAGGAACACATTTAACCACAGAGTCCTACCTGCTGGGGTACATCATGGTGTCTGGCCACTACCTCCTAGAAACTGGACCAATGCTGGCAAGGGGAGGGGCCATGAAGTGAACTGCTCCCACACACAATCCTGAAACTTCTAATCATGACCCAAGTAGGATCAGAAGAATCTGCACTGCAGCGGCTCCCATGCCAGAAATTATAGTCAAAGAAAAGGACCCAGAAATACCGGTGGACATCTTGACATATGAAGAGATATCAGAGATGTCACAGTAGAAAATAATAAGGGGGGGGGTGAATTAAACTAGTTTTCAATTTGTTATGTCTAGCCCTATTCAGGAGCTCCTCTTCATGTGATTTACACCTGTGTGCAGGTAACAGCAGGGCCAGGAGCATGTTTGTAGCAGGAAGCCTGCTCTATATGTATAGGGCTCTTGCCCTTCAATGTAGAACCTTGGTTACATCGTAAGGGTGGTGTAAGTGGCTTCACACATTCACTACATTCTTGAAGTAACTGCTGCCAAGGCAGGAAATGTGTGTGTTCCACATTTAGAATGAATGCCAGCATTCACTCTTTTTTAAAAAAGTGACCCAATAGGTGTAATTTCCAGCTACAATAAATAATTCTGGACTCACGAAGAGGCGATAAGAGGAAAGGCAACTTTTAAAAGTGGGTCCCTTTGATTATTCTCTGCACTTCCTTTGTTATTGCTGCTAAAACTGGTTCTACTATCCTGTTGTCCCTTGTTCTATGGGGAATTAAATATGCACACATGCAGGTCTCACCAAGCACAACTGATAAGGAAGCATAGCAATGGGGACAAAGAACATATGTTTTTAAATGGTTTTTAAATGTATCTCTCTTTTTTGGGTTTATTACCGAAGCAGGTCGTCTTGTTCTACTGGATCTTTGGTTCCGTGGTTTCACTAAAAGCTTGTGCTTAGCAGCTGAATTATCCAAGCAAGAAGAAAACTCGGCTGGAGTATCGAAATCAGCAGGAGGAGAGAGATTGCAGTCAGATGTCTGCAGAGATATAATTTTAGCACTTGGCTGCCTGGGGAATAGCTGGCTTTCCACAGAAGAGGATCTCAAAGGACTTGGTGTGACCTAAAGGAGAAGCCCAGAATGACAGAAGAGAGGGAGGGGAAGAGTCAGGTTTTATTTTTTAAAACGAGCACAATTTAAACATACAATAAAACTTGAAAGTTTCTAAGGAATTTTTAAATACACATTTATTCAGTGTTGGAATCACTCTCTAGCATACTGTAGCACATAGGAAAATGATGTAAACAGCAATTTTGCCAACACTGCTGGGACCATAATGCAGTGTACAGATTTAATAGAGGCAGTATCAATACTACCGTCATTTCATTTCAGGCAACAACAAAAATGAAGAGCACTTATACTGAGAATCCAGGTTCTGCTCCGAGTTCCATCCCCAGTGCTTCTGAATTGCTGCCTATTGAATTAATATCCTGCCTTTCTTCCATGGAAGCACACATAGGGCTCCCACAGAGTCTTCCATCTTGGGACTAAAGAGACCCAGACTTGCTTAGCTTCAGCAAAGTTGTCATCAAGTCCCTTCAGACCATGCGATCCTATATGCTAAAAAGCCAAGTTGCGGCATCCACAAACAAGGAGGAGATTTATCAAGTGCAAAATCACTTCAAGGGAGGAATCCCAAGGAGGACAAGATCTGATTGTGCTCAGTGGGCACAAAATGCAAACTGATTTTCAGGTGAAGACGGCGAAAAAAATGAAAGAAAACTGGAGTTGGAACGGAATTGGAGCATTCCACAATGTATTATTCTGTATTTGGTTCCACTTGTCCTACACTAAAGTCTATTATACAGAAAAAAATGCCTCTGTAAAGCTAGGGCTCTGTACACAACAGCACATTCCTCTGCCCCCGAGAATCCTGGGAATTGAAATTTGCAAAGGGTGCTGGGAATTGTAGCTCTATGAGATGTTAACGAAAGTTCCTAGGACTCTTTGAAGATGAGAAATGTTTTAAACTGCACAATGTAGTTATGCGACCCCCCCCCCCCTGCAAGCTTAAGGTTTAATGTTTTACTGTTTTTATATATGCTGGAAGCCGCCCAGAGTGGCTGGGGCAAGCCAGTCAAATGGGAGGGGCACAAATAATAAATTATTATTATTAAAACCAATGTCTCCTTTTAGGAAAAGCAGCATCAGAGATGAGAGGCACAGTATTCCTCCCTCCCTTATGAACTAATTTCAAATTATTTTCTGTTTGCAAAAGATAAAATACAGAATGGCCTTTCTTTACTCATGCGCATCTCTGGCTTGGTAAACTTTATTCTCTCCTTTCTCCTTGCAGCATAACAGAAATATACAATGTCAGTTGCATGTCAGTTTTAATCTTTTTTCCACCCAGGACTTTCAGGTCTCTTCCAGCAGTATAGAAGAGTCTAGAACTGGAATCGTTTGAGCACACTTTCAGCTTACAACTCAGCACCTATAAGCTGTCAAACATTTCCGTCTTTTATGTTTTGTATTCCCTTTGGAACCTTTAGAAACATCTCAAGGTTGTCTTATTGTGCATAATCATGCCCAGACGAAGAGAGATGCATGTTCTATTATATATAAACACATTTCATAGACATACAACATGCTCTGCAAGAGATTCTAAAGCACTGAGGTACTGTGCAAATTAGGGAGAAGGAAGCAGTCAAGACGAGCCATCAGGCCTCAAAAGCAGGAGGAACTACTGCATTTCTGGGCCACTTTCCAATTAGCACCTACTTATCATTTCAACTGCTCTAGTCTTATCTTCTGCCGGTGGGTTGACTCATATAAGCATATGCAACACTCAGTATTTCATATCATGGCAAATTCTCACTGATTATTGGGTAAACAACCCCTACTGAAAATAGCTACATTGGAGGTGTTACAGAAACTTGGTCTGCAGAGTGATGTACGTTCGATATGCACTTCACTTGCATGGGTGAAAATATCCACAGTTATGTCTCTGTGAAGCTCATTCTCTTTTGCAATGCCCCTATTTGGAAACTAGCACAAATGGCTTGTTTACTGCCCTACGGTCAAAGCAGGTTTGAAGTTCAGATTCGCAAACGTAGCATCCTGGACCAATGCTCTTCAGGATGAATATGGAGCAGCGAGGGAGAATGCTACTAAGTGTTATCCTCGGAAGCCACTTTAAAATAACTTAATTTCTAAACGACCTTTTCTTGATGTGTTTTAATTTCCTTTTTTCCTCATCTCCAGGGAAAAAACACACCTCTCACTACTTTGCACTCTCCCCTCCAGCTCTCATGTGCCTTGATGTCTCTGGCTCTTCCTCAGCTCAGTGAGTAAATGGAACTCTTCAAGGGACTGCTAAAACGCTCTTCAATCTGCTGCCTATGTGTGTTGCTGATTGAAGGGCACCTATCAACTCCTACTCAAAGATCGCAGGTTTGTGGGTGGGAACATTGGCTCCAATTATCCCTGCTCATGTTGGGCTGGATGAGGGACTGATGAAAATTCAAGTCTCCCAGGCACAAAAACCAACAGTCATAATCAGCAATGGATCAGTTTGGATCAGTAGTGGCGCCCACCCTGTGGAACACCCTCCCTTCAGATGTGAAGGAAATAAGTAGCTATCCTATCTTTAAAAGACATCTGAAGGCAGCCCTCTTCAGGGAAGTTTTTAATATTTAACGCTGTATTGTTTTTAATACTTGATTGGGAGCCGCCCAGAGTGGCTGGGGAGACTCAGCCAGATGGGCGGGGTATAAATATTCTCATTATTATTATTATTATTATTATTATTATTATTATCACTAACTAGGGTTACAACCACACCATACATTTAGAACACATGGCTTTTTCCAAAGAATTATAGGAACTGTAGTTCACCCCTCACAGAACTACCATTCCCAGCACCCTTGACAAAGTACAGTTCCCAGGATTATTTGGGGGAAGAAGCCGTGTGTTTAGTTGTGTGTTAAATGTGCTTGAAATGCATGGATGTGATCTAAGAACAGCACCTGAACAGTTAAGAAAGGAATAAGGGGACTCTTGTTCTGCACAACCAAACACATGACCTTGTGCACGCTGCTTAACTGCTGTTTAGATCTGTTCAAATGTAAAATTTGAAGACAAGTCAGCAGGAGGGTGTCCGAGAGCCTAAGACTCCCCTGCATTGACTTGCTTTTGTATTGAAAAGTAGTATCTGATCAACTTCCTGCCCAATTCCATCTCTTCCTGGAGGCTGAATTCAATGGTGCTTGAAAACCAAAAGTATGAAAATCAATGAAACGTAAATTAACTTTCCAGTATCTATAATGCAGTTGCTGAAACTGCTATGCATAAGGTAAATGAATATCCTTCATTAATACCTTTTAGAGAAGAATGATTCAACCCCCTACTCCATGTGCCTGCCGGTATTTTCAATGGCACCCACAAAAGGTATCTAAAGAATCCACAATGTGTGACTGAACACAACTCCTTAAACATGCTCTCATTTCACCAGATGCCAGGATTTGACAACCACCCTCCTTTCCATTCTGAACTGAGGAGACAAGCAAATAACTTTTAACAGTGAGTGAGTCCAGAAGTGGCTGGTATATGTACATTTTCCACTCACTGACGGGGGAGCATGTTCACATCATTCTGCAGAATCACCTGTTTTTCTGTTCTTATAGGTGTGGTAGCCATTTTGTATTATGCCACGCCACCAAGGCAGCCATTTTGTGGCAGGCGCCCTGGGCACTTTCTGAACATTTCAGTGTGCCCATTAGCCCTTAAAGGATAGCAACCTTGCTACAGAGATTCAGGACCCCAACAGTTGCTTTGGATACACAAAAACACACATGCATAATTAAACGCCAATCATTATTGTTACCTGTTCTTCTTCTTCACTGCCTGTTCCAGCTAAACTCAAAGAGCTAAGATGCTTGTGCGAGTCAGAGAACTGTGGGGTGGAATGAGGAAAAGATTCAGTGATAGGTGACAAAATGAGATGAGACACTGAGACACACACACAGGTTACACGCTTTACAAACCACAAAACGGACTAGAGAAAATATAAGTTGCAAGAAGAGAATCTATGCAGTTCTAAGAATTAGTTGGAATCCTGAAAAATATAAAGATGGTGGGAGGTGTTTTGTGTTTTCATTTTTATGGAAAGGTGATGGCATTAGTATGCTTCTACGAGGGCGGGGAGGGGAAGAGACAAAGGCTGAGATCAGTCAAAATCTTTCTTGATAATTTTTGCAATTCCTCTGCCACTGTTGCAGTAAAAAAAAAAAGAAGACCAAAACATTTCTAGAAGAATATGTTGCAATAAATAAAGATATCCCCGAAATACTCATCATATTGTTTAAACCTTCTGGTGCTTCCATTCAAGTCTATGCATGTACTTTTTCCCCCTCTTCAAAATAACTTGCCCTTGACAATACCAGGTGCTGTGTAATGTTTCCAAACACTTGGTTATCTATCTTTGTTATCTATCTTTGTTACAAATGCTTCTTCTATCAGGATGACGGCGGTGTGCAGGTTATTGCAATGTAATTTCAACCAGAAAGGCAAAATGAAACAAATGACCGCGTTCAAAATAATATTCTGAAAATGGCATGCTTGACTTATCCTACCTTTGCTGTACTGGAATTTAACATTTCCTGTAGTAAAGACGTTTCTGGTGGACTTCTAGGTAATCCATCATCTTCTGAACTCATCCCAGTATCATCCACTCTTTTTGAAGACGTTCCAAATGGCGACGAGGCCCTTAATTTCCAATTCTGTTGGAGTTTCAACTACAAGGACAAATTTCAAGCATGTTTCAATGTATTTTCTCCATTACTGAATGGCTGGAACATGCAATACTTATTTTTGTCCACATGAACAGGCATCTGCTTGTATGGAAGAAATGAGCCAGCCAGAAGTTCTCATAATCACAGCACCCTTCTTTCCCCTAGACATAGCAAATCACTAACATAGGAGGATTTTTTATTTTTTTAAAAGAGCAAAAGGTCATAAACTCTTGTGACTGTTTTTTTATTATTACTTTTAGCTTGATGTTTTATTTTGTTTGTTTGAATAAAAAGCAAGAAGCAGCAAAAGGTAGTTGTGAATAAGAAATATTCAAAAATCTACAGTAGGGAAATACCTTTATTAAGTCAACCAAATAATTAGGTTTGTCTGATAATGGTATTACAGTAATGCAGATTTTTGAATGTAGGTTAAGTTGTTCTACTCCCATTTTATGATGTGAACTCTGTGCAGGATATTATTACGGGGAAATATGGGGCAGGGGAGAGAGAAAAGAGAATGCCCCCAACCACTCCCAAAGGAATGTTGTCCTTGAGGGGGAAAAGGTTTCCCATCCTTGATTTATATTGAGTATATTTAATTTAAATGTACAGTATGTTACTATCATACAGAAGCAAATCCAGAGTTACAGTTACAACTGCTGGTGGGAGGCGGGGGGGGAGGGAGAGAGGGAGAGGGAGAGGGAGAGGGAGAGGGAGAGAGAGAGAGAGAGAGAGAGAGAGAGAGAAGAGAGTCAACATTATTGCATACATTTCACATTACCTGCAAAGCCCTAATCCGATCGGAAACATTTTCCTGAGAAAATACTCGGATTGGTCTAGTTGGTTCTTGTGCAGTCTCAGGAATGAAAATGCTCTCATGCGACAAGGCTCTGCTTCCCATAATACCTTCGTGCATCCTAGGAGAATACAGAACACAAACGAAAAATGCATGTGTGTCAATGTTTGGCCTTCATAAAACAGCTTTTTTTAAAAATTAAGCATATTCCATATGTTAAATTGAGTAGCAGTGTTAACAAACAGCCTAAGAGGAGCAGCCAAAGAAAAACTGCCCAGCTGCAAGTATATCCCACAATCATATAGGGACAGCCAATTCCTTTCAAAAACCAGCTGGAAAGGGATGCAAATACAGTGGGACAAACCCAAGAGGTGTGACCTAGGACCTTGAGGAGCAAAAGTACTGGGGAATAACTCTGCATTCATTCACTGCGAATGCCTGTAAAACAACAGGAGAACCCAGACTTGAAATCCAGTCTATCTTGCGGCACTGAAAGGGATTCTGGGTGCAAATCTCCAATTATGGCTTGCAGCTGTTTCAGAAAGCAATGTCCCTACTAGAGTTCATTGTATAGGTACCATATTGTCAAGCCTTCTTGTGCTTGAGACACAGGGCACACATTGCCATCCTTCCTTAGTAGTTAGGTACACAGGAAACCACCTTATACCAAGTCAGGCCATTGGTCCATCTAGTTCAGTATAGTCAGCACTGACCGGCAGCAGCTCTCTATAGCATTCCAGGAAGATGTCTCTCCCAGCACCACCTGGGACCTTTTGCACTCAAAGCAGGTGCTCTCTAGCAATGAGCTATGGCCCTTCTCCACCATCACTTCCTTCCTTCCTACAGCCAAGCCCATTCAGAAGTTTTGTAGCATCTGAGATTATGCTGCTGATTTTCATTCCTCATAGCCTCTGCTTTGCAAGTGATCATTTTTTACATGACATAAATGTCTTCCCACTTAGCAATCACATCTGTTGCAGGGAAATTGGGGGTGGGATTTAGCTAATGACTCCTATCTGTGGAAGCCCTACACAAGGACTTCCACTTGTACATTGAGGTTCCCCCCCCCCGCATGTTCCTGAAATAGGTTTGTGGGGGTTAGGAGAACAGCATGTCAGGGGAGGAGAGTGAGGATCAGTCCCTCCAGCAAGCTGAAATGCTTGTACTGATGGAACAATCAGAAAAGCATAGCACAAATGTAACTTTCCTTTGAAGTCTTATGCAAGGACACTTGGAACACCAGAAGCAAGGTCTTGCTCTTTAATAAGTATGTATTTTCCACACAGGGACGAGGGTGGTGCTGTGGGTTAAACCACAGAGCCTAGGGCTTGCCGATCAGAAGGTCGGTGGTTCGAATCCCCACAATGGGGTGAGCTCCCGTTGCTCAGTCCCTGTTCCTGCCAACCTAGCAGTTTGAAAGCACATCAAAGTGCAAGTAGATAAATAGGTACCGCTCCGGCGGGAAGGTAAACGGCATTTCCGTGCACTGCTCTGGTTCGCCAGAAGCGGCTTAGTCATGCTGACCACATGACCCGGAAGCTGTACGCCGGCTCCCTCGGCCAATAAAGCGAGATGAGTGCCACAACCCCAGAGTCGGCCACGACTAGACCTAATGGTCAGGGGTCCCTTTACCTTTACCTTTTTTATGTTCCACACAGGTAGAAGATAAAAGAACTGGGCAGCAATTTGGCTATGCAATGCTGCCCAGGATAACGCCCAAGACAACTAAGCACGTATCTCTATGCTTTTGCTGAGGACATAAACTAGTTTGTGTTAAGGTTCCTCAAAATTAAGAACTAGATTAAATGCTCCTACATTAAATGAAGATGCTATTGAAATGGATGGACATAAAATATAAATGGGCATGGGAACAGTCACTTTCCTCTCAATGATGGCTAAAAATATGTTCAGTGAAACAATAGGTGGGAAAGGAAGTTCTGCTATATAAGGAAGAAAAAAAATCCTGTGCAAGTTCAGTGTATTTGAGATCATTGGAGAGCAGCTTAATCAAAGAAAGAATGCCTTCTCCGAAATGCAAAGAATTTGCACAGAAAATTCTCCAGGACATGCAGAACCACCCTGGAATGTTTTGCTTGGCTTGGCAAAACTCCTTTGGCCTCACCTGAGATGAAACTTCCACGCTGGCTTTGAATTTCACTTTTCACAAAATGCAGCGATGTCCTAGGAATGATGGGGCTCTCTAAGATGTTTTGCTAGTCTCAGCTTCCCTGAAAATTCCTCTACCCAAGGGCAGAACTTCAAATTAACTTTAATAACTCTAATCACAGCTTCTTTGTAGTACTTGGAGGATTTAAAAACTGGAGACGCAGTATTGATTTTTGTGAATGATTACAATTATGGCCTTTTCTATACATTTAACAAGAAAGCATTTTCAATACTGCTGCTTTGGGATGTCACAGGTTTCCTACAAGCCAACGGTAAACAAAGCCATTCAGAGTACCAAGGGCTTTTTGATGTTGTGGTTTGGCAACCCCTAGTGGGAGCCTTGTGTAACGCAATCTTCATTAGCACCGGAAAGGACTGCAGGTATTTATTCACAGCTCACAATTCCTAAACAGCAATGCTAGGGGCTCAACATGCATGGCAATCATACCCTCCAACCTTAATACTATGATCTCTAATTTCATATGCAAGTGCTCTGGCAGCTCAGTGGAGCAGGCAAAAGATTCCGCTCATCTGCACTCTTGTTCTCTTTATTATTATTAGGTCATATGATTTGGGCCTTCGATCTTACTTGAAAACAGACATTTCTGTAGCCCACCATAGGCAAATAAGGAAAGCCCTGCTGGGTCAAGACCAATGCCTATCTAGCCCGGCCTTCTGTTCCCAAACTGCCCAACCAGATGCCTATAGGGAACTCACAAGCAGGATACAGTCATTAAAAGCACTCTTCCTGTTTATAGTTCCCCAGCAACTAGTATTCGGAGGCATTCAACCTTTGATGCAAACATAATCCAGTCACCGTGACTAGAAGCCAACAATAATCAATTCCTCTTTTAAAACCACCCAGGTTGGTGGCCATTGCTACATCTTATGGAAGTTCACCTATGGCCAGCGCAAAGCAGTACCTCTTTTTGTCTGTCCTGAATCTGTCACCTGAACCTACATCCCAACCTCCTAGTATTATTATTAAAGAGGTTATCCCTATGCACTTTTTCCAAATAATGCATAATCTTACATACCTCTTATCATGTCCCCAACTTTAGCCCGCCCTTTTCTAAGCTAAGCCCTGCCTTCAGATACTATAACCTTTTCTTGTAGGATAGACGCTCTAGCCGCTTTAATCTTTTGCTTGCCACTTTCTACCACTTTTCCAGCTTTATGATACCCTTTTTAAGATGCAGTGATGCACTGGGCGCAACCACGTTACAGCTATATACCAGGGAATTGTGATAATAACAAGATCCCCAACAAGAAATTTGATTTTTTTTTCATAGCAGCCACATACTGAGTCACTCTCTTCATTGCAATTTTATCAATTTATTTGACTGATTTTCAATCCTGCCCTTCCTATCAAAGCAGCCCAGGGCACCAAACACCAAAGTGGTAACGCAGTACAATTGTTAAAAATAATGTTTTCAATATGTTTTAAGAACCATTCAACACATTTTAAGACTACTAGACAGCACAGTCCTAAGATTTCTTCCCTGGTTAGTCAGAGAGTAGTTTATAACCTTCTCCTGATAGCTCCCTTTTCCTTCCCTTTGTACACTGGAACTCTGAGGTTTAGATCTTATAGAGGAGATAAACCTGTGTCTGGGTGGCTCTACTTGGCATCTCACATAGAGGACCATGTGACTGAATGCATAATAAAAATTCCTTTCAGAGAGAAAACTAAATGCCAAGGAGAAAAGTTCCAGCCTAACATTTTTACAGGTAGAAAAGGAAAGCTTTCTTTGGCTAGGGGGGAAGAGAGAGTCTGATTTAAATAATATAACTATTTGTAAAGATTTTGATACAATCTCTTAAGTAATGGCATCAAAAATATACATAATTTTTTCTTTCCAATGGCACCGTAAGATATGTTAGACTGAGATATAATAATTTGTCCATAGCCATTAAGAGAGCTCTCCAGTTCAGCTATGTCACTGTGACACTCTTATTTTACAGTAAGCCATAAATCACCAAGTATGAGCCAATTATACCCACTTCGCTCTCCCCCACTCACCTGGGGGGGGGGGGTAGTAGAAATAAAATATTATTCATAAGCCAAAAGCAAACATTGGCTTAGCATCCTGGTTTACTGAAGCAGGGAGGAGCTAAGCATGCAATAAGCAGACAAGACTTCCTGTGGCATGCGATTGCAGCCTTCCCCCCCTTTCTGAAATTTATTTGCAGCATCCCCAATATTCTCAAAGGAAGGATGCAACAAAGGGTCTCTTGCAGGGGTTAATCTATGAAAAGTTACCTGGGTTTTCCAAAAGGAAATTCGTTGTTTTGTGAAAAAGCTAAAGATAAGTTTATAGAGACTTACTCAAGCTCATCTTCAGAATCGTAATCTATATGCATAGACTGTGAAGCTGTGACGTCACTTGCAGACTGGCATTGTTTCAGACTACCACTTCCTGTAGGTGATAATGTCTCTTTTCGTTTTCTTTTCCCGAAGAACTTTTTGATAGATTTAAACTTAGACTTCTTCTTTCCTGGGAGGGAATAAATATTAAGGGAGTCGTAATTATTTTTAGGCAGTGTTGTTATTATTTATTCATCCACACATGTCATCAAGAAGGCAATCTCCTCCCGCCCCCCCCCCCGCCTCAGCTTCAGTTGTCTTTTTCCGCCAATTGAATGTACAGATATTTGTATCCACACTGATCCCAACGTAATACTATTACTGTACTGGTGTAAACGAATTGTGAGGATATAAGGTACATTAAAGGGGGGGGAAGACTTGCAAGAAAGACTACTCTCTAGTCGCTGCCAATATCCTATTAACATTTAATGTAATAAGACTGTGAAGTATAAACTCAGTGTTAAATGGTAGATGCAGGGAACAGAATTAAATTACAGTCCGGAAACTCAATGTCTCTCTTCACTAATCACTGAAGAGCAGGGCGGCCTTGTTACCAAATGACGTGAGTAATTTAAAAACACAGAAATAGCTTGCTGAGGTGGAAAACCCGCATGCTGATATTCTGAATGGTAATTATGTTACCAAGTGGCACTTTCCGTGTTAAAACAAGCATCAAGCAATAATACTGAAGTGTAATGCTAAGCTAAATGCCGCAGAAAGGAAGCTTAATCAAGAAAATGTTTTCAGGCCATCCAACTTCGGATACAAATGGGTCTTTCGCCATATGAAGCAAATTCTAAAAGCTTTTGCAGGAGCTCCCAAAGAGGGCTATTTTACTATTTCCATTTAGGACCCCTGCCAGACCTAATTTCACATGCAGGCCAGAGGTTCCTCACTGCTGATTTAAAATGTTTGTTTTATTTGACCAATAAATTGATTTGACCAATGAATTGATTAATCATGCAAACTTTCAACAAATATTCGCTGATTAAACTAGATGACAGCTCTAGAGAACAAAAGCCAAAGAGAAAAACTTAATTTTTTTCTGTAATAAAAAAGGTTCTCTCAAACGTAACATGAAAATAGGCCTTTTACCTGAACCTTCCTCGCCAGATCCTTCAGCCTCTGGGAATTTGATATCCATGACCCTTGTGGAACTGGTAAAGCAGTCACTAAATGAAAAAGGGAAATATATATATTATCATCAGAATATTATCTAGACTTGTTTGATATTGGATCTAAGGTGGGGTGCGAAAGTTTTGGTCCTCCAGTTGTTGTTGAGTTGAAGATTCCATCATTCCTATCCTGACGGTCAGGGAAACAATTACAAACGATCATACTGTGTAGATGATAGTTAGTTTGGGTGGCACTGACAGCGTCACACCTTGAAGATTTTAACCTAGAAGTCAGACCCACATAGGCAGCTTCACCTGATTGATGTAAAGCCCTTCTCAAGATTTAATTATTAATCCTTTGATACTGTTGACCATGAAATCAACGGTGATTGAGCACAAGATCTTGTAGTAGTTTGCAGAACCATGCTTGAATGGTTCTGCTTGTCCCTGACAAGCAGACCACACTGGGTAATGTCGGACATCTGTTTGTGCCATGCCTAGCTCTGACCAGGTGTCAGTTGCTGAGTCCTTGGTGTATGAACCAGATGCTCTGTTGATCTTGAGGACTAAGCAGGTTCTCATGGAACCAAGGCTTAGGATCACCTTGGTGGGAGCCCTCCTGAAGACCCCTTCAAGCCATCAGATGATGTAGTGCAGCCACCCTTCAGTCCTTGAGAACATAGGTGTCAAAAGGCCTGGGTCCAGGCTGAAGAACAATAACATAGCATGCACCTACATTTTGCAGCTTGTGAGTAAGGTGTCCACTCATGAGTAAGCACTCCCTGGAATTCCTCTGCTACCTGCAGGTGGAATTTGGGTGTTGTCTAGGAGGCTCCACTTGAGCCAGCCTTTCAGTTGCCAGAGGCAACACAGGTCTCTGCTCCTCCTCCTTGCTGTGTTGTACTTTGCCTGTGCTACTGAATTTGGACCATCACCTGACTTAACCTCTGGGTCATGTTATGGACAGAGACAGATTCCATGTGTTTGACCTTGGCTTGTTGAGACTATACAGCATCTTAAACCCTGTTCTCTTGGGTAAATGTTTTGCCAGAATGCTTTTTATCTTCTAGGTCTGAGACCCTGGTCCCTGAGGACACCACCTGGAGCATGACAGCTCATCACCTTCCTGGGACCTTCAAGTTGGCTTCACCTCACAGTCCATCCTGTTTGCCTTCCTACCCAACAGGATTTTAGAACAAACAAGGTCTTGCAATCACTGTGTATATTTGATGGTAAAATGTTAGAAGCAAGCAAGCAGAGATGAACTTTAACAAGATTAAAATAAACGCCTTCCAAGACTTCAACTTTAATCAGAAACAGGGTTCAGCTTCCTGCTGCTCTACAAGTAAGCAGTATCACTTTTGAAAGCTCCTTTCAGACCATGAGCTCATCTAATTCAGTATTTTCCACTCCAACTCACAGTGGCTCTTCAGAATTTTAGACAGGGTACATTCCCAGCCTTACCTGGATGTGTCTATTCCAGGTAAGGGATTAAATCTGGGACCTTCTGCCTGCAGATAACTCTACTGCTGTTTCTATGGTTTCTTCTCCTTGATTGCGAGTCTGCAGCGATGTTCATGCAACCTAATAATGCAAACTGGTGTAGAAGCAGGAAGCTGGGATGCAATGGTCAGTGACACTTTCCACGAGCTCCACCTGGTGAAAAGGCTTCCTCTCTTTACATATGAGATGATGGTATTTTCTATATTTCTTCACCATGAGGTTAAACTACTGCAATTTGCCCCACTTAAGTCACCCTGAAACACTGCAAGACCTGCTCACTTAGGGTAACTTTTAGGAAGCATGATTAAATTGACTGTTGACACTTTAATATAGTAAAAAATTATTCTCTGTGTGAAAGGTTCTCATACTATTCCCCCTTCAAGTTTTAATGGATTATGTATTTGATAATCTTAAAAGGGTATGTTTAAAACAAGACTTTGGAAGAATACTTGTTTTGGTTCTGCTTGAACCCATTTTTAAAAAGGTACATTTCATATTTAGCTTTCTGATTCAGCAAATGGCCAATATGTTCCCCAGGCTAGAGCACAAACAGGCTTGATATAAATAAATACAGTGAAAGGTCAGCACTTGCTAAGTTATGAAAACAAATTAGATCCTATGCATTTAGGTATGTCCACCCCTCCTTGATGAGTAAAGATCACAAACAGAATACTCCCTTCTGTATTACTTCTGCAGAAATGAATTGTTTGCTTAGATTTATTCTCTGTTATAAAAGACTCAAGGTGAGTAACAGCAATTGTGCAACTGACCTGGCTTTCAAGGCCTGTAACAAAGAACAGTGCAGAGTTAATACTAACTCCTCATTCTCTTAACCAGGGTTAAGTTTATCAAGAGTGGGCTCTGGATCTTCAAGTTCACCTTCCCCCAGCCCCTTCCCCCTTGTGCATTAATTGTCACTCCTCCCTTCATCCATAGCCCTAAATTCCAATCAAGGTTTACATCTCTATCACTATTAACCAAGGCAATTGGTAGTTAGGTTTCCTCATAGCCTTGGTTTGCAAACCCAGTTCAAATTCTTATTTGAAAGATGGGTTAAGATGGAAACCCTAGTTAGCATTAACCATTGGGTTGGTCCTCAAAATTAATTCTTACAAATGCTCAAGAAGATGTGCATTACCATATCAGAAGTATCTCCTAAACATACCCTGGAAAGATCCCACCAACTTTTCTGAGGGACAAGAGGAGAGCACCAATTAGTCTTCCACCTTTGTTTCTGTTTCCATAGTCAAAAAAAGCTCTCAGAGCAGCTTACGAAGTTGGGTTTTTTAAAAACAGTCCCTGCCCACAGGCTTACAATCTATGGGTGTGTACACACTGCATGATCATGTGCATTCAAGTGCGGGATGCAGGCACATTTTCGGGTTGCTGTGCACACAATGCCACTCCCATCGCTGTCACACGCTATTTGTCAGTCGAAAGGGCATTCTGCTGGAACGGTTCTAATCTGTTGTATGCCAAGAATGTGCTTCTCAAGCACATGTGTACACAGATAACAACACACTGTCAGGTCACTGCCACCTATTGGGGCAGACCAACTCATGTTGTAGGTGTGTTCCACTCCCCCTAACCAGGCTTAACTTGCCTATGAATGAAATAGGCAAAAGAGGAAGCGGTGCGGTAACTTAGCTGCTTCTGTATACCGAAATATAGGTCCTCTGTTTACAGTATGTCGACATACAAGTTTACAACCACACTCTTTTGAAAGACTGTGGAAACACCAATTGAGGGGAGGTGAATAAAGACCACAGCTGCGTACTAGTTCGAAAGCATGCCCACCTATGTGTGCAGACTGTGGGATGTATCATCACTGAAGCAGTCAAATACAACATTTCCTGTTGCCTAGAGTGGACACACAGGGGAATGTTGCTCCAGACAGGGGGGACTTCCTATCGTATCTGCTCTGGAGCCTCCTCTCCGTGTGTGAGCAGGTAGATGGGTGTGACCCTAGCAGACCTTATAAAAGGGCTAGCTATGCAGCCATCTTCCTCTTTGGTCCTCTTTTGCCATCTCCCATTCTTCTGGCTCAACATTCCCACACAGACAACACAGATAGCAGCTGCTGCTTTAGATGATGTCATTGCATGAAGGTGTGTACAAACTGCTATTGGCTATATACAGAAGTGCACTGTGAAGAAACGAGCCCTGTGCATTTCAAAGGCTACATGTGCACATCTTAAGTCAGTTTGGCTCTGCAAGAGAGCTTTGCTTCCTAGAGGGGCACAGTCAAGCCTGACTCAGCAGTTCCTGCATATCAGAAACCTATGTCTGTCTTACTAGCAGCTCCACAGGGGCTTATAAAGGACACTGTTATAAATAACGGAAACAAAGGAGAACCAAAGATACAGAATGGATGTCTTATGATTTGGTAAACATCTCTTAGAACGAATAATTGCAATGAGAGTCAAAAAAATGTTCCACCTAGCTCAACATCTTGACAGTGACTAAATTGATTTAATTTACACAGGCAGGGCAGGTTTTACTAAGGAGCAGGGGAGGAATAGAGGTAAGATCCAACCAGGACCTTCTCAGCTCACTTGCCCAAGTTGTTCTGTAAAGCTCAGATTGCTGACAAATTCCATCCCGTTTGGCCGCAGCAATGCTATGGTATCTGGTTTCCTCCAACCATCTCTTGGTCCCCTCTACCCCACACTTTCATAATGCAATCCTACACAATGTTTACTCTAAAATAAGTCCCCTACCTTCTACAAAACCTCCCCTCGGTAGGGATTTCCCACAAAGAATGGGCTGGACACAGAGTTGCATGGAGCAGAACTCCACAAACTGGACACTTGTGTTTTCACCTATTCTTCCCTTGCAGACCTTAGAAATTGACTCCAGAGATAGGGGAGAACTCTGGAAAACTGCAGGAGGTGGCAACGGAGGCTGTCATAGATGCCATCTCATGCCAACGATTGTGGGTGCCCACAATGTAAGGACCAGGAGGAGGAGGAAGAGGAGGAGCCGGCAGAGGTAGATATGGCGGCTCCTCCTCCCTCACATGAAGAAATGGGGACAGTGGGGAATAGATTCCCTTTTGTCCATTGACTTGGGGCAGTGGCCCCCACAAATATATTATTGTGGGAGCCGAAGCAACCACAGCCCCCCGGAATTGGCACCAGTGAAGGCTGTAGAAGGAAGGGAAAATCAGTGTAAATTATCCTCCCCACCGCCTACTGCCAATTGCAGGAGTCTTCACTACATCCAAATTGCTTCCGAGAAAGGAACGAACCTTTCTGTTTGCATAACAGCTGCTCTGGATCTAAGTCATTGTATTTACGTCAATATTTCAAATTATTTTCTTTTCCCATGTTTCCGTACACTACAAAGTTACAGGCTTGGGATAACTCTACACCAGAAGGCACTGAAGTCTCCCTTGCATGGCAAGGTAGGTATTACATATCATGACCTTGAACATTTTTTCATTTTTAAAGAGATTTTAAAGGTTATGTTAATTAGATCTTAAAATAAGAAAATCAAGGAAGAAAGAGCAGAGAATACACTATTACTCTGAGATTTCTGCGTCACAAACACTGAACAACTACTTCCACAATTTTACAGGAAAAGTAGCAAATTACTATGTTCTACTTGCAGGGTATTTGGGGTGGAAAGACATGCGTTAGCGTAGCATGGAATATCAGAATATCTGAAGCGTTGCTGTTCATCAATATTCTGCCATGAATCCATTTTTCGCCTCACCTCAGCATCTTGATTGCCACAACTTTGCTTGCCCCCTCTGTAGAAAGTTTGACCCCACAGTCACATGGAATGCTCTGGCAGAAGGAAGAAATGTATGCAGCTCTAGTGCTGAACCTCCTTAGTCATCCTAGCAATAGGTTGCAACAGGAAAGGAGTAAGAAATCAAGTGCGCAGCAGCACAAGCAACAGTCTGAAATGGAACTTAGAGAGAGAGCACACTGTCCCCAGCATGTGTGGGTTTTTTCCTAAAGCCTAACAAGCGTCTGTGCCCCAATACTATAGACACACAGACACTCACGATCTAGGAAGTGGAAACACAGGTAGTAAGATCCGAGCCCACTGAAATCTCCCCAGGCAGCACAGTCCACTAACTTTAACAATAACCACTATGTGGTAAACACATTCCCTCATCTCACCAACTCCCCGAGGATCTAATGCAAAGCAGAACAACCCAGAGCTTATTAACCTGTAACTCTCTGCGAAAAGATGCATCAAACGTTTTTGTGTTGCATCACTTCTTCCACCTGCTTCATTCCCTCTCAGAAACAACTCTTGACTGCTTTAGCCCCTGAATACAGCTTGTGGACCATATTCTAGGACACACACACACAAAAACCCTAAACCTTTCCCCATCCTTCAACAGAAACCAAAACCACTTATATTCAAGGTAAACAAGTGATAGCAAGTTTGAAAATTAAACTAGCCTTGTGGCACCTTAAAGACCAACAAATTTATTTCTGCATATGCCTCTACAGACTAGAGTCCACTTCATCAGATGCATGAAGTGTTATGAAATAAGGCCAGAGAAAAATGAAATGCAGAAAGTACAGAGACTGTGATAATAACATTATCAGTGACTGTTTTAAACTAACATATTCACTCTAATTCAGTCTATACAGTAAGTCTGCAACTTATGCACATTTAACTTGTGTGCATTCAGATGTACGTGCTTGGCAAATAATTGAAAACAAAAAAGGGGGGGCAGAAAGAGGATGGGCATCCAGGAAAAAAGATTTTGGCAATCCCACCCACCACTGAACCCAATGTATTTTGACTATATGTGACTTTGGCTTTAGGCACAATCCCTGGAATGTAACCCCCATGTAAGTTGCAGGCTTACTGTATACATATTTTTTTAACTCAGGAATTGAACATGAAAAAAGAATGTATTTTAGAGACAAAAAGCTCTCTGATATTTTTAAATCTAGCTCAATTATTGTTGGTATAAATATTTCAGTTTAGAAGGAGTTCTATGTAATTATCCTAAAAACTAACAGGTGTACCTTTTATGAACTCTTTTTAAAAGGGCACCATACCCCATTTTTCGTGGAAGTGCGATATTTCCTTCATTGCACCTGTATATTATGTTTGAATAGGGAATTTCCTTTCCCTATTCACCCTATATTTAAAGAAAACAAAGAGTGGTGCAATTCATAGAAAACTTAAGACACACCTAAGTCCCATTGAAACCACCGGGACTTAAACACATATGGATATGAATGGGATTTAGGCATACCTCGTAAGATTTACAGGACTACACCCAATAGCATTTTCTCATATTCATGAAAGTTAGCTAACCATAAGTGTAGGAAAACAAGCAGCAAGGGGAAAAATAAACAATCCAACAGTGAAATTCTAAATATACAGGCAGCCGAAGGAGAGATCAGCAGGAAGCAGAATGGCAGATAACAACAAAGGATGCATTTTAAAGTTCAGTCCTCTTGTGAAAAGAGTTAGGTGCGTTTATGGTGCTCTTTGTAACAAACCTTTTTTTATTTCCAAGAGTACAGGTTGTACCGTTGTGAGAAAGGTGTGCTGAGTGGGAAAACTGCTGCTGCTATTCATGCAAGATCAGTCTAGCGTCACAGTTATCCTCCTATAAGCAAAATGGGGGCAGCCAGAAAGTCTCATCAACCTTTTCCAGCAAGTTCAAAGGCTCCTTTCTCCTCTTCTGAAATTCAAAACTACCAGGTTTTTCTTTCTTTCTCTTGACACACAAGATGCTCTCAGATAGAATACAGGTCTCAGCCTCCACCCTGGCAGGTAGGTGTGACCTGCATTCTGAACTGGTCTTCCCTGCCGATGAATTAGTATCAGTCGTTAACAGTCAAGCCAAATCTAAAGGCAGTTTTTAAAATGGCAGTACTGCATGGTCCTACACAGTATTTTTTAAACTCTTTTTTGTTATCGGCATGCATTACTACCCACTTTTAACTTCTTCGATGGTCCATCATTATGCATTTTTAAACTTCTTTGAACATTATGTCGCCATTTCCACTTCTGAAGAATATACACATATATAGACAGGGGTTTTTTTTTCAGCAGGAGCTCAGTTCTGACATCTCTCAGGTGGACACCATTGCCGTTAAAAGAGAACAAGGGAGGTGTTTATGGTGAGCATATATCACTGCATATAGCAGGAGCTGACACAATAGTCATCTTATGTGTGTAGCAGACTGCCAGAGGCATAAGCAGAGCATCAGACCTAAAACGGATCACATTGCCAGAGACTCTCACGCACTATTTAAACACAATGTTCCCTGTTTTACTGAAGTATTGTACAAATGTTTGACAGCATATATGATTTTTTTCTGAATTAAAAATTGGAATTATGCCTCATTCTTACACAGCTGGGTAATTTCAGAGGGTGTAGAAGTCAGAATTACCCACCTTGAGTGAAACCAATCTGCAGTTTCCAGAAGAGTCACTGATAAGGGGGTACATGCTGATTTGTGGGAGAAAGCTGTAAAGCTCAGTGATGGGATGCCTGCTTGCATACAGAAGGTTCCAGGTACCTCCAGGATAGGGCTGAGAAAGAAACCAATCTGAAACCCTAGAGACTTACTGCCTGTCAATGCAAATAAACTGAGCTAGATCAACCAATGGTATAATACAGCTTCTTAGATTCTTGGAAAGCAGCAAACCCACAACAGTAGCTCATGCAGAAACCCTGGACGTGGTCTCCGCTGAACAGAGGCTATCCTGCTGCATCTCTCCTCAAAGTGATTGATCAGACCAGTGGCACTTGACATAGCGGCCGATTGGAATGATGCAGTGCCAGATCTGAAGATCATACAGAGATGCAACACAATTTCATCCTGTGGCGGTAATTTGGAATCACAGGAGCCTTTGACGTAACCGGATAATGTTAACAGCACACTTGGGGAAGTCCACAAACCAACAATAATAAATGGGGGGGGAGATCTAAATCCTGAGATTGCACAGAAGACAGGGTGCATAGCTATATAATGGTCTTAAGCTAGTTGACCAGTCATTCCTTCTCCTCAACGTACCTGAGCAAAAGTTGCTGCACATAAAATAACGACTCTGAGAAAGAACATTACGGCAAGGGAGAGAGCAACCTGGCCCATCTATCAGCCAAAGGAGGAGAAGCTGCAGGGAGCTTGCTTTGCCACTCCCTTCTAAAAAGAACACTTATAAGAACGTTGTAATTAAGAAGAAATCCCTGAGTTTGCTTTTTCTTTCTTTCATCCTCCCTCCTAATCCTTTTTTTCCTTTTGTGCCATTTCTGTTAGGCTGTAACCCTGATGGCAAAACTGCTAATCTTGACGACAGGGACTACCTCACTGATTGCTGTAAACCAGGGGTAGGGAACAGGATTTGCTTACCAGGGTGGCTTTTGCAATTCCCCAGTCCCTGTGCACCACTTCAACAAGCGGGCAGGGCCACCCCACCTGCCCTCTTTCCAGAAACCCCAGTGGCACCAGGTTGTGGGTGTTTTCCACAGGGTGTATCTAGGTGCAAAAGGTTAGGTCACAATCCACAGCCAAGGTTCAAAGCAGAAAGTGATACCCCGGGTCCAAGGTCAGGACCCAGAGCAGTAAGAGGTAAGTCAGGTCAAGACACAATTCAGGGTCAGGGAAATTCAGTATGAAGATCAAGGTGGGTGCCAAAGCTGATGAACAGGTATTGATCCAGCAACTCTTCAGCAGAGACTGGTAACTTTTATACAAGATCTTCTGAGCCCCACCATCTGCACAGCTGCCAGTCATCTGGGCTAACAAGGCACAGGTCTACTCATGAAAAGCAGCCCGCCTCACAAGCTACTGAGGAGAGCCTGGCTCTCAGACAGGCATTGTGGTATTTAAAGGTAAAACGGTAAAGGACCCCTGGATGGTTAAGTCCAGTCAAAGGCGACTATGGGATTGTGGCACTCATCTCGCTTTCAGGCCGAGGGAGCTGGCGTTTGTCTACAGACAGCTTTCTGGGTCATGTGGCCAGCGTAACTAAACCGCTTCTGGAGCAATGGGACACCATGACGGAAGCCAGAGCACACAGAAACGCCATTTACCTTCCTGCCACAGCAGTATCTATTTATATACTCACACTGGTATGCTTTCAAACTGCTAGGTTGGCAGGAGCTGGGACAAAGCAACAGGAGCTCACCCCGTCATGCAGATTCGAAGTGCTGACCTTGTGATTGGCAAGCCCAAGAGGCTCAGTGGTTTAGACCACAGCACCATCTCATCCCTTACTGCTGTGTTTAGTCATTGCCCCATCATACAACTTCATGAGCTGGCGCTCTTTAGGTACTCTCATCTCTGCCTCACAGTTCTGGTCTTGCTGAGGAGAGGGCAGGGGATCCCCACTGTCAGAGAGCCTGGACTCCAGGTCCTCTTCCAAAGAGAACTACTACTACAGCAGCAGCAGCATGATACTGCCCATCAATCACTTGGCTTGCAGAAGTCTTGCTTTGGTTTGAGCAAGGATCACTTGCACTAAGGAACTCCATGGTGCAAGGTATCTCAGCAGGGCTTGCTAAAACCACCGAGCAGTGCTTGCAAGCAAGCCCCTGCAGAGTGAGATCTTTTGCATCTCCAGCTTGAATTCAAACTGGTAACTCAAAGAAAGAATCTGTGCTCCCGATTATTATTTGCATCAAAAGATTGTGCTTTTAAAATGCTGCCCCTTTTCCCATTGCTGTGCAGCAAGTGCTCGCTGTTAATCTCCCTTTTATTCACAGCACATGGGGGAAAGTGGCCATGGTTTGTCCAAAACGGCTTGGCAAGCCGAATTTGGCCCATGGACTTGAGCACACCCCCCCACATAAGTGTTCTGCAAGTCTTTTTGGCTGAAGAGCAGAGTTAAAATCATTTAATTTATTTCATTCTCACTATGACTCGCTTCTTATGAAATTTCTTTAAACAATTTAACAATAAAAATATGCATAGATGAAAGGACTAGGTCAAAACATATTAATGAGGGGTTAAACAAACAGGCTGATGTCAGCTCCATGACAGCAGTCCACACAAGCAGAGAGAAGGTGTCGTGGGCACCCTTGACCTTGACATGAAGTACAAAAGCCAACCTAATCCACTCTGGGGTAGGTGGGTGTGTACCCTTTCAGAGGCTGACCCCTTTCCACCTTAGCACCAAAAAGTATACGTACGATCATACAGCAGTTTAAAGAAAACTTTTCCCTTTTCTTTCTCATATTCTGTGCTCACAACATACTCATTCTCTCTAGCAGATAAGTCCCCAAGCTTGCAATTTTCCCCGTAGTGAGGAACGCTCTTCTCCTCACTTGGCAAAGCTAAAACCTTGCAGAAATGTCATTCTACTACCAGTGGGCTATCTACCGCACTACTTTCCCTTATGAAACCACCCTGCAAAGGCTAAAGTAGTTTGAGGGTGTCATAGGACTAATCATCTAGATGAGCATTCATTTTGGATATCAACAACAAAAGTTTTAAGGCTGTATTTAATATATTTTTGGCAATTATTAAATACTTGTAAACTAAAAAAAAGAGCAAACATAAGAACAGTCTGTATTCCATTAATCATAAAGTAAATAAGCTAGATGAAGCTGAAAAGCAGTTAATTCAAAGTATTCTTAAAAGAACAGAAATTCATGTCGATCACTGGAGCAAATAATTACAGAATTGCGATACACCAAATACACTGTTGTAACCCCCAATGTAACACTTCCTGTGGAGGGAATGAAAACTGCTTAGCACTGAACGCTAGCTATTTTTCACTAAACATATCCTATAACCAGAATGAAGGTTGTTTTCTGCAATATGGGTGCAACAAACAAAAGTGACGGACCACCTGATGAAACTAAATACAACAGAACAATGTTTGCACCGCTCAGTGTTATTTGCCTGCGTAAACAAGAAATCCATTAACACATTACAAAGTTATCCTACAGTTAAATCAATAGCAGCACTTTCTCTCCAACTGCTTACCTGCATAAGTATTTTGTTTTGTCAGATTCAGTAAAACATGAAGGGCTACAAGCATTTAGAGACAAATTCCTCACCTTGCCAATCAACTGAGGAGGAATAAAAGCAAAAGGCTAGTACTTTCAAGTTCACAGGAAAGGGTTCCAAAGTACTGTAATGTTGAGTCCATTCAAGTTAAGAGGCACAGCTAAGAGGCACAGCCTTTTCAGAAAGTCAGACGTCATGCTATGCTACTGTGCTGTCTCAAGTGTATGCACAATATTGCCTTGGGCCCTGCAAATGATCCCGGTTTCTGCCTCTGAATGATTTCACAGTCAAAGGAGAAAGCACCACTATGAGTTGCTAGGAAACAGGGAGGGAGTTCCTGACCTGAATTCTTAGAGTAGAGGATGTTGCCCAGGAAGCTTATACAGTCTTCCCAGTTCCTTGGAAATAAAGGATATATAAACCCTTGTACATATCCTGAAAAATAACGTAGGAGCCTCAAAACGAAATTACAGACTTAATAACAGGCTTTGTGCAAAGAAAAAACAACAGGTATCACGCAGGGATTTGTTCTGTCAATTTGAAAAAGAACTAAATTAGGGGGAAATTCCACTAGGATTAAATGTTTGCACTTATTTTTTTAACAGTTTTATTGTTTTTGTGTGCCTTTTCCCTAAATCTGTCATCAGCAACTGCTTTTGATGGAAGGCGAATCTGTGAAAAAGGCCACAACTCCCACTACCCAAAGTTACTTGTTAGTACCCAATGGCATCGCAACAGGGAGCATGGGGGGGGCGGTACGCCCCGGGTTCCATGCCTGCGGGGGTGACAAGAAGTCACCCCGCGGGGGCTCATGGTGGCGCGAGCAGCCATCGAGCCGCCGCAGCCGCCTTTGGAAGATCCTCTGTTAGTGGCTATAGCCGCGAGCAGAGGATCCTGGCGCTGGCAGCAAACCGCTAATTACAGCACATGTGTGGCGTCGCACGCATGCGCTGTACGTAGCGCCGCCGCCCATGCACTGTATAGCAGTTTGCTGCCGGCACCAGGATCCTCTGCTCATGGCTGCAGCCATGAATTAAGGATCCTCAGTTCGCAGCTGTAGCGGCGCCGGAGGGATCCCGGCACCATCCGTACGGCGCTGGCGGCAAACTGCTATACAGCGCATGTGCAACGTCGCTACGTACGGCACATGCACCGCACATGCACCCTACGTCATGATGCCCGCCCCAGGTGTCACGACGCCTTCCTTCACCCCCGTTGGTACCCAAATAATTTCAGAAATGTCTCTGCCCTTCTCTTGCTTCTGTATTGGCAAGGGCAGGAGGCAGATTTGACACAGGGATTTGTACCTGCTGACCCCCATCCTAAACACATTGGCTCATGTATAGCAAACCTTTAACTACAGTTTACTGTAATGTCTGAAATTTGCCAATCACACCAGTCACCTACTTTAAGGGAAATAAATCATGATCAGAAAGTCAAGAACCTTAGGTTATCATTTTGGTGTGTTTGGAGCAAAACAAACCACTATCCCTGTAGTATCAGAGTGCACTTATTAACTTTGAACTTGCTCAATTAACTTTTAATTGAACAGATTTAAAAATAAGAGCATTGCGACTAGACCGTCAAACTCACTTGCTTAGAAACAGAAGTATATCTCCTGGAATCTGTGGAATTCAAGTGAAGAAAAACCACAAGAAATTCCTTGAAATGATATAGAGACTATACAGTCCATCATTACAGTGCTTCACACACACACACACACACACACACACACACACACACTGCTAAAACGACTTCTTCTTTTCATCAATTCTGATGTTTCTGCTTGCACATGAGAATAATGTCTTGACACAACATTATACAGTGGTACCTCGGGTTACATACGCTTCAGGTTACAGACTCCGCTAACCCAGAAATAGTACCTCGGGTTAAGAACTTTGCTTCAGAATGAGAACAGAAATTGTGCTCCAGCGGCGCGGCAGCAGCAGGAGGCCCCATTAGCTAAAGTGGTGCTTCAGGTTAAGAACAGTTTCAGTTTAAGAATGGACCTCCAGAACGAATTAAGTACTTAACCCGAGGTACCACTGTAATCCTAGTTCTTTCTACGGCCTCAGAAGTTCAGATAGCTGAGCAGAAAACCTTAGCATTGGAGTCCGATGTGAATTACATTCTTTCAACAAGTGCTAAAGTAATATATTACATAGCACATGTCAGCCCTGAATCCTCAACCGAAGAAAAGTATCATTAAAACTTGGAGCTCCAAAGTGTGAACAAGTAAAATGTAAGGCAAGTGACATTGAACCAAAACAGACACTTTTACGGGGGGGGGGGGGGGCTTTTATTGGCACAGTGAATTGGAAAGATACTTCTACAGTAATTAAGATATGACATTACTCACTCACATATCACTAATAAATTATTGAGAAATCTCCTTGGAGTTTGGATCCAGCCATGTGGAGCATTGATTCCCAAGCGATGAAATGTAACCAAGCAACACTGCCATTTTCGCTCTAGCCCATTGTTATTCAGACTTGGAAATAAAGAATAGCTTCTCAATTGCCACAAGAATAGCACTGAAAAGCTGCCAAAGACAAGCTGCCTGATTAAAAGATTCCATCATTCTAGTGCTATAATAGGGAAGATCTTAAACTGAAATTTAATAGAATATACTTCTTCTCACTAAAATGAGAAAAGGGTTCCTCATAAAAGCAGATAATCATGTGTGTGTTTTTACAGACAGAGTAACTGTAATTTATCCAATGCAAATAGTGCAACGTATTGAATTATTCATGGAGATAGTGAGACAGAAATAGGGTTTCTTGATAACTCAATTACTAAGTGTTATGGAGAAAATAATTATACCCATCCTTTCTCACATACTTTCCACAAAAACATAAATTTAGAAGCCGCACCTGGGACAGTTTGTTATGATTTATATCCCAGGTTTTTAATCTAAAAGGAACAAAAGTGACTTACAAGAATTAAAAAAAAGACGCAATATAAAATAATCATACACAAAAAGCCATAATGAAAGCAGAGTTCAAAAATAATATGGTATTGGAAGAAATCCTAGTACAGTGGTGCCTCGCAAGACGAAATTAATTCGTTCTGCGAGTTTTTTCGTCTTGCGAGTTTTTTCGTCTTGCGAAGCACGGTTTCAATTTTTCCCAAAAAATCTTCAAAAACCTCAAAAAAGGCTACCACACCGCATGCTATGAGTTGCTCCCCGAAGTCAAGTCGCAACTGCACCTCTTCAAGCAATGCACCCTGTATTACTGTAACGGTTTTAAAAAAAGGAAACAAACTTGCAAGACGTTTCCATCTTGCGAAGCAAGCCCATAGGGAAATTCGTCTCGCGAAGCAACTCAAAAAACGAAAAACTCTTTCGTCTTGCGAGTTTTTCCTCTTGAGAGGCATTCGTCTTGCGAGGTACCACTGTATAGAGTTCAAATCAGTCTCATGGATGCAAATAAATCTGCAGCGACAAATTATTTTTCCAATGTTTTTCCACTACTATACCCACTCTTCTATGACATGGCCCTGAAAAATGTCTAACCTATCCTCTGAATTCCATACCAATAGTTCATAAACAAAATTACATAATACTGTAATGCATTTGCACTGAGACAAAAAGATAAAAACAAACGAGCCCTGGTCTAATTCTCATCCGTGTGGCTGTTTTTTTACATGATAGATTTCTTCAGGTCTCATATATTTGCACCCAAAATCTCTGTTCAGATATAGGGCTCAATTAGACTAGATCCTTGCATGCTCAAGTGTAGCAGACAAACTTTCTCCAATCGTGAGCTATACAAGAGAAACAATTTTGCATGTGAAACTTCACCAATAAGCAGATAGCATTTAGGCTTAAAGGGCTATGCATATGACCTGAAGCCTTGTGCTTCTATGATAATTCTGAAGGCACTTCAGGGGAAAGATTAAGGGGGGGGGCACTTAGTATATAATTTATTGAGGGATACAGCTGCTCACCTGGTCAGTATGCATTCCTGTGAATAAGCTCACTTCTTTCACTCCTGAGCCTGAAAGTCTTCAGAAGTGCAAAGCCCCCTCTTACATCTGTCAGATTTTAAACTTGCGTAATTTGGAATTCTCCCCCCACCCCGCCAAATCAAGTTTGTCAAGTTTTTCTTCCACTGTTTGGGCTATTTATCACTGGCACTGTTTGAAATAAAAAGATCATACTGGGCAAAACATTCATTTTGACTGCCTAACAAAAGAAAGGCTTTCTTCCTAACAAAGAAAGGTTCATTCTAGTCCATTTTCCTACATCTTTTTTTATTTCGTTCCAGATTTTAACATAGTTATCCCAGAAAATGTTTAAGTTCTTAGCTGATATCCATATCCCCAAATATTTGTTTTCCATTTTAATTCCCGTAATATTCTCAAGTCTTTCTTTTGCCTGTGAGTCTAGATTTTTAGCTATCATTTTTGTTTTTTTCTTATTTATATAGAATGCTGCTAAGTTGCCAATTTTTGTTATAGTTTGTATTGTCCTTGGCAGAGCCATTTTTACCATTGGGCTTAGTGGTGTGTTGCGCCAGGGCGACGGCCTCTCAGGGGTGCCCCAGCGAGTGGGGGAGCTGTGCGGCTTTGCCGGTGGCTTCCCCTTTCCCTGCACACCCGCTGTGCCCCATCAACCATATGGCTGGTGGGCGCGCAGCTTCCCTCCCAAGCCTCTGCAGCGATTGCTCTCCTGCAGCGGCATGGGGGAGAGTTGCGCCCCTCTCCATGGCTGGCAGTGCACAGCTTCGCCCCCCCATCCGTGGTAATTTGGGGGCGCTGGGTGGATATTTGCACCCCAGCGCCGCATCTGCTAAAGATGGCCCTGGTCCTTGGGACGCTTTCCATTGGATTTTCCAACGTCAACGTTGTCCGCAAAGGTTTCCACTTTGTACTCTCTCTGCCCAACCTTAATTCCTGTTGTTTCATCGTTATTATTTTTTGTATTTCTCTAGTTAACATTTCTATTACTAGGATAAACAATAGTGGCAACAGGGGTCCAACAGCTTCTCTATGCATTATGCAGGATGAGATGGTAGCATTCTGGACTGTAAAAGGGTGAGAAACATACTTCTGACTGTCCTTGCATGAAATCTGGTACATTAGAAAGAAGCTGAACATTTCTCAGCGATTCAGTAACTTAGTATGTACAGATGCCATATTTTAAGTGGAGGAGCAACAGATGTAGGGTTTTACTGAGTCCTCCACCTGTAGTCTTCATTGGCATTGCCCAGAATCCTGTCACCTTATTCTGCATAATGTATAGATTGGCTACTCAGCTCCAAGGACAAGATACTTCAATAGGCTACCCCTGAACACAAGCATGTTACCTATTTCCCCGTGATGTTGAGGCATCTAAGTTGATTTATTATGAAAGAATTCCAGTTTATCTGGATTGTGGTCACAACACAAGCAACATCTCTGTCATGCCATAAATAGTTTGTGTCATCACAGCAATTTCTCACATTAATCTGCACATCTGTTCTGCTGTGACTAATTGTACCTTGTCTCTCACTCCTCAGCATATCACTTTATAAGGGCACAGCATTAGAAACAGCTTAAAACACTTTAAATAAATAAAGAATATTTATTTATTCAAACTTACTCTCCCCTGAAAAAGGAGGACAATTCATTTATAAACAGTAAAACAGCTTCACAAATTTTCAAGCTTAGTAAGCTGATCATGTAGGTTTACATTGTTATATTAGTTTATTTGAAGTGGCAAAAAAGCATAGAGCTATCAGGGTGATTATTTGAACCTTTTTATCTCCTACTTACAATGAAACAGAAGGAAATCTCATTGGAAGTGTTTGCAATCCAAAGGCAAGTAAGTGGTAAGTAAGCTATTAACTTATGTACGTCTTGTTCCTCCACACAAGGAGAAAAGAAGGTTATGTGATTTTTAATTTTTTTAGGTCGTTCTGAAATGTCTCCAGTTAAGGGTAACACATAAGCTTTAGACAAAGGACATGCATGGAATGACTTTGCCCCTTAAGTAAATGAGTCCCTTGAGCGAACCTAGTTCTATAGTATTCAATGGGCAATTCTGTGAGACCTAACTGAGATATCAATCTTGCTTCGATACTGAACCTGTAAGCCAAAAACTACAGATTTGTATGATCAGTCATCTCTATAGAAAGGTTGTGGACTCTCATTCATTGGAGGTTTTTAAGCAGAGCTGGATGACCATCTGTGATGGATGTTTCAGCTGAGATTCCTGCATTGCAGGGGGTTGGACTAGATGACCCTTGGGTCCCTTCCAACTCTACAATTATATGAAAAGTTGGCCATATAACCTGTCTTAGTCAAAGGTAGGCAACATGCACTCTGCACCAACTGCCAGTTACCTTGCTGAAGGGAGGCACACTGGGGCCTCTGTCACTTGCAGAGAGACCAAGAGCCACTGGGAGCCTGCACTTAATCACTACATACCAGGAAAAGCATCATGGCAAATGGGGGCCCAGCCTGGCCCCTTCCATCAGCCACTGAAGGTGAACCTGCCCCCTCCACCATTCCTTTCCTATTGCAGGTTACAGATAGCCTTATCTTTTAGTATCTGTACAGAACACAGAAAACATTAGGTGCTTTAATGTGTATAACAAATAATAGCAAATGTTCCCTATGTCACAGCACGCTAAGTTCCCCTGCCCCACCGTGAAGCAGCCTCTCCTTCGTTTTGACATTACGTAATTTTGAACTCTAGTATGGCAAGAGGCAGCTAGGCAAAGTCTCAACTTGTCTGGACAGTCACTTTCCCTTTAGAGAAGTTTGCTGCGAGGAGATATTTTAGGAGAACTGGAGCACATCTGAGCTGTTTTATTTTATTATTGCTAATGTGTGAACGGGAGCAGATCTAGATTTTTAAAAAAGATAAAAACTGCTGAAACTACAGTAAGTTATCAAGGAATGTTTCGTATTTGCAGTGTCACTTAACTACTATTCAAATTGCCATTCCACCCCACACACCCCACTTCACCCCTGCTGCACTGGCCTTAGGAGTACCTGAAGGAGCATCTCCATCCCCATCGTTCAGTCCAGACACTGAGGTCCAGCTCAAATGGCCTTCTGGTGGTTCCCTTGCTGTGAAAAGTGAAGTTACAGGGAACCAGGCAGAGGGCCTTCTCAGTAGTGGTGCCCTACCTGTGGAACGCCCTCCCATCAGATGTCAAGGAGATAAAGAACTACACAACTTTTAGAAGACACCTGAAGGTAGCCCTGTATTGAAAAAAATTTAATGTCTTATGTTTTATTATGTTTCTATGTGTTGGAAGCCGCCCAGAGTGGCTGGGGCAACCCAGCCAGATGGGTGGGGTATAAATAATAAAATAATAATAATAACTACCTGATAGCTTGAAAAATCAACTGACATTAGGTCATCCAGCCTAACATTACTGCTCTGAAACATGAATTATTCGAAGTGTTCAGTTGTGCAATTTTCAAGCTAGGATAATAATAGATCAAACACTAGGGACTGAATCAGCTGGGTTTACTTACTCTCATACCCTGGCCCTTACTAAAAGGAAAATAATACTCAGTGCATAAGCCATTTTCTAAGGAAAACTAGCTATCGTGTCCCTGATACATCCTCAGCATGCCCAAAGGACTGGCATCCTCTCTGAAATTAGGAAGGTGTAAAGCACCAATGATTGCTTAAGGCATTTTTATTTTGTGGCCTTAAACAGGCATGTCCTGTTCTAAATTCACCTCCACTCCCCAGTATGTATTCCGGAATACTGTTATTTTTAAAATAAGGCTGAGGGTACCAGCATGACAGTTTACTACTAGTGGTTTCACTGAGATGATGAACAATTATACAGGTGCTTTGTAATTAAGTGCCTTTGGTTAATTGTTCGGTACTGAATACCTAAGAGCCATTTACATCATTTTAAAGTCAAGTACTGTACTGTACAAAAAGTACTTAAATTTAAATGGCAAAATAAATGTACAGTGCTTGTTATTAATGGCATATAAACATTTAAATAGATGGGTTTCCCTGCAGTAAACGCAAAAGTGGAGGAGTGATTCCTTTCCAACAGCTGTTTCCACAACTGCTAAAGAGAAAACCTAGCCGCTGGGACATGCACAGCAACTGAGAACGCATTTCTATTATGCTATGTAAAAGGGTTATTTTGGTTATTTAGTTTTAGAAAAGTAATGTGTGGTTTGGCCTTTAAGCTGGTTGTATGCACGGGAGTGCAAAAATGCCATGTTGGGGACTTCTAACATAATTGTCCCATTTCTAAAAGTTCAGGATAGTGCATTTATCAGATGAGCACAAAACATGCCAGAAGAAAACACAGAGTGGTCAATTCCCAGTCATTCCCTCCCCAATTCAAAGAACCACCTCAGCATGAGGTTGCATTCCCTAATTATGCTATTCAAGAAATATCTAATAATTGGAGGTTCATTATTCTCTTGATCAGTCCTGCATTCCAAAGTGCTAAGTGAATCCGCCTCTGAATTATCTTGCAGCATCAAGACAATTCAGGTACAGAATGTCTCCCCCTTTACCCCAAGAAGTCTGCCTAGCACCTACAGATAGTATTTTTTTTTAATAGAATCACAGAACAGTAGAGTTGGAAGGGACCCCAAGGGTCATCTAGTCCAACCCCCAGAACTAAGGAAAGCCTCTACTATTCACCCAGTATTTTAGGATTATATCGTTTTAATGTTGCAATTAATTTAGTACTAAAAGGATTTAATCTCTGTCAGCTGGACGTATGTTTTAGCCTTATGAAATTACTTATGCCTTTATGTCAGTGGATATGTTCAGGGCTGCAATTGTGTTACCTCGGTGTGTGTTTGTATTGAAAAATGTTGTTAAGCTATTATATTTGCTCATTGAATATTGTTATCAAGAAACTAACAAATATATATAAACATACAAAGAAGCCCAGGTATAAACAATCAGTATAAACCAAAAGGGAAAAATTAGAAATTACAGTAAGGAGATAAGCTACTTGACCTGAAGAGCCTCTGAGAAAGATCAATTCATTTGAAAAATATTTCTCTTTACAAAGAAAACAACTGATAATAATAATAATAATAATAATAATAATTTATTATTTATACCCCGCCCATCTGGCTGGGTTTCCCCAGCCACTCTGGGCAGCTTTTAACAGAATATTAAAATACAATAGTCTATTAAACATTAAAAGCTTCACTAAACAGGCTGCCTTCAGATCTCTTCTAAAAGCCTTGTAGTTGTTTTTCTCTTTGACATCTGGTGGGAGGGCGTTCCATAGGGCGGGTGCCACTACTGAGAAGGCCCTCTGCCTGGTTCCCTGTAACTTGGCTTCTTGCAGCGAGGGAACCGCCAGAAGGCCCTCGGCACTGGACCTCAGTGTCCGGGCAGAACGATGGGGGTGGAGACACTCCTTCAGGTATACTGGACTGAGGCCGTTTAGGGCTTTAAAGGTCAGCACCAGCACTTTGAATTGTGCTGATAGTTTGTGTTTAAAACAAGACACTGTAAAAAACTAATCTGCCAGCAAAACAAGGAAGCAACATTCCTGTTTCTGTGCCAGATCAGGATAAAAGTACTTTTCCCCCTCCCATGATAAGCCTACCATGCCGTCTTTTCTTCAATGATTACACAGCTAGAAGGCAAACAAATATAAGAATGTCCTGTTTTTTCTCCTAATCTTTGCCCTGTGAAAACTGCTGATTGAGAGTTCTACTCGAGAATTTGCATAAATGCAAAACAAGTTGGAGATTTCAGGTGGTTATAAGCGGAAACAATCTGCAACCCAATGAGTTGTGAGATAAATATTTGGATAGGGCAATTGAATTGCATCATTATATTTCCTCAGAACATCTGTGGATTACTTTGTTCACAATCTATGCAACAGAAAACATATAACACATAACTTTGCACTGCAACTCATAAGCAAAGACACCACTTGCTAAGAAGTGCTGAACCTTAGGAGGAGAATTCTGTATATGGAGATTTAGCTTTCGAATGTATATTACATTCGGGCCTCAAGAAGTTAAAATAAATCAAATCCAAAACATTTTAACACTTTTGTACAACTTAGTCTTATGCACATCTTGCTTAAGCATAATGTGGGGATGGGGAACCTGTGAACCTCGAGTTCTTGCTGGACTATAGCTCCCATCCTTCCCACCTACTGACTATGTTGGCTGGCACTGATGGGAGTTGGAGTCCAACAACAGCTGGAGGTCACAGATTCCCCACTCCTGATTTAATGAATGTTTGAATACAGTGCAAATTTGATAATCCATAACATTATGGGCATAGCTAGGGGGGCAGCTGCCCACCACCAATCAAGTAAGTAAATGAAAATACTTAACTGACCAATTGTGTCTGCCCCTCCTAACATAAAGCATGCCCCCTCTTTAAAAAAATCCTGGCTATGCCCATGCATAACATACTAAATAAAGCTGTCCAGTTACATATTAAATGTATCAAATGAACTCTAAGGTCCACTTCTTATATGAATTTGGCATGCACGGGCAATGACTGATTTACACGCCACCAACAGACGTGTGACCACGCACATCGTGGCAACCCAGACATGGCCGGAAAAGGGGATGGACGATGACTCAAAACTCAACTCCTGCACAAATCGGGAGTTGACCGTATTCACTGCGTATCCCATGGCACATACATTTAGCTACACATATGTTATGTAAATAACACAGTGCAATAAACAAATGAATTGACCCAATTTTATTCTGCGGAGGAATCAGATCTACATAAGCATTTCTTTGCACATACAGATGCGCTGCCTCTGCCCATTCAGATGGGTTAACCTGCATGGAAACTAGAGCAACTGAAATCTTAAGCTTTGTCGGTATCTTGGGTGCTCTATACTATCAGCTTAAAATGTTTTGATGTTTTGTTCTGGTACAAGAGTTTAGGGAACAAGAGTTCAAGGAATGAAATACTGTGATGAAAAATGTAAACCGAAATGATAACAGAATGTTGACTTGTTTAAAGAACGTGAGCATCCACCTACACCGAAACCTCACACATCGACAGGGAAAAGGAGGCAGCTTCCAAAATACTCAGTGAGAGATTTACATAAATGGAACTGCTATTAGAGTTGCAAACTTTAAAACACATAAACAGCACGGTCCCCAGAAGTAGGCCCTACTGAGTTCAGTGAGGCCTACTCCCAGATTAAGTGGGGCTAGGATTGCAGCCTTAAATCCCATTGATTTCATAAAGCTGTTACTAAATAGCTACTCTGCAATGATGCTGATCATGAATCTGTGGTATACAAATTTAATTTGGACATTAAGATTGAAATAATGAAGATTCTCCTGCATACATACTTAATATATATATATATTCTTATAAGTACTGTCTTAGCTGTATAAATAAAATGTAGTTTAATAAAGATTGTTGCACGACCTTCTAACACTTTGCGAAGATGTATATCTGTAATTCGTACCTCAATGAACCTTACTTCCAAAATGGGTACGGAACTGGATTACTAGTCCTATGTCATAATAATTCCAAGCAGGTCTAACAGTTAAAAATGGTCAATGAAGTCATAGCTTTTGACCAAATAGCAAATGACTTCTAGTTAAAAACGTTATTCTTATAAATACATGGAGGAGTTTTTCATGATACCATACATATAGCGGGACTTGCTTAGGGTCAAGATGTAAAGGTTTTTCATCTTTCTCGTGCTACATGCAAAAGTGGATCAGCTCCATCAATAAGGATGAGGGTGGCACCTCCTCTTCTATTTGGGATTAATCCGTAATAACAGTTACAGTCAGAATGTGTATTTACTATCATTTAGGCTGCAATCCTATACACATTTACCTCAAAGTAATCCCTACTGAATTCAGCGGGACTTACTCTGAGCAGACAGGAATAGGATTGTAACTTTTATGCAGATTAGTTACCACTGATTAACTGACAATCAACATGGATCAGAAGTAGTAAAACGTGGTGTTAAAACACCCTTCCATGCATGTTTCTTCACAGCCTTCTACTAAAGTTCTAATAATCTCTGGTTATTATTATATGAAAATAAAAACCATTTAACTAGCCCAAAGAGATACGATCTTCCATGACTGGTGTTTGGTTCCATCTACACAATGAAAAAGGGAAAAAGGAAACTCTGACCTGCTTATCTTTTGCTGGAAATGAAAAGGAGAATCGCCCCTTCCAACTGTACAGTGGTACCTCAGGTTAAGTACTTAATTCGTTCCGGAGGTCCATACTTAACCTGAAACTGTTCTTAACCTGAGGTACCACTTTAGCTAATGGGGCCTCCTGCTGCTGCCGTGCCGCCGGAGCCCGATTTCTGTTCTCATCCTGAAGCAAAGTTCTTAACCTGAAGCACTATTTCTGGGTTAGCGGAGTCTGTAACCTGAAGCGTATGTAACTTGAAGCGTATGTAACCTGAGGTACCACTGTATAGGGAAATCTTTAAATGTGTAATACAGCATATTATTATGTTTTTATATATGTTGGAAGCTACCGATAGTGGCTGGGGCAACCCATTGAGATGGGCAAGGTACATATAATAAAATTTATTATTATTATTATTATTATTATTATTTAACCACTGAGATAGTGAACACAAGAAGGTAGTTCCAGGATAACTAACCCAGGCTAAGGGATCTCAAGCATACAAACGAAAAACCCGTTTCAATTTCTGGCAAGAGGATAAGGAAGCATCCTATGGTGCTCTCACAGGGCTGTTATCCCAGAGGCCATTCACAGCTAAGAATAGCGCAGGTTGCAGGAAAGCAGGTCCCAGCACTTACCTGAAAGTTAAGCCCTTACTGACTGAACTAAACGCGGAGAGGACTGGGCCGCGCGGAAGAGGAAGCCGAAGAGGTTTAAAAACTCCTGGCCTGCTCGCCTATGGCGGCGCTGAAAGGTGAACCGCGCGCCAGGGCAAGGCAGGTGCGCTGCTTGCAACTCCGCGGAAACTCGCCCTTAGCAACTAACTCCCTGAACTGCAACGCTACCCGGCCCTCCAGCCACCCACCTTGCTGCTTCACACGCACGCCAGCAACGCGGGGTTTCTCCAGTCAGCGGGCGAACCGGCTGCAACTGGCGGCGGGAAGGGAGCCTCCCAGGCACCTTGAGGAGGCGGAGTGTGTTGCCCCGGGCGGCGCTGCCAGCGAGGCGAGCCAGGCGCTCGAGGAGCGGCTCATTGGCTCTGGCTAGAGCCGGGAAGGGAGCGAGCGTGCCCGAGGCTCGCTTTAAGCAGCCCCGCCTGCCCTGGGACCGACCCTGCAAGGCAACGCAACCTGGCCTCGCCGCTCCTCCTCCCTGCGTTGCCGCCCATGGCAGGAAAAGCCTCAAGAAAGCGGATAAAGCGCGGGGAAAGCTGGGACTGGGCTCCAGCTGCCCGCCGCGCCTCTCGTTTGGCGGGAGAGTGTAGTCGGTCACTTGGCTCCACGGTCTACTCGGAAGCAAGTCCCGTTAAGTTTGCTCCCATGTCCTCGGGTGGCAACCTCCGTTTGTCAGGTTCTTCGAATTCAATTCAAAGGAATTCCCACCTTCGCCACCGAATACAGTGGTTTTTGGAATATGAACCCAGCCAGCGAACAGGTGTTTTACCTGAGCTGCGTGTGGGTAGTTTTCAGGTCAAAAGTAAGACATGAGAGGTTTATCTTCCATTAACCAGAGTTGCATAACTTTTATTCTTGTAGGAGGTTGTGATGACCACCAATATGTTGCGAGGTTCTTGGTTGTATAGTTCTGCTGACCTAAACATGAATAAAATCGATCGATTTGAAAATAAATGGGAAGACAACGACTTGCCACCTCAGAAGCTACCATGTTTGTCCTGGCATAAGAAATTGTTCTTGCCCATCAACTTGCTACTTTGCAGTCACGCTTTTCGCTGCGAGAGCAAGTGACGGTTACTGTCTTTTGGAAGAAGAAAATACTTATAAAACGGCAGAGGTCCGTCCTTCTACTCCCGAGTATTTCTAACTCAGCCAGCCAGGATTTTGAGCTGGGACTTTATGCACGCAAAGTATGGGCTCTGCCGCTGAGCTGCAGAGAGAGCAGTGTCCAAGGAAGATTAAAGTTGAGTGTGGAATCGTAGAACAGTTCTGAAAGAAGGAAAATTCCTTTTCCGTGTGCAGTAAGAGCTTTATTTACCTGGTGACGACGCTGATCAAAGCAGCCGGATGTGGGAATTCTGTTTCAGGCAAAGGAAAACAAGTTGAAAGTTCCACACAAACAAAAGTCTTAGAAGAGTGTTAAGAGAAGTCCTGTTTAACTGCCAAAGATCCTCAAATGAAATTTTTTTGATATTCAGTGTTAATCATACTCAGGGTATATCAATTGTAATAAATTTCTTTACTAATTTCAGCAGGTCTACTCAGAGTATGCAGATGGCAGGTGGATGCCCTCACATTTTATCTTAACTACTGTAGTGGGTTTGCCTAATGTGAGGATATGAGTAACTGAATATATTTAATTTGGACTATTGCTGTCAGGTTTGGGATATATAGTGAATTAGAAAACATATTCGGTTATCACCCCAAATTGTAGTTGTTAAAATACCATCACATTTCTCTCATACATTATTCTACTGACAATATAGAATTATTCTTCTAACAATATAGCTATGTCTAGTGAAGACATTTGGCAGCAAAAGTGGCGCTTTATAGGTTCATCAAATCAGTTTATGAAAATGAACATTTACAGTGGTACCTCGGGTTACATATGCTTTAGGTTACATACGCTTCAGGTTACAGACTCTGCTAACACAGAAATAGTGCTTCAGGTTAAGAACTTTGCTTCAGGATGAGAACAGAAATCGTGCTCCGGCGACGCGGCAGCAGCAGGAGGCCCCATTAGCTAAAGTGGTGCTTCAGATTAAGAACAGTTTCAGGTTAAGTACGGACCTCCGGAACGAATTAAGTACTTAACCCGAGGTACCACTGTAATTTGCATAGACACATCATCTACGAAAATAAAAAATGGAAAAAATATTTTATTTGAGCAAGTCTTGCAGAATAAAGTATATACTGAGGTGGTCACATTCAGACTGGGAGGGGAGATTTTCATTATCTGTGTGCCCTACATCTTACCTCTCAGAAGAGATATTCCTCTTAAGGGAGTAGTGGTGGTGTTTGTTGTTGTTAAAATCATCATCAATACCAACACTACTTGCCCTTCACCAGGTCCCAGGGTAGGTTATGAACAATATAACATTTAGAAATTATTAAAAACAAACCAATTACGGTCACCGGAATAGCGTGGATTCTGAAAACACACATCTCAAATAAAACAAATGTGTTTGTTTTATAGCCATGGTTCCCAACGTGGGCAACACACCCCATGGGGGGGGCAATTTGATTTTTAAGGGGGTCAATTAGAGAATGAGTTATTAACAGTGAATAGCCTTTTAGGCTTCCTCCACGTGGAGTTCACTTTTTGAATAAGAATTATATGTCACAGGGGTGGCATCAGGATTTTAAAGATGCTTAGGTGGGGCATGGCCCAAAAAAGGTTGGGAACCACTGTTTTATAGTGAGTGGACTAATTTAAAATATGATTCCCCTATTTGCGGTTTGAAAAAGAAAAGGACAGTTTTGGCGATTTCCCTTCTGAATATTCTGCACTGTGTTGTTGCTTGTTGCCTCCATTCCTTTCCAGACCCCCAATTCTCCCGAAGAACACTAGGTCCAAGGCACTGAGGAGGATGCAGAATGTTGGCCAGATTTCTAATACAATTCTGCACAGCTCAGGTTTGTTTCTGAATTTGGAGGGGGGGGGGAGGTTAGAGAACAATGTGCAATGACTGATACACTCACTGTTTTCTTAGCTGCACCATGTGGGAAAGAACAAACTTTCCTGTACCATGTTAACCACACCCACACAATTACATAAAGAAGACAATAGTTTGTTTACCTTTGTTTCACCTTTATATTCCCAACTAAGTAATCAGTTTTGAAAAGCTTTTAGTTATCAAGTGATGTGGTCTAATAGTAGCATTTGTAAGGCTCAGTTGATTCAGTGGGTGTACTAATTGTTTCAGACTAGTACAATAATTACGTTCGTCCGTAAGACTGCATATAATACAACTGTAGAAATTGCACTCTGTGAACTCAACAAGAAAGCTTTCCCCCACCAATTAAAACAACAACACTGGGGAGTTGTACAATTTATTTATTTGTTTTAAAAGAAACCAGGGAATTGTAAACCTGCAGAAAAAGACCCATGGTCTGATTTACACGTAATACTGAATTAACCATGAGTTATCCCATAGAATTGTGCAGCTTCTCTAGCCTCGTTTTGTCCAAAGCTGGGTAAGTGTTTAAACTTGTCAGTGAGAACAAATCAGAATCTGAAAATATATTGAGAGAGGAGTAGCACTTAAGTCCAAGGCTTACTGCAGCTTGTTCATATGGTAAGAAACCATGGTTTCCTGTTATGTGTGAACCAGGCCAGTATTACATTGAATTTATTATTTCATAGGAAGACTCCAAAGACAATGTAGTTGTCATCATGCCATACTGATCAGCAAACTTTTCTACCTGTTTGAGGGGGGGAACTAGTTGCACTTAAATGCCAATGTAATTACACTAAATAAAAACAGAGTTATACAGAAATCAAGTTTTCTTGTATGCACACACATGCTATCTGATTCACTTCTTTCAGTGCCAAAGAAGTATTGGGAGAAGTTAGTTTGTGGGGAGGGGATTATAGCAATTAACACCTTGGTCATACATATACTTGCAAGTTGCTCATATTGACCTTTATATATTCTGCCTTGTAAATATTGACTCTTAGAAAAAGGTTTTTTCCCCATATTTAGTGTCAAACCTGGCACCTTTATGCTGATAAAAAAAGTGGTGAGAGAAGTTTTGATAACAAAGAATCTTACCTTAGGTTTGATTCACGCATTCATTTGCACAGGTATATACAATGAAGTCTGTTACAAACAGTGTCCAAATTTTATGAATTTATCTTATAGAATAAATGTCATTCTTACAACAGTCAGAGAATTAAGCAAAGGCAAGTAATATAATGCTCAGAATAACAGAAGTGGAGGAAACCATTGGTTCAGCACTGATTTGAATACAACGACACATCTGTTTCCTTTTTGGATTGCGAGAAGACTGATAAATGAAAACATCATCACTAAGATTAGCAAGGAATGATGAATTCTCAGTTCACTGGTTCTTCACCCAAAGGATTATAAGAAGAGTGAGAATTGTTACCTCTCTAGAAAGGAGTTATTTGATATCTTTTGGCTCTTCCTTTTCCTTTCCCCTTTAAAGTGATGACAATTTTAGAACAAGGATTCAGTTTCACATATTACAAAGTAAGATTAGTTGCACAGAAGCAGGAAACCTATAGGGTCTAGAAAGGTAATATTTTAGTAAAGTCAGAAGGAATCTCAAAAGCACTATGATAAAGCAATTTTGTTGCTTAAGTGGTACTACAAAGATAGGTTTTTGAATTGAGGGGTCAAACTGGAATCTTTGGGCATGCCCTTACAATTCTATAAACACCAGCTTTAATTTTTCTTTGTTATGTGCTTGCAAGGAACATTTTACAATTAAAATTAAAATTTGACTTTCCCCTGAGTCGTAACTGGTAGGAAGGAATGAAATGTGTTGAATAATAAAGCTGCTGGGGAAGTTTTTCAGAATTAATATATTTCTATATAAAGTTTATAAATCCATCTTGTTACACATACTTGCATATGTAGCTTTAAAAGGATGGGGTGAGGGAGGTTTCAATACATTTTTAGGATTTAAAGTTCTGTAAAGCTTTTGGAGATGGAAACAATACTGTAAAGGGCTTAATCATTTTATGTCCATCATCTCAAAAAACAAGCAAGCACTTAGATGAAACATAATTAGAAATTGGCTTAATATACAAAAGAAAGGACTACTGAAAACTATCTTTTTCAGATGCACTGAATAAGGAATTGTGTTTCATTATAATAAAACAAGTGGCTTCTAATAAGGAAAAATTGGAACAATTCTTATTAAATGAATGTTTTATAGTGTTAAATAACATTTACAATGTCTGTACTTTAAATAATGTAATTTTCATAGCTGAATATGTGTTATTGTCAGTATGCATTTTTGTCAACTGCAAATTAAAACAAGTGTTAATGGGGTTTTTATTATTTACAAATTATATATTTAATGGCCATTACAAATACACTTTCTTAGACACTGTGACATTATTCAGAATTTAAACAGGTTACCCAGTTACAGCCTGATGAAGACCTGCTGTCTCCTCAAAATACTTAATGCTTAGAATGGGTTATATAGCTGCAGAGCCAGCACATCGCTGTTAATGGATATATATGAAATAGGAGCTGACACTATTATTTCTATAAGTAGACTGTTGGTTGTTTGTTTAACTTTAAAAACAAATTGCTTCTTGATACTTTGGACTGAATCCTAAGTTACTTTTCTCTTCACACAAGGGATGAGTGTGATTTCCATAAACTCCCCCTCCATCTGCAGCCCTGCCATACTATATCTGACCCATTTCCTAAGGGTCCCGCAATCTCCAGAACCAGATTTTCTGTAAGGAGGTTGTAGAGCTCTGTTCAGTGAATGTGAATGCTGTTCACAGAATGGAAGTTAGGATCCAAGCCACTAATTAATTTAACATCAGATTTGTATTCAAAATTAAACCACATATATTAAATATAATTCATCTTTAAAATGTCTTTCCTCCTGAAGTAAAAATGTTTCATAACATAGCCGGCATACAATCAAGCTACAACAGATAAAAGAAAGGATAAACTGTTTTCTGTTTTCATCTTTACATTGATAGGTTCATTAATAATGTTTCTTTGACAGCACGCAGCTGAAGTCATCTTCACATTTCTTTTCAGTTTCATGTACTAAGAGTGGATATTGGTTGCATAAAACAGCATATTAAAACTTATATTCCAGTGGCTAAAATAAAATATTTGTGCGTGCACACTCCTTCTTTTAAGAAGTATTTTGAACCTTATCCACCATCAATTGGATTAAAACAATCGTTTTAGCAAACCCTGAGTTCAATTTGGAATTTGCATTTCTATAATAGATATCAGACTTTTTTTTCATTATCTTCTTCAGTTAGAAGTTCTTCAAAATAGAATCCCTATAAAAGATGGAAAATTGTGGTGTTTAACATTATCCAGTACGTAATGGCAGTTGCCCCTCAAATCAAGTAATATCTGTAAGTTATTTTCCTTGGTTTCAATTATAAGGCCCTTAATAAACTATTTTAAAAAAACAATCATGCTAAAAATCACCATGCATTTATAACTCAATTCCCTTACAAAACCTAGCCTCATTCATTGCTCACTTCTTCATTTGTTTAAATTATCTCACAAGAACTTTTCGTCTATTGTAGTTCTCAGCCTGGTCCTTCACTTATCATCAAAATAAGCTCTGACAAAACAATCCCCACAAACCCAAATGTATATTTAACAATATTTATATACTGTTTAATTTACCAACCTTTAAACAGTTTACATAAAATGATTCAAAATATTCAATATAAAATATGAAACATTCGAGTGGGCACATATAGGGTAAGATAATCATTCAAGTAAACTGTTACTCCAGCCACTTTTCTGTGTTCCTGACTCACTTTCAGTATCAGGACCAACAGAAAAGTGTCTGGGATAGTTAGTGAAGTGTGAGGAACCCTATGGAGGAATGTTGAGTTCCTCACTCCCAAGAAATTTACTGGTGTGTTAAGACCCCCATCTCCTGCTTTATATATACCGTATTTTTCGTCCCATAGGACGCACCATCCCATAGGACGCACCTAGTTTTTTTCCTTTATTTCCCCCCCAAAACCAGGTCGGGGAAACTGAACCAGGTCGAGGAACAGCGGGATGGCGGCGCTGCGCCTCCCTGCTGTCCCCTGAGCTCGTGGGGCTGGCCGATGTCTGCCCGGCGCGAGGGCGCTCTGCTTCAGGGCGCCCTCGCGCCGGGCGTCAGGCTGCTATCCGCAGCGTGGGGAGCCCAGCGGGGAACTCCTGCAGGGCTCCCCACGCTGCGGATGTCTGCCCGGCGCGAGGGGCGCTCTGTTTCAGGGCGCCCCTCGTGCCGGGCGGCAGGCTGCTATCCGCAGCATGGGGAGCCCTGTGGGGAACTCCTGCTGGGCTCCCCACGCTTCGTATGTCTGCCCGGTGCGAGGGGAACTCTGCTTCAGGGCGCCCCTCGCGCCGGGTGGCAGGATGCTATCCACAGCCTAGAGCAGCCCTGCGGGACCTCCCGCAGGGCTGCCTAGGCTGTGGATGTGTTCCCGAAGCGCTGGGCGCTCTGCTTTCAGCGTGCCCGGCGCTCCGGGAAGCAGGCTGCTATCCGCAGCCTAGACAGCCCTGCGGGAACTCCCACAGGGCTGCCTAGGCTGCGGATGTCTTCCTGAAGCCTGGAGAGCGAGTGGGGTGGGTGGGCACCGACCCCACTCGCTCTCCAGGGTTCAGCGAAAGCCTGCATTCGCCCCATAGGACACATCCAGATTTCCCCTTCATTTTTGGAGGGGAAAAAGTGCATCCTATAGGGCAAAAAATACGGTAATATGAATGGAGTTAATGCTACTGTATATATTTCTGGTTTTATACAAATTCTAAAATGGCCTTTTTTCCCCTGCAGTTCTTCATAACTCCTGCCTCTTTTCCATACTAAGGACGTTGCAACACCGTGCTTTTAACTTTAGTATGGTATGTTAAAGAGAACCAACTCTACTCAGCTGGTAAGGTAACCCCTTACCCTGGCCTATAGTATGTGCACAGACAATTTTTCTGCTAAAGGTTAGGTACAGAGTAGGAACAGTGAGGCATCTTGTTAAATATTCTATAAGAGCACAGTGCTGCTTTTATTTAAACATAGACATCTAATGTGAAAATACATTAACAGGAATTCTGTGCACAAATGTGATAAGGAAGCTTTGGCACTGACAGCCAATCTCAACTGCTCAAAAGGCTACCATGGCAACTGGCTATTATACACTGATCCCTACTAACTTGAGGATGAAGTTTACATAGTCAGTTCTACACAGGCTGTGCAGTTTACATGGACTTGTTTTTCCCTGTAGCCATCATATGACCCACAAAAGAACAGTAGAGGTGATTAATTTTACAGAGTAAAATTAAATAAGCTGTGTAAGACAATGTGATTAAAGTAGAGGTGGCTTGGATTCATGTCCACCGAAATTACACCGGTGGGGAGACTTGTTAGTGAAAAATGAAGGATTGAAACCATGTGCACTTTAGATTGTATAAACACTTTTATTCATATGTATAATGCTGTATCCCCAAAGAAAGACATTTCAAACAGATTTTATCTTCTAGGGTATCTTCCGTACTAATGTCGCACACATCTGCGAGTTCATCCATCTGCCTTCCTCTCTTGAGCTGACTAGTTGATATGAATGGGAAAGATACTGTCAAAAAACTGAGGAGGAGGGGAAGGGAGAAGACTTTTGGGGGAACCTCCAATGTTTCACATAGTAGGGAACACTGCAAATGCTTTTACCCCTTATGAACTGCACAGGGAAAGAAAATGACCTTTCCCAGGTGTAACGAGGCATCAGTGCCTTGATGATATCAACAACCATTACACTACTCCTCATCTCGGGCCTATTGCATGCTTAACAACCAACACATCATGAACTAAGGAAAGGGGCAACGGTAGTCATGCTCAATCATCCTGGAAGCAAAGGTTCAAGAATGAATGTAGGCATAGCAAGGGTGATCTACAAATCAGTAACAGTTACTGTCTGAAAACATCAGTGATGACAGTACAGAACTTGGGAAAAACAGAATACTTATCTCCCCACAGGAAAAGTTAGCATCTCCACCCTCGGGTGATCTGGAAGTCAAGAGTGAGGAAGTATCACTCATTCCCATTTTACTTCTAAACACTTCTTTGAAACATCTATAATGAACAAGAGCATGGTTTCTGGGGTGTGTGTGGCCTTTGTTCATGGGAATACAATCATTATCTTATGAGTGAGGAGAAAAGACTTTATATTGATGCCCAAACAAATTTGTTCCTGAACTCTACAACTGTGCAGGACATATAAACAGAATAAAAAGCGCATTATTTCAGAGCTAAGATCTCATATCACTACTAAGTGAAGTAATGTTCTCACCATTCCGAAGATCTGTCCAGAGACTTGTCAGAAGACCGGTGCCGAGAACGTTCAGGTGATGATGTCCTTATTGTAGAAGTTAATTGGTATGGAGCTCCCAGACTCTGGCGGCGAAGCTCTTGGCAAGCACGCTCTCTAAAACAAAAGGGTAATTTATCTGAAGATGGGGTAAATACAACAAGCTAAAAGGTGAAGATTCTCACCAAGATTGTTCTTCAGACAGACTATAACGCTGAAAGATGGGGAATGAGACAGATCGTTCCACAAAGCCAGGAGGAAGGCCAGCACAGGCTTTGGGTGTAAAAGTACAGATGGCGACCATTTTGTACCGGGGTTCCGTTCCCAGCCTCCGTGTGCATCGACGGAGTGCGCATAGGTGCCCCTGCCTCTGTTATGCCCTCTTCTGGGTCCAAAAGGACCCGTGCTCTAGCAATTGCACATCAATTGGACACGCCTAAAATGGTTGCCACCTGTGTAGAAAAATAGAAAACTACTTTATATCAGTTAAAATTATTCTGTCCATCTAGCTTTGTACTGTCTACTCTGGCAGTGGCTCTCTGCGTTCTCTAGGACCTTCTACATTCAAACACATGCTCTACCGCTGAGTTGTGGTCTGTCCTCAAATATCACCTCATCTTCTCTAATTGTCCATTTGGGTAACCTTTCACCACACTGGCAAACTGAAGCTCTGTTCAAGTGGGCCTACATGCAGGTCTAGGCATGTTCACTCAAGAGGTGAATGGGAAGGATTTAGCACTGGCTGGCAATGCAGACAAGCTGCCATCCTATCACTCCTCAATCTGATGATGTAGAGAGCTTCATCTGTTCCAGGATTAGGAAGGAAATGTTAGTTGGCCAAACTTTAGGATTTTTTTGTCCACTTTGCATCTATCACATTTCCTGCATTGAGGTGATTTAAGTCAGTGGACATTTTAAAATGCAAAACGATACATATGTTTGCTGCAAGCTTATTCTGGAACACAGTGCAGTAGGCCATTAAAGGGACCGCAGGTAAGGTTAAAGGACCCCTGACAGTTAAGTCCAGTAGTGAACGACTCCGGGGTTGCGGCGCTCATCTCGCTTTACTGGCCGAGGGAGCCAACGTTTGTCCGCAGTTTTTCCGGGTCATGTGGCCAGCATGACTAAGCCGCTTCTGGCGAAACCAAAGCAACGCACGGAAACGCTGTTTACCTTCCCGCCAGAATAGTACCTATTTATCTACTTGCACTTTCATGTGCTTTCGAACTGCTAGGTTGGCAGGAGCTGGGATCGAGCAACGGGAGCTCACCCTGTTGCAGGGATTCGAACCGCTGACCTTCCGATTGGCAAGCCCTAGGCTCCCTAATAAATATGCTTTTAATTACAGCTTTAGTTCCAGTGAATATAAGATTATTGCTAAGATGCTTTTAGAAAATATGTACATGGCTCTTTTTAAATTAGCATGATTGCATGTGATCTTATTTGGAAAAATAACAGAAGACTAAATATGTGATCATACACTTGCCTTTCAAAGCGTTCTGTACCCAGCTGCCTTTTGGTGATATCTAACTCAGACTCCAATTGAGTTATTGTATTTTTGAGCTGTGAAAAATCTCGACTCTGGGTAGCACTATAACAGACAAAAGCATCATTTGAACTGAATGGATGCAATTATTCAAATACTGTAAAATAAACAATGGGTTGAATTCAGACTTAAACAAGTATAAAGTAGACCCACAGAGTAATCATAACCAAGTCTCAATGATTTAAATGGATTCGCTCTCATGTTTGACCATAAACCCCAATACAATTAGCTTTTCAAGAATAGCTTTCAGTGTATTCAGTATAAAAAACAAGTTGGAGAAGGGTAAAAACAAAACCAAAAAAATTATGGGATATTTCGGCTCTCAAAAGGAATTGAATATATTCAGTGCTTAAAATTTCAAACGACACTGAACAGAAATATATCCACACCTAGACATATAAACAAAAAGCATGCACAAATGTTTGTAACACTTTCTGTGCCGATTTCCTAATCACACAAACAGCAGTTACTTTCACAGGGCAATGGGGGTAGAATCATGATTAGTCCAGGATTTGGGAGGGAAGGGAAATTTTATAACTTGCAACCTGCTCCAATCACAAAAATAATTTTCTTCCATTTTTCAGGCTGCCTTCTTTTCCAAGAATTCCTTGTGCAGGTGGCTACTACTCCCTATCAGTGCTCTCTTTCTTTATCACCAAAGAATCTTTCCCACTTAGTAGAAAGATGGGCATACTAACAAAAATTAATATAGTGGTTTCAAATCTAGAAGAACTGTGTTGTTTCTACCAGTTACTAACTTACATCTTGTTTTCAGCCAGCGAAAGCTGCTCTTTAAGAAGCTGAATTTCAGAATCTTTTTCTTGGCTTATCATCTGAGATTGATATTCCTTTTCACGGTTGGATGCTAACAATGTTTCTAGGTTTTTAATTGAAATTCTTTCATTAGTGAGTTGTTTTTTGAGGAGTTCGGTTTCAGAGTGAGATGATTCCCATTCATTTTGCAGCTGAAAGCCAAAAAGGTTAAATTTCTTCATTTTCCCTAATATGCAATATATTAGAAACTGATGAATTACATTTCAAATTGTAAACTAAATTCCATTAGCACTCTTCTTCCCCATATCATCTTCCTAGATGTAAAATATGCACCTAATAGTCAGTAACTGCAATTCCCTATCTGTCAATTCAAAAATATGGTACAAAAACGAACACATTTTTAAGTACTTTTAGCTCCCATTTTATTTTCATACACTTAAATCAGTGTGGCTTAAATATGTTTAACTCTGGCTAGGTTGTATTGATTTTCTTCTCTTTCCCACTCCTGAATAGAGAATTATATAACTGTATGCCCCAGTTAAACTTTAGAGGGCATAATCTGAAGCTCTGCAGAGCCCCAATTTACATACAAAGCTCCATGAGAGCAGAGTCTGCCTGAATGTTTTCTTACATGCTAGATAAGGAGATGGTCTTCAGTGAGAAATATTATTCTGCACATAGGGCATTCAGATGGGGCAGGATATGCATATTCAGAGTTCATTCATATTCCAGGCACAGGTCTTTGACTGGGAGTTGCCATTAAGTCTTACCACCAATTGAGGTGAGTGCGCTGGTTTCTTACAAAGATTTGCAGATGCCATTGGGGTTGCAGTAGCCCCCAAAGCCAGATCTGTAAGTTTTGCACAAAAATGATAACTACGATGTGGGGTGGGCACCAAGATTCACAGACAAGGTTCTAACTGGAAAAATATTTTTAAAAATCAGGGTGATAAATAATTTTTGCAAAAAATGAGGAGCACTTCTGACCCCTGATACTTTTTGTGGTGATGTTAACAGAAGTGACTGATTAGTTGATTATGGAAAAATAATACTGTTTTTCCACTTTGTGGTCACTTCCAAGCATCTTAAGTGCTTAAAAAAAAAACCCTGTCATTCTAACAGGAGTAGACTTGGCACTGAAAGTAAAAACATTTATTTTTAATTAAATTAAGGAGAGGAGACCTGGAACACCACATGGCAATTCGCACATTGACATAGTTGAGAACTGACTTGAACATGGAATTGTGGAAAACTGACCAAAAAAAATTACATTTCCCCCCAGTTTTATCAGAGTACATTTGATTTCCACTTGTTGACAGAGGGTTAAAAGTGCCATTTCAGAAAGTTCTGGTGTGCATTTATCACCGTAGAAACTTGGCATGCATCTATGCCAAGTAATCTACATGATGCATAGAATGGAATGTTGGTCACTTACCATGAACATTCTTTCTGGGGGCATGCAGGGGGAATCCAGTAAACTGTGGATTAATACTACCCGCTGCCCTAGGACAGGTGGGGTCACATGATACCAAAACGATTGCATCATTCAACTCCTAAGACTCCATCTCCAGTTTCAACCATATTCGAGTTGGAGAAAGAGCCATCAGAGAAGCACTTGTGAGCAAAATAAAGAGAGCCTAGAAAAGAAAAGTAAAAAGTAACCCCTCCAAATAGACATGGCACAAATTAGATGCTGGAGCCCAGGCCCATACTCAGTCACCTGACAAAGGGTGCGTCTGGATGCCTCCTGCACACCCCATGAAAGAACTGGAAAGTGACCAACATTCTGTTCCCAGCGATGCATCCAGGAGGCACCCAGAAAACAGTATTACTTACCTAAGCTAAGCCAAATCAGGGAGAGATCAGAGGGGTGGTTGCCCTGGGGAGAGGTCCTATGATGAAGAAGTGACACTAACCCAGGGGAAATACAGGATCCAGGACCCCTCCTAGCATGTTTAGCCACCAGCTGTCCTGAAGAGTTTGCAGGTCAGACAAGACCTCCAATGATTCCTCTGAGGAACACCAAAAAATGCAAGGCAGATATTTGTTCAATTTCTTACGACTGTAGCCATGCAAAAAAGTCTTTTTAGACTTTTAAAGTCTTTTCAGAATGGCTTAAATCCTTGGAAGGGGAAGCAAACAAATTTGAGGTATGGTGACTTAAAATTTGTCCCTTTTCCCAGAGCAAGATGGATGTAGGGCTACAGCAAAATGCTGATTGATGTAAGCCTCAATAATATCTCTGAGCAGTTGTACAAGGGGAGAGTGAGGCATATCTGGAGATGGACCCTTAATAAGCCTTTGATCCTAACAGCCAGACTAGAAGAAGAAAAAGGCTGTGTTGGGTGGACGGCTGCTGAACCCAGACGTGCTAGCCAGGCCTAAGTAGTGATGGTAAAGGGCCGCATTATTGAGTAAGAAGCTGCTGAGCTGAGAAGAGCTAGTCAGGCCTTTAGGAGGGAATGAAGGAGCACCATTGCCTGGATGAGGGAGGTTGTCAAATGAGTGGGAGCCAAGTGGCCAGTTTGTAAAAGCACACCAAGTCCAGAAGGTCTAGGTTGAAGGGGGAGGGATTCTGCCCTCTACTGGCCAGATGAAAGGAGGGCTATCAAATTCTCTATCTAAGATGGTGGAGTGGAGGTTTCATGCATAAAACCTAATTTTAAGTGGCTGCCATTTTCCTGCCAAAAACTGCTACCCCGGCAAAGCTTTAGCTGATAGAAGAAACACTGAAACTTATCCCAGCCTAGAGGGAAAGCATCAAAAGACTTAACGGGCTGGCTAAAATCCCAGCCAAACTCCATTGCTCCCCAGCACTCTCCCTCATCAATAGGCACCTTAGCCTAGACAGCACTGGAAAAGCCAGGTTAGAAATCAGAATTGTGGCTGTAAGTGCTCCAGAGAAAGGTACTAGCTTCTTCTACTGCAGGTGGCTTGGTGGCAAGTAGATCTGAGGGAGTGATAGCTGGCCTTTTTTCTTTTGTTAGCCAGGACATGGGTTGTCTCTTCTAAGAGCTCACTTCCCCTTCCCCCCATAGGAAAAACCCTGGGGGGAGAATAAGAGAGAGGAGAAAGAAAACTGACCAAATTCATAAAGAGAAAGTAAAAAAAGGAACAAGGAGCCAAGGTAAATGTAAGAAAATAAGAAGCAGGAGCTCTGAAGTACTAGGGAGGGAAGGAACTGGAGGTGTAATCTAAGGAGCTGGCTTATGCAGTCATTTTGGTACCATGTAACTCTGCCTTCTTAGGGAAGTTGGCGGGGAAAATAAAGTCACTGTTTTCTGGATGCCTCCTGCGTGAATCCCTAGGAAAAATGGATGGTGATATTATAGATGGGGCTGCTCGCTCCATGCGCCAACCCCCCCTCAACTTATCCAATGCCTTCTCCCTTTACACCTGACCCACGCACTCACAGCTCACCCCAACCCCTTTTTTACTCAGATATTGAAGTCTTGTACCAAAAATAGACAAAGGAGAACACTGTTGATGTTGATATACAGGTAACTTGCATCTTATGCTAAGGTTCAGTTACAGCAGTCTACAGTACAGTGGTACCTTGGGTTACATACGCTTCAGGTTACAGGTGCTTCAGGTTACAGACTCCGCTAACCCAGAAATAGTATCTCGGGTTAAGAACTTTGCTTCAGGATGAGAACAGAAATCGTGCTCTTGCGGCGCCACGGCAGCGGGAGGCCCCTTAGCTAAAATGGTGCTTCAGGTTAAGAACAGTTTCAGGTTAAGAACGGACCTCCGGAACAAATTAAGTTCCTATCCCAAGGTACCACTGTACATGTATACATAAAAACATATAAAACCAGGAACCCCTGGAACTGGGGACCCCACAAGGTGGAGGGCTTTCTCAGCAGCGGTGATCTCCCTGTGGAATATCCTCCCATCAGATGTCAAGGAGATAAAGAACTACACAACTTTTAGAAGATATCTGAAGGGAGCCTTGTATCGGGAAGTTTTTAATGTTTGACGTTTTATGTTTTTATACAGTATGTGCTGGAAGCCGCCCAGTGTGGCTGGAGAAACCCAGCCAGATGGGCAGGGATATAAAAAATACGATTAATTATTGTTATTATTAAACTTACTTCACAGTTAAACTATGATGGCCACAAATCTGGATCACTTTAAAAGAGGATTAGACAAATTCATGGCAGATAAGACAATCAATGGCTCCTATAGTCTTCCACCGCTATTGGAGGCAATATGCCTCTGAATGCCAGTTGCTGGGATTCTTAAGTGGGGAAAGAGCTGTTGCATTCAGGTCCTGCTTAGGGGCTTTTCATAGGCTTCTAGTTTGGCTATTGGGAGAACAGGATGCTGTACCAGAAGGGCCTTTGGTGTAATCCAGCAGGGCTCTTCTTATGTTTGTATTTAAGCAAATGTACATAACATAAAGGTTGCTGTATTGTGAGAATTTCATTCAAGATGATATTAAAAGGCATTCCAACTTCTGTTTTCTGCCTTTCCTGTTTGCTCTAAACAATGTGTAGATTAGATTATACTTACCCGTTCTACTTCCTGTGTTGTGTTGCTTAGTTGCCGGGCTAATAACTCTTTGCTAGTGTCCAATTTTATGCAGAGTTCCCGAGTAGATGCCAACTCTGACAGTACAGAAACTTTCTCCAGTTGCACGTCATGGAGTTCCTCCTCCATTTTCAAAAGAGACTTACCTAATGTAGAAATCTGTGACTTGTGGGCTTTTTCTGCTGCTAATTGCTGTGAAAACATGTGTTGATGAAGACAATTAACATTTTGATAGAAATGTACCAGAACAATGCCTAATAACTTTAGGGAAGATCAATTACAGTTTTAGTTAAATAATGATACTTTATCTTTTTTGAATACATAACCTCTAAGAGTTTCTGAAGTGAATTTAAAATAAAATTGTTAACTGTAAGCAGAATGTAAAATAAATATCTTGTGAACAAACCAGGAAACACTAGATGCAGCTACATTTCATTTATATCAATTATTAAAATAATTGGATTAAAATAACTGAATTAAAATAAAAGTGTCTAATCTTCAAAATTTTGATTTTTGGCTGCAAAATCAGATTTCAGAGCTGGGGGTGGGGAGAAGATAGAATTATTAACTTTAGAAAACAAAAACATACATATTATTTCTTACCAACCACATTGTGTACAGGAACCATCTTAAGATACATAATGGTACCTGGAATATTGGTACTTAGAATACTGAACTCTCAGCTTGGTAAAAGTGTAGAATTCATACATTTACAGAAAAACAAAGGCTCACACCACATACTTATCCCAAACAGTCTCAAAAAGGTCAGAATGTGCAACAATCTAAGGAAGGTCAGTGGTAGCTATTGCCATCCACTGGTGATCTGTGGTTTAGCTTAAAGCAATATGGTGGAAGCAGAACTGGAGGAGAAGCAAAGTGGCTGTGATCTCTCTGGGAACCCACATTTGCTTGGCCACACTAAGCCATGATTTGGTTTAGCATGGTGTGCAAATAGGGTCAGTGAATGATGGTGAGTGGAAGACCTCTTCCCTTTACAACAAATGTGCTTTCTGAAAGTACCTGTTGTAGCCCACATAACTGAGACATATGTCTCACAATAAACTTTATCCCTTAACACTCCCAATGGAGATGAAGAACAAGGGCGAAAGTGCTGAATGGAAATGAAAAAGCTCTACTGCCCAGCTATTAAATGAAAATGAAATTGTAAAAATGGATTGCTGAGGCTTTTCCAACTTACGTGCCCAATCTCTGTTTCAAGAGCCTCTGTTCGTTCTTTTAGTCTGCGGCTCTCAGATTCTGCACTGAGGAGCTCCAGTTGGACAGAGCTACAATTTGCTTCCATTTGTTGGAACTTGGATTCCCACTTTTCTGCTTGCTCATTGGCCCTATGGTAGTTATCCAAAAGATCTTGATTCTCCTTTTCCTGAAATTCAAAATTTGGTTTCATTTTTGAAATTTGAGGCCAGTTTACATATGCCATGCATAGTGGGACAGAAAATTAGCTTGCATAACCACAGAGCAGGAGCCATAGTGGTGTCCAACAGATGTTTTCGATTACAACTCCCAGCAGCATAGGTAACACCCAGTGATCATGGGAATTCTAGTCAAAAACATCTGGAGGGCACCACATTGGCTACCCCTGTCCTAGAGCATAGAAAACACAACCTGTGTTACAGTGCATATATTCTATCATTTGTATATATAATCACCTGAATGCTGCAATCCTTCCACAACTTTTTTGAGTGAAAGGTCATGGGAACTGGTTGCGTACACCCCATATTGTTAGACAATTGGAAAGAGAGCACATGGCTCTCTACTGCTACACTTTACAATATAAATGGATGAAAAAAAAGTGAACTGGCCCTTAGTAAACTATATTCACTTCAGTCCAGTTGTATGGTGGGTTTGCAGGACTAGTGGACATCTGAACTTCACTGTAGAAAGATGGACCTGCCATACAGGTACTGCTCAACTTGTACAACATGCCCATGACCAATTTGGGAAGGGGAAGGGAACAAGACAGATGGGCAAGCACCAGCTGTATAGTGGGGAAGGGGAAGGGCTCTGATGTTGTTCCAAGTATACCACTGCAGCTCCTTCCTCTGTAAGATCTGCTGCAAGAAAATCAAAGCAGATGAGGAAATGCCTCAGTAAACTTTTGTGTTTAGTAAAAATACAAAAAAATAGTCTCATGAATTTTGTAACTGCATGCAAGCATTTTTCAGCATGCAATGCATTTTGAATTGAGGCCTTAAATAACACTAAGGCAGCTCAGATGTGCATTGACCTTGCATGCCTTCTTCTACTGGGATTATCAAATTCTTTTTGCCTTTTGCACATGTGTCAGTACAGATTAATGCTGATGGAAAGCTTCTCCTTCCTTCTACAAACTTTTGACCTATTTGAGATCTTAATCAAAAGCTAGTATGGCTGCAAAGCTTTTGCAATCCATGGAACACAGACTATAAAAGTAATGTAGTTTCCCAGTACTGGCTGAGTGGAATCATTTTTTAGAGCAGGGGTGGTGAATGGTCCAATGGGCAAATTTGTTATCTCCCCCACCCCTTGCGGGCAAATGACATCTGGTTGGGGTAGCCTACCTAACAATACCCTGATGTCACAATGACATCAAACAACCCTTTTTTGCCTCAGGAGGAGTGCTTTGCAGGGCCCTTGCAAATTGCTCAGCAACATAGTATTTTGCATAGGGCTTTGCAAGGGTCTTGATATCTTGCAGAATGCTTTACAAGGGTCACTGTGAATGACCCAACAAAACTGTCAGCTCTCCTGCAGCATTTTGCACAGCACTCTCTGATGGCTCAGTAAAACCTTTCAAATCATTAGAATGTAGACATAGGAATATTCTCCTTGACAGGAAGCACCCCATTAGACATTGCATGGTTTAGAAAACTTGCAGCTTTTCAAAGTATACATTTACTTTAGATTTCAGCATGCTCTTCAGTCTGGAAATATCTGTATGCCAATCTTCAGTTTTCGCCTTCAGATTATCAAGTTCATTCTGACATTCACTGAGTTTGTGATGCAGAATCTGTCAAAGAAATGTGAAACATTGTTTTAGGCAAGCATTTCATACTCTTTTCAGGTTTGACTACATTTTAGAAGTAGGATTAGGTGTCGTAAAGTGTTACAATTAAAGATGCATTCCTATATATAAAAGGAGAAATACGAACCTTCAAGATGAAACAAAATTCTAAATAAAATTTAGAGTTAGCAGAACAAGCCTGAAGCAACACACATGTGTGCACAACAGGGCTGGCCCAAGATATTTTGGCATCTGAGGGGAACCACAAAATGATGCCCTCCTCCCTGGCAGGGAAGAAGAGGTGAGTGAAGGTCCATGTCAGCAACAAGGGGGGAATAAAACTCTACACTGGGATCTACTGCTCTATGAGGCAGGCACCTACCACCTGAGCACCTTGCTCATGGGTGGGTTGCCCTCCCCCACATGTCCATGGAGAAGACAAGAAACTGACTGAGATGATGGGGGTGTGACCAACAGATAAAGACCAGTCTGTGTTTCCTGTCTTCAGCAGCAAGACAGCAGCATAACCCATATGATGACATGTTAACCACCTCCAGAGAACATAGTGTTATGAGTTTGTGGATACTAGACACCCTAAATTCCAGGGTCCAGGTGTTAGAATTTAATCAGTGTTTTGGAGTGTTAAAACTGAGTGCAAGACCTGTGTGTATTAAGCCACAGTGTATTAAGCCAGACCCTGTAAATTAAACTGCCTGCTAGTCTCTGCTAATCCTTAAATTAAGTAAAATGCTAAGGGCTAATTAAGCTAGGCTAACTTCCTTGTGAGGAAATCACCTGGGGTGATAGGCTATTAAGAAGACTAAAAGAAAGGTAAAGGACCCCTGACCATTAAGTCCAGTCACGAACAACTCTGGGGTTGCGGCGCTCATCTCACTTTACTGGCCAAGGGAGCCTACATTTGTCTGCAGACAGTTTTTCCAGGTCATGTGGCCAGCATGACTAAGCCGCTTCTGGCGAAACCAGAGCAGCACACGGATGCACAACCAGATGCAGCCCCCGATGAATTTGAGTTTGACACCCCTGCCCTAGAATCTTGCACTGCTCAGAGATTGAGGGTAGTGTGGAACAATATCCTCCCTGTTGTTGGTTAGTATTTTAGTCGCTTCGTGACCCCCATGGACCAGAGCACACCAGGCACTCCTGTCCTCCCTAGTTAGTTACAAAACAGTTCCTGGTTAATAGTGGAAAGGTAAATATGAGTTGTATTCAAATCTGCCAATATATACCTGATTCTCCTCCTTAAAGCTATAAAGCTGTTTTTGTAGATTATCATTCTCCCGAATTAATCCTTCTTTCTCTTCGCTAGTCTGAGCAAGTTCATTATTAGATTCATCCAAAAGCTGATGTAGTTTGGTAATATCCTGTTCACACCTACAGAGTGCTTCAGTAGAATGCCTGGGCAGTAAATTATAAAATGCAAAATACATTTTACATAAAAATATTATTGCAAAACAAGGGCATGAAAATGTCCCTTCATCAAATGTTTTTAGATAGAAGTATACCAATAATTATGTTTACTTAATAAAACATTTTTAAAATATTGAATATGTCTAATATTACAAGTTATAAATACAGAATAGATTAATTTATATATGTTAATTCTGACAGAATAGTTCAAGTTAAGTAAAAATAACTTTAAAAGAAAGAACAAAATCCAGAGTTTATGTCTTACTTTGTTGATTTCTCCATATCAGAAAGTAGGCACTTCAAATCTGAAATGGTCTTTTCCTTGAAAATAAATAAAAATGTATTTTTCCTCAGTTAGTAAAAAAGAGATGAACAAAACAGGAAATAGTTTGTTTTTTCATGTCAGTTTCTTTTGTTCGGTAATATTTTATAAGATTAAGGCTGTAATTCTAACCATCCTTATATGAGAGTAAACTCCTATGAACAGAGCAGGATTTACTTCTGAGTAATTGTACATAAGCTTGCACTCCACAGGTTTTTAACATTTTGACTGCAATCCTATACACACTTGTTGGGAATAAGTCTCATTGAGCTCAGTGGGGCTTAGTTCTAAGTAGACATGCATTTGATTGCAATGTTAGGCTGCCAGAACAGCAAAATAAATATGGTAGAGATTTAATATCATGGCACATGCAAACTTTGCAGCAAAAGTCTCAGAAATCTCTGAACTGTGGTGCTGGAAGGGGGTGGGATTAACCCTTTCACGTGACATGGTTTTCTCAATCAAAATGCCCCCTAAAGTTGCTATTAGAATCTCAACATATACAACATAGTGGTTACAGAGTCTCTGACTGCAAGACCTACAAACAGCATGTACAGGGTAGAAAGTTATTTGCAAAAAAATTATAGCATTTTAACAGTTTTCTAAATGGTAGTAAAGTTCCTCATTCTATATTTGAAACTGTATACTTAAAAGTCATAATCAAACTATTAGTAGTATTGAAAGGTGTATGTTTAAACTAAATTTAAAAAGCACCAATTTGAATAAGCAGAATGTTTTAACCCTACTAATACATGTATTTGCATATTAAAACAGAATTACTCAAAAATAATCCACAGAAATGTCAATTTTCCATCACTAGCACAACTCATGCTTGTACCATTTACTTTGTCCAATATGCCTGTAATGTGTACTTTCAAAAGCTACATGCCAAATATGAAGTCTCCTTCCTGCACAAGCACAAAAAAATTCTAAATGTGATGAATCTTAAATATCTAAACATTTACATATCAAACTTACTTTAAGGGCCAAGCTTTCTTCAAGGGAGGCAACTTTATCTGCTTTCTCTTCCAGAAGCTCATGTAAAGAATCCTTTTCTGTATCAAGTTCAGTTATTGTGTCATTGAGTGTACAAATATCTTCTTGTTGAACAAGATTTTGTTTTGAAAGCTTTTCTGGAAATATTATAATAAAATTTCATTATTTTATCAATTTAAAATAACCTTTGGTAAATAGGCTGTGATCAAGCAACAACTCTGATGAGCATACAAATATTTATTATGCATGTACAAGTTCCACTCCCCCTACATTCTGGCCAAACTGCAAACTTTTAGCTAAGATAGTCTTGCAGAAAAAAACAATGAACAGTCTTGTGACATCTTAAAGGCCAACAATTTATTGCAGCATAAGATTTTGTGGAGTGCAGTCCACTTCATTTTATCCTGAGTTGTTGGTGTATGTACATGATTGGGGGCAGGGAGGCGGGGAGAAACTGAAAATAATGAGGTCAGAAGAAAATGAAATACAATGGACAGTCACAATTTCCTTAGTAAAAGTGACCATTCACAAAAAGAAGAGTTAATCACAAGACAACCTGACATTGCTAAGTTAGATATAGTGCGATTTTTAAAAAATCTATCGTGCTCATTCTATCCACAATGATAGCACTGAACCTCCCTCACCTCTCATGCCCAGGCCTGGGGAGGAAGTGAACAATGGGGGAAACTGGTCTAGCTACTCACCACTTGCCACAGAATATAACACTTAAAATCCACTATACATGTGTAGCACTATTATTGCCATATTTTCCAATAATTTTCAAATGCTTCTAAATAACTTTATATAAATACAGCACAAACACCATCACATGGATGTGTCCTTAATTGTCAAACTTGGCCCAAGTAGCCAAGAAAATTGAACTTTTCTGTAGCAGCATTTTGGGGCTCTATACTTTGCGTCACATTCTTGTAATGACACAGGCTGTGGGTAGCCAATGAGGTATGTTCCAGTTTTTGTAAGACTAAAATTTCCATCATTCCTGACCACTGCCATGGTGACCATGGCTTATGGGAAATCATAGTCCAAAATGATATGGAGGGCACCTCATTGGCTACCCCTTTTCTATGCAAAGTACACCTCTCTGTGCCTAAGGCTTGTGGGATGCAGTTTTGTTACTGTTTTTACAGTAATATAAAGTGCTTGGATCAAGGAGATTTCAATCATGACCTCGGTGAGCAAAGCAGCAAATTTAAATCACTGATTTAAATATTAAATATTATTTATTATTCAGATACTTCCTATATAAAAAAATACATATTCACTGGTACTAAAGTCATAGAAACAGATATTCCTGACTAAATAATCACAGAACTTAGGCAGAAACTTGGCACAAAATAGATGTAAAATATCATCCATATGGATTAGTGGGTGACACTTGTAGACTTGCCAGTCTCTGGCCCCAGTCATTGTTATTAATAATTCATTTCTATGCCCAAAACTCATAAAAATGTGGTCTGCAGAATCACAATTAAAACTAAAATGACATAACAAATGAAATCAAGCAGAATACATTCAAGAAACAGAAATGCCGGATTACAAATATGAGTCACTCAACAAGGTTATAAAAACAGGAAATTGTTTTCATAAATAGGCTTGCTGAAATAACCAAGTCTTAATTTGGCACTTTCAGCTAATTACAAACAATGTCAACTTGATTTTACTAGGTAGAGTTTCATAACCCAAGTGCCAAATGCACAATTCTTCTTAAGGATAGTCTGACACTATCAGGCACCATCAGACATTTCTCAGAGGCAGGTTGCAAAAGTCAGGCAGGGGTATAAGGAGTAAGGTAAGATTTTAAGCCGCAGGTGTTTAGGCTTAATATACTTAATAGTAAGACCTTGAAGATAGTTTGGTAGCATACTGCTAGCCAAATGCAACTATCACAATATAGGTGTTATATTTTGTCAATAGCCAACACCTGATAACCAGGCTGCATAATTCTGCACCAGCCTCAAGGGTAGACCCACATAAAATCACATTGCAATGCTCCAATAAATAATCCTGTATAAAATATATTTTAAAAATGACTCAAAGGTTGGCATTTGAAACTTACCATTTTTTTCATCTAGACACGTAATTTTATCTTGAATGAGCTGTAATTCATATTTTTTCTTTGAGAGTTGTCGTTGGGCCTCTGCAATGTTATGCTCCATTTTTTCATTCATAATGCTAAAAATTAACAAAGGGCAATTTAAATTTATCTTTTCACACAAACTTTGCACTAACACTAAAAGGGATCTCATGATAAATGGCAACTAATTAATAGCTAGTGACTATAGAGCAAGGGAATTTTGTGAACGCGTAATTAACAGTTAATAAAAGCTAAGCACAAGCTACGGAACTCTTCAAACAGAAGTCAGTGCAAATCAGGTATCAGGTAATTTAGAATTAGTGTATGAAATAAGCCAACTTAACTAAAGAGAAGCTATTGCCAAAGTAGAACATACAGTATATCACCATCCTTTTAAACTACATTATTATTTATATCCCATTAATAAGTCTACTTCGTATCTCAAAAACTTAAAATTATAGCCAGTTAACAGACACAAACTTTGAAACATAAAATATTTGATTCAACACATATTTCAGTTACCTCAGTGAAGCATTAGTTGCTTTTTGCCTGCTTAGCTCACTTTCAAAATCTACTGCTCTTTTTGCCAATATTTTCATCTCCATTTCTAGAGACTCGATTGTCTCCTTCATTAAAGCCATCTTTGATGTTTGATCTAATCGCTCATTGTCAAGCTGAGACATTAAAGTGACAAGGAATTATTACTTTATATAACATCCAACTACTTCAATTAACATATGCTTTTACCTAGGAATTATTTATGTTGCCTTTTCAGACTTTTTATAGAATTATAGAATCCTAGAGTTGGAAGGAACCCAAGGGTCATCGAGTCCAACCCCTTGCAATGCAGGAATCTCAGCTAAAGCATCCATGACCGATGACCACCCAACCTCTGCTTAAAAGCCTCCAAAGAAGTTGTCTTCACACAAATGCACAGAGTATGGGAGACAAGCAAGATGAATTGGAGCTTTTAATTCAGGATTGCAAGTATGACCTGGTAGGCATTATTGAAACCTGGTGGGATGAGACCATGACTTGGAATGTAGAAACTAAGGGGTATAACCTGTTTTAAAGGAATAGACCAAGCAGGAAGGGAGGAAGAGTAGCATTATATGTAAAGGATGTGTATACCTGTGAAGAAATCCATGACTTGGAACATGGAAAGCAGACTGAGAGTATATGGGTAAAGATTGTAACAGAAAGAAAAAACAGTGACCTTACTGTGGGGGTCTGCTATCGACTGCCAAGCCAGACAAAAGACTTGGATGATGCAGCAGAGCCCCCCTCCAATGCAGCAAAGAATTAACCACACTAGGGACCCAACCAGTCTGCTAGATTTAATAAGCCAGGAGGGACAGGGGTCCAAGGCGCATGTGGTCAGATGCATTGCCACCAGCACCTTGTCCACCTCAACTGATTGCATTATCTTAATCAAGACAGCCCAATGTAACACGATGCATAGCAGAGCAAGGACCTGATTAGCTGAAAATTAGGCAGTTCTTTAATGGACAAATTGGGAGTATTGATGCTCTGTTGCCAAAGCGCACAAAACCCTGGAGATAACCCTGAATGGAGAGCAAATCAGTCTCCTATTTTCTTTTCCAGTAAGACTGTATCTTATATACTACAGTTTCTAGGACTAATTCCTTAAGAATATATTTCCCTTTAATAAAGGTTACAGGTTACAGTGAGAATCAAAACTCTTTGTTACAATAAGCCCACTGGCTACTGGCCTGTTTCTGGGCACAACTGAAATGTTGGTCATGAGCTATAAAGCCCTATACACCTTGGGTCCAGGCTATTTCCCTAGATAAGCCTGACTAGGTTTTGAAATCTTCAGGGGACACCTTTCTCTCCGTTTGCCACCCTCACAGGCACATTTGGTGGGGACATGGGAGAGGGCCTTTTTGGTGGCTGCTCTCATATTGTGGAACTCTAGTCCATGGGAGGTTAGTTTTGTCCTCTCTCTCCTTTCGCTGGCAGGCAGGCTTTTTTTGTTTAGATAGGCCTTTGGCAACTATTGTGGCAGGGTCATTTAATGGTATGAAATGCATATTTTCTCCTCCTCTTGTTGTTGGGTTTTTAAATGGTTAAGCTGTTTCAATTCAATGGCGTTTTTAATATGGTAACTTATTTATTTATTTATTTATACTTATAACTGTTTGGTGTGCTTTTTAGCTGTATCTGTATTTAATGCATGTTGTGAGCCACCTTGGATCTGACTCCTGCACTGGGAGAAAGGCAAGATATAAACAAACAAACAAACAAATAAAGCTCTGTATAGATTACTAAATAGAAAAATAAGAAATGCATACAAATAATTGCATGTTTCTTGAATAATGTAGTAAGAGTTGTATATTTATACAAAAAAATCATTCAATGTATCTTTTCAATGTCTCTGTCCTTACAGGCTTCTAACCACTTGTTTAATGTTATATCTACCATATCTTTAAAATAAGGAAACATTTTCCCTTACACTCTGAACATTTAACTCCAGTTCCTCAACTCTCTGTTCCAGGTGAGCTTTTTCATTAAATGCAGTCTCTTGAGCAATCTATATCAAACAAAAACATAAATCAAATACACTTAGTATAATAACATTTAATCTATTAGATTAGATTAGATACTACACAACGGTCTTGGCAATTTCTTATGTTGAACAGATGTGGCACAAACGAATTTGGATAAAAAGTCAAACCTTTAACCTCTCTCTCAAGCTATCTCGTTCAGTGGACATCCTTCGGAAATCAGAAATAGCTGCATCCCTTTCTGTTTCCACACGCCTCAAAACAGCCTGTGCAGTCATCGCAGTTTTGGATGCTTTCGGGACTTTCATAGCTTCTTTTCGCAGTTGACTTATTTCTTCCTGGGCCTATCATTCAAAATTAAAACTCAGATGCAGATTTGTCCAATTCAAGACAACTTAAATTGTAACTAGCCTACCAAAGACAAAACCGGACCCAACTTACTTCAGCAGATATATACAAAGTGAATACAACCCATAATGTCACATCCACAAATAGCCCAAGCAACAGAGACGGCCTGTTGTTATTAAAACCTGCTTAGGTTGGGAGCTATCCAGAGGCATCAGGCTGGCACTGTGGAAACGTGATCCTGGAATAAATCAATCCTTGATCTAATTCATCAGTGTTCTTTCTATGTTCTTAATAGTTTGTATAGGAGCAGCTGGCAGGGAAGAGTGTCACCGTGGAACTATCCTGGCAGCAGGATTACTGCTGTGTATCAGGATGGTGAAGAGGTAAGGCAAAGTATCAATTCAGTTATGGTGGTTTAGGCACACCAGCAGCGCCAATCCAGCATACCTGACACTATATTTGAACCACCCTGTCGTCACTACCACCCTCCTCCACCTCATCCTGCTACATGGCAGCAGCAGTGCTACTAGGTCAGGTCTGTGGCACCAACCCTTCCCACTAGCTGCTGCTCACATTACTTTCCATGATGGATCCCAAAAGAAGAGATAACATCATTCATTCATTCATTCATTCACTCTCTTCAAAATTTCAAAACTTTTCTTCCCAATGTAAATGTACAAGCAGGATACAATAATAAATTGTAATAGTACAAAAAAGAAAAGAGGGAAATATTTTAAAAATCCAAATCATAAATCTCTCTGCATATAAAATCAGGCTATACAAACAAAACAGAAAATAAATTGAAACCTAAGTGCAGGAAGCCTAGAAAAACAAAAATATTTTAACAAACTGTTTAAGTCTACAATAAGGCAGTCCTATATCCGTCCAGAAAGAGAAATTCCAGAGTTTATGTGCCAAAAGTAGGAGCCCACATTTTAAGTACTTGCACATCATAAATCGGGACACGGGTGGCGCTGTGGGTTAAACCACTGAGCCTAGGACTTACCGATCAGAAGGTTGCCGGTTTGAATCCCCGCAACGGGGTGAGCTCCCGTTGCTCGGTCTCTGCTCCTGCCAACCTAGCAGTTCGAAAGCACGTCAAAGTGCAAGTAGATAAATAGGTACCGCTCCGGCGGGAAGGTAAACGGCGTTTCCGTGCGCTGCTCTGGTTTGCCGGGAGCAGCTTAGTCATGCTGGCCACATGACCTGGAAGCTATACGTCGGCTCCCTTGGCCAATAAAGTGAGATGAGTGCCGTAACCTCAGAGTCAGCCACGACTGGACCTAATGGTCAGGGGTCCCTTTACATCATAAATCCTGAGGACAACAAACCTTCAACAATGCCTCCTAAGACAATCTTAAGGTAAACAGCTCCCAAACACTTTAAGATTTTATATTTTGTCAGAAATTGTTCTTACCAGAATATTCCATATGCCTGTAAAGATTACCTGATCATAAAGTTGAATAACTTTGTCTCTTTCTGCTGTGAGAACCTTGATGTTGCCTTGAACTTCTGCCATGTGACGTTCATATCTTTCCAGCATTGTCTTATATTCATCACGGTCTCTCAACATTTGCTGAAATTCTGGATCAGATTTACATCCCTAAACAGTTAATGAAGAGAAGTTGATTTCCTTTTCTACTGCTTTTGATTTATCAATCAATCAATCAATCAATCAATAACATCCATAAATCACAAACTTTAGAATTTGATTGGATCATCCAGTTTTAAATTATTCAGGAAGATGGTGGGTGATATCCAACTAAGTCTTAATCAATGACTTTAAGTCTATTGAATTCAATTAATCTACTCTATGACTAACCATTGGATATCATTCTGCCTGTTCAGTTCATATTAATCTGTGCACAATTAACTATTCTGAAATGCTTTTTGTTAGATACTATGTAGAATGTGTAAGGGACGCAGGTGGCGCTGTGGGTAAAACCTCAGCGCCTAGGACTTGCCGTTCGTCAGGTCAGCGGTTTGAATCCCCGCGGCGGGGTGTGCTCCCGTTGCTCGGTCCCAGCGCCTGCCAACCTAGCAGTTCGAAAGCACCCCTGGGTGCAAGTAGATAAATAGGGACCACTCTGGCGGGAAGGTAAACGGCGTTTCCGTGTGCTGCACTGGCTCGCCAGATGCAGCTTGTCACGCTGGCCACGTGACCCGGAAGTGTCTTCGGACAGTGCTGGCCCCCGGCCTCTTAAGCGAGATGGGCGCACAACCCTAGGGTCGGACACGACTGGCCCGTACGGGCAGGGGTACCTTTACCTTTACCTTATGTAGAATGTGATTAATTCTATTGTAATGAGTCTAAATAAAGATTTAAGTTGACAGATACCTTGAAAAATAGTATAAACGTAGGTACATATCACAAAATTAGAAACGACAAAAAATAATGTAGTACAACATCTTCCCAATGACAGAACTATCCATCTACCAATCCATCATCAATTAGTCCTTGCAATCCAAACAGCAGTATGCAGCAACCAGATTGCATGCATACCAGAAAATGCAACCTGTATTTTGTATGTATTAGGCTGAAATTCTAACTTATCAGGAGGCAAGTTCCATTGAACTCATTGGGCCTGCTTCTGAGTAGAAATGCACAGAACTGCATTGTAAAGCTGCTTAAATCTTACTGACTTCAACAGGATTTAGGTAGTCTGATTAATTTACTTCAGTCCCTCGCTAGCATATTAATAGTTCCAAGTAATCAAAATCAGCTGAAAAAATGCACAAATCTATACTTTATGAAAGTTGAAAAATATACCCGGATGGGGGAAAGCTCCTTTGAAACAGAATGAGAGGAGCTGCGCCTAGGACTTGATGTATTTCGAAGCATTTTCTTCAGCTGATATCTGTCTTCTTCTGCTGACTTGATAGAATTGTCAAGCCTTGAGGGACGCTTCTCCTGTGATAGTTCAATGTTTGAGGAAGGCTTTTAAGTGCCAAAGTGAAAACAATTATTACTATAAACATACTTTTCCAACTAAGACATATTTCTACAGAAGCAAGATTTATTATGTTTCAGATTTTCTGAATTTACTGTATTATAAAATCATTAAAGCTGTTTCTGTCAAAACAAATAGAGTTGGCTGTATGAAGTAGATCTCACAATAAAGGCTGGGAAGAGTGGGAGAACCTAGCATGCATGTGGCTATGAATGCCTACGTGCACCACTGAACAAATGTCATAGCTGACAACTTAAGTGAGAGAAGAAGACTGGTTTCGCCACCTGCCTCCTCTTTCCTTCTTTGTCCTTTATAAAGCAGGGTATGGATGAAAAATAGGGATCTTTTGCCAATCTTTCTGCTAGACAGAAAAAAAATACACAGAGCTTCCTAGCTTGGGTGCAGGTGCACATAGTACACTCTGCAAGTGAAAAGAAGGTAAGTGTGAAACGGCACACCCAAACCATTCTGACAGGTAGATGAGATTTCTAAGGAAAGAGCCTCTAGGAAAAAGGTGTCCTTATAAACAGATTACGCCTTGAATTTCTGTACTTGAAGAGAGTACGTCTTTAGGCAATAATTAAGCCCGCCCACCAACTCCACACACCTAAGGGTTGTTAGGAAAGGGTGCAGTAATGACCATGTTCAGCTTGCATCCCCAATGTCTTCCCAGGTGCACAGAGATGCAAGCAGAATTTGAAAGAACTGTGCCCATTGCTTTCTGTGTTACAGACATGCAGGGAGGTCAAACCACTGTTAATGCTGAAGAAAGAGAAATCTCACTGAAAAGACATAAAATGCAGAATAAGGGGCATTTTGAATGTTATGTATTCTTAACACTACAATTATGCATTTAAATATCTTATAAAAGACGTATCAGTTGTACTAATCTGCGCAAATGCTTTTTGCAATGTACATATGATATGAGGTTTCATCAGCAAAAATAAAGATATGTAACTTACAGAGCTAAGGGTGCTGATTTTATGTTCCAATTTCCGTATAGTATTTTGTTGGCATTTAATCTGAGACTAAAATGAAAAGAAAGAAAAATACGATTAGTTAGACAACTGAAAATAGAGCATTTGGCAAATATTTTTCACTGACTAATAATGCATTTGGATAACTCATTTAAGATGAGCTGAAAATGACAAACTCAGTAGAGCTGAGGTGCCAGTCAGTTAGCAGAGTGGTTTTCAACCAGTGTGCTGTGGCACTCAGGGGTGCTGCAGGCAACACTGGCCTCCGTCCCTCGTTCCTTCCCTCCCTCCTCTGATGTCCTCTTGTGTCCTGCCTCCCAAAGGCTTACTCAGCTGTTTGTTGTAGCAGCCCTGGCTACAAACTCTGCAAGCAAATGGTGCCTCTGGGGCTGGCCAGGGAGTGCTGGTTGACAGGAGCTGAGGTGGCCTCAGAGTAAGCATGTAAGTGGGTGAGGGAAGCCAGGCAGGCAGGTGCTGTGCTGGCCTTTCTTGTGCTTGCTGTGTGCAAGGCCTGCCTGGGAGCTGAGTGCCCGGTGCTGAAGAAGAGCTTTTCTACCATGCAGCCCCACCAGCACCTGCGGCTGCCACCCAAGATAAGGTGCTGGCCTCATGTTCACCTTTGGCCAGTCTCCACTGGGCCACTAAAGCTGGGGACATCCTCTTCCCAGGCTCCTTTGGGGCAATGTGAGGAGGCACCTCTCTTTGGGGCAGGGAGGGCAGCTCAGAGTTGGGCACAAGGTAAATCAGGATCTACTGATAAATCTCTGGGTGATTTGAAGCACAGGGTGTTCAAAAAGTAACCAGACACCTACTGAGTTACATTATCCAACAGGTGTATAGTTACTTTTCGAACACGCTATAGATTGGTAAGGATTTTTTACTCCTGATTGTTTAACAATAACAGCAACACAATGAATCCCTCCTAAATTATCCAGTTGGAATGAAGAAAGCTTAGGGTAACCAGGAGTGGATTTTTATGTTGAAGGACTGTGAGTTGAGTTCTGATACTATAAAAGTATTACTCAAAACAAATTCATGTGCTCAGAATTCTTTAAGTCTAAGTGTATGCCCTTTATATCAGACTCCAGCTGATGGATATCACAGTTTCAATAGCGGCGCCTGCAAGTTTACCCTCCTCTGCTCTACACCATTACAAGGCTAAATGTCCACAGTATTTTTTGACCTACACCTGTATCTCTTTACTTGGTCAACATTGTGTGTGTGTGTTTGCGTGTGTGTGTGTGTTGTAAAATTATTGGAACACTGAGAGGAACATAGGAAACTGTCTTATTCTGAGATAGACCTTTGATCCATCCAATTCAGTATTGTTGCACTGACTGATAGCAGCTCTACATGATTTCAGACAGAAGTCTTTGCCAGTTCTACTTGGAGATGCTGGGGACTGAATCTGGGAATTTCTGCATCCAAACCAGATGCTCATTCACTGAGCTACAGCTCTTCCAATTGGTTACAATTCCAGTATTTCACATATGCAAACTCTTAAAACTACATGAGCATCCAGAAATGGAAATTTCTCCTGTAATTGTGAAACTAATTCTCAAAAAGAACAAACTATAAAAGCATTGCATGTATAAAAATTTTATTATTAATTCAAGTACCTTGGCTTCTGCAATTTCCTGGTCTGCACTATCCAATACAAATTCTTTTTCTTTTTCCAGCTGTTCTGCTAACTTGTCTACATGAGCGAGTTCTTTACAGAGATATTCATTCTTACTTGCCAAGTCACCCACTTGAGTTGTTACTTCTTTCTTACTATCAAGTATTTTTGTAACATACTTCTCCAACTCAATATTTTTTGTTCGCAGTTCTTCAACCTTGTAAGTCAAAAAGAACAAAATGGTTTCACTTCTCCTACATCTTAAGTCTTGGCAGCAAAACATTAGTTCATATCACATACTAAGTGTAAAGGGCTCCTGAGCAGCTGACCATGGTTAAGGTACATTGAAACTGCTTGTTCCTACATGGAAATGGCTGGCTGAACTTACGCATGACTAAAGGAATACATTTCACACATACTAAGTGGCACTCCAGCTTTAGTCCTGGAGAGCTCAGGCCCCAAACATCTTAGATTATCTCTAACTCTGTGACTCCTTATAAATTCATCAGCTGTCAAAATCCTTTGGATGGTGCCTCAATGAACCAAGTTTCAATAGGAACAGTATATAAAGAAGCGTTTTTTTACATCAGTAAAAGAAAACTGTCATGTGTGAAGCAGCCCAGTGGTAAGCTAGACTAAGAGAGACAGAAAAACCATACAAGCACCAACACTTCAGGCGTGCTTCAAAAGTGATATGCTGAATTGTTTAGAAAATCTGATAATGGTTAGATAATGAGAACTTTTAAGGCCGAAGTGACCAGCCTATAAAAGCTGGGTCACACCACTGATTTAATATAAAGCAGAGGAATGATGTGTTATTTAAATTGCAAAATAATTAGTCCAGAAGTGAAAGTCAAACCCAGCTCCCATGTTCTTCCCACCAAATCACTTTGCCTCATCTTCCAGAAGGGCTCCAAGACTACAGGCAAGCTCATGGGGGCAAGGGGAACTCATGTTGCAACCTGCCCTCATCATGCCCAGTAGGGCCTCCAGCTGTATGGAAATTGTTGTTTTTCACCTGGAACCTGAATGACAATGAAGCTTTTAAAATCTGCCTATGATGAATGTATGTCAAATTCAGTGTCTTAATTCTAAGGTTAGAAAGCTAGAACATATAATGCAGCTCATGGAACGTGCCTAATTATGCAGCAACTTTGTTTCTAAGGATCTTGAATGATAACAATGTTCCATGTAAAACATACAATAGAGCCTGAAGCATGAAATAAAATCCAGGATCTATGGCTTTCACATGGTGGGGGCATACTAGAATAAAATCTGTCCGGTAATACTAGCAAGGTTATAATACTGTCTTGCATGACATACTAATCCTCGTGAGACTGTGCTAGTATGCAAGCTCCTAGAGAGGAGCTCACAGCTGTTTTGCTCTTTCCTGATCTTTTCATTGTTGTATCAAGCTTAACCAAGGTTTGCTTTTGTCTGAACCAGGGCTCATGGTTAAACACTCTCCTTGCTAACAACAAGCTGTAAACAAGAATAAACTTTGGTTACAGTTCATGGCTAGTGAAGAGAAAGCTTAACTATGAGCCCTGGTTTGGACATGGTAAGTCAAATTATGGCTTACTTAAGTGCAGCATGGCAGCAAAAAAGATCAGGGGGGAACAAAGCAGCTGCAAGCCCCCACCCCAAAACCAGCATGCTCACATGTCTCACTAAAATCAAGTTTGGCTTAGCATGTCATGCAAACCAGCCCTATAAAATACACTTTAATTCAATAATCTTCTGCCTACTGCCGCTGCTAATATTGTAGCCTTTAAGCAAATGAGCAGTCTTTTTTTAAATACTGTTTTTATTTATTTTCATAGTACAGAAGATAAATTTTGAGAAAACAGTTGCTACAACAGTAAACTACAAGTAACTTGTCCTGATAAAATTACAGACTTTTATCATGCCATGTGTTAAAGTTTCATTTGATAACTCTAAGAGATCATGCCACATTTTCCCATAAGTGCTGGGTGGATTCCTGCCACAGTCCGAACAATTTATGTATTCAATAAATATTTGTCATATGTTATATAAAAGGAATATGGATTGTGTTTGCCCTTTGCAGCTAATGAATAGTCTTGTGATCAGCATATGCTCTTCTGATCAATGAAATGATATCAAATCTGGCAAACACAATATTCATCCATTTCTAAAGAATCCATCAACCTAGTTTTGTCAGGTCTGAATCAAGACTGATAAAAGCCAAGTAGTTCTGATGCAGCTAAGTACTGTAATTACTCTCCATATACCTCCAGTAAACAAATGAGCTAAACCTATAGGGTTTTGCATTGGGAAGGCCCATTAGTACACACGGATATTGTCATGGTAAAATGCCACAACAGGTTGATTAACTACTATTATATAGTCATTATAATGTAACCATTGATCCCATGCCATTATTTTGTCCCAACATTTCTAATAAGAGGACAAATCCATTTTTCACAGCAAAATGTTATGTTTATGGTCTAGTTTAGTTGTTACAAATAGCCAAAATTTCAGAAAAATATGACAGAACCTCTGATTGCAGTTGTTGGATGATTTTGTCTTTCCTAATGCTGTCTTCTGATTTTGAAGCTCTCTCACTTTCAGAAAATGGACAACCTAACACAAGCTCTTCTCTTGTTGTCAACCTCTGGGGGGAAAGAAGCAAAAACTGTTTAAAGAACAGTCCTGTTTTGTGATAGTCTATTTCTGCATTCGGCTGAAAAAATGCAAGTTTTGAATGTTATTGTCATAAGGTATTATATTGTAAATATAGCTGAAGCCCAAACCAGTATATATTTAACTGAAAGTAAAGTCCACTACGTTCAACAGGCTTAGATGGCAATATAATTGGATGGGATCAGGGCTGGCTGGGAAACCACAGTCAAAGTGTGCTCATTTATGGTTCATCAACAAATTTATAGGTTAAAGACGAAGTCATAAGACAGGTGACGAAATATGGAAAAATAACAGTGAAAGAAAATATATTCACAAAATGGTTCATATCTTTGTAGAAATCTATCTATTATAGAGGTTCAACTTTTTCCTCAGCAAAATTTGAGGTGGTGGGAACTAAATTTGGGTTTAGAAATTGAAGAAGACGCAAGGTACAGATTGTGGACAAAAGTGCCATTAAAATGCATATCAGCAACATCCAGAGAAACAGCCCTTAAAATGGTGTACAACTGGTACTTAATACCTTGATGCCTAGCCTATATAAAACCGAATGGTTCTCCCATATGTTGGAGAGGATGTCCCACTATAGGGACATATCAGCACATGTGGTGGGAGTGTCCAAAAATAGAAGTTATAGAAAGAATGCATTTACAGAAATATCTCTGATTGCAAGGCAGACAGTCTCCAGGACACCACAATTAACTTGTCACAATATATTGCAAATTACAAACAAAGAACTCACAACACAACTATTAATTGCTGCAAGAACAGCTATTGCCAAGATATGGAAATCACTGCAATTATTAACTATGGACCAATGGTATAATGCAATTTGGCAAATAGCATTACTGGAAAAACTGACACAAAAATTAAAAGTACAAAGAGGCCAAAGAAACAAGACAATTTTATGCAGTCTGGTGTGATGTTTATACAAATTATACAAATAATGAAGCATATGGTAGAGCAGTATCCATAGTTTAGAGCACAGTGTGGTGTGCATGAAATACATATTTTATTTTATTTTCTTCCCCTCCTTCCTATAAAGGTAAAGGGACCCCTGACCATTAGGTCCAGTCGCGGACGACTCTGGGGTTGCGGCGCTCATCTCGCTCTATAGGCCAAGGGAGCCGGCGTACAGCTTCTGGGTCATGTGGCCAGCATGACTAAGCCGCTTCTGGCAAACCAGAGCAGCGCAAGGAAACGCCGTTTACCTTCCCGCCGGAGCAGTACCTATTTATCTACTTGCACTTTGATGTGCTTTCGAACTGCTAGGTGGGCAGGAGCAGGGACCAAGCAACAGGAGCTCACTCTGTCGTCTGGGGGATTCGAACTGCCGACCTTCTGGTCGGTAAGCCCTAGGCTCTGTGGTTTAACCCACAGCGCCACCCGCGTCCCTCCTTCCTATAGATTACTACAAATCCTAATTGTTACTGATACAAAATATATTTTACTTATACTTTACATCAGTTCATATATGTAATATTTGTAATAATTTTGGTATATACACCTTGACACAACTTTAATACATTCAGAAACTTTTATCTGAGTTTTTTTATGTAATTGATGCATATAATATGCTCTTATGTAAATAAACATATATCTCAATGCAACCATATTAAAGTTTAAAGATGAAAATGAATAAAAACTATGTTACCAAAAGAAAAAATAAGGAAAAGGCCAGGGCTGCTTCCACTCTGGATATTTATTGTGGAATAACCACACTTCATTCACTCACTTTTTACAGGGCATCTGTATAATGTTGTGAACAAAGCATTCTGCTCCCTGATCAGCTCTCATTTTCTTCAAAGCTCAGAAAATCCAACTTTTTTAAAAAACACAAAGGGACAGCTGTATAATTTCCTCAGGTTTAGATGGACGATTGTACAGTGGTTTGCAGGCTCAGTTATAACCTAGATAGATTGCTCTAGGCATTTCCTTCTCTATGGTCCATCTGTCCTCCCTGAGAGTCTACTTTAACCCTTCCTTTCCACATAGTGTTGCATTTACTATATCTTATCCTTCCCCCCCCCCCACCCCAAATTGGGGCAAGGCAATAATAATTAGGAGCAAAACGAGGGAGAGGAATTATTTAAAACTTTCCACTCATATGGTCCAATATAATATCCCCACCCCTAACATCTGGGACTGGGTGAAAGGGGACTGGCCACCTGGCTACAGAATGTTATTTTGATTCCTGAAGTCTGGAAACAGAGTTGCTATTCCATTTACAAGCTACAGCAGTATAGCAATAATTGGGTGCTAATAAATCACCCAAGTCTGGAGCACCCTGTTTTCTTTTGTCCCAGAGATTAGGACTAGATCTAAAAGGCTTAAGTTAAATTTGTTGGTGCAAATCCTGGATGCCAAGATCCAAGTTTGGAGCAACTACTCTTTGTGAGACAAGGCAAGGAGATTTAAAGCCACAAAATATGAAGCAAAGTGAAGCATGGAACTATATAGGCTGTCATACCCTTAAAATATGTCCTTCCAAGTGAATTTCAATATTTCCCTCTTCTCCCAGCAAAGGAAAACACCACACATTTGGTAAGTTAAAAACTGGTTTACTTACAAACTCTTCAAAGGTTAGGTACATGTGCTTTTCCATACATCAACCAGAATTTTCCATACACCATCCCTAGCTAACAGGACCAGTGGTCAGGGATGATGGGAACTGTAGTCCCAAAACAGCTGAAGGACCGAGTTTGCGGATGCATGTGCTATGGTGTTAACCCCTTTCTTCATTAATTAGGCATATGCATGTTGCTTACCGTATATGAGACTTGAGACAAGATTTCTAGGAGAAAATTTGTGATGGTAATGGCAGTTAAACAATGCAACCAATTACCTACAGGGGTGGTTGGCTGCTTCTTGCTGGAGGTCTTCAAGCAGAGGCTGGACAACCATATTTCCAGGATGAAGCAGCTCTGGATTTCCTGCATCAAGCAGGGGGATAGACTAGATAGCCTATAAAGCCTCCTCCAGCCCTATGAATCTGTGATACTCCCATGTAAGTGTCCATAGTAGTTTTGCCATTATATCTGCTTTTATTTCCTCTGTGCCTAAAGATGACATTATTCATAATACATAAAATACTTCAATCTATAAAGATCTGTTTTATGATAAATGATAAGTAACATTAATTAGACATTAATTAGATGAATTACCACAATATATCATGTTAAGATCTGAGATTACTGATCTCTTCCTTGATGGGGCATAAGTCCCTAGTACATGTGCTTATGACTGCATTATACAACAGAAAAAGTATTCTATAGCTTTTGAAAAGCTTGGATAAACGTGGATAAAAATATTGTAAATTGTCTGGAAAGTGACTTATTATTTATTAATAGCAGATTACATTTTTTAAAAAGACTTGTTAGGTAAAAGGTAAATGTAAAGGACCCCTGGATGGTTAAGTCCAGTCAAAGGCGACAATGGGGTTGTGGTGCTCATCTCACTCAAAGGCAGAGGGAGCTGGCGTTTGTCCACAGACAGCTTTCCGGTCACATGGTCAGCATGACTATACTGCTTCTGCTTGCATTAGTGGAGCAACGGGAGCTCACCCCGTTGCGGGGATTCAAACCGCCGACCTTCTGATCAGCAAGCCCCAGAGGCTCAGTGGTTTATACCACAGCACCACCCACATCCCTTGTTAGGGTAATGCCTAGGCAACCAAATCCTATGTTTACTGGGAAGTAAGTACCACTGAATTAATCTCCCCAATGTGTACATTGGGAATTAATAACTAGGGCCATCTTAAATGTTGAGCTTAGTCCTACTTCTATAACAGTTCACAAGCATGGGTGTAGCTCAGATTTATGTTAATAGAGGCAGGACACCCACCTGTCATTATTCTCCATATGACACCCACCTGTCATTATTCTCCATATGACTCTGTCTAACAGATTCAGAATAAAATGTCTCAACAGCTGTTGTTTTAAATTACTTTCTTTTGACCACAAATGCTCAGAAAATCTGTCAAAATCCTTCTACAATTTTATTTTTAGTTAAGTAATTTTATTTATTTACTTGATTGGGAGGCAGCAGCGCCCCCCCCGCCATGCCAATGTTCACAAGGTTTTTATTTTTAATCTATTTGTACTACAATAATAGCAAGCACCAACATTTTCAGTAGCAGGGAAGCCTTATATAGAATCCTATATAAAATCATAGGTAGAGCTGAAAGGGTCCCCATCTAGTCTAACCCCCTGCAATGCTGGAATCTCAACTAGATCATACATGACTGATGGTCATCCAACCTCTCCTTAAAAACCTCCAATGAAGGAGAGTTCACAACCTCCTAAGGGAGTCCATTCCACTGTTGAAGATCTCTTACTGCATTGAAGTTCTTCCTGGTGTTTAGTTGGAATCTCTTCTTGTAACCTGAATTCATTGGTTCAGGTCCTAGCCTCCAGAGCAGGAGAAAACAAGCTTGATCCATCCTCTGATAGCCCTTTAGATGTTTGAAGATGACTACCAAATCTAAAGGGCTGTCACGTGGAGGATATTATGACACACAAACGCAGGCAATCATACTCCGGAAAGCCTCAGCAAATAGTGCTGAATCCCAATCTCATACACTCCCCTTTTTATATTAACACACACCTTTAAAACAAAATCACAGAACTCAAAGCTTATTCACACTGATTTTTCTAGTAAAACATAAAAGTCTGATAATGACTTTGAAAAAGCAATGCTAGAATTTCAGTAAATTTTGTGTTTAAAGGAATATTTTAAAAATACCAGATAAACATCTATCACTTATATATGCTCTCCATGATTATATGTTTACTGAGCTAGATGATTTAGTGTTAAGAGAAGGAAGCATCTGCTTTCTAAAATAAACTGGAATTCTCCCCCTTGTATTTGCGATCAAAGTTACGTGCTTAGTAGGTTTGCTGAATGAAACTGACTCTGGATTAATTCTGTGCAAAAGCAAAAAGGCACCTGGAGGGGTCAAGCCATGCCTACTTGACACCATGTAAGGCAATCGGTCGCCATGACAGTAGAGTTTGTTTTGGTTGAGGACTTAACGGCTAGGCACACTCAGGGGTAGCTGCTACACCAGAAACTTCTTAAACTTTTATTTTATATATTTAAAATATAACTTTAGAAATAACCCTAAGGGAAGGAGAGGAAATGGCTGATGTATTTCCCATAGATAATACTAGGGACATACTGGGCTTGTGGATTTTCTTTCATTCTACTCTGCAACCTTTTTTGCGGGGGTGCAGTGGACAGCTGAAAACCCATCTATTCCACAGTGTGGGTTTTTCAGGATTGCAGCTACCCATGCTTACAAGTAAAAGACACCACCACCTCCTTCAAGCAAATACAACTGCTCAGACTTAGCCGCCGTGAGCGCACCTACATAAAACCTCATTTCTCTGCAGCCTGCCTGGCATGCAACTGGGGTGTCTTCCTATTTCCTTGGTGGCCATGGGCGTAGCCATGATTTATGTTGGCGTTGGGGCAGGACAACCCACTTGCCCTCATCATCCGTTCGGCTCTGCCTAGCAGATTCCATAATGAAATGTATGGTATGATTATGGGAGTTGCAGAGTTGGAAGGGTCCCTCTGAGGGTCCACCCACCTGCAATGCAGGAATAGGCGGCTGCCCAGTCCCATACAGGGATCGAACCCATGAAACTTTGGCATGATCCAGCGCCATGCTCTCTAACCGACGGAGCTCGGTTTTTAAATTACTTTCTTTTGACCCCCACGTCCCAAAGCGCTGAGAAAAATCTATCAAAATCTTTCTACAATTTCTACTTTTTTAAAAAAATGTTATTTTGGGGGGGGGGGGGAAGCAGCTGCCTTTCTCTCTCCTCCCCCCCGGCTACGCCCATGTACCATGTACGCTCTCTGTACCTTGGAAAGAATTTCTCTTCTCCTCCTGCGCCCGGGCCCGGGGTATTTCCTAGAGCTCATGACGGCAGCTAAACTAAGCTAATATTCCTGCCTTTCCCCCCACTCTCTCTCTCTCACTCGGTCGCTCCTCCACTCAGCTTCCTCAGCCTCGCCCGCTCCTTCGCCTCCTTTTCCCTCTCAATCCCGGCGGACCAATGAGCGGCCAGCGTAAGCGACGACGCCTCGGAGGCAACAATCCCCCGCCTCCTGCTTCACCTCAACGGCCGCGCGGCGTGGGGCGCGTGACGGGCGGGTTCACCTAGTGAGGAAGGGGGGTGTGACAGCCAGGCAGCTGTCATGCCCGCCCCCACAGCAAAAAAATAACTAATTATTGCCGGGGTGGGGGTGGGGAGTTAATGTCCGCGTCTCTCTCAAGACCCCCTCTGATTATTCTCCTCAGGACGCCCTGAGCGCTTGTTAACTCCCCCACCCGCTTGGCACAATGAACGTCCCTCCCTGGCCCCTCGCGGCGTCTCCTTGGCAACGGCGCCGCGACGCTCCCCCCTCCCCTCCGGCTCTCTCGCTACCTGTTAGACAAAACCGGGCAAGGGGCGCGCTCCTCTTGTTGACCCCGCCCCCTTCATCTGGCGCCCCCGCGCGCGGCGCACTCCGTCCGGACGCGTCAACCGCTGCTCGCGCCCCAAACGCCGCGCGGCGTTCGCGCGGGAGGCGGGGGGGGGGGGAGGACCGCCTTGTTGGAAGGAAGGGCGTGAGGCGCCTACAGTTCTATCGCGGGGGCGTAGGAGGGGTGGGGTGGGGGGGACAGGTTCTTGGGCACTGCCACTAGGGCTCGCAGGGATGTCGCACGAGCCCTAGTGCCCTACGTCTGCTATTATTTTTTCTTTAGCCCTTAGTATTTCTTTTTTTAATTATTATTTCAGGGAAATTAAGGACACGCAGAGACAGCGCAAGATTTAGGGTGGTTTCCAAAGATGCCACTATCAGTTTATATGTTATCTCTGAACTTTAGGGCTGCCGGTGTGCCTGTCACAATGTAACCAAAATGGCAGCACCTATGCACAAAGAGGAAGGTACTGTAAAAGCAAACTTGGGTGCACTTTTTTTTTAATGCACATGAATTAAGGCTCGGGTTGGAATAGGGAGTCTTCTCTATGATTATAACTTTTGTTTTTTCAGCCAATACAGCACTGCAACATTTCGTTCAGGTCAGTGGCGTAGCGTGGGGGGTGCAGGGGGGCCGGCCGCACCGGGCGCAACATCTGGGGGGGGCGCGCTCGCACTCGCAGCTCTCTGCTCAAGTGCTAAAATCCACGGGTTAGGGGGCGCAAATTACTTGCCTTGCCCCGGGTGCTGACAACCCATGCTACGCCACTGGTTCAGGTGACTTTCTTAACAGTAGACTCATTTATCCAAGTGCCACTCTCTTGATGCAGCCAAAACAGCACCACTCACAAACAAGAGGGAGGTATTAGCGCGCTTTAGGTAACCAACAGGTTTGCAAATACACATAAAAAGAACAACTTTTAAGAAAAGAAAAAACTTAAGGGTGGCAACCCCTCCCCTGAGCCTAATGAGGACTTACTATCATGCTCAGCATATTGGCAGGTGGATGGAAACAGAAAACTGAGGGGAAGGGGCAGCAGAGTTCCGGCAGAAGGCACGCCCAATTAGATGGACAGCTGTAGAGGAGAATTCCATCCTGCAACATTTTGTTGTGGATCCCACTTACTGGTAAATAATAAGCACTTTAAAATCATTAAAGTTCCTTCTTGGGTTCTGCAGAACAGTTGGCTGAAGGAAGATGAGAAATATGCTTCATGCCTTTCCACATCCTGTAGGTTTTAGCAGAGGGAATTTGTATCCAGGAGACTCTCCTAGCTGCTAGTCAACACAAAGTATCTCATATAAACATATAACTCAGTTTAGAGAGAACATGCTCATTGGGGATTGGCTTCGAGTACCAGCAATCTGCTCATGAAATAATGGAGAAAATAGATTAACTTTGTTTCCATAACGCCCCCAAGTTATCTTGCATTCTTGATGCTTATCTCTGACAGGTTAGTAGCAATTACAGTTTGCTCTTACTGCTCTCAGATACAATAAAAAAATGAGGTGCTCTGTGGCATTTACCTCACAAATAGAGGCTGGATTTCATGTCACATTGCACAGTAATGTGTAATTTCAAGGCACATTAAACAGCAATACTATGGACATAGTTTTGTACTTTTAAATATTTTTATAAATTAAGTAACATTTTATAGACATAGTATCTTACAGGCTGATAGGTGAACTGATATCAAATATATACTAAACAACATGTTTTATACATGGATTCAGATAATCAAAAGTTGGTTTTCATCTGTAGAGCAGCTAACAGATTCTAGAAACATATAGGAGAATAGCAACATGCTTTGTAGATAAAAGGTATCAGCTGAATTGAGGGGAAATGCAGCAGAATAAAATTATCCTCCTTAAAGAAGCGCTTCACAAAGAGTGATACAACTGGGGGGGGGGTTAACAAGAACGTGATAACTGGCTCCTTTCATGACAGAAATAAGGATAGTCTATAGTTGTGCTATAGAATGTGGAAACAAAGTGGTCATCTAAGCAAATAATTAAAATGATACTAACAAAGCGATAAACTGATGCCTTCTTTCAGTGAACACAATTGACTGAGTTGCTGGATATTATAGTATATGAATAGTAGTATTTATTTATATATATGCGGCAGCTAGATGGTGACTGACTACATAACACCGGTCTTGAAAGACCTACATTGGCTCCCAGTACGTTTCCAAGCACAATTCAAAGTGTTGGTGCTGACCTTTAAAGCCCTAAATGGCCTCCGTCCAGTATATCTGAAGGAGCGTCTCCACCCCCATCGTTCTACCCGGACACTGAGGTCCAGCACCAAGGGCCTTCTGGCGGTTCCCTCACTGCGAGAAGCGAGGTTACAGGGAACCAGGCAGAGGGCCTTTTCAGTAGTGGCACCCGCCCTGTGGAACACCCTCCCACCAGATGTCAAAGAGAACAACAACTACCAGACTTTTAGAAGACATCTGAAGGCAGCCCTGTTTAGGGAAGCTTTTAGTGTTTGATGTATTACTGTATTTTAATATTTGGTTGGAAGCCGCCCAGAGTGGCTTGTTTCTGAAAATACCAAGACCAACTTAGGCATAGAATAGTATTTTACTTACTAAATATTCAGATGATACAAGGAGATCAGAATAGTATAAAATTATGAAATTGTATGGCTGCTATGCCTTAAAGGCAATACAGCCAAACTCCTTGATGGTGGCTATGGCAGGTGGAGGCTCCGGGGACAGTGCTGCTTCAGCACAGCATGGTGGAGGCGAGCGACGGCAGTCAGCTGATGCCGGGAGGTGCCATGTCCAGCCTCTGCCTCTTCCCTGGGGCCCTCCAGTACTTGGCGTCCTGGCGCCTCATGCCACTTGCCTCTATGGGCAAGATGCCTCTGCCTCCAGGATTGTGGTTCACCGTCCCAGGATTACTATACAATGTGAGAAGCCCAGAGCTGAAGTTACAGAGAGATACCAAAGGTAACTTTGCCTTGGATATGTGATGCTTCAGGTAAAATATAATGAGGTTCCATTCATACCCTAGAGCCTTATCCAAAATTGTATGGAAGACAAGAAGTACATTTAGTGTGATGTACTCTATTCTCACAGGCAACTGAGTCTACATCCCATTGTCAACTATAGTGTGTTTATAACCTTGCTTATCAACTTACACAACGGGCTGTGTTATTGATATGTTTAACGAATAATGGCTGGTTCTCTTTGTTCATACTGCCTAAATTCTGCACAAGCTTGGGTTGCGCACCCATACCCATACTCAAACTCCTAAACCACACCAAAGCACAGAAGTTCCCAAATTATAGTACTGTTAACCAGTGTTTTTTTATAGAAAAAGAGGTGCTGGAACACACCATGAACGTCTCCCTTGTTCTCTTATAATGGCAATGGCACCTACCTGAGAGGTACAGTACTAAGTTCTGGTGAGTTCCAGTTGAATGAAAACCCTGCTGTTAATACATATTGTATTGCTATTTCCATTAATAACAACCACTGTTACTTATATTGTTCATTTGTCCTGCACTTTCAGTGGGGTTTTTTTGTGTGTATTAGGGGCCATATTCTTTGTGTTTATTCATTTAAATAGAATGAATGTTAAATTTCCTGCATCTTAATATTACTTCCAGAAGCAAAATGCATAGTTGTAGAATCACATGTTAGTTAATGGAATTTCTTCAGTTATTCTAATAGTATTTTGTTGGGGTTTTTTGCATAGGGTTTATGCAGCAGTCTCCCTGAAGACCACCATCACCGACTTTGCATTGTTTCTGATATCTGCATAGTAACTACACCATGGGGAACTGTTGTGGTAAAACGAAGACACCAGTATCTATAATACAGAATGACACAAATATTGGAACTCCAAGCGCAAATGACCATTTATTTCAAAACACTGAGGAAATCAGTTTAGGACCTATGACTGGCTTTTTCCAAAACACAGGAAAAAATATACCAGAAGGGATACAAAATAATGTAGGCACTCCCTCAGAAGCTAGCTCTGATAATGTCGTCGGTTCTCAAAAGTTTGTTAAAGAAAATGATGGTTTGGAAATAACGGATGTTCAATGACATTTGTTAAAATGCCAATTTATATTTATGGTATAAGACTTTGCTATTTTATATTCAGAAAAAAAATAAACAAAAACAGAGCTTAAGAGCCAAATCTTTGGATACGGATTATCATGTTGTCGGGCTGGTTTGCCTGCTTCAGGGCAACAGAGAATGGCAAAACCATTACAGTGCCGATGCAAATGACAGCCTTTCTCTGCAAATATCCGTGATCTTCCATGCTCTTCCACAGCATCTACTCCCGCCCCTCTGCCCGCTAATAAGAAAAATGCCGTTAACTGCCATGGAAACAGCTGCAAGGAAGCGAACAACAGTGGTCGGAAAGCAATACAGTACAGTACTGCATTCTGTAGCAGTGTCCGGTCGGAATGCATCTAAATGTCCGGGAAAGTACGGACGTGTGGCAGCCCGTGTCGGCAGTCCCTCCATAAAAATAGCTCCAAAACAGCTTTGTTGCGATTTGCAATATTGGACAAAAAAGTAAAAAGCTCAACCACTGTGCCAAAAGCAACTTTTCTGTCCGGATTTTCACTGTTTGAAATATGCCACTTTTTTGCCGGTAAGAAGTGAGCACTCCTGATAGGAACTCACGGGCGGGTTCTATTGTGCGCACCCGGAAGGAATTTTGTGCGACTACATTTGGACAAAATCTATAGTCTCTCTAATCCTGTACTGTATAGGCAACTTCCGGGACCTTCTGACAAGGATGTGTGTTGCTCAATGGAAAACAAATGGCGAAATCAAGGACTTCGGAGTAGCTGTTGCGCAGCAGAGTGTCCGCCCAAAGGTACCAGCTGTGGCGAAAGTTCCTTTAGAAACAGACGCGCATTTTTTGAAGGGGAGCAACCCAATCCAGACAGTGTGCGACTCTTCACTATTTCTTGGATCTATGTAGATCTGCGCGCGTTGCTCCTGATTTCTAGATCTATGGCCACCGCCTGGCTACTTAACGCGCTTCCCGCGTGGGCAAAGGGAGCTGATCCCCAGTAAGTAGGGCGACGGGTATCGGGGCGCGCTGGGAGAAGGTGGAAGGGGCTTCTCTTGCCATGCTCTTCCCATCTTCGTGATGGCGCCCCGCGGGAGCTGGGCAAGGTGTCCTTGAGAGGATCCGGTGTCTTTGGGCGGCAGTCCCATACACAGAGCCCCATGTAGCCCGACGGGGGTTTGCTTTTTTGTCCTAGCAAGGTTGCATTCAGTTTAATTCAGGCGGGTGGGTCGCGGAATGTGCCTTTTCTATCTCCATTGCCAGGCCTGCCAGCGTGGAACAAAGCTTATTCGGGTGCACAGCCTAGCCTTGGTCTCCATCAGAACCTGCAAAAATATAGTCTCTGAGCACAGAAGCAACTGCTGCAATTTGCCCAGGGTGGTTGTGGTGCAGCGCAAAATTGAAAACGTTTGCCACGCACGTTTTATTCTTGGGGCTATCCCAATACAGGGAGTGGAAACCTGTGGTATATCAAAAGTTGAGTGCTGAAAATCCGCTTTCCGCCAGCCCTGAGACCTTCACGTTTGGCATATATTGCTGGGTTGTGAAATTAATGAGAGTGGGAGGAAATGTATTGTTTCCTTTGTAGCTTAAGGCCTAATAACTAATAATCCCTTTTTGGTATTTCAAAGGATTAAAATGATTAACGTAAAGCCACAAATTACCCTAGCAAATCTTTTATAGCCTCTCATACGAGCTCTTTGAGGGTAAACAATGAATTCTGTGTTTTTTCCTTAGGTGGTCGATAAAACACAACTGGAATAGGCAATTTCTGCATATTATTCAGTCATATAATACTCTATTATCTACTTGTCAGAAAGGAGAAATAAGTTTTAAAAAATCTGATTCAACAGAATTGTTTTAAAAGATTTTCCAATGAAACACAGACATGATATTTTGAAAGGGTTTTGAAATGGACTATGCAAAACGTGTATCACCCTATGCTGTTTTGATTGTTTTGTTAGACTAAAACATGATAATCCGGTCATCTCTGAGGAAATGCTTCCAGTTACACTGTGTCCTCAAAGTTCCAGCTGCTGGCTTCAAATGTGCAACGAGAGGACTGATCCTGCAGTCTGTTTCCCAGGATGTTTATCAGAATTTAGCTTTAGAAGATTGGATCCATGATAATATGAATTTTGAAAACAGACACATTCTTTTCCTTTGGAGAAATTCTTCTACTGTAGTGATTGGTAGACATCAGAATCCTTGGCAGGAATGTAACCTCAGATTCATGAGACAGAATGGTATAAAACTAGCTAGAAGAAAAAGTGGGGGAGGAACAGTTTACCATGATCCTGGCAACATCAATCTCACTTTCTTTACAAATAGGAAGATGTACAAAAGAATGGAAAATTTAAAACTAGTGGTTGGAGCATTGAAAGCCCTGCGGCCCCAATTAGATGTGGAGGCTACAGAGAGATATGACCTCTTGTTAAATGGAATTTTTAAAATCTCAGGAACGGCTGCCAAATTAGGAAGGACTGCTGCTTATCACCACTGCACCTTGCTCTGCAGTGCTGATAAATTTATTTTATCAACTGTGCTCAAAAGTCCTTACAATGGGATAAAAAGCAATGCCACGCCAAGTGTACCTGCCTTAGTGAAAAATCTCTTTGAAGAAGAGCCTACTTTAACTTGTGAGATGCTCATTGATGCCATTGCAGAAGAATATGCTGCATACCACCAAATTGATAGCCATATTGTTGAAATAAATCCAGCTGATGAAACAGAATTCCCTGGAATTAATAACAAAGCAAAAGAACTGCAATCCTGGGATTGGCTATATGGCAAAACACCAAAGTTCAGTATTAGCACATCCTTTAATATAGTTGATGAACAATCTTGCCTTGAAATGAAGATAAATGTGGATGTAAAAAATGGAAAGATTGAAACTTGCAACATTGATGTGCCTCCTTTCTGGTTGCCACCAATCATGTGTGATGAACTGAAAAACCATCTTATTGGCAGCAAATTCTGTCCAAAGGAAACCACTGCAGTAGCAGCTGCTTTGATGAGAACATGCACAGATTATAAGATACACGGCAAGTGGAATCTCTTGTGTGAGAATATAGTATCTCTAATGTAGTTGATTCCTGATAATCAATCCTTTATCAATACAGTCTTATTCTAGCAGAGGGTTTTAAGGACTTGGCTGAACGTGAGATTTAATAGTGAAGTAATAGACTGCTGAATGTAAACAAATTCACTTTTTATTAAAACATAAAGAAAATTTAAAAATACAAACTTGTTAATCAAGTCAGTTTTGTTTTTTAAAATGGTTATCACCAGTCCTTAGAAGTCTTCTCTTTTAAAATTTACATATTTATTTCTTAAAGTTAGCATCCTACAGACTTGCCCAAATGGATCACACAACGGCTTGCAAACAGTATAAAACAAAATAAAAATACTGGTAGAAAGAAACATAGCATAGTATAGCATTAAAAACATGTACCTAGACATTCAAGACAAGAATTTTAAGGTCAATTTATGCCTTCTGAATTCCCAGTTCTAGTAAGACATGGCATGCGTGAAATAGAGGAGTCATGCTAGGCATCGTTAGCTTGAGAGCCTAAGCCCATTTACTTGAAAGCAACTTCTACTTAAGTCAGTTGCCAATGTAAATGTATGTAAGACTTTGGTGACCAAATACTTCCTAGCCGTTTATTAGGAGGTGGCTTTAAAAGAGAGACTTAGAACATAGGGATTAACCAAGAGGCCACCATTTAATGGAGGTTCACAGGAATGTTCTTGCCTTCTCCCATTGTTGACAGATTGGCATAGTGCTCAATCTTGCTGTGCTGATTCTAGAATGTCGAAGCCTGTGTCTGTCTGGGCTGCTTTCCTTTACAAGAGTTCTGCCTCTCCTCAAAAGTAATCCATAGTGAAAGATAAAAACGTACGTGTCCGTATTATGCCAGTGTGGGGTTCCCCTAATGCGGGAAACTCCATTGTTGCGTGGTGACATCAGCCTGTTATTGTGACAGAAGCTGCATAACTCCCCCCCAGAATTCTGTTTCTTCAGTAAATTGGCATATAAGGCAAAAGCTCCCTGTACGCTTCCAAATTCCTTGAGCATATTAAGTGGACAGCTTTATTATGCATAGCTGTACCATCTTACCAGTTTTGATCCCCAAGGAAGTTAGCTGCTTTTTCAGATATTTAAGATGCCTATAATATCTGAGTTTGGAAGATTTTTTGCTACTTGCTTAGTTCAGTGATTCTTGAAATACAGCCTGGGAACCATCAGCATCCCTGTTTAACTTGTGGGTGGTCCCTGAGGTTAATATGGGGTGTATCCAGACTAAGCTAGTTACATCTTTAGTTTAACTGAAATTAGCCAAGTTTAAGTTAGTCATGATTAACTTGTCCTATGGCTATGTATGGGACTAAAGGAAAACTAATTTAGTCTGAATCCAGCCCAGTGAAAATAAGAGGAAAATGCTGTCAGAGGGTTTCTTTGACACTTCTACCACATGGTGAAGAAGCAACCAACTTCTCACTTTAAAATTTAAATCTATATGCAGTGCAAATGGCTGTAGTGAAAACTTCTATAAATCTTCCAGCTATATGCACAGTTCTTTCCTGTGCACCAATCAGGTTTTTCTGAATTGTAGCTGTTAAGAGACAAATGCAGTAGTCAAAGTTTTACTTCAGAGGCTTTTTAGAGTATCCTTCCACATGGTATGGGAAGCAAATCAGATAGCCCAGCACAAGGAAGTAAATCAGAATTGTGGTCTTCACCGACAGTTCATTACTCTGGGGGTAAACATGACATTTTGTTTAGATAAGCTATCAGGCTGATGTGCAGATTTTTTAAATAATAAAAAAATACAATCAGTTTACTTTACAAAAATTCATAGTGGATGTAGTGGAATAAAGTAGCTCTTGCTCAAAAAACAAACACACCAGTGAGACTGGTTGGTTTGGGTACTTAGGGTCATGTTTTCTTTGTATGTTTAGTGTGAAAGATATCCACTGTAGTTTCATGACATGGTCTCAAATCAAAATCGCAGTATCCAAGGCAAAAACGACCCTGTGGAAAACAAATTATTCTACCAATTAAGCCATTCAGCAGTTCAAATTCATTTTAAAATTTATATTTTTCTATTCAGTTCCCACCTGTGGTTTCTTAAAATAATCAAGGCCTCTTCCAATTTTAATCATCCATCCATTGTTGAATCTGTGTGTTAAATGCAAAAAAGAGAAGTGCTTCCTCAAAAATATAGAAACTAGACATATGTAAGGTTAACAAGAGAAAGAAAATAATTTCACAGCACTCTTAATATGTAAAAAGCTCAGGAAGCACAATGAGCAAAGAACAGATGATAGTTGGCAATTTCAATCTCTGCAACTTTCAAGTTGTTCCAATTGAGTTAACAACGATGTTCATAGCAGGGCATGGTCTTAATTTGCAACATGGAGGAGTGATGCAAGTGTCAGCCCTTTCCCATACAAATACCATTTCACATGAAGCAGACACTCCAATAGAAGCCTAAGGGGGAGGGGGGTGGAGAATATATGAAGTAGGCCATCTTTGCCTCTCCATGGCATGCAAAGTTGAAACGAACAGTTACCTGTTAAATATATATTAACCATGGGTGTGCATGTAAATATTTTGACTGCTCTTCCCATCATTTGACTTGCTGTAGTCATTTTTGTTCAACAGCAGGCAGGCAGGGGGACAAGTGGTAATTTGAACAATTGGCAGGAGACACCACTGCTAAATACTCTTAAAAGTTAACAAGTTTCCAGAACCTGAACTGACAACTCTTAAGGTTTGAAGATAAACTTAGGTTGCAATTCCAACCATGTTTACTCAAATGTAAACCCCACTGCATTCAGCGGGGCTTACTTCCAGGTAAGTGGAATTAGGATAAAAGTCTTAGTAATCAATTATATGGGTGATAGCCAATGTTAGTCATTCTCAGGGTTGAGCTGCTGGAATAAATGTTATCAATTGATTTCAGTGGATATACTATCATTATGATTTAGTTGATTATCACCACCTGTATCTTAGACCATCAATGTGGAACATTTCATTCACATGTCACCAACCTAATTTCTCGATCGTGTATTGACGGAGAGTATGATACATCCAGAATAACGCCAAAATCTTTCAGGGATTGTTGTATCTCTTCCAGGGTAGTCATTTGTTGACTCTTTTCATTGCCCTGTAAAGATTTGTTTGCTTTACAAATCAAATAAAGATAATGGCCGACATACTGTAAATTCATATTGGTCGTATTTCTCAGAATGAATAAGCCTCTTCAATATTTTCACTTTTACCAATGCAGATACTCAAATTTAACGTTAAACATAATTCCTGCAAAGTATCTTACGAAATGGATTGTGTATGTTTGGTAGATAGTAAAAGTTAAGAGGCTAGATGTCATAGGACAAAAGATGAAAACACCACACACCAAACCAAGCCTCACCTACACACACTTCTAACTATGGATTCAAACTAAGACTTGCGATGAAGTCCATATTCACACGTTTTTTAAAAACTCGACTACCAGCTCTCCAAACACAGTTAAATTATGTCATTTGTAGCACACTGATGGCTTGAAAGGAGAACCACCTTGTTGTAAAAAACATGTTTTGCATGAATATCATCCCAGGTTCAATTTTTCACATCTCCAGGAAGGCTGAGAAACCACTTGAAACATTTGAGAGTCTGGCTAATCAATAGACAATATCAAGCAATCGTCTAATTCAGTATAAATTACCTAAATTTAATTACTATTATTTAAATTTGTATACCGCTCTTCATCCACAGATTTCAGGGCGGTTCACAACATAATTTTCTTCTAATTAACATTCTCTTCTAATTAATAAAAACCTCTTATTTCCCTATTGTTAGTAAACACAGGTAATTTGATGAGTGGCTATTCATAAGCCTCCTATTACCCTAAAACCTCCCCAGTACAAAAAGTGTCTACTTTTAGGTGCAAAATATAGCAATCTTTTCCATCTTGTTTCCCTCACTACTGAGTTGTTGAAGATATCTGTCAGAAATAGACCGGTATCCTCAGAAAGAAAAAAGATAGTATATTAATTTCAGACTCATTCTGAATCCAGAATATATTACTGCTAGCAAAATGTTAACTGAAAAATTCATGGACAAAAGCAAATCCTTTTTTTACTTTTGCCATGGCAATTACAGTCACTGCTTAACTTCAGTAAGTACAACTTTATATGGACAACACTGCAACCCTATGCATATCATATTTAAGTGTGTTTGGGGAGCTGGTGGTCTAGCTGTTGCTGTTATCATCATTATCATCATGATCTACTCAGAAGCAAGTATCACTGAATTCCTTGGGACACAATCCAAGTAAGTGGATTGCAGTCAGGGTAAAATACTTACTTCATCATGAGATGTAAGAAGATGTATAGTTTTCACTTTGCATGGTCCTTTAACAAGCATTTCACAGAATCTTAAGAAGTTGTACAACTGTAAATAAGTAAATAAGATTAATTTTTTAGATGGAAAGGAAGAAATCGTTTTGAGTGTATAAATCAACCATGTCTTACCTGATGGACTTGCCTAATATAAGGGTCCTCAACCCAAACCTCTGTAACAGTTTCATTAAGATATTCTTGGAACAGCTTTTCATAGCTGAAACCTTTTGAATTTTCTTCTATTTTAATTTGTTTGTGGTATTTTCCATCTAAAAAGAAGAAAACTTTTCAGTTTGAAAAAAATGCAGTATGGCATTTTCGAATGAAACAAAGAATACAATATATAATTCCACAGCCATAATAATGAAACTTACATTACAGCTTCATACCTTCTTTCTCTTTCTCAATATATTTCTTAATCTCTTCTGCCCTGTCCATGTAACTTGTTATTTTGTCTCTGTAATGAGCCTTTTTCTTCTGATCTTTTGTTGCTGAAATACAGAATACAGAAATTACAGAATACAAGATGCAGAAAAACAATGAAAAAAATAGTTCATCAATTCCCTTCCTTTCACTTTAAATTTTAGACCTGCATGCACACAACAGGGGAACTGACCAGTACCCAACTCTCATGACAAGCCCTTTAGATATTTGAAGATGGATATCATTGTCTTCTCTTTCCCAGATTAAACATATCCATTTCCCTCAACCGTTCTTCATAAGGCTTGGTTTCCAGGCCCCTGATCATCTTCTTCACCCTTTTAAAGGACCATGGACTAAAGGGTTATGGATACCTTTGAATTCCCTTAAGAATTATCTAATTTTGTGGAGGATATGTCTGCCATAATAACTTACTGGGCAGATAGGCTTATTGTAGCATCTAAGGTAGCATAGGGACGCGGGGGGTGCTGTGGGTTAAACCACAGAGCCTAGGACTTGCCGATCAGAAGGTCAGTGGTTCGAATCCCCGCGACGGGGTGCGCTCCCGTTGCTCGGTCCCTGCTCCTGCCAACCTAGCAGTTCGAAAGCACAAGTGCTCTGGTGGGAAGGTAAACAGCGTTTCTGTGTGCAGCTCTGGTTCACCAGAAGCGGCTTAGTCATGCTGGCCACATGACCCGGAAGCTGTACGCCGACTCCCTCGGCCAATAAAGTGAGATGAGTGCCGCAACCCCAGAGTTGGTCATGACTGGACCTAATGGTCAGGGGTCCCTTTACGTTTAAGGTAGCATAATCTACCGGGCCCAATTCAAAGTGCCGGTTTTGACCAATAAAGCCTTAAATGGCTCAGGACCGCAATACCTCAAGGACCACCGCTTTCCAGATGAACCTACCCAGACTCTGAGATCATCTGTGACCCTATTTTGTGTGCCTCCTCCAAAAGAGGTCTAGAGGGTGGCAACACAAGAATGGGCCTTTTCGGCAGTGGCTTCTTGCCCCTCTTTAACCAGGCCTTTGGCTGATTGGCATCCAATGCCATTTTAAAATGTGTTGGAGTGGATGGGGGTTATTGGGTTGTTTTTATTTTGATTATGTATTTTGTGTTTTTATATTGTGATTTTAATAACAACAACAACAACAATATTTTTATATTATTTATACCCCGCCCATCTGGCTGGGTTTCCCCAGCCACTCTGGGCGGCTTCCAACAGAATATTAAAATACAATAACTCATTAAACATTAAAAGCTTCCCTGTAACCTCCCTAAACCTGCAGGTATAGAAGAATGAATACAAAAACTTACGGAATATGCAGAAATGGTGAAACTTACCAGAAGAATAAGGAATCAAGATAACTAATCTTTTATAAAAGAATGGAAACGGTTTATTGAATATTTATAGATAAATTATAAACAGATAAAAACATTGGAACGATTATTGTAACAACCTCAAGTTTTATAAGAGTATATATGTAAAGAAGATGAATGAGTAAGTTAAGTTAATTTGGCTTCGCAGAAGATATTAAAAACAAATTAAGGAACCCAGAAAGAGGGGGAAGGAAGTCAAGTTTTGAAATGGCAAAATGATCGTAAAATTAGTGAAATGTATAAATTTGAAAAGTATAAATGAAAAATAAAATGAGAAATAAGACCTGCGGGTATAGGGCGGTATATAAACTTGATAATAAGTATTTGTGAAAGTATTTGTAAAAATTAAAAATCTACATATTATTTCGTAAGCAGGGTGTTCCTAAACAAAACAAAACAAATAAAATAAAAAATACCTTCCAGTAGCACCAACTAAGTTAGTTACTGGTATGAGCTTTCGTGTGCATGCACACTTCTTCAGATACACATTTACAAACAGCGCAGGATGACTTGCTTTATTTAGAGATAATGAGCTCCACGATCCTATACGCATCTCCTCGGAAGTCACACAGGTTCCCAAGGGACTTGCTCTAAGCGCACCCAGGACTTTGCCGCGCTCCTCTGCCTTCAGACCGCACCTAACAGGGAAATCCACCTGCAGGGAGCGACGGGGAGGAAGAAAAAGCCTCACCTTTGAGGACCCGCATCAGGAGGTCAATCCCTTCCTGATAGCAAACAAGGGACTCCTGGAAGCGAGAAGCCGAGTCCAGCTCCACCGCCCGCTTCAGCACCAGCACCGCCGGGTCTTCCATGGCCGCTGGGAAAGCACGGCGTCGGGGTCCTCGCTTAGCAGGGCGATTCGCCGCCGTACGGGGGGAGAGGGGCAAGCCTCCGGGAGACACCAGTCCCCAAGGCGACCCAAGCAAACCTGTAACTAGCAGGATTCCACGCCCGCCGCCTGTCACGTGATTCCTGAGAACTGGAAACCGAAAGGTAGCGCGCCCAGCGGGCGGAAGAGCGCGCCCATAGAGATGCGATCTTCCTAGACTTTCCTTTCCCTTCGGACGCATCCGCTTCCTAGAGAGGAGGAGGAGGAGGAGGAGGACGAGGACGCGGCGCTGACGTTGATTGGTCGAGCCGAGCGACGTCCTTGCCTCGCTTAGAACGCTGGGGGAGTGAGGCCGGTGGCGGGGTTTCAACATGGCGGCGTTGCTGGGCAGAGTTGCGGGCGGGAACCCTTTTGCTGCCTGGCAGGTGAGGGACGCGGGGAAAGTGGGGGGGACCTATTGTGCTGTCCTGCGCGTCGATAACCGCACTTTGGCCCCGTGGTGTGTTATTTAGTGAAGATTCCTGCATTGCAGGCGGTTGGGCTAGAACATGGGGAGGCAACCTAAAAGTAGAATGTGTCCTTTTATTTAAAATGCATCTCTGGGTGATTTGTGGTGTATAGGATTTCGTTCATTCCCCCCCCCCCCAAAAAAATAGTCCGGCTCACCGCATGGTCTGAGGGACAGTGGACCTGCCCATGGCTGAAAAAGGTTGCTGACCCCTGGGCTAGATGGAACTCCGAGATCCCTTCCAGTTCTATGATTCTATGAATGCTTCAGGTTTTCCGTATTCCTTGGTGTTGGCGGCCGCCATTTAGCCCCCCCCCCCCAATTTGATGGTGCCAATGTCAGGTTTTGATTTTGGAAAATGTTGGTAGTAATTAGCACGGATGTGCTTCTGAACATCTACAAGGTGTCATTTCTCTTCCTGCTCTGTCCAGGGAGAACGCTATCCAAATATATATGTATATGGGACACGACTTTTGACCCCATATGACCTCTCATTTCATTAACTGTTTTTTTTTTCTGGGCTACTTCATCATATTGCATTGTAAGAAAAAAAAATGTTTGATAACCTGACTTTTTTAAAAAAAAGCAAACAAGAAACAAAAAATGTCATACTAGCGTCTAATAATAATGTCAATAATTGTCGATTTGCTTGCTATTAGGGTTAGTATTGGAAGTGCACTTGAAGAACAAAAATAAATAAAGGAATTTGTAGATTATAACTTGTAGTTAGCCTATGCAATAAAGAATTGTCTTTCCTTCCTGCTCCAGAGTCTTGCAAAATACAAAGTGGAACCAATCACCTGGAGGGTGTGGATCAGGCAGAAATTTACAAGGTCAAGAATTCCCGAATCGGTAAGCTTTGTGTTGTGGGGGTGCGGAATTAGTATCTCATTTTCTTTCATTTATTTATTTTCATAAAATACGTCTTTTTTCATTTTGTTCCATAAGTAGAGAAAGCAGTTACAGACCTCAAAAAAGGACAAATAGAATAAGCGAAAGGATAAGAAGAGAGAAAAGTAAACACTACAGTGGTACCTCGGTTCAAGAATAGTCCTGTTTACGAACAATTTGGTTTACGAACTCCGCAAAACTGGAGGTAGTGTCCCGGTTTGCGAACTTTACCTCAGTCTAAGATCGGAATCCAAATGGTGGAAGGGCACTGGCGGCGGGAGGCCTCATTAGGCAAAGCGCGCCTTGGTTTAAGAATGGTTTTGGTTTAAGAACAGACTTCCAGAACAGATGAAGTTGGTAAACCGAGGTACCACCGTACAGTGGAGCTACAGATAGTTAGCATCTCATACCTTTTGGGAGGAAGCATCTCAAAGCTAAATTGTAAAATGTCCTACAAATATTATATGAGATATTCCAAGAATCATTGACCAGTATGTCTGCCTTACCACATATATTCACATATCAAACTCTCTTGTAAAAAAAATCTTCAGGTCCATGTTCTACTGTTTACAATTCATTTATATGCATGTTACTCAGAAGTAAGTTTCATTATATTCAGTGGGGCTTAACCCCCAGGTAAGTGTACAGTACATAGAATTTAAATGTAAATGTGCTACACATAGAATCACAGAATTGTAGAGTTGGAAGAGATCCCAAAGGTCATCAAGTTCAACTCTGTGCAGTGCAGGAATCAGAGCTGAAGAATCGCTGGCAGATGGCCACCCAGCCTCTCTTTAGAAACCTGCAATGAAGGAGTGTCCAATGTTAGTGATACTCAGAATAGGAGCACTGAAAGAAATACTCAAGTCCATTGATTTCAAAGGGTCTACTCTGAGTATCACTAATATTGGATAGCACCATATACCAATGAAAGGGATAGTTTAAGAACCAAAAATCAATAGAGGGGAAAATACCAATATTATGCTTCATCTCTTCTTGTCATCCTCTAATAAAAAATAAATGGTTCAGGGAAAAATACAAATAGTATAATTCATTCCTTTTTAGTACACACATATTTTAGCACAGTATCATTTTGCTAAAAGAAAGAATTGATACAGACTTATTCCTCTGCTGTCTTCAACTACTTTGCTACAAATTACCTTTTTACAACTACTGATATAGTATACTATTCAGCTACTGATAACTGTATTACTGAAACCTGCTTTTGTTGAATTTATTTTAGGTATTTCAGCCGTGGCCTGGTGATCATGAAAAATATGGGGGTGATCCACAGCAGCCCCATAAACTGCACCTTGTGACCAGAGTCAGAAGTGGAAGAAGGCGTCCTTATTGGGAAAAAGAGATAATCAGATCTCTTGGATTGGAAAAAGTATAAAATACATTAGCATTTTGTGGGGATGCTCTGTTGCATGGGGGAAAGCCCAGTAAATAATTATCTCTGTCTGGCATTAAAACATACAGCCTAATCCTACACATGTTTATTCAGATATAAGTCCCACTATATTAGATTAGACTTGCTCCTTGGTAAATGTGCACAAGTTTGCAGTCTTTCAGAGATAAGAGTAGAACAACTTCAGCTCAGGGCAAGGGCAAGGTATTAAATTCAATGATCTGCTGAGTCCCTTTGCAGTTTCTTGTAGAAGATCCACATTAGTTAATGGTAAATCGTTAAAAATGGGTTTGATATCTGTTTGCCTTTATATTCAGTTTATATTCAGTATATAACAAAGGTACCAGCCAAACTTTCCTGAGCAGAGCAGAATGAGATAGGAACTCTCACCAATGGCTCCCTAATGCCTGCTCTGACATGCTACAGCAGTGTAATCTTCTACATTGGGAGGAGAGGGGAGCCCAGAAGTGCACTCATAGCAGCTTCTGTTTATCTTTGGGTCGGGGGTGGGCAGCTGGAACTACCTGGGAGAGTGGGGTGGAGGTTGCCTAGCAACTTTCCAAAAACCCAGCTGAGGCATTCCATGTCTGTGCATCATTATGCATCATTATCCTGTTCTCAGCTTGTAAATCACTTGTTAGATATCCATGAAAAAGCAGTTTCAAAGCCATACTAGGTATATTTTGTTGTGCAACCAGTTGCCTGAGAGCATGTGGGAACATACATTCACATTCTGCCATGCAAGACAAGTAGATGCTTTGCATCTGGATGTCTTACCGCAGTGCATATAAGCAGCCGCAGTTGGAAGCTTGTCCCTGATTAGTAAAGGAATCTACACATGAAAGCCTGGTTTTGAGTGTTGTTCTCTCTTGCTGAGGTGTGTAGAGATCCAATCAGAATTTTTAGCAGTCAGCTAATTCATCTTAGTTCACTCCTTTATCTAAGTGGTTGCTATTTATCACAATTTTGACATTCTAAATATGGTAGCACATATACAGTGTTCCATGAACTTTAGCAGAAATGATCCTGTACTAAAATATGTGTGAGCTAAAAAGGAATGAATTATACTATATGTATTTTCCCCTGAACCATTATTTTTTTTATTAGAGGATGACAAGAAGAGATGAAGTATAATATTGGTATTTCCCCCTGTATTAATCTTTGGTTCTTAAACTATACCTTTCATTGGCATAGGGTGCTATCCAGTATTAGTGATACTCAGGGTAGACCCTTTGAAATTAATGGACTTGCGTATTTCTTTCAGTGCTCCTACTCTGAGTATTGCTAACACTGGATACCACCTTCTGTATTTTTATTAAATCTTCATGGATGAATTCACCTCTTTAGGCTCTCACAGAATGAAGGACAATATATGTGAATAATATAAATCACCAAGTAATGCAATAACAGCCAATGTAATGCTAACCAGATGTTGTTATCAAGGATAACACCTGTTATCCATGACCTCTGGCTAGTCTTGCTGGAGCCGATGGAAACTGGAGTCCAACTAGATGATCTGCAGAGTATCACATTGGCTACCCCTTAAGTAATGCAGGATTGTCATAGTTATATTTTAAGAATAGCACACTCGCTGCAACTAGTACTGCAAGCTCTGTGTGTGTGTATGCAATCATGTGTTTGAAACTGAACTTTTCTGTGAAACTGAACTTTTCTATAAAATCTGCTTATCTACAGAGGTATGAGCTAAGAGTGCATAAAAACATCCCTTCTGTGAATGAAAAACTGAAAGTGATTAAACATCTAATAAGGTTAGTTAACTCTTCTTGACAAAAGCATTTTAAAATGGCTTTTGTAGAGCAGCACTAATGTATTTTGTCTCTTCTCCTGCTTCCTCCTCCGCTCCTATAGCATAAAGCCATTAAAGCTACCCCATGGAATTCCATCTGAAGAAGAAATGTCTGACACCTTTATTAACTGTGCAGGTGAACTAATAATTCGCCGTCGTCTAAAAGAACCGGAACAGAAAAAGATTGATGCTTTGTAATGTGTAGTGGCATTCTGTACAATAAATGTAATTTTAAACTGAAATTTGATTGGGGAGCTCATCTACCCATCCCTTGTACTGTGTCAAGGCTTTATTTGACTGATTAATCAAACGTGGCTAGTACTAATGCTGATTATACAAGCATTTCATCAAGCGTGACTGTATGTGTATGTAATTCCTTTTTCCACTGTTTGCCTATTGGAAGCACCATAGTAGGTCTCAAACATTTCTACCGCCAGCGATCACTTTTCCACAATGACTTGTCTAAGCAACTCCCTGAAGAACCACCAATGGAGTCTGAAATTTGTAGGGTGGTTAAAAGCCCCTCTTGCCTCCCCCCCTTTTTTGCTTCTGCTTTGTTTCTTTTTGGGATTCTCATTTTAGATGCACCTCACTGGGACGCCGGCCAAACTGAACCTCAGGCAAGCAGCAGCAGAGCATGATGGTTGTCCCACTACCAAGCTCTGAACATAAAGGGGACTTGGATTGTAGCCTAAAGCATGACCACCTCATTATTCTATGTTTAATAGAAAGTGTACACTAAACCAACCCAGTACTATCCAGCAGTATACTGTAGGAGAAACTCAATGCATGGACAAACTCTCTTCATTTTTATTTTCAATGAGGAATTCTTTATAAACTCCTGAAGAAACTTGGTTCCCTGTAACAGTTTGTCTAATACACTGTTTGAAATATGGAATGTATTCATTATTCCTGATTTGGGCAGAAATAAAATGAGTGACTTCAGTGCATGCTAAGGTTCATATAAGTCCTTGTTGCTGTTGCTGTACCGGGAAGGAAACAAACCAGAGGCTGGCTTTCTGTTTCATAAGCCAAGAATGGAAGGCAAGGTTGGTTCTTGGCTTCGCCATTGTCGTTTGAGGAAAACAAATCATGAGTGTTGGTTTGCATGCAACACAAAGGCCTGCCTCAGGTTTCTTTCCTCCCTCATGGTGGCAGCAGCAGGAGTGCGAGGAGAACGACTGGAAACTTCTGAGCAATATAATGTGCACACGTTACGGCTGAAAAGATTCTTTTGCGCTAATGTTTTATACACAAAAACAGTCCAAATGGGCTGAAACAGCTTGGGAGCGATGATGACTCCATCATCCATTGTAGAATAGAACCTTGCTGAAGTGTGCTCTGTGCTAGAGTAAAAAAAAGCCAAGTTTGGTATTAATCAATAGACTATCCCTTTCCCTGGAAATATCACCAGGCAAAATAGCAACTTAAATAATTAACAGATGTTGGCACATCTGCCTTCAAACCAGCTGGTGCTTTTTGGTGTACACAAATGGCAGTATGGAGACAAGGCAAGAGATGAAATTAGGTGGTGTGTAATTAATGAGTTTTTCAGTGTTACATCTCGAGATCAGTAAAGTGATTAGCATTAACTTCAGAGTAGATGAAAGGAAACACTTTCTAAAACTTGTAAAAGAGTTAATTGTCATTTGTTAGCCCCTGACAAAGATATTTAAAATAAATATATAAAAGAGAGCGACACGTTAGCTCAAACTTCTCCAATGTCTGTTGGCTGGGGCTGATGGGAGTTGTAGTGCAAAACAGCTGGAGGGTACCAGTTGGAGATGACTGCAATAGCCATGATGGCTAAAAATAAAAGCAGTGAGTAGAGACTCGAGCATTTGGTTATCTTTGTGATGACCTGCTTGAGTGTTTTCCATGTGTAATCTATCAATATGGTAACTCATCTGAAAAAGTGAATTGCTTTTGCAATCTTCAAGCAAGATGTGACCTCAGCAAATAGTCAATACTGTTACGAGTTCATGAAGTGCAAGACACCCCAAATTCCTGGGTCCAATAAGTGTTAGAATTCATTAAGGTGGGGGGAATTAAACTGCCAAATACAACCCCTGGGTTAAGATCATGTTAACAAGCCAAGCCAGGCTGGTGATTGCTAGTAGTTTGGGTCATTAGTTTTACCCCCCTCTGCCTTAGAACATCTACAGGGTTCAGAGGAACTTGCATTGAGGAAATGACAGGCAGCTTAAAAATGTAATTTCTTATCATTTCTGCATTCACTCCAAAACCATTCTACACTTCACACGCAGCAGAACCGGTAACCACTTCGGATTGCATTGTTGGTGTGCAGTTATCATTTCTGAATGCTTCCTCCACAGAAACATGCAGGAGTCAGACATCCTTCTTGCAACTTTGGAAGGGGCCAGTCAGGGCTTGAGGATGGGACTGTGATATTTTGGATGTGGCAGTGTCCGGTACCTGTCAGTTGTAGTGTAGGCTTCATCAAGAAATCATCTGTCCTTACCCGGTCCTGAGTGTCATCACTGTCCATATATCAGAAATAGGGCTGGTGCTTTCCTTATGCCATTTGGATCAGGAAGACCCCATTCAGTATTGCTGCAGCCCTATTTCTGTGAACATATTGAGCATAGCGGCTTGAAAAATTCAGACACCCCCCCCCCCGTGCTTTCTGTAGCGTACTAGTGTGCCTCAGTGGAAAAAGCTTAGCAACACTCCAAGGAATAAAGCAGGCTGAGCAAAAACATACACAGGCACTTAGCACATAGAATTCAAATAATTTTATTTTCATTTACATAAATGTTAAAAAAAACCAACTGACTTAGTTAAGAGAACAATATTGCTGACCTACTGTGCAAAAGAGCCAGATCGGTTTTACACCTCTTGTGGCAGACAATACCCAGAATTTGCTGGGACACAGAGACTCTGCCTACCAACTATGCCTATCCAGTAGACTCAAAACACTACACTGAAACCCTTCCCCCCCCTTTTTACCTGCCTTCAACCCATCTTAGATATATCCTTCTCATTACCCCATCCTTTTGGATCTTCGTAATAAATGCTTCTTTTATAACTTCTAGAAATAGCTTGTCCATTACTTCTATCCGCAGAGAGAAGCAAGTAATGTTGGGGCACAGCTGTGCATTCCACTGATATAAGGTGTGCCTGTTAATGGTGGATATTCAATATGCCCACTCACCCCTCACTGAGGCAGTTTCCTCACCTCCCTCAAAAGGAAAAACAGAGAAAGCTGAACCAAGACCTGTGCACACAACTAACAACACTGGTGACTTCATGCTGATTCAGTAGCCTGCTGCAACATTGCTCGCTTCCCTCTGACAGAAGAGAAAGCCATTTTCTTTCAAATGAGTTGACTCTTTATTTGCCACAAGTAGAGATTCACAGGCAAGGTTCTCTTATTTCCTAAACCGACTGGGCTTTATCTCAACACCCCCAAAGTGTAGATATACTTAAACTTTTTGGCAACTATGGGGATTTACAAGTACAAAGGAAAAGCTCATTCACCTACCTAGGAGCTAGACTGTCACAGATTCCCAAGGGAATTTTAGTATTCCCAAACGAAAGAGATTCTCTTGGAAAATATGCCTATTACTGAAGAACAACAGTGCAAGAAATTGTATTAAACTGCATTCACATCAAGAGGAAAAGCAAACACCAATTTTCACTCTGATTTTTTTAAATAAAAAAATCTAGCCTGTATTCCAGTTCAATATAGTTTTGCCATGTGCTATTACCTGCTGATTCAGCTTTAACATGCAGTGTACACAACTGGTAGACTTAATTCTTTTAAAGAGGCTAAGATGGTTTCATAATATGCAGTGCAATGTTAACTTAGGGAATACCATGCCATACACATGGCATTATCAGACAAGCAACAGTTTTATTAATGCACTACTTCTGGAATGGTTTTATAACAATTCTTGACAGAAGTCCTTCATTAATATTTCCAATGGCAAATGAAGTACTAAAAATGTAGTTTAAAGGGACTATTTTTATAATTAACAAAATGCTTTAAAGTCATGTCTCATGTGACGCAGTTCGAAAGAGCTCAGATTTTTCACCTAGAAATGTCACCCCGAGGGGAAAAAAATATTCAGTTTCTTTTCATGAGTTGTATAAAACAGTTTTAGAAAATGAGCATTATATGCAAATGTACTGAAAACAAACAGCTTTATAAAACATTCCTAGAAATGTATCAAGCTTCAAAGAAAAGATGATTTATAAACATCTGAATCATGATATCTAATCATCATCAGAATCTGAATCATATTTCTTTCCTCTGATTGTTTTCTTATCCAACTTTGTGAAAGTGGTCCCAAACTTCTTTTGGCTCTGGAAAGGGGGGTCCATCAAGTTGCCACTAAAAGGGGGGAAAAGTTATTTCAATACTGTATGTGAATCGATATTTTTTAAAAACACCACCAAGGCAACACCTGCATTTTATAGTATAAGTCTTGCAAAACGCAATGCCAGATTCTGTTATCTTGCGAGTACAACTGCTTGAAGCAGAGTAGTTCTCTCACGGTTACAGCAGAGGGGACACATATTCTGCTTCCTGAATCTTTCACTAGTACATAATTACAAAAAAGAGCCGGGCCTTAGCTCATTCTTTGTGAATTAAAGGTGTAACCAAGTGTATTACATGTTCAGAAATACCTTCCACAATTTCTTGCTGCTTCACAGTTAAAGGAAGGCAGCAATACCAGTTCATTATTTTTAAAAATCCCTTAAAAATGATCAGTGTACAGAGAAAGAAACTTTCCCCAACAATATAACGATCAATACTCAGTGTTTAGAATTATTTTGTTGCCTTGCCAGAAAGATTCCCTTCTTGATTTTCCATGCTTTAAGTACCTTTAATATTGCACCAGCTACATTAAGAAACAAAAAAGGAGATAATTTCATTTACCTGTAGTTGATTATATCTGCACAACCTAATCGCCACTCTAAGGTCTCTGTGGTGAAGTCATCTGTATTACCAAGATCAGTAAAACCAACCACGTAATCCTGTGTTTTGCCATCTTTTACAAGTGCTAGTGTGGGAATTACTTTGATGCGAAGTCTCTCACACAGGAACGGAGCTTTTTCAGCATTTAATTTGATAAACCTGGTCTCAATGTGCTTTTTTGCCAGTACTGTTAGATGCTTATCTAATATCAGGCATCTGAGGAACAGAAAATAAAACAAAGTGCTTTACAGTGATGAAATGTAGAAATCGCAAATGAGTACGGTAATTTATTATAACAACATACGTATTTGACCTGTCAGTAAGTTTGTTATTACAATGGTCATAATGTTAGCATATAAGTTATTAAATGTTTAACTCAAAAGGTAGATTTACCAAGTTTCCCATTCCCTTTGCCCTTGATACTAGGGAGTGGATGTAAAAATATAAAGCAGTGGATCTGAAGGACAATGCTGTCTCTAAAGACTTTAGCAGCCATGTCGAGGCTATAATCAATATTTCAAGTATTAATCTGCACAGCCAACTATACTCAAGATACAACAAATAATCATGGAATTTTCTAAACAAATCTTCTGCTATTTGACAGTCAACCTATTTTGGTAAGTATTTGTGTACTAAGGAGTTTAGTATACCTGAAACTTGTATCTCTGTAAAAATGGCAGACGACTTTATTGCTCCTTTTCACTTGTTCAAAAAAATCTCTCTCACTGGGGATTTCCACATATTCCCCATGCCCATTTGAAAGCCATTCCTGTTTATAAGAATATAAAATGTTAGACATTTGAAGTTAAGTATTTTTGTGTTGTCATAAGAGGTAAAGCATCCCCTGAAATGTTATGTAGCATCAGGAATATTCATAATTCCACCAGTTATTCTGTATTTACAAATGCCATCAAGTCTGAAAAATTCAGTTTTATGGCCAAAGACAGTTTCTAGCCCTACTGACATATAGTACCTGCTCATGCAAATATTGTGCAAATATTAGAAAACTTTAAACATCAGCTTCTTTGCCAATTCCTAACCTTATATAATATATTTTTAATATATCAGGTGGTGACGTTAACATTTATAATTGTCCAGTGTCACACCAATGGATGTGATGGAAGTTTCAACAAGCTGTGTAACATAGTGACAAACACACATATCCATCCAGTGAATATTTACTTAGATGCAATTCCTAGGGAGTTCAATGGAGCTTCTTCCCAAATAAGTATATACATAGGATTACAACAAAGGCAATCCTATTCATATTTACTTATTCCACTGAACTCACGTTAAAGACTTCAGATAGATTAAATATGCAAAGAGTGGTAAGGCTACAATCCAATGAACATCTACTGCAGAACGAATCCCACTGATTTCAGCAGGATTATTAATTAATTAATTAAATTTCCATACCACCCTTTATCCGAGGCTCACAGGACAGTTTACCATATAAAAAACAAAAATAAAGAACACAATATTTATAACATTTAATTCTTCTGGAGTGGAGCATGAGTGGGATTGGACTGCATGAGTGTGAGCTACTTCAAATCTCACTTTGCAGCTTTAGGCAAGCTAGTATTCTATCAGCTTCATTCTCATCTGCAGTAGGGAAATAGTGGTGTATCTTATAGGGCTGTTGCCAAGTTAGTGAATTTGATACAGCTATTAAAACAACAACGAATATTAAACAGTTAACACCACTACAAGAAACTTCCCTGTTTCTGTTGCTGGGCTTTCTTCAAGCCTTCAAGCCTTCTTTGCTTTAGGATTTCTAATTCATCATCATCCACATTGTCTAGTTTTTTAATCTCAGCATCAAGTTGTTCTTCTACAATCTTTGTTGTCTGAAGCAATTGAGCCTCCAGAACTTTTGAAAACATTTCAGATGACATTTTCCTCCTAAATAAGTGGCACACGCATTAAACCTGTAAAACAGAGTAGATTTTAAATCAGACTCGGATGCAATACGATATCAAAGCTCCACTTTTCATGCATTTATGACCTACAGCAACACCACCTCCAGGTTGTCCTTTTATATCCAGCGATAACCATGTCCCCGATTCTCTTCATTCCACGAGGTTTCTGTTATGTCCACAATATCAGTGCTATCCTTTGAGACCAAATATTCCACTTCACCTATCTCAGCTCGGAGACTCAAGGAATTAGCATTTAAACACTTGTATACAGTCTCTTCTAGCATCTTTGGCAGTTTTGTCTTGACCCACTCTGCAGAAGAGGGATGAAGAAACAGGACAGTACTGTACAGCCTATTCTGCTTTCCTCCTTTTAACCCATTTCTGGGTTGTTTTCCCCATTTGTAGTTCTTCCGTTGAAAGTGACAGATGGGCTCACAAAATGTTTGTATCCTTATATGCTCCATAAAACTATGTCCGTATTAGTAATATGCAAAGTTGAAAGCAAACCAATTGAACTTTGATGCTACTTTGCTTTGAAATGGACATAATATATTGCTGACTAATAAGACTTGCTACATTGCACTGTAGAAACCTCGACTTTATTAGCCATTACAGAAATGTATTGTCTCTAGGCACCTGCCCATTTCGCAGCAGCAAGTTTTATTTTACTGCTTTGAAACATTTTTACCCCACTCCTCAGCTAAACAGGGATCCGGAGCTACTTACATAAGATCAACAACAAAGTCTGCTTAATACATAGGAGCCAACGCCTAGGTCACAGGGGACAACCCCCTCCCCAAGTTGATGGGCAATGCCATTCAAATAGGGTGTGTGTGTGTTGTGTCATGTGGTCAATTATGTGGGGCGGGGCAGGGCTTACTTTCTCCCCTCCCCAATATTTCATCCAAGTTGGTGCCCCCTGGCTCAAAATTAGTTTACAGAGAGTGCAATGCAGTCAGGACAAAGGCCACTCCCCTTGACTATGTCTCTATGCTGCATCAACAGAAGGATAGTGTCCAGATAAAGGGAAGTAATAATGCCACTCTATTCTGCCTTAGACCACACCTGGAATACTGTGTCCAATGCTGGGCACCACAATTTAAGAAGGATGTTGAGAAGCTGACATGTGCAGAGGAGGGCAACTAAGATGATCAAGGGTCTGGAAACTAAGCCTTACGAGGAGTGCTTGAAGGAGCTGGGTATGTTTAGCCTGGAAAAGAGACTGAGAGGAGATATGATAGCCATCTTCAAATATCTTAAGGGCTGTCACATGGAGGAGACAGCATGCCAGTTTTCTCCTGCTCTGGAGGGTAGGAGTTGAACCAGTGGCTTCAAGTTGCAAGAAAGGAGATTCCGACTAAAGATCGGGGGGGGGGGGACTTTCTAAAAGTAAGAGCTGTTGAGCAGTGGAACAGACTCCCACGAGAGGTGGCGGTGGACTCGCCTTCCTTGGGAGGCTTTTTTAGGCGGTGTGTGGGTGGCCATCTGTCATGGATGCTTTAGCTGAAATTCCTGCATTGCAAAGGGATTGGACTAGATGGCCTTTGGGGTCCCTTCCAAGATTCTATGACCCCCTGCTGCTTTCCCTAACACAGAAAGGCAGCCACGGGACAGGCAGGGCCAACTGAATGCTTTTGTCATGAGAAATCCTTCGAAGGGGTGGGGGGTGGGGAGGCCCTGGCAACTCAGAAAGATACGCCCACCCACAGAATAGCAAGGCCTGCTGGGGGGGGGGGCTGCACAGATCTCACTCCCAGTGCGGGACTTGGAAGGAACGCAACCGCCGCACCCACACGTACTGCGCGTGTAAACACAAACGGGTCTTTATTGTCCCGCTCTTATACTCACTGCGGAAGCCTGAGGCAAATTAGCGCCCGAAAAACACCCTCCCAGGCCTCTCCACGGACTCCGCTACCGGCCGGCCGCGTACGCCTGCGTCTTAAGGGAGTGTGAGGCACCCGGAATCTCTATTGTTGGCGCAAGCATTAATCGTCAGAGTCCTCGGCCGTTGTTACGTATGCGCAGCACGTCATCGCTTGAAGCACGTTCACTCAGTGGCTTTTCGGGTTTTTAAAATTGGGATCAGTCGCTATGGTAACGCTCGGAGACGGTTGTTTTTGTCGAGGGAAGGCCACACCGGCTGTTACTGCCCCACGAAGCAACGATTTCTGGACTGAGGGGGAACTACCTAGGCCAGAATTTCACGGCACCGCGGAAACTGCTACTGGTATAGTCGCAGCAGTGCCGTGAGCGCCACAAACTACAAGGCCCAGAATGCCTTGCGCTTCCGGCTGGGCTCTGGAAAGGCGTGGCTCTCCTAGGTGCAGAGCGCAATGGTTGCTTACTAGGCAATAAAGCCGATGAATCATCCGTGGGTCTTATTTCTGAGTAAACGCGGAAGCGAGTGGGTTGTTACTAGTGCAATCCCCGCGCAGGTCTATTCAGAAATCTAGTAAATAAAATAAGCCGTAACTGAGTTGGAAGGGGCTGCTGATGCCTAGGCACGCTGTGCTGCGGTCGCTTTATTGGTCCATTGTTTAAACCTGTCAGAAGTTATAAGGTGCAGCCCTGTTTATCTGGTTATAAACCCCAGTTTCACTCAGCTCAGAGGCACTTGCTTCCGAGTTAATATAGCCTCGAGCAGTCATTTTAAAAAAACAACCTGCATACATGATAACGTTATATAATAAATATATAGCGATTTCTGTGAGTGTCTGCTGTTTCCTGTTCGGGTTTTTTATTTTAAAGTTAGCTGCAGCATGAGAAATGAATTAAAAATGAGACCATGCAAGCAATATAGAAAGGCACAAAGGCGGCGGAGCTTAATTCGTTTTAAAATACTATTTCGAACGTGTCCAGTGATAGGAGCGGAATGTCACCCCCATCCCTTTTACACGCATCTTTCCTCCTCTCATCACTTCATGAACTCTGCATCTGAGGGCTAAGCTTTGCTATATTCACATGGAAGCGGCTTTCCTCTTTCTACACGTCTGCGGGGGGGGGGGGGAATTCGGATTTCAATTCCTGCTTCTTCGGTACGGAAAGACACAGTTCTCAGCTGGTTTTAAGGTTCAGAGGGTCCCAGATGGAAGAAACTATGGTCTGACTCCTACCGATGTATTCGAACTCGTTCCTATTAGTTCCACAATTTCACATTGCCTGCTGTTCAAAATTTGTATTCTTTACGTGTAGCTCGCCTCTCGCTTTCCTTCTGGGACTTCAGGCAGCGTCTACAGAGTTCCAAGGTGTCTCTCATCCACGCACCCCGGGGCTCAGTAGAGCACGAGACTAAATCGTGGGTTCGAGCCCCACGTCGGGCAAAATATTCCTTCATTGCAGGGCATGGGACTAGATAACCCTCCCTGTTCCTTCCATCTCTACAACTCTATGACCCAAAGCGGCTTAGCTGCGTCCGCGCACTGAGACGCGTATTATTTATTTCACTTAAATAAAAGCCGCTCTTCCCGCTGCAGTTCCCCCTCCGACCGGAGGAGGCGCCTGCAACCGGGGGGCCCTCCCTCACTGCCGGGCGCACGTTCTTCTACGCTTCCGCGGCGCGCCGGGTCGGAGGACGAACGGCGCTTGCGCGCGTCAGCGGCTGCCTGCTCCGTGGTGTCGTATTGGCCTCCCTCTCACCATATGTGCCCGGGCGCGTGTGGATGTGGCTGGCTGGGCCCTGCGCAAGGAAAAGGCGCCTGAGAGGCAGTTGCGAGCGCAGCCATGGGCAAGAAGCAGAAAAGCAAGAGCGAGGAGAGGTAACTTGACGGGGTTCATGGCCGAGGGAGGAGGGGTCGTGGGGTTCCTCGCTCTTATTCCCGGCCGCTGAGGGAGTCAGGCTTCCCTGAGGGGACGTTTCCCCGCATTCCTCGGCGGGGTTCAGGGGAGCTCGTGGTTCTTCCTGGGCCTCGGCCACTCGCCCCTTTCCCTTTCCCTGGAGGGCCGTGGTGGCTTGAGGGGGCCGGTGTCGCCCAGCGCCCTCGGGCGGGGGAACCTCCTCTCCGGCGGGCGCCCTTTGGGGACTCCAGCCCCTTCCTGCGCTGTCAGTCGCTAACTCGAGGTTTATTTCCCGCAGTTATTTCGAGGCGCGCTCCCGTCTCCTGTTTTTCCCCCGCCGTAAAAATTTCCTTTTCTCGGGCAAGTTGCTTTATTAAGCGCTACTCGACCCACCTCTGCTGCAAAGCCGGCGGAGAGGCCCAAGGTTTGCAAATGGAGGCTTGACTCAGCTGCACAGCCATCCGGAAAATCTGGCGCAGTGAGCGTGTGGGGCTCGCAGCTCCCGCAATTTCTTCTGGTGTGTCCGCGTTGTGTTGGTGTCGGAGGTAATCGTGGCCAACTGCAGAGGAACCTCGACGGTTGGTTTTTTTGCAGTGACCCAGGTGTTAATAGTATTGCTGGGGAAGGCTCTTGTCCAAAAACGCCATTCCCGAATGGAGGAGCTTTGTGATACGCCAGTGTCAGGGAACAGGATCTTCTTGCAAGTTTAAAGTACCCTAAATGAGCAAGCCCGTTGGTCAGATAAAGATTTTATTCCCTTTGGTTACAAATTTGTGGCTTTAATTTTGAACCTGCTAGGTTTTTCAGACAGGTGGCCAAGGCAAATGCCCAGAGTCAATATACTGCATTGTGAAAGAAAAATTTTGGGACAGGTTTGCATAGTGTGTATGGGAGTGTGATGGGAGAAGTTGAGAGAATGGGCGGGGCAGCTAAAATTTGAAGGTAGGACGATGTGAAGTGCTTAATGTGCAAAAACAGACTGTAATGGAACAGTTTTTAAAAATAACATGGTTAACTGGTTTCTGCTCAGCCAATTTGATGCTGAGCAGTGTATACAATTAATTAATTAATTAATTAATCACACTATAGATTCTGAAGTATAGAAGGAAATTGGATGGAAATGACATTAGGAAGAAAATGAAATGTGTGCAGTTTTTGCTTGTTTGTTGTACCTAAGCCTTTGCTCAGTGCTTGAAGAACATGAAACAATTATATGTATAATTTAGCATATGAAACTTTGCTGTTCAGTATGTTTTTGAAATAAAGTGCAAATGCCTAGTTTTTATTTAAACAGTAGCCACAAATATACCAAATTGATGGAGAATACAGGATGATGGCTACATTGCATCCAGTATTGGAGGTAGTATGAGATGAATACCATCAGCTGGGGAGCATGAGTGGAATATGGCTAGTGTCCTCACAGGCTGCTTGTGGACTTTCCATAAGTGGAGGAACTGGGGAGAGCAAGGGGTGGGAGGGAATCACCAGTGCTTCTGAATTGAATTTTATCAGGCAGTAGTTTCTTTGAGGTCCCTTCCCTTCTCCATTAGTCATTCTGTTTTTATCCACTACGGTTTTATGCCTTGAGCTGTAGCCTGTAAGATCCAAAAGGGTATGGAAGACAAAAGAGGGGTGTAGTGGAGCACTCAGTTAATTTTCTTCATTTAAGGCCATATGCTCTGATACTCCCTCCATGATAAATATAAATAAATATAAGTAAAAGAAAAGAGGATCAGAGATAAGAAAACACATTTGATCTGAACATCTTTGTTTATGCTACACTATCGATAAGAATTTACATTGAAACATCCTTCTATATTGCAATGCAGATCAGATCATCAGAAGCCATTAGTATAAAAAGTAGATAAACTTGCTAATTATTATTTTTTTAAAATATAATTTTTATAGCGTTTTTTTGGGTACATTTGGATCCATTCCTGTCACTTGAGGCTCAGGTGGCTTCAGTAGTGCAGTGTGTCTTCCATCAGCTTCAGCTGGTGACCCAGCTGTGCCCCTATCTGGACAAGGATAACCTAACTTCTGTCATCTATGCTCTGGTAACCTCTAGGTTAGATTACTGCAATGTGTTATATATAGGGCTGCTTGTGAAGATGGTTTGGAAACTCCAGCTGCAGCAGAATTGGTGGCCAGGCTGCCAACAAGGGCAAGATGGTTTGAGCATATTACACAGATCTTGACCCAACTGCACTGGCTGCCAATTCATTTCCGAGCCCAATTCAAAGTGCTGTTTTTGACCTATAAAGCCTTAAATGGTTCAGGACCGCAAAAACTCAAGGACTGCCAGGGTGGATTTGATTTAAATCAAATCAATTTAAATCACTTGTCAGTAAGACTTGATTTAAATCATTTTTTTACAGAAAGACTCATTCTTTCTGGTATAATCTTAATATTTACAACTGGGAAGAAGGTCCTGGAACCAGTGAACTCTTATTAGTTGACTGGCAAGCACTTCAAGGTCTCGCAAAGGGCTTACACATTCCAGTTACTATTTCCACCCCTACCTCTTTGGGTGGTGTAGTGGCTAAGAGCGGTGGACTCATAATCTGGTGAACCGGGTTCACGTCTCCACTCCTCCACATGCAACTGCTGGGTGATCTTGGGCTAGTCACACTTATCTGAAGTCTCTCAGTCCCACTCACCTCACAGAGTGTTTGTTGTGGGGGAGGAAGGGAAAGGAGAATGTTAGCCACTTTGAGACTCCTTCCGGTAGTGATAAAGCGGGATATCAAATCCAAACTCCTCCTCCTCCTCCTCCTCCCCCCTCCTCCTCTTCCTCTTCTTCTTCTTCTTCCTCCTCTTCTTCTTCTTCTATATTCAGCTGCCTATTCTGTACAGTTAACTGTTAGTGCAGTTATTGGAATGCAGTGGGATTGGGAAGAGGTTGCCAGCCCTGATATGCTGGCAAGAGGTTGCCAGCCCTGATATGCTTGCCTCAAGTCTGAGTTGCACAATTATTACACAAAGATCCCAAGACTTGTGGAATATTCTGCTCACAAGGTCGCACTTCCATTTTCACTTCTTCACACTTAGCTACTTGTGCAGATCTATTCAACTCGAAACAATCTGTTCATTGAACCTCTTGAAATTTAGCATTTAAGAGGCAAGGGGTTGATTCTGTGTATATAAATTTGCAAAGGAACAATGGAATTAAGGTTTTTTCCTCAACTCTGTATGTTTATTTTATAAAAATTTTCCTGTGAAGAAAAGGCATGTTACCTCTGCAGACACAAATTCACACTTTAGAGAACTGCAAAAACAAGCATCTGTGATAATATCTTCTTGTTAGAAAAACTGCCCCAAATAATCTTACAGAAACCTCTGGAAGAGCATGACATTGTGAATGGATTAATGGAATTCATTTACCAAAAAATTTAAACATTGCATATAAAGCCTCGTGCTACATAATTAAAAACAAATGCTTATTTACCGAATAGCCTTTGGACTATAATGTAACTTAAATAGAAAACTATTTTTAGAATTTTTTTTCCTCCAAAAGCATTTAATTTTTTTAAAAAATCCAATTTAAATAAAAATATCTGATCTAAATTTTTTTTCCAATTTCTGTAAAAAAAAATTAAAAACAAACAAACAAAGATTTATTTTTATCCACCCTGAGGACTGCCTTTCCCCATATGAACCAATACAGACCCTGCAGTCATCATCTGAGGCCTTTCTTCATGTGCTTCCTCTGCAAGGGGTCTTGCGGGTGACAACATGAGAATGGCCCTTTTCTTCAGTGGCTCACTGTGGAATGCTCTCTCCAAGGGGACTCACTTGGCACCTTCATTACCTATCATCAGGTGCCAGGCAAAAGTGATTCTCTATAACCAGGCCTTTGGTTGATTAACATTTTATGGCCTTGTAAATATTTTTGGCAGGATATTGGTTTGTTTTTGTTTTATTATGTATTATGTGTTTTCATTTTGTATTTTTATGTTGTGAACCACCCTGTGATCTTTGGATGAAAGGCAGTATACAAAGAACAATAATAATAATTAATAATGTGTTGGCCACTGTTTGGAGAGAATAATAATAATAATAATTTATTTTTTATACCACGCCCGTCTGGCTGGGTTTCCCCAGCCACTCTGTTTGGCTCCCAACAGAATATTAAAAACATGACAAAACATGTTGATTTAGTGGCAAATAGTGTTCTGGTTGTCCCCACAATCTCTTTCTGTTGCATTTGCTGAGACTGTTTTCAGTTTTTGCAATATGTGGGTAAAGATGGGGTGACATTAACGATGCTGGGAAGAAACAACTGACACAATAGAAATTGTGCAGGTGTTGAATGTCCCATTTTGATATGGAGTGGGCCTTGACGCTTCGAAGGAGATGCTAGTGTGGTCATTCCTGGAAAAACAAACCCAACTGATTTAACTGTCTGCCAGTCAGTTTCTAGTGCAGCCAAGGTCCTCCATTTAAAGCATTGTAGTTTTTGCTCTAGATTAGTTAACCCATAACTCTTTTTCTCCTGACTGTGCCCATCATCTTCTCTGGCTTTGCCCATTGCCAATATGCAGCTCTCAGCAGATTATCCTCAAAGGAATCTGGCCCATGAGAGAAAAAAGGATGCCTAATTCTTCTTTAATGACTTCCCGAGTCTACTGCAGTGCTAAGTACATGAATGTGCCAGAATGTTGTGGCAACGATAGTTCAGTATATGCTGCATAACACTTTGGTATTGCAACAACTGCATTGGTCTGATGGGTAACTACAAGAGACAGAGCCTTCTTTGACTCAGTGGAGCCTAACCTTCAGAACTTGCTCCCTAGAGAGACTTGCCTGGTTTCGCTTAAGTTTAAGGAGACAGGTCATGATAGCATTCTGTTAGCAGAGCCTTTGACACAACAATAACTGGTTTTGATTTCACCTTATTTTGTGTTTGCTGCTGTACTATTTTTAATTTTGTTCTTGTTGCTTTGTTGAGCCCTGAGCTGCTTTGTGTTTTATATAGCTATATAGATATAGGCGATACACACGTTTCAAATAAATCAATGGTATAGTAACTGCAGACAAAACCAGTAAGCCTGAACCAGTATACGGTATTGTCATGTAAATAGTACATCCCCCACTTTAAATTATTAACATAATTTAAGCCCTAATCTACAGTTTATAATTTGTTCACATAGCCAGTTTTCTGGCATCCATCAAGCACAATAGTCAGGTCTGTGTAGATTCTAGGAAACTGAAGATACACACAAATTGAAAGGCTTTTCATTCTTTTATCTGTTAGCAATCTTCTTACATGTACTTCCAGTCATGGACTATTTTCTTTTACATGATATAGAAAATAGAGGACGCTGAGTAGGCAGTGAGTTGGAGATTGTGTTGCAACAAGTTACTAAGGCCTTTGTGCTTACCCCCTCCCCAGTCAGCTTGATGGATTCTTGGAGCTTTGAGTTACTGTGCAGCTTTTGAAAGTACTCCAGCACCAAGTACAACGTTTTCCTATTTTTTCTTCCATTCTGGACCTTAGAAAAGGGGGTGGGGTAGTCAAAACTTGTCCATTGCATAGGCCTTCTCTGAAATGTCCTAGTTCAGTTGGTTAAGAGCATGGTGCTGATAACGCCTAGGTCGTGGGTTTGATCCCTGCCTATTCCCATGTTGGGAATGTAATACTATGTTTGTGGAATTCCGTTTGGATTTTTCTTTTAAAAACAGCACATACCTGGCATCCAATTTAAACTGGGTCTTTTATTTGCTGAACACAATTGAGTTAAAGTGTAACTCTGCCATTGATTGTTGTATAATAAACCAACACAAAGTGTTAGTTATTACATGATGTTGCATCAGAACAGGAATTTACCCATAAATACGACTCTTCCCACTTTCCCTGACTCTTATAAAAGATAGGACAGTAAAAACAGATGTATGCCCAACTTGGAACAACTGCAGAGGGTCTCTTTCTACCTTGGAAGATATTTTCCCAACCTCACATTGTTCCATGGACAAAAAATATAACACACAGGGTCTGAAATTGTTGGAATTGTTATTCCAACATAAATTTTATATTCTTCATGGGAGTCCTGTAGGCAGATAAGGGTCAATATACTTATTTGAACAAACATGCTGGAAGTGCTATCAATCACATTATAGTATCTCCTTCATTATTCACTTCTGAAGTATTAGAATGAACAGAAAGTGACCACTTTCCAGTATCAGTGACCCTATTCCCAGCCAGATGGATGAGGTATAATAAATAAATATTTATTTATTTATTTCTCAAATGCATACAAACAACCGCATCTGCAAGAGTTTGTGGAGAAATGCAGGGTGTAAAAAGACAAATGATTTCACAGACTGAACAACGATATTCAAGAGACACTATATATTAATCGTCTGATGAGCTCACACCAACTTTTTATGAGAAAATCTCCATACCTTGATGTCTTCCTGCAAATTGCCATAGGACTTAGGCCTTATTTGATAACTATAGGGCTCATGTGGAAGCATATCTTCTCCTGGAGCTTTATTTGATTTCTGGAAGGAAATAAGGGCCTTTATCTCATTACAGAAGACTGTTTGCCATTCAGGAAGGTTTAATAAATCCTTACACACTGCTGGTACATGTGCCTTTATTGAGGTGCATTTCCAAGTGATGCTCACTTGGATGGTCGCTACAAGGTCCTGCATACAGACAGACTGTGTGTCAACGTCTGATGGAAGACATCACTCATTATCTGTTAGCCTGCCCCTTAAATAGAGACCCAGGATATCACTTTATGTAGGCTTTGTTCACGCAAGCAAGCAGATAACAACCCAGCAGAAATGGTTCAGTTTCTTTTGAGTGACAATAATAGCTTTGTAACACAGAGAGTGGCCCTCTATGCGCTGGCCACAAAAAAGGGGGGAAAGAGTTAGATAAAATTGCTATATGATAGGTTTCTGGATGAAACATCGGCTCTGGATCCATTCCAGTCCGGCTTCCGCGCTGGTCATGGGACCGAGACGGCTCTGGTCGCCCTAACAGATGATCTCCGCAGGCAGCTGGATCGAGGCGGGTCAGGGCTGCTGATTCTTCTAGACCTGTCAGCAGCCTTCGACATGGTCGATCACGAACTCCTGGACCACCGCCTTGCCGACGTGGGGATCCAGGGCACAGTCCTTCAATGGCTGCGCTTGTTTCTCTCTGGTCGGGGACAGAGGGTGGCGCTTGGGGGGGAATTGTCATCGCGCCACTCCTTGGTGTGTGGAGTGCCTCAGGGTGCGATACTCTCCCCGATGCTTTTAACATCTTTATGCGCCCTCGCCCAGCTTGTCCGGAGTTTTGGGCTGGGTTGCCATCAGTATGCCGATGACACCCAACTCTATCTGTTGATGGATGGCCATCCTGACTCAGCCCCAGACACACTGACCAGATGTTTGGAAGCTGTGGCTGGATGGTTACGTGGAAGCCGGTTGAAGTTAAATCCTTCGAAGACAGAGGTCCTCTGGCTGGGACGGGATGATATGGGATTGGGGGGGCAACTCCCATCTCTTGCGGGGGTGCAATTAGTGCCAGCACCGTCCGTTAAGAGTTTGGGTGTAATCTTCGATACCTCCCTCTCTATGGAGGCGCAGATTACAGCTATAACAAAGGCGGCATTTTTTCATCTCTGCCAAGCTAAGCAGTTGGCCCCTTATCTCTCTCGCCCTGACCTAGCCACTGTGATCCACGCGACGGTCACCTCCAGACTGGATTATTGTAACTCGCTCTACGTGGGGCTGCCCTTGAGACTGACCCAGAAACTCCAGCGGGTGCAGAATGCCGCGGCGAGACTCCTTATGGGGTCTTCGCTGCGAGATCACATTCATCCGGTACTATACCAGCTGCACTGGCTCCCGGTGGAGTACAGGATCAGGTTTAAGGTGCTGGTTTTAACCTTTAAAGCCCTATACGGCCTAGGACCCTCGTACCTACGGGACCGCCTCTCCTGGTATGCCCCACAGAGGAACCTACGGTCTGCAAATAAAAACATCCTGAAGGTCCCAGGCCTCAGAGAGGTTAGGCTGGCCTCAACTAGAGCCAGGGCTTTCTCGGCTGCGGTTCCAATCTGGTGGAACGCTCTGTCACAAGAGACTAGGGCCCTGCGGGACCTGACATCTTTCCGCAAGGCCTGCAAGACAGAGTTGTTCCACCAGGCCTTTGGTCAGGGCCCAGCCTGACTCCCTCCTCTGGCAACCTGCACAGAACTTTGCTTAACGGTTGCCATTAATTTGATTTTAATTAATTTTTATAATGAAATGTTTTAGAATGTTGGATTATTTGATTGTTTGATTATTTGATTGTTGTTTGCCGCCCTGAGCCCGGCTTTGGTTGGGGAGGGCGGGATATAAATAAAATTTATTATTATTATTATTATTATTATTATTATTATTATTATTTTATTATATATTGCTGTGGTGATTGAGGCTTAATCTGAAATCAAGCTGGATTTGAGTTGTTGTTTCTGGCAATTTCTTCCTCTTGCATCATAGATGCTGGTTTATATTATGGATACTGTATATGTTATGTATTATTTTATTTCTACATGTTTGTCATGGTGGCTAGGACAATAAACTTGTGAACTTCTACTACCAATACCACTAGATGTATGCTCTAGTGTGCTGTACACCCTTCTGTTTGTAAAAACAATGATTTAATGTCTAGTTTGCCTAAAGCTGAGGCTTGCTGACTTGTTCTATTCCCTGTCTGCTGTGCTGGTGGAAGACACTTCTTCAGGCTAAATTCCTCTGAAAGGGCATTCCCAATTTTCTGACTCAATAGCTTGCAACAGCATAGTATCCTTATAAGTACGAGAGCTAGCAACTCTTCACATTCTGGCTGGATAGAGGAAGGTGTTGTATCTATTTCCTTGCTTTGCTTGAAATAATTCTCATGATGCAGTGTGGTGCTAATCTTCTATTAATGTAAACTTATTTAGATGTGGTTGGTATTATGTTTTGAAGGTGTTGAAATTCTTACTGAACAAATAGTTTCATTTCAGAGTGTGGTAGTTTTAGTTAAATTGTATTTTGCTTAAACACCCCTTTTCCTCCAAGTTGCTTATGCTGTATTAATAGCTATTTGATAGTAGTTACTCACTCTGCTGTAATCTCATCAAACAGTACAAATTACTACCTAAATCTAGTTGACTATCTTTTTTACAATGCAACTTTTTGATATTAAAATACTTAACGTTCTCTTAAGGTTAAGTATTAATTTGTTTCACTTTTTAGTAAAAGTTGTTTTTTAATTCTAGTGCCAAGGATGACATTGACCTTGATGCACTTGCAGCCGAAATAGAGGGTGCAGGTGCTGCCAAAGAACAAGAGCCTCAGAAGTCTAAGGCCAAGAAGAAAAAGGAAAAGAAGAAACCAGATTTTGAGTAAGTTTGCAAAATCTGTATCTGGTAGCTCTAATCCAACAAAGATTGCAGGAGTACAAAAGGAGGCTTCTGACTGTATGCTTATCCTTATCTGACTGAAGAACTGTTTAGACCAGTGGCCCCCAATTGGCTAAGTACTGCAGACTCCTGTTTTTCAAAAGCCAAGTCATGGACTCCCTACTTTTGAAAACTCTGTGGTAGTTTTTGTTATGTGAATACTGTAGTGCCACCATACCTTCCAACGTGTGCCGGTGCAAAAGCGGGATGCACGTCTTCGGGCTGCAATCCCGTGCGAGTCATGTGACCTGTGCAAAGGCACAGTGCACAAAAATGTGTGTTTTGGGGTGCTGCAATCTTGCGTGAGATGCGTGTCTGGCTGCAATCGTGTGCATTTTGGGGCACCATGTTCTCACTTGAGAGCACGCCCCTCCCAAACAGGGTGTCTTAGACAGTTGACAGGTATGTGCCAAGAACCCCTTGGGTGGGTTAAGCGGATCCCCAATTGGGAACCACTAATGTAGACAAATATGTTTTGCAGGTATATATTCCTGAAGAGTTCCCTCCAGGAGCCAAGCCCATGCTATAATATTGTTAGTAATAGTTTGAGTGAGTAGGTGGGGAGAAACACTGTTCTCCCCCTCCCATCACCATGCTGATTATTGACACTTTCAGTGTTGATGCTCTGCCTCTACTGAGGGAAATACATGTATGGTATCAGGCTACTGATAAATGTATGTATCACCCAATTGAGCCACAGCATGGATTTGTCTGCTTGGCACCAGGAGGACAAAACTGCCTTACCCACCAATAGCCTGCTGGCAAGTTGGCCCACGCATCTCCTGCCGTTTGCTTTATGTGAAATGCCTTGGAGTAAGTAGTAAGAAGTATGCAAGAGAAATAACGCCCTGCTCAAATACACATGAGCCTCTACTAGAATATAAAAGACAGAAAGGTGTGGAAATCCAGAAAACAAGGCAGCAGTACTATAGTCACTAGACCCATCCAGTTATTGAACCTAGATTATTTGTAAGTAAGCAATACTTGAAACATGTATAATTGTTCTTATTGTAGCGAAGATGATATTTCAAAAGAGTTGGAAGAGCTGTCTCTGGAGATGCAAGGAGGGAAAGCTGAGAGAGAACCAGTTGCAATAAAGGTAAGTGTCTTGGGGGGGAGGATGCATTCAAAGTGTTGCACTACAGCTGAAAGCCCCAGCCAAAGCAAATTGTGAATTTTTTTTTTTGAGCTGAAAGCCCCAGCCAAAGCAAATTGTGAATTTTTTTTTGAGGGTGAAGAGAAAGAAGCATTTGGTACTGTCCAGAGAAGAACTTTTGCATTTGGAAAACTGCCTGTCATTGTGCAGGTCTCCTTTCAAAAAAATACATTAACTTCATACAAACATTCCACTAAAGAGCAGATTCTATAAGGGCTGCATTGAGGAGTCATCTATCTATTTAAAAATAAATAAATCACAAGGTTGTGTAACTGGCTTTCCAAAAGGCACTTGACGCACATATATTTTTGTTCCCTAAAATCTGGTGATTTTTGTCATGAGTGTTTTTTGTAGTTTAATCTGCAACCAGAGAATCTGGTTGCTGCAAATGTATTATGCTCAAGTGCTGTACAATTCTTCTATTTTCTGTTGAGAATGTTCTAACTTTAAAATGATTTATTTATTTATTTATTTGCTAGACAGAGAATGACAGTGAAGAATTTAGCTGTTCAAAACAAGATAAAAAAAAGAAAGGAAAGAACAAAAGTTCCAACTTAGATGATGATGACAGTGAAGAAATGGAGGATAAGGATAAAAAGTCAAAGAAGGCCCCCAGGCCCCCAAAGGAAGCTCCCTCTGGCAGTGATGATGACAATGATGACTTTGATGCATTGCTTAAGAAAAAGAAAGGAAAACCTCAAAAATCAAATAGGAAACAGGAACTTTCCGAAGATGATGAAGTTATCATTATCAGGAAAAGCAAAGAGCGTACACAAGCTGTGTCATCTGGCGAGAGCGGTGATGAATTGGATGAAGGCTCGGAATCGAAAAAAGGGCAGAAGAAAAGCCAGAAGGCAAAACCAGCCACTGAGGCTGAAAGTGGTGATGAAGAGGTGGACTCTTCATTCAAAATAAAAACAGTGGCTCAGAAGAAGGCAGAGAAGAAAGAGCGTGAGAAAAAAAAGCGTGAAGAGGAAAAGGCCAAATTGAGGAAACAGAAGGAGAAAGAAGATCTGGAAGCCAATAAAGAACAGACAAAGCAGAAGGAGGCTCCAAAGAAGGCTGAAAAAGGAACCACTTCAGATCTGGTATCAGAATCTGCCACTGTGGAAAAAGGAGAAGCTTCAGTAGTAGCAGAAGGTAGGTCATATTTGTGAGAATGTGAGGAACAAGTTTGTAGGAATTTCAAGATGAATGCCAGAACACCTGAATCAGTTTCCTTGTTCACTAATTGGTGATCTTTTTTGTTTCGCTTTAAGCTGGCTTTGTAGTAGGAAAATTCATTGCCTGATTTTATTTGGAGACTCTAGAAGTCGTATTGATGCCCCGAAAACACTAGCTGATTTGTGGCCCTGATTTTCTTGACTAATGTGATTCTAAAGCATTTTGCTGAATATAATTTATGCAGTTCTTAATGCATGTGGTGAGCAAGGCTTCTGAGTGGGGGCCCTTTTCATACGTCCCCTGTGTTGAAAACTATATCATCGCTAGTACTTAGGAATTTCAGAAACTGCCAAAGACAGTCTGTTTGGGGAAGACCAAACATTGAGAGCTCCTCCAGACAGTCTGTTCTTTGCATTCATCTAGATTTGCTTGCACAAAACGTATGTGGTGGTTAGCCTGTGTTTGGGCTTATTGAGGTCATTCGTTCTGGGTTAGTTATAAATGAGCATTCATCTTGATTTGCTTCTGGGGTGCTAACATGTCTTCCCATTAATCATTAGTTTGTCCCACACATCTTGCCTTCCCATCACTTTCCAATGGCAAAAAGTCTGTTTCTTATTTTAAAGTGGATTTACTGTGCACTTCAGAGCACTTTAATACACTTTACACAAACCTAAATTTCCAGTATGTGCTTGAATCCCTTCACAAAATTGTGACAGTCTGGAGGGACCCCGAGAGCCTAGAATGCATGCAGAGGGCTTTTCATGCTCCTAAAGGGTCAGTGGCACCCCTACATTTTGTCGATTTTCTCTTTAGTTTTCTTTGTTTTTAAATTCTGCAAATGGATAACTGACTTTCTTGTTTAGGCGATGACAATGAAGGAGAGAAAAAGAAGAAAGAGAAAGATAAAAAGAAAAAGAAAGGGGAGAAAGAAGAAAAAGAAAAAGAGAAGAAAAAAGGTCCAAGTAAGGCCACAGTTAAAGCAATGCAAGAAGCCTTGGCTAAGCTGAAAGAGGAAGAGGAAAGGGCAAAGAGGGAGGAAGAGGAACGGATAAAACGACTGGAAGAGCTGGAAGCCAAGCGTCAAGAAGAGGTACTGCTTGTATTCATATAGGAAGGGGAAAGGATAATGGAGGCCCACACCTGTATGCTTTTGACTTTGAAAGGAGATTGCAGCCCAGTTAAAGGGGAGCCTGCTGCCAAGGAATGGCTATTCTATGCGTTCTGGAAAGCATTGTGTATGAATATTTGCTTCCTTATAGGAACGCTTGGAGCAAGAAAGAAAGGAAAGGAAGAAACAAAAAGAAAAGGAGAGAAAAGAGCGATTGAAGAAGGAGGGGAAGCTTTTAACTAAATCTCAGAAAGAAGCTAGAGCCAGAGCAGAGGCTACTCTTAAACTACTGCAAGCTCAGGGTAAGGATTGCGATGCACACTAACCTTCTAACTACTTTCCTGTATGTAGACAAAAATGCTGTAGAGTCTTTGCCAGTTTTTGGAAGCTGAGGAGGAATTAAACAATGGGCTCTTATCTGCAATTTTGTTTTTGGCATCTGGAGAAGAGAGTTAAACATGAGCAGGAGTCTTTATTTAGAAGTAAATGCAAACTCCAAACCACCCAATTTCAGGTGGTCCTATGAACCTGTCCTCTTTTATAAGATACTAGCTTCCTGACACTGCAGTCCTATGCACCCTTGGAGCTAACTTTTATTGAACTAAGTAGGACTGACTTCTGAATAAACATGCTTTGACTTAAGCTGCACATCTGTAAGTCATAACAACTGAAATATTTTAAAAGCACCCACCTTAGTATTATTACTTTAAAACTAGCAAATTTAGTTATTTGCATAAAAAGTCTCCAGAGTCCTTCAGTGGAGGTGGACTGCAGAAAAAAATGGTTCATTAAAAAATGATGATGTTAGTTGACTTGTCTTGAGTGTCTTTGCAGAAGAGCTGACCTATGAAAGCCAATTAGGGTTTGAAACCATAATTATTTAGAAATGTTTTCTGAGGCTCTTTATTCTGTTGTGGCATGGACATAGTGTGGGAAACACCTTGCTCATTATCCTGTGACAAATTTCTTATCCCCTGCAAACAGCTTGAAGGCTTGGGAGCCCTCAGTTACTTCCCTTAACTCAATCAGTGCCAAGGCTTGTTTGGGTCAAGATGTTCAAACATTTACCCAGTGTGTAATCAATGTCCCTGGTCAACAACCAGGGATGATTCTAGTTCAACAGCTTCTGGAGGGCACAATGTTAACTGCTCTACTTGAGATTACTGCATTGCAGGGGGTTGGACTAGATGACCCTAGGGGTCCCTTCCAACTCTATGATTCTATTATTCCCCTGCATTATCCTGTGTTCATTCACAAATCCAGCTGCAGGTCACCAAATGGATTGCATTTCAGTGTTACATTAAATTTTAGTAATAATAAAAATAAATGTTTTTGTTGCTACTTGGCAGGTGTTGAGGTGCCATCCAAAGATTCTGTGCCAAAGAAAAGGCCAATATATGAAGACAAAAAGAAAAAGAAGCAACAGCAGCAGGAAAACAAAGAAGGTAAGAATATTGTTTCTGCAGTACTTTTAAAAATAAAGATTAAAAAAGGCAAACATAATGTCAGCCCTTCCTGTCTACTATGTTTTGAAGCACCCTCCCCTTTATGGTATCACAGAGAAAACTGGTATTCCTGTGTATCTTTGGGGCTGCATATTTAAAAGCCAGTGGAATTCTTGGCTGACTTTTAAAAAAAGAATTTGTATCAAGAACCCTGAATTTTCTCTAATCAGACTTTGTTAACAAGACTTTATAGACCGAATTCCCCAAAACTTCATGTTAGACTGGCAGTGATTGGTTCTTTTCTCAGTATTGTATACACTGAAGACTGGGAGGAATTGTATGCTAGTAAGAGTCAAGAGGCCTTTAATTACAGTGTATTTATTTTGAGAGATGAATTTTGCAGGACCAGTAATGTACTTACAGTTGCAGTAGTTTTGTTCTGGGCAAATACAACGCATCTTTGTGGTTGGCCTTCTTACTACAGCAAAGCTGTAGTAATTTTCTCTTGTAATTTTAGAAATTATAGAGTTGACTTCCCCAACTGAAGAAGCTGTAGAACCAGTTACACCAGTAAAAGAAGAGATCATTCTTCCAGCAAATCCAGGTCAGTATTAAATCAGGTATTCCATGTTGCTTTTATCTAAAGCAGTAATTCCCAAACTTTCCCCTTGCTCATGGACCAGTTGAAAATTGCTGAGAGTTGTAGCAAGCCACTTAATGATTCCCCCCGCCCCCATGTTGTAGAAATTGTAAAGCACTGAGGTAGAGGCCACATGATTTAATTTTATATTTTATTTATTTATTTAGAGCATTTGAACCCCACATTTCAGCCAAAATGGCTCTCTGGGTGGCTTACATACTACTAATTAAAACAAGAGGCCCTGCCTTCAGGCTTACAGTCGAAAAAGCACAGCAGGCAAGAGAAATGGGACAGGTAGGGGAGAGGAAAAAAGCAAGCTCATTCACCAGTTCTTAAATAGTAGCTCTTACAATGACCAGCAGCCATAGAAACAGTTCAGAGGCAGAGAGTTGCCTGATGGAACTGGTGTTTTGGCTGATTGGACGAGCCCTGTGTCCCATCTCCCACTGAGGCTACATGATGAAATGATGCTACTAGGTGACAGTAGGCCCATAGAATTAAAATCACAATACAATAAAGCATTATTTAATTTAAAACACCAACAATGAATATACAATTAGATATCAATATAAATATTTCATGTGGCATATGTGCCATCTCTTCTCTTCAACCACAAAACCACAGACAGGCTGTGTAACCACATACCACCTGAATGAAGCTTGTTGGCCTTTGGTGGTACCCAGACCGCAGTTTGAGAATCCTTGATCCTAAAGCACAGAACCAGACTTCTAAAAATAATAATAATAATAATAATTCTTTTTCTTAAACCTAATGTCAGGCCAGTTAAACCAGCTTTGGGAGCCAACTTTGAGGGTCAGGGGCACCATCTGGGCCACGCCCTCAAGATTCCACAGTGACATGCTCACGTCACACGTGCAAGTTGCATGTCATGCGTGTGACACATCAGCACGTTGTGTGGCATGTGTGCTGGCCCCCTAAATCATGAGGGGCAAGTTGGCACGTCTGTTGAGGGTACTCAGTGTTTATATTAAGCCAATGATAGAACATCTGGCTAATTCAAGTAGCTGTCCAGCCCCATACCTCCTCTGTAAACATATTGATACATTATCCTAAAATAATAATAAAACCTATTATGAAACCAGTTGCCTTTTAGTTTCAGAAGAAAGGGAGGAAGAGGAGCCTGAAGATACAGGATTAGATGACTGGGAAGCCATGGTCAGCGACGAAGAGAGAGAGAAGGGTAAGTGTCTTTTGGAAAAGCAATGGACCACCACCTAGGCCTGAGACCTCTGCTTCTTTTTGTTCAAAGCATAGCACTTCTCTCACAGAGTTGAAATGAGTGAACAAGCACAATATGTACATACTTCGGCTCCACCAAGTCCTTTAAACTGTTGCGTGATCCGCTTGGTTATTGGGTTTACAGGGTTTTCAGCCACTATCTCTGTAGTGCCCCACGCACTAAAAACATGAAGTGCGTGGTCCTATCAGTCAGCCAATAAAAATAAGTTTGAAACCAACCTTCCTTGTTCGTTTAATCAGCAGTTCTCAACCTGTGGGTCCCCAGATGTTGTTGGACTACAACTCCCATCATCCCTGAGCTCTGGCCTTGCTAGCTAGGGGTGATGGGAGTTGTAGTTCAACAACATCTGGGGACCCACAGGTTGAGACAGGCTGGTTTAAATGAATTCACTTAGCAGTATGACTGTGGACAAGGAGGACTTGGGGAAAAGTTGGGTCAAAAGCTTACCATGTTTATGTTTTGAACAATAAATTCTTCAGAATGAATGAAATATATATTTTCTATATATAAAGTCAATAATGGGGTAAGCCACAGTTTCACTTTTTGAAACACCTATACCTCCCTTATTGATTTTGCCGGTCAAGGGAAATAGGACTGCAATTCAGTGCAGGTCTGTCTGTGTTTGCATTGTAATATGTGGAAATGCAGTTCTGTACACAGGTAGCTGTATCAGAACAGAACCCAGGTAGAAGTAGCCTTTTAAAATTCGCATCTCCTGTCATCAGAGAGAAAAACTGTCCGCATTGAAGTCAAGGAGCAAAATGATGTGGACGACGATGGAGATGGAGACGGCGATGACGAAGAAGATGAGAGTGAAGAGTATGAAGACGGAGAAAGTGAAGGAAGTGAAGGTGAAGAAGATGAGAAGACTTCAGATGAAAGGGAATCTGAGCCTCAAGCTGCTGGAAAACAATCTGCAGAGAAAAAGCTAAGTAAAGAACTAAGCTCTGATTCAGAAGATGATTCGGATGATGATCGCACTAAAGAAGAACGTTCCTATGATAAAGCTAAACGGCGAATTGAGGTATTTGGTCACAATCTTTCTCATGTAGTTAATACGATTCGTTCTGAACAAAAGATGCTCCCTTTATTGCTCTCTCACTCTCTCTCTTGCTTACTTCAGTGTTCCTTTGAAACCTTTTCCATACCTTTGCTTCTTTGGTGAGGATACGCAATCTTGCACAAATTGTTAAGGAGAAGGAAGCGTTTACTGCTGAAAGCAAATGTCAAAATTGTGGAACTTTGTAGCTTCTGTTGAGTTTCCAGGGTGCACCTTTGCCCAGATAAATTGCACTCACTAGTTTATCATGTACAGTGGTGCCCCGCAAGACGAATGCCTCGCAAGACGGAAAACCCGCTAGACGAAAGGGTTTTCCGTTTTTGAGTTGCTTCGCAGGACGAATTTCCCTATGGGCTTGCTTCGCAAGACGAAAATGTCTTGCAAGTCTTGAGATTTTTTTTTCCGCTCCCCCCCCCCTTTATCTAAGCCGCTAAGCCTTTAATAGCCTTTTAGCAGCTAATCCACTAAGCCGATAAGCCTTTAATAGCCACTAAACCGCTAATAGCGCTAATCCGTTAAGCCGCTAATAGGGTTGCTTCGCAAGACGAAAAAACCGCTAGACGAAGACACTCGCGGAACGGATTAATTTCGTCTTGCGAGGCACCACTGTATTTTTTTAGAATAGGCTTCATTAAGTTGTCCAAGATGTAATCTTCCGCAAGTCTGTGGCCACATTGGCCAGAGACCATGGGACAGGCTACATGTAGCTACTTTGCTTCTATAACATTAGACAGGGTCAAATTACCCAGTTGTGTATATGGCCATATGGAAATAAAACCAGGTGTCCCAGTAAACCAAGGCTGCTGTTAAGAGCTTCTGTTGGGAACTGGCAAAAGCAGATTTCCATGTTTTTTTTCACCATGACCTTGAGGATTCTAAGTTTCAGCCTAGGACTACTGCCTTTTGGTGTAGATGTCCTGCAATCAGGTAAACTGTAAATGTCTGCTTAATGTGCTACCTAGGAACAAGTATTTAGCTGGAAACCGTGTTTAATGCTTTTTTCTCTGTTTACAATTATATGTTTGAGTTAGGGGTAAGGACTCTTCGGCATAATTTTGAACACTCAAAATTGAGTTGCTTTCCTGTTTAACTGTCTTCATTTCTTTTTCCTTTTGACTTTAGTTGACATTGTTTGTTCTTAATTCTAGAAACGTCGTATTGAAAACAGTAAAAATGTGAATACTGAGATACTACGAGCACCTGTTATTTGTGTACTTGGACATGTAGATACAGGGAAGACTAAAATTCTAGATAAGGTAAGGCGTAGGTGGGTTTCACAAAATTGCAAGCTTTCTGCTAGTTAGCTAACAATTTAACTGCCTGCTTCTACTTAAGCCTGAAATTTTGTAGTAACTTGTGACCACTTAAAATTGCTTGATTCAAAACTGTCACCCGTGCCCTTTCAAAGCATATATTAATCAGCTCATCCAAGTCGTCATTCTTGCTCCCCCCCCCAATTATTCTGCTTTTTTTTTGTTTCATGCAGCTCCGCCATACCCATGTACAAGACAGCGAAGCGGGAGGCATCACTCAGCAGATTGGTGCAACTAATGTCCCCCTTGAGGCCATTAATGAACAAGCAAAGATGGTGAAGACTGTAAGTAAGATCTTTCTCAGAACTCCGTTGATGTGCTTTGAGAAGGAACCATTGAATTATATTATTTCTAGCGACCTCTCCTTTTCTCCACATCTCTTGTTGGAAGCTAGCACAGTTTGAGTTTACGTTTGTTTGTCCTTTATTTAGAATGGACCTATTTTGAAAAAAACCTTTATTGGCTGAAAACATCTACATTTGCAACATCAGTGCCTTAAAGTTGAGGTTCATGGTTGGCTACTTTGTTGCCCATCATTCTTGTGAGCTGGAGTTGCCTCCTATGTTAGTGGGGGCTTCTCAGATCCATAGCTATTTAGAAAGGCAGTAGGTTTCAGATATTATCTTGCCTCCTGTGCTCACATACTGTTGCGCCACAAGTCTAGCTAGAAAGCTCAAATGGGGGCCTTGTCCTCCTATGCCAGGCATGGTCAAACTTGGCCTTCCAGATGTTTTGGGATTACAACTTCCATCATCCTTAGCTAACAGGACCAGTGGTCAGGGATGATGGGAACTGTAGTCCCAAAACATCTGGAGAGCCAAGTTTGGCCATGCCTGTCCTATGCTATTTCCATTGCAGCACCTTGCACTGAAAGCTGTTAGTCTCTGCTCTAGAAGAGGAGCTGCATCAAGTTAATGAAAACTTAATGATGCAAGTTTTGTTTTTTTTAAGTACTATGATTATGTAGATTGTGGATGGATTTCTTACATTGATTATGTAAGAAACCATGGCTAAAGTTCAAAATTATTGCTTAGGATATATACACTATCAAAGCTTTGGTTTGCATAAGTTTCAAGGTAGCCAATATTTCGTAATGTTAGTTTGACAGAGAGACGGTCAAGATTCCAGGAATGCTGATCATTGATACTCCAGGACATGAGTCTTTCAGGTAAGTTTGCAATATTTATATCTGGGAGTTTACCATATAATGTTTGAATACATCTATACAAGTAGAAATTAGTTAGATAATGTTCTGTGTGCCTTTTGTTTTCATTTCTAATAGTTTTGCCAAACACTTCTACAGGATAGAATTTGCTTTAGAACAGCTACCTGTTCCTGGCAATTCTCTCTATCTTTTGCCCTTACTTATTGAGTGTACCTTTCCTCCTCAATGTTGCAGCAATCTCCGAAATCGAGGAAGCTCACTATGTGATATTGCAATTCTTGTAGTTGATATCATGCATGGTTTGGAGCCCCAGACCATTGAATCCATAAACCTGCTGAAGTCTAAAAAATGCCCATTTATTGTGGCACTCAACAAGGTAAGATGACTTTTACAGTCTTACTGATTCTGCCATAAGATCGTAAGAAGAGCCCTGCTAGATCTGTCCAAAGGCCTAGCTAGTCCAACCTCTTACTTTCAACAGTGGCAAACTAGATGCCTCTGGGAAGTCCCCAGGCAGGACATGAATGCAATATACCACTCCTTCTGCTGTTCCCCAGCAACTGTTGCTCAGGCTAATGTTCAGGCATCGGGCCTAATGGCCATTTCCAAATGCCTTTTCGGGTTTTTTTAAAAATGTGTGTGTCTTTTACTGTTTAAAAATATTTATGCCAATTGAGTGCTAAATGTTTGTTCTATCAAGGGACTCTCCTTCAGGAGCAAATCCTGTTAAGTCTGCTTGCTTTGCAAGTTTATCCTTGAATTTTAGAAAGGGAAGAGCTTTCATCCTCACTTCACTCCTGTTGAGAAGCTTGCCACTTGAAAATACTGTATTGAAAATAATGTTTTTTAGGGGCAGAGGTCTCCCACCCTTCAAATCTTGCAACTAGGATGCATAGGAACCTAGAGGTTATTGTGTAATGTTTTATTGCGTTTTTATGTATGTCAGAAGTCACTCAGTGGCTGGGGTAACCCAGTCAGATGGGCAGGATATAAATAATAAAATTATTATGTAATTGTTTCCAGGCATGAGAGTTTCATTGAAATTACCCATCTTGAATAGCATTTCCATGACTTCCAATGGATGGATCTGATTCACATTGACATTTCTTTGCTTGGAAAGAGCAGCTTTCTTCATTTAAAAAAGGGGGAACCCTGTATGTGCAAGGAAGCTGTGCATTTAGGGGCAGATGGCTCTCTGGGGTGATATGACTCCTCTAGATACTTCATAAATGTTTATTTTGTCTCTTATTTTTATCTGTAAGTCACCTTGAGTCCCTGGCAGGGAAAAAGGTGAGGTATAAATAATAATGACATTTGCTTGTAGATTCCCTACAGTTGCTGTTGACTTGCATGGCTCCTACTGAGTAGCATAACATTCATTCAATCAATCAATCAATCAATCAATCAATCAATCACAGAGACGTTTCTGGTTCTGATTCTGATCTGATTTTCAAGATTGATAGGTTATATGACTGGAAAAAGAGTCCCGACACAGATGTAGCTGCCACTTTGAAGAAGCAGAAAAAAAACACAAAGGACGAATTTGAGGAACGTGCAAAAGCTATCATAGTGGAGTTTGCACAGCAGGTCAGCTGAATTACTATCATTGCTTCCGTTAGTATTTAAAATGTATTTTGGTAGTGGGGAGTCATGCAAAGGCTCCCAAATTTTTGCTGCTGCCTTATTAGCCAACCAAAAATGTATTGACTCTCCCAAGACCATCTGTTGTGCCTCACAAGTGTGGCATGAGGTTAGCAGAATATCTTCTTCTCTTTTTTCCAGCTCTATGCTTGGAGCTGGAGAGAAGGATTCTCCTCCAAGCTTCTTTCTGGAGATGAGAGACTGAAGCATGTGCTTTTACATTGGCACCTGCTGGAGGGTACCTATTGGGTGCAGAGGCAAGTCCACGTTTCTTACCCTCTGTCTCCAGGAGGAGAAGGTGGTCTTTTGCCTTCTCTTCTTCTGCACCTGAGGGGGCACTTGGAGGAACTGTCCAGAGTGGAGGCAAGCTGATATGCTTCCATCTCCCCACTCCTGCCCAGAGATAAAGGATTCTTATGGCTCTCCGTTTAAGCGTGGCAAGCACAGAGCCTAAACAAATCTTAGACTCTGGAGCTAGGGAGGGAGCAGGGCAAATCACACATCCCATATCGCTCCTGAGTTTGGAGAAAAGATTGGATTCCTCTCACTTGTCAAGGACTGGCTTTCCTCTCTCAAATTGGCAGCATCTGGTGGGGGGGGGAGTGAGGTTGTTTCACCCTGATTATATGTGGTTGGAGAAAAATATTGGTCAGTAAGGAAGGGTTTCAGGGAGAAGATGAATTTTGAGAGGGGATTTGAAGAAAGAGAGGTAGCTGCATCATGTCATATGTGTTCTGGAAGCGGGTTCAGGGTATTTTTATATAGATGCTACCTGGTGTTTATACTCTTTCTCATACAGTATAGTATTTATTTAAAAATTTCTAATAGAAGTTTGATATTTGGTCTAATAGTGTTCAGTGTTTTCCTGCCCTTTTATTTGTACCAGATTCCTATCACACCTTTCTATACTAACTTCTTTGCCTCTTGCTCCTTCCCCTAATGCTGTGCTTGTGGTTTTAGGGCCTGAATGCTGCCTTGTACTATGAAAATAAAGATCCCCGCACATTTGTCTCTCTGGTTCCTACCTCTGCTCACACTGGGGATGGCATGGGAAGTCTAATAGCTCTTCTTGTTGAATTGACGCAAAACATGTTAAACAAGAGACTGGCACACTGTGAAGAGCTGAGAGCCCAAGTTATGGAGGTAATTTGATATGCATCTTTTGATCTGGATTGAAAGGAAACATTCTTTTTGTTGCATGTGGATAACCTGCAGCCCATGGGCAATAGATGAAACCCTCAGAGCCCTTTCATGCATCTGGCACAGGTGCCCATGTTGCAACCCTGCCACCAAATTTACATTTGGTCTCCTCCCTGCCTGAGCAGGCAAAGAAGAGAGCTTTATGAGTGTAGGAGTGTACACCTTGCAGAAGCCTTTTCTGCCAGGAGGGGGAAGGAAACAGATAGCAGGGAGAGAAGAGCGCTTCTGTGGGGTTGGAGAAGCAAAGCAGACAGAGTTGATGTAAGTTGGGAGTCTGAGATCTGGGGCAGCGGGGTGGGGAGTTGACGGAGATTTTTTTTCTTCCTAGGAGAAAAGTTGTTTGACTCACTGTCATCTAAAGTGAGGAGATGAAAGGCAGATTACTGAGAAAATCAACAAAGGAGGAAAATTTGAAAGACAATTTTTTTGGAACATGATGTGTGTGCCTGTGCAAGGCTTTCTGCTTGTGGCCTTTGGAGAGAAATGATTTGACTGTCTTCTGTCTCTTAGGTCAAAGCACTTCCTGGTATGGGTACCACAATAGATGTCATTTTGATTAATGGTCGCTTGAGAGAAGGAGATACCATTATAGTTCCTGGAGTAGAAGGTCCCATCGTAACGCAGATAAGAGGCCTTCTGTTACCTCCACCTATGAAAGAACTTCGAGTGAAGGTAGGCAAGCAGCGTGTGGAAACACATTCTCAAATTAACTACTAATGCCTAATGCTATTCAGCAGAAATGCTTGGCAGTTCACGCTCTCCCTCACCTTTCTGGAAAATAATACAAAATAACACTATTATTTCTTCACAGAAATTGCCCTTTGCAGGATCAGGACCATTGAAGGGAGGTGGAGCTTTTGTGTTCAATGGCCTCCTGTTGTTTTATCCATTTTTAGTCATGTGGTTTGCCAGTGTACTGCTGTTAGCAAAAATAACACCCTTAAATTCTGAGGGCAGAATAAGGCATGCAAATTGAGAGTATATACACAACTGTTGTAATGTTGTAGGCCTTTTGAGTTTGTGGTATGATATTTATATGAATATAAAATATGTAATTTAATACAAAACCATTCTCATAGCAATACACTCCATATATATTTGCTTTAATGGTCATATCTAAGTGCAGCATTGTAATATTTTTTCTGCCACAAGGCCACAACTTAAAGCTTTTTTCGGGCCTTGAGCTTTCGAAGCTATGATCCACAAATCTGAACCTGGAAATAATATCTGAGATATAAGCTATACAGAGTTACAATGTACATCTTTCTCTCCTTAGAATCAGTATGAAAAACACAAAGAAGTTGCTGCTGCTCAAGGAGTGAAGATTCTTGGAAAGGATTTGGAGAAAACATTGGCTGGTTTACCTCTGCTTGTAGCTTACAAAGAAGATGAAATTCCGGTTCTTAAGGTTAGGCATACATGATCTCTCTCAGAATGGAAATAGCTAGGAAATCTCAGTGTGAGATTAGGCTGCACGAGGACTATGCTGCTTGGAGCTTCATCATCAGAATAACAACTTTTTCAAGGGGAGAAGTCAGACTTTTATTTCCAGGTAGAAGAAAGCATACCTCTTTGATTCAAAGAGTAAAAGTAAAATAAGCCAGTAATAGGGAAAATCCGGACAGAAACGTTGTTGAGCCAGCTTTAGTTTATGAACATGCAGGCAGGGTCATGCCTTATGAGAAGTAATGATTGTTCTTAATAGACGGAATACCTGTGTTTTGAAAAGTAGATTGCTATAAGGTACATGCTGCTCCATCTTCTTGGGTAAGCTATTAACTATTCAGGTTCTACGTAGAATTAAAAAACTTGTATACCTCAGATGCAGTTCTGCATCCTTTAGAATCGTGCAAGAATTAAACTGGAATCCGTGCTGAACTTTTAGGTATTGCAGCATGCTCTTGCAGGCCGTGAACATGCGTGTTTAAAATTATCTGCTTTCAAACTCACCAAAGCTACTTGAATTCATTTATTGTACTTCTGGAGTTTCCCCACTTGCTTCTGACCATCTGTTCTTTCCTGGGACACAGTGATAACTACTAAGTGTGGGCAGTGAACTGTCTGCTCCAGGGATTGAGAGGGATGACTTGGAGTTTGATTTGTGGCATTTCTGTCTAAACCTTTTTTGCAGTGATGTGGTAGGCTTAGCTGTTAAGGGTTTGCTTCATATACTGCCACTTCATGGCATGAAGAAAGCTTTAACTTCCAGTGCTGTGATCCACAGATCTGAAGCTATAAATCATGTTTGAGATATAAGCTATACATAGTTATATTGTACACTGTGCCACATAGGGCTGATGAAGATATTGGGATTCTACTTGTACTGTCCAGATGATCTGTGAAACTTGACAAGCTAAGATAAGTGAGATCTCTTAAGATGTGCTATTTTTTTACATTAAAAGGATGAATTAATACACGAATTGAAACAAACGCTGAATGCCATAAAGTTAGAAGAGAAAGGTGTTTATGTGCAGGCATCTACTCTGGGTTCTTTGGAAGCCTTACTTGAATTTCTGAAAACATCAGAAGTGCCAGTAAGTATCCAATTTTCTACTTTACAGTCTTAAATTGCTGTACTCTGAATTGGAGCATATTACAGAATTGAAAACAGAGATTAATCGGACTTTTCCTCCCATTTCCTGACAGTATGCTGGAATTAATATAGGCCCTGTCCATAGAAAGGATGTTATGAAGGCATCGGTTATGTTGGAACATGATCCTCAGTATGTAGCTTTTTAAAATATACATTACTGTTACTATTTGTATAATCAAATTCCTGTCTTCCTCATCAACCTTACATTTTGTCTCCTAGGTATGCAGTAATCTTGGCATTTGATGTGAGGATTGAACGAGATGCTCAGGAAATGGCTGATAGTTTAGGAGTTAGAATCTTTAGTGCAGAAATTATTTATCACTTATTTGATGCTTTCACAAAGTATAGACAAGACTATAAAAAACAGAAGCAGGAAGAATTCAAGTAAGTAGCATTCTTGTGTTTATTTTTTTGCTATGTTGCAAGATGTACGTGAAGATTATGAGAAGGGCTTGTTAGTATCTGAAACTGAAGAATTTTCAAAGTCATTTTCTGAGCTACTTTTTTTAAAGCTAGGGACCAACTGTATATAGGACAGGATTCAAACAACTATGCATGGAGTTTCTGTACGCCTACTAGTGCTTAGAAAGGAGCAGTTTGGCATGTTGTAAGGAACTGCAGCTGGCAAAAAAGTGCAGAAAACCACCAGGGAGGTCTGTCAATGATATAAGTACTTGAACATATACATTAAGTTATTAAGATCTCTAATGCAAGAAAAATTAAAATTCTGAACCGTAAGAAATAGCATTTTACCCTGGGTGTTTTGGTATACAATTTGAGTAAATAAATACCGAACTTTTCCGTGTATAAGACGAGCTTTTTTTTACTGTAAAATGATGTTCAAAAATGGGGGACGTCTTATACACGGATAGTGCGGGGGGGACGGGTGATTGGTAGCAGCCATGATCAGGAGCTTGTCAGCTGTGATTTTGTGGGTGATTGGTGGTTGCGTAAAGTGCTGCTTTGGATTGGCTGGTGCTGCGGAAATTTGGTGGGTGATTGGTTGCTGCGGCAAGTGTTGCTCTGGATTTGCTGCTGCTTCGGCGATTGAGCGTGCGTTTCCCATCTGCTGTTTGTGATGGTGCAGAGGCATGAGTTTGGCAACGCAAGTGATTGTCAGCTTTTGTAATTTGGGTTAGTGGTTTTCGGCATTCCCCCCTGAGAAAAGCTCAACAACTCTGGGCCATCTCCCCCCATTTTCTTAAATTTGAGTCCCCAAAAATAGGGGCATCTTATTCGCTGGAGTTATGTCAGAATTTTTTTGCTGGCTCACTCAGCTGTGTGAGGGACAAGTGATCTTGTTACAGCTAGTTGCTGTGTGTTGTAACTTAGGCTACTAACTCCAGCACCAGGTGCCCACATACTCCTAAAACTATTATTGTTCACTCACCTACTGCAATCCAGGTCTTGTTGATCATTAAAAAAGATACCTGCTCATGACTAGCTATACTATGACAAAGATGCACATCCCACTGAAAACAATAGAGTACCAATACAGTGGTTCCTCTGGTTACGAACTTAGTTCATTCTAGAGGTACGTTCTTAACCTGAAACCATTCTTAACCTGAGGTACCACTTTAGCTAATGGGGCCTCTCGATGCCACCGGTGCGCGATTTCTGTTCTCATCCTGAGGTAAAGTTCTTAACCTGAGGTACTACTTCGGGGTTAGCGGAGTCTGTAACCCAAAGTGTTTGTAACCTGAGGTTTTTTTAACCCACTGTACGCTGTACGCATTACTGAGATGTGCATTGGTTGTGCAATTGGATCCACTTCCCAGTCCAGCAAAAAGTATACACATAGACTCCTGCTGGATAGCTCAGTTGGTCAGAGCATGGTGCTGATAACTCCAAGGTTGCAGGTTTGATCCCCTTATGGGATGGCTGCATATTCCTGCATGGCAGGGGGTTGGACTAGATGACCCTCAGGAACTCTTCTAACTCCATGAGTCTGATTTATGTATGGAGCTTTTTCATAATCAAAATAAACTTTGAAGCAAGGGCTGATTTGTAGAATGACTAACCATAGTGGGTGGCTGTCTGCAATCATTTGGCACACAGAAGGTGGTAAAATTCTCCTCCTTAGCACTTTGTAAAAGATTACAGGTAACCCATACAGTTGAACAACGTAAGATGCCTGGTTGTTTAGTACCCTGCCAAGTGTTAAGGAGGATTCTTGCATATACCAGGTGCAGATATAATGTGTAGAATGGATGCCTTATGGGCTAATAAGAGCAGCTTACCATGTTTTTACATGTACATCATGGCTACTACTTTAAAAAGTTATCTGTATCCATGTTTTACTTGTGTTTACCAAAACCTGTTGTTTTCCCCCCCTATAGGCATATAGCAGTATTTCCTTGTAAGATGAAAATACTTCCTCAGTTTATTTTTAATTCTCGAGATCCTATAGTGATGGGAGTCATTGTGGAAGCAGGTCAGGTAAAACAAGGAACGCCCATGTGTGTACCTAGCAAAAATGTGAGTATTCTGTTTTCTTAAACTGAGTCTTAACAGATGGCAGGCTGTGTACTGGCCAGAGTCAGGATATTTGCTCTCTTTACTCTGCCTCTCTTAATATTAGTATAGTCTTAACTTACCATATGGAATAACTATAAAGCAGGAATGGGTGATCTGTGTCCCTCCAAATGTTATTACACTAACAACGCCCATCAGCCCCAGCCAGCATGATCAGCATATTTCCCATTTCTGCCAGGAGCAAGGGTTGTGCATAGTAACCTTCCAGCGTTAGCAGTAGAGAAAACGAACAGCAAGCAGTGCAGTGAATGTAGGCTAGACTAAAGTGTAAGTTTGGGCTGCGTAACAAATGTTTCCTTCATGCTTACATGTCCCTAGATCTAACTTAGCCCTGCAGTTGTGAATCTTAAATTTGACAAGACCTAAATATTTTCTGAAATAATTAAATGCATGAGTAATGGAGCCAATTCAAATACCGACTTAACAACTTGCCTAATCTAAAACTGACCACCTATTGACTAAAATGTTTTCAGCCCAGACCGCTTTGCCAGTGGTGGTGGGTGTTTCGCTATGTCTGAGGTCCACAGATTACCCAACTCTGTTTTAAATCATAATCAGTATTACATAATAAAACAGCGTTTTTTATGCACAATAGAGAGAAAACTTGTATGTGGCAGTTTAGAATTGTATCTCTTAAATACAGTCATAGCTGTAGTAGCCTTAAACAACTTAGGAGCTGTGTTCTTGAACTTGCATTGTGGTATAAATGTAGAGATTATAGGGTAGTTTTCACTTGACAAACTCAGTCAGCAAAAGCCCCAAACATGGAATTCTACTTGTGTAAAAGGGGCTTTCTGCGCCTCTCCTCCCCCTGCGCCCTCCAAAATTGGCTCAAAGCAGACAGGTATGTTCCAACTGGCAAGCGAAAATGCTTGCACATATAGAACATTCATCATATGCCATGTTGAATTCCATCCATGTACTCCTAGAAACAAGGCCTGGTAGGTGTAGCAGGCCACAAGGTGACTCAAGCCTGGGAGGAGTCCCCCTTGCCAGCAGCAATCCTCAGGAAAGTGATTAATACTGGTGTGAGTAGGAACCTTTGTACAGGAGTCTCCATTATGGTCTTGGTAATATTGCTATGGCTCCCTTAGTTCTGGAGGGTAATGAAAGAATCCATATTGTAATCTTCTATTGTAGAATCTCATTCATATTATGCTAGTAGATGAGCCAATAGAAGATTGGCATATTGATTTGTTATGATTGTATATAGATTTCTAGCAGCAGCCAAGTTTATTTACTGTGTCTACTCTAATCCTCCTAGCTGTGTGTTTCTATAAATTAGTTGGGTTGCTAATAAAACTTAAGAGCTCTAAAATGTCCTGTGTTTCTGTTGCAGTTCATTGATATTGGAATAGTTACAAGTATTGAAATAAATCACAAACAAGTGGATGTTGCAAAAAAAGGTCAAGAAGTCTGCGTGAAAATAGAACCTATTCCTGGTGAAGCACCTAAAATGTTTGGGCGCCACTTTGAAGCAACAGATATACTTGTCAGCAAGGTAGGTGCTTATGTTGTGAGTGGGATGGGTTCGCATTCTTCGAAAGACTCAGTCACATGTTGTGGACATCAAGGAGCAACCCTGTGTGTGCGTTTAGCAGCTTCTGGTGGTGCACCAGCTGCTCCCTTTCCTGAAAAGGAATGCGCTAGCCATATTAAATCATGCTTCAGTGCACTCTTTTATTGTGCTCTTAACAATTGGCTTTTTCTTTTGAAGTAGAGTGTTGTCCTTGTAAGCGTGTTTAGTTACATAAGCTTAGTTTCATGGACATGCGGAATGAGCACACAAGTTTGTACCAGTGACATGCACCCCAAAGTGCTTATTTATGGCATTCTCAGTATGGCTAAACAGATTAGAGAATCAAGCCAACATTCAATCCACCTGCAGTTTTACACTGATGAAATTGTTATAGAAGTTTAGAGGTAGGTAACGCGAGTTGCAGTGCAGCATTAGCTAGAGGGCTAGAGCTTCCATAACCTTTACATCCTTCCATCAGAAGAGTTGTGGTGATCTTAGGATACCCCCTTCTTTGGCTGTGGCAAAGCTGTCCTGGGACAGATTCAAAAACAGCAGAGGATACAGAATGAGGCACTGCATATCAAAGTGTCTTTGGTGTTTTGAGTTTGCTGCTTGTCGGCCTCTAGTTATATAATTCTGAATATTATGAGTTTCAAATTGTTAGCTGTCTTGTTATCCCCTGTTTTAGGATAAACACATCTTTTCATGATGAGATATGTATTTATTAAATATTGATGGTAAACCATGATTGTATTTAGCATATATGCTACTGTAAATATGCAGCATAGTTGATTCTTGCTTGTCTGTTCTGTCCAGAAGGATGTAGTTGCACAAAACATCTCATTTATGTGCTACCAGGACTTATCTGACCTTAAGTAGCTCACATATGATCAGGCATGTCCGAGTACTAAAAGTGGTTTGCTCAAATCTGCCTAGTTAGCAAAGTTAATTTGCACTTGCTTATTCATTTGTGTTATCACAATGTGTATTTTGTGTTCTATCTGCAGATTAGTCGTCAGTCCATTGATGCCCTGAAAAACTGGTTCAGAGATGAAATGCAAAAGTCTGACTGGCAGCTTATTGTGGAGCTAAAGAAAGTATTTGAAATCATATGAAGTTCTTTTAAGCAATGGGCAAGCTAGCATAAACCCACAATTCCTATTACAAAAATCACCAACAGCAGATTATAATGAATGTGCTGTTGATTAACATCTGGGGGGAAATAGGTGGATAAAATGTTTTCCATGAGAAACCAAGTAACTTTCACTGGTTTGACAGTGGTCAATTTACATGTCCCTGTGGCTCCAATGTGCCTGTGCCCCCACTGTCCTCCCCTTTATACTGGCTACTGTTTTAAAGTTTGGCCTTCCCAGATCTCTCATCTGAAATAAAAAAATAATAATTTTTTATGACAGAACTCAACTTTCACTTTTATACTTGGTAAGATCAGTGCTGCAGTATTTGATTGACCAAAGTCCTGCAGAGGTTGTGATTCTTGGAATTTTTTTGATGTAAGAATTGTTTATTTATGCATACCTCTTTTTGCCCCTTGATTTTTCAACATTCTTCTGCTTTGTGCCTATAGGAATTTTTTAAGGTAGAAAAATTAGGCAATTGGGTATCTGTGTTTGCTTTGTGTGAAACAATGATGTAAAGCATAGTTGGCTGCCTTTGCTTGCACAGTTTGTCAAACTGTAATAATGTTGACCTGCAAAATAAAGGAAAATGGACATTATCCTGTTAAATTACCTTCTAATAAAGGCAGCACAGCATGCAACATGTATAACTGTCAAGTTAAATTGTTACCAGTGGCTGATCCTAATAATTCGTTCAGCTGCAACTTAATTGATACTAGATATGACTGCTGCAGTCTTGTCTTAACTGAACAGTTCTTGTAGAGCTGTTTGCAGTATCTGGTAAGGGGACTAGTAGATTAACACTGCAATCCAGTATTTATAGCCACTGAATTCAGGGGGACTTATTATTGGGTAAGTGTGTACATAACCACAGTCTAAATCACCTTTAGGATGGTGCAAGCTAGAGAGGATCCCATGTCATGTGAGCAGCACTGCTGAAGTTACATACGACATGGAAGGCAGATCTTGACGGGATCCTACATGCAACTAAGGAACTAAACATACCCACAAACCCCTAACCCTTCTTGGTTATCTAGTTGCAAACATTCAACCATGTGTGTCCCCTCACCCTTGTAACTGCAGGGATGCAGACACTCATGGGTGAGTGGAAGGGAAGGTAGAACTTCCCACTTCGGTCCCTACTTCCCAGTTCCTCACTGGCCCCCAATATCTACTAGTCAGATAGGACAATGAAGCAAGGTACAGGTAAGCCAACAACAGCATCCTTTCCACAACAACACAGCCAGTAAGTCTGGGATAATGGGAGGGCACCACAGTGGATACAACTGTGTTAAAGAACACTGTGCCATATCTCACTGCATATCTTTAGCCTCTTTCACATGCAGCCTTCAAATATTTCACTGGGCTTTTAATAGCAGAATCACAAAATAAAACGAAATAAGCTGTGATCATTAGGATGTTGAAATTTGCTGGAATTTATCCTATACTTACATGAAACTGGAAGCGAGCACTGCTTTTAGTCAACACAGTAGAAGCAACACCTAGAAACTCCTTGTCTGCTCCTAAAGTCACTATGCAAACAAGCAAACTTTGGAAAAAGGTTATGAGGATGAAAGAGTATTTTTAAAAGAACTGTATTTCTGTCATACCACCACTTTAAACAGGTATGTTTGCCACTGTATGGTGTCTGTAAGCTTGAATGGATAGAAGTGGAATATATAAATGTTAAACATTAATGCTATTTTATCGCATCATTGAGTTAACAGTTGCTTGAAAAACTTCTCAGAGAGTTACCTCTAATAGAACTGGAGCACTAAGACAATAGAATCTGTACAAATTACATACAGTTCTTTATTAAACAACTGTAAACACTTCACTGTAAAAATCCATAAAACTTTTATAAACCAACATTTTGTAAATAGATTCTATACTACAATAAAAGAATTTGAACACAGTTATTTACATGCAATACTGACAAATTTTGGCACTTTCTTGAAAGGAAATGTACAAAACACTTTCTTCTTTAAAAAAAAGTCAACTTATAAAAACGTAGCTTTACTATCATGCACTTTGCAAATACCTCACAAGCACTTATGGCACAGCTACCAGAGGGCTCCAGGCTCTCACCACATCCTTCCTATAAAATCAGTTCAGATAACTTTCAATGTGCTTCCATAAGTTTGTTGCAAAACCACTTGAACGTTGTCAAGAATGAAGTCAAACGCCATGTTCCAAACCGATTCCACGGACTGCTGCATTAGCCTGTAGGGGGGAAAACATGTCTACTCTTAGAGACTGATCATTACCACCACACATTTTCATAGCTTTGCAAAGAGGGGAGAAGGTGCAATAGCCAAGAGCCACCAACCTTTTGGGGCCCAGTATCTATTTGGAAACGTCTAAGACTCCCATGGGCAATAAATGCAGCCATTTCACAGAAGAGAAATGAGTAACTGAAGCAAGAATAGCATGATGTGGCTTCAAACCCAGTTTACAATGCTATTTTGCACTAAGGAGCTGCTTGGGGAAGGAGCAGCTGCAGATCCCACCACCCAGATAGATTTTCCCAGGGCTGAGCTGCTCAAGCTCTGGTTGGCTGATGGTAAGTATCAGAAGTTGAAGTCTTTCTGCCTATCTCCTGGTCTGTTCCCTCACCTCTAGTGGGGAGCCTGGCTGTGCTTGGTTGGTTCACAGCCATGAGGTAGGGTGACATTACCCATTTTCCCTTCCTAACTGTAGCACCAACTTCAGTCTATTGTCTACCAACATTAGATAGAGCATTCTATTCCTCCCCACCAGTGCACGCTGAAATTCCCCTCAAATGAAAAATGCACATGCACATACAGAACTGAATACCACTGAAACAACCATAAATACAATCCAGAAATCCTATGGTCTCTTGGAGGATGATTCATGGGCAAAGCAAGGACTTGCTCTCCCTTCCCAGAGAGTCAAGACAAAGTGCTCTGCCTTCAGAGGATGATCCAATGCCAGATTGCCACCTCACTACAGTGGAAAGGGATGTGCCAGGAGAAAGCTTGAATCCGAAGGACCCAATGTCTTCCTAGTCCCAACACAGGCACCCCGAAAAGCCTCCCAGAGAGTGAACTATACTAGCCTTGGAGTTCATTTCTGTCTTATTGTCCCCAAAGGGAGGGGAATAGTATAAATTTTAAAAAACAAACAGAAGGAACACAAAGGCACCCACTTCTTATTTGGTAGGGCTTTGCATGAGGGGTTCAACTTCTTTCACTGACTATGTTTGTTTGTTTGTTTTGAATGGTTGGCAACAGTGGAGGGTGGTTCATTAGGGCTACTGGGGAATGGCCCAGCCAACCTCAGTCTGCCCTCAGCCACCCCCCACCTGCTTGCCTTCTTTCTTACTAGTCCATAGGGCAGCACTGCCTATTGGCTTCCTCCTCAGTCTCAGTGTTGCCCATGCAGGGCAAGAGCTATGGGGACAAACATTACCTGCCTCCACCTGTCGTTGGCTATAGTTCTGCCTGTCAATGATTCTAGATCCACCTACTGTTGGGGTCCCTACCTTCCCAGTCCCAATGGGAATCAGCCATGATGGGTTGGCAGATGGAAATCTCTCTTGCTGTAGAAAGAAGCACTAAATGGCAAGCCTATACAAGAACGTATGAGTGCACTTCCTTTGCCACTGCAGTGCAGCAGTGCCCCAACTCAGCTGCTGCCAACTGGGAACCCTCTGAACCTCCCTTTGCTACAGAAGAGGAAGGTGCTTGGGTGTCCATGGCTGCTTTCAAAATGCTGGGGAGGAGGGGAGAAGAACTAGTTTCAATGGCATTTTTAGTGAGTGTCAGAAGTATTTGTCTGTTTACAACTCAAACTTAAGGCAAAAAGTTCACAAAGGACATGGCATTGCTGATGTTCTGATGAACATATCTACCATGGCAGCGTGACACTGGAAAACTCAATAGCCACAAACAAATGCTACAATGAGAACAAATGCCCAAATTCCTTGCAACAAAAAACCCAATAAGCGCATGGAAAGACCTTTAGTTGGGAAAATGAACAGAATGAGTAGAATGAGAATTAACACTTCCCCCACCCATCAAGCTTTCATAATTGCCTTTTTAGATGGATAAAGAAAGTTCTATAACAAAATGTGAATTGGTAAGACCCAAAATTAAGCTACCTTTTCATATATTTGATGACCAGATCCAACTTTTCTAAATCCTTTTCTTCTATCAAATCAGTACAGTACTTCACAACTTGTAGGATGTCTTCCTCCATGGGATCTGTGAAATGAAATGGACAAAAATTTAATGCATTTTTACCCTGCTTGTGGTACTGTGGCTCACAATAATAAGAGAGACATACACAGGTCCTGCCACTAGCCTTACATACTACAAAAGACCCACAAAGTAAGGGAAGTGGAGGTAAAAAGTAAGAAAAGGGAGGTCAATTTTCCAGCTAGGACAAAGTGAGCTATTTGAGGGATGCCATCCAGTTCAGGCCAGGATGATCTTCCCCTCCCTGGAGCTCATCTGAATAACAACTGGTAGTTCCTTTTCCTTTAGTCAATGCATGGGGTCTAGTGTGTTCATATAGGGCTATTAAATACAATCCTAACCCCACATACCTAGGAGTAAGCACCGATTAATTCAACAGGACTTGCCTTTGAGTAGATGTGGTCAGGAATAAATGTGCTTTCAGTCAGGAAGGGTAGTGTGACGCACACATTTATAATCTGCTATTATTTGGAGGCTGCTGCTGTGGCAACTAAAGCCCTCCTTGTATGAAGATTCCCTAGCCAAGTAAAGTTCTATCTCTACCTTTCCCTTCTTGGAGAAGGTTGTTCAGTGAAACCTCCTTCAATCCTCAGGCAAACTCATCTTTAGATCATGAACTGTCTGGCTTTTGGTGTGAACACGGCATTAAGACTGCACCTGTACTCCTGACAAACTATCTTTATCCACAGATCAATATGGAAATTTTTACCTATTATTAATCTTGAGCTGTTGATGATTGTAGGATTTATCAGACACTTGCGGAGCCACTGCTTCCTACAAATAGTAACCATCTCAAGTCTGTAATATCTGATCATTATGCAATTTGAAACCAATGTTTTAGGAGATACCATGGCCCAAATGATGCTTTCAGAAATGTGAATGCCCTTGGAACACTACAGAAGAGTTACGTGAGAGCCCATCTTTTGCCAAGCAACAAAGAGAATAAGGCTGCACATGCTTATTACTGCTAAAGTATTACTTACTTTTCCCCAGTAAGATGATGGAAATAAAATTATACAGTGGTACCTTGGTTTTCGAACGTAATCCGTTCCAGAAGACCGTTTGAGTTCTGAAATGTTCGAAAACCGAAAACTCAATACGGAAAACAATAAGGAAGCCGCGTGGCATGTTTGACTTCCAAGGCGTGCGTGTTCAAAAACCGAAGCATTTACTTCCAGGTTTACAGTGTTCAAAAACTGAAATGTTTGTCAATGGAGACATTCAAAAACCGAGGTATCACTGTATTTGAAAGGAAAGAAATAGGGGTCCCTAATACGCAGTGATGTCTGTCAAATGGCAATTAGTGGTATCCAGTAGAGAGACAAAGCCTTCCAGTTCAGACTTTTAAATGATAATTCTATTTCTTTCATTGGAAATATTTCCATAAAAACACAATTCAATGAAATAACTACAAGCTTACCTGCTATGGTTGTAATCCATTCTTTGAGTAAGGCTTTTACATCATTGAATTCAACAGCTCCAGCTAGATTAGGGGCCTTAGTAGCGCCATACAATAGTGGCTGTGAAACGGATGGGGTGGAAGTATTTGCTGTGGTTTGTGCCAATTCCACCTGTTTATGAACAAAATACACAAGTAGTACTGCACATGTGGATTTTTTTCTTCTGTATTCCCAACTCCAAACCTTAAAAAAGCAGCTCAAGCACTAAAAACCTCATGACAATACAAGCAAACAATAAAACATTAGCTTAAAAATATTTGAATGCTGTATTTATTTGTGATAAAGTTACCTGAGAGTTGTCAGTGATTCCTCCTTCCTGCTTCAAGAAGTCATCTATTAATTTTTGTGGGCTCCCAACAGAACTTGCCATACTTTTTGCAGGACTCCCAAAGAGCTTGTTTTTTAAAGGACTGTGGTTCTTTTTTACTGGGCTGACCTGGTTTTTTTTCCTACTTCTTTTCTTGTTTTTCGTAACAGGCTTCAAGTTCGGCAAAGGATTCTTTGCTAATGGGAATAAAAGGAGTGAGAGTTATTGAGCACATAATGACTAAAGAGATGGTCCTCACTCAGTTATTTCCATTACAGTGAACATTATTTGACAAAGTTCTACTACAGACTTACCAGTGGTACTTTGCTGGAAAACTGCCCCTATAGGTTTCTGTCTTTGATCATATGCCTGTCTCAGCTCTTCCTGCAACTCTGATGGTAGTGCAGCAAAAACTTCAGGGTCCACCTAAGCAAGGAAACATCCATCTGTGGTCATACCAATGGTGTATAACATTGATGTTTACATTTCTGACTTTTGTCTCATTTATGAAATGGATTACCGTGGTACCTCTTGTTACGTACTTAATCTGTTCTGGAGGTCCGCACGTAACAGGAAACCTCTCGTAACATGAGGCGCACTTTCACTAATGGCACCTCCCGCTGCTGCAGCGCCACCAGAGCGCGACTTCCGCTTGCATCCTGGGGCAAAGGTCGCAACAAAGGGCATCTACTTCCGGGTTAGTGGAGCGTGTAACCTGCAGCATTCGTAAGGGGGACGCTACGTAACACGAGGTACCACTGTAATACTCAATGTTTATAATAAAACATCAGTCTAAATTATAAAAAGCACTGTGCTGTTTGTAACTTTAGACAGTACAAATTTCTTCAGAGCAGGGAAACTAGAAATCTATAATCCCTGAGCAAATACTTTATTACTAAATGCAAAGGTCTACTAGTGTGTTATCAAACACATACTGTCATTCACCTGTGAAAATGCTGGCAGTGCTATTACATTTATTCCGGTATCATTGCTTGGTTCTTTGACATCTGGTATTTGTAAGAGAACTGCCCCAACAGGCTGTGGAGGAAAACTAGTATTGTATCCATTCACAGGCTCCTTCTTGCTACTATCGCACGTCTCTGCTTGCTGAAGAGAATACATTTGCTCTATTTGATCTCGAAGATCAGGTGGGAGTGCTTCCAAAACAGACTGATCCAGCTATGAACAAAAACAACATTCATCTTTCAGTTTCAGAAGAAATGACTTTTAAACACACACATCTGCAAGGAGGAGAGGGAGATTATGTACAGTGGTACCTCTGGTTGTGAACGGGATCCGTTTCAGAGCTCCGGTCGCATCCCGAGGAATTCTCAACTGGAGGGGCTGCTTCTGCACATGCACGCAGGGCGAAACCCGGAAAAATACTTCCAGGTTTGCTACGTACGTATCCCGAAGGATACGTAACCAGAGGTGAACGCAAGTAGAGGTACCATTGTATTATTTTGTGCTTGCTTAATTGCACAGATACAAAAGGCATAACTGAAGAAGCTGTTTCTTCCCCTGTACTAGTTATTTGTGTTCTAATCAAAATTAATGAAAGAGTTTGTATGGGATGTTACGATATGAGAGCAACAGGGTGTACATTTTCCATGCTGGGAAATGTCGCCTATCTAGATCTCCTGGACTGCGGGGGATTGCAGCCAGGGCAGATCACCGGTAAACAAGCTCCGGGAACCTGCGAGGGGGGCCAGCCTCTCCCAAGGGGGCTTGTTTTTCAACATGGGATGCATATTTCATTTATGGATCACTTCCCATGGAGCATTCTACACTAGCATATTGTTCCTACAATCAATGCCTAGGTGTAGCTATACCACATTCTATGCACTGTTGTGCTGATACAGCCAAGACGCAGGGACAGCTTAAAGGGACAGCTCTCTCATATGCTAGTGACCAAAAAGCTATCTGCACAGCAAAAACCCATACAGAAGCCATTAACAACTGCAAACAACTTATCCATCCAAGAACATGTGTTTTGCATATGTTCTCTTGCAGGATTTTATATACTGTACTTTTAAATTAATATTTTATCATTGTTACAATATATTTTCCATACAATATATCTAACAAAAAGTTAAATTAACCAATTTAGACATAGCTCCTTCATTCCTCCGTTTGCACAAGCTGCAATTAAGCCAGAAAGTGTTGACCATAGTTTCCCAAATCAGGATCCTAAACCAACTTAAACCATGTTTTAGGATCCTGACTTTTTCAAAGCCAATAGCTATGATAGCCTGGTTCAGACAAAACAGGAACCCGTGGCTAATTAGTGACTAACTGCATTCAGGAAAGCTGCAAAGGGAGAAACAAAGGCGCTGCATGTGTGAACAAGCGTATCTTTTATATCCCAGCTTATTAAGCTATGATTGTCCAAACTGGGCCAGATTTAATCCAAAGGATAATGATTACGAAATTATTACGGTATTGTCTGAAGAAAAATATAGCTTCTCCACAAGTTTAATATCTCATAATCTTCCCTACAGATTTCAACTACATTGGGGAAACTACACTGGGGAAAACTAACTGTTCCCATACCTTAGCAATACACATTTTGCAGTATGAAGGAGGTACTGTACAACCTTTCTTTCTAATAATCTGTGAAAAACAGCCCAAAATAAAATTCTAAGGTTCTCTCAATATAGGTCATGTCTGATCATTCTCTCCAAAAGGTTGAGCTCTGTCAGTGCCACCCAGTATGCATCAAAGCTCCTATGATCCCATAGTTTTCCCCAAACAGAGCCGTGTTTTGATCAGATTACCATCAAGTATGAAGCAAAACTCAGCCACTAGATTCCCCCTTAAAAATGGAATATTAACTCTAGTTCAAAACCATTCTGCCCAACAGAAATGCTAATGGGTACAATTCTATATTCTTTCGCATGGCAGTAAATCCCATTAACCTTTAAAAATGTTTACTTCCAAGTAGACATGTATGGGACTGCACTTTAAATGTAGTAATGTGTTCACATCTATTGCTTGAGGCATTCCAAAGACTCATGGAAAGTATCACACACTGGGTGGGAACAGAATAAAAATATGGATCATATCCATTATTTGTTTTGTATTAAGAAAGAGCAAGAAAAACTTCAGACCTTTCTTTACATTGTTCTTACCAGAAAGAAAATTTTACCTGGGAAGGTGATGGTACCTCAATACTTAAATTAAGTCTTGATTTTATACTGATAGGTGTGTGCAAACCATTCAGACTGACTACAGGCTCAGATTTGTTGGCAACACGATTGGCATTAGATGTCAGAGACGCTGGAATTGTACATGCTTTTGATGTGGAAGATATTTCAACATCCACAGCAGCCACAAATACTATGAATGCAGAAAAAAGACAAAAGTTTAACTGTTTAGAAATACTTAGCACATACAATTAAAGGAGCCTGACTACTCTGTTTTACTTTCTATTATTGCAAAATTACAAGTTATTAATGAAATACAAAGAAGTTATCAATAAGAAAAATGTTTACAAACAAAAATGTGTAAAACAGTCAATAAGAAGCCGTGAGAAAGGAAGCACAATTTCCATTTACTGACCTTCCTTGTGCTGCTGTTCTGAGTTTTTTATTCCTTTTGGTACTTGCAGAAGATCAATGATGGAATTAGCTCCACCAGGTAAAAATCCAGAATGTACAGCTGAAGTTGTTTTATTAGCTGGAACTAACTGATGTACTTGAATTCCAACCTAAAAAGCAACAAAAGAGCACATTGTTTCTAAAGAGAAACCATTTTCAACAAATTATGTAGCTAATATTTTAAACATTACTTATAGGAGAGTATTTAAATTCTTATAATATAATAAGTAAGCAGTATACACGATAGCTTTCTGTTTATGGTGACCAAGAAGAACCAAACATAAGTATAATAAGCTCAACGAAGTCTAAAAATGGAGATACTGGCCTTTCAAAACAGGTTATTTTCAAGAAGTCTTTGTGATATTACTCAAGAGTTGATATCTCCATTTAAATAAAAATATTTGGACTGTCACTGTCCAGTCTCTCAAACACTTCAAGTGACATTTTAATTCAAACCAAAGTACTAACCTGATCTGTTTTCAATGACGTTGATTTGTAATTTTATCACCCTGCTTATACTGTAACCTTAATGGAAAAATTGAGCTTTGTTGTTGTTGTTTAGTCGTGTCCGACTCTTCGTGACCCCATGGACCAGAGCATGCCAGGCACTCCTGTCTTCCACTGCCTCCTGCAGTTTGGTCAGACTCATGTTTGTAGCTTCGAGAACACTGTCCAACCATCTCGTCCTCTGTCGTCCCCTTCTCCTTGTGCCCTCCATCTTTCCCAGCATCAGGGTCTTTTCCAGAGAGTCTTCTCTTCTCATGAGGTGGCCAAAGTATTGGAGCCTCAGCTTCACGATCTGTCGTTCCAGTGAGCACTCAGGGCTGATTTCCTTAAGAATGGATATGTTTGATCTTCTTGCAGTCCATGGGACTCTCAAGAGTCTCCTCCAGCACCATAATTCGAAAGCATCAATTCTTCGGCGATCAGCCTTCTTTACGGTCCAAGCTCTCACTTCCATACATCACTACTGGGAAAACCATGGCTTTAACTATGCGGACCTTTGTTGGCAAGGTGATGTCTCTGCTTTTTAAGATGCTGTCTAGGTTTGTCATTGCTTTTCTCCCAAGAAGCAGGTGTCTTTTAATTTCGTGACTGCTGTCACCATCTGCAGTGATCATGGAGCCCAAGAAAGTAAAATCTCTCACTGCCTCCATTTCTTCCCCTTCTATTTGCCAGGAGGTGATGGGACCAGTGGCCATGATCTTCGTTTTTTTGATGTTGAGCTTCAGACCATATTTTGCGCTCACCTCTTTCACCCTCATTAAAAGGTTCTTTAATTCCTCCTCACTTTCTGCCATCAAGGTTGTGTCATCTGCATATCTGAGGTTGTTGATGTTTCTTCCGGCGATCTTAATTCCGGCTTGGGAATCATCCAGCCCAGCCTTTCGCATGATGAATTCTGCATATAAATTAAATAAGCAGGGGGACAATATACAGCCTTGCCGTACTCCTTTCCCAATTTTGAACCAATCAGTTGTTCCATATCCAGTTCTAACTGTAGCTTCTTGTCCCACATAGAGATTTCTCAGGAGACAGATGAGGTGATCAGGCACTCCCATTTCTTTAAGAACTTGCCATAGTTTGCTGTGGTCGACACAGTCAAAGGCTTCTGCATAGTCAATGAAGCAGAAGTAGATGTCTTTCTGGAACTCTCTAGCTTTCTCCATAATCCAGCGCAAGTTTGCAATTTGGTCTCTGGTTCCTCTGCCTCTTCTAAATCCAGCTTGCACTTCTGGGAGTTCTCGGTCCACATACTGCTTAAGCAAAACCTTGCTAGCGTGTGAAATGAGTGCAATTGTGCGGTAGTTGGAGCATTCTTTGGCACTTCCCTTCTTTGGGATTGGGATGTAGACTGATCTTCTCCAATCCTCTGGCCACTGCTGAGTTTTCCAAATTTGCTGTCATATTGAGTGTAGCACCTTAACAGCATCATCTTTTAAAATTTTAAATAGTTCAGCTGGAATATCATCACTTCCACTGGCCTTGTTATTAGCAATGCTTTCTAAGGCCCATTTGACTTCACTCTCCAGGATGTCTGGCTCAAGGTCAGCAACCACACTACCTGGGGTGTACGAGACATCCAGTTCTTTCTGGTATAGTTCCTCTGTGTATTCTTGCCACCTCTTCTTGATGTCTTCTGCTTCTGTTAGGTCCTTTCCACTTTTGTCTTTTATTATGGAAATCTTTGTACGAAATGTTCCTTTCATATCTCCAATTTTCTTGAACAGATCTCTGGTTTTTCCCATTCTATTGTTTTCCTCTATTTCTTTGCATTGCTCGTTTAAGAAGGCCTTCTTGTCTCTCCTTGCTATTTTTTGGAAATCTGCATTCAATTTCCTGTATCTTTCACTATCTCCCTCGCATTTTGCTTGCCTTCTCTCCCCCGCTATTTCTAAGGCCTCGTTGGACAGCCACTTTGCTTTCTTTCATTTCCTTTTCATTGGGATGGTTTTAGTTGCTGCCTCTTGTATAATGTTACGAGCCTCCATCCATAGTTCTTCAGGCACTCTGTCCACCAAATCTAAATCCTTAAACCTGTTCCTCACTTCCACTGTGTATTCATAAGGGATTTGACTTAGATTGTATCTTACCGGCCCAGTGGTTTTTCCTACCTTCTTCAATTTAAGCTTGAATTTTGCTATAAGAAGCTGATGATCTGAGCCACAGTCAGCTCCAGGTCTTGTTTTTGCTGACTGTATAGAGCTTCTCCATCTTTGGCTGCAGAGAATATAATCAATCTGATTTCGATGCTGCCCATCTGGTGATGTCCATGTGTAGAGTCGTCTCTTGTGTTGTTGGAAAAGCGTGTTTGTGATGACCAGTTTGTTCTCTTGGCAGAACTCTATTAGCCTTTGCCCTGCTTCGTTTTGAACTCCAAGGCCAAACTTGCCAGTTGTTCCTTTTATCTCTTGACTCCCTACTTTAGCATTCCAATCCCCTATAATGAGAAGAACATCCTTCTTTGGTGTCATTTCTATAAGGTGTTGTAAGTCTTCATAGAATTGGTCAATTTCAGTTTCTTCAGCACCAGTGGTTGGTGCATAAACTTGGATTACTGTGATGTTAAAAGGTCTGCTTTGGATTCGTATCGAGATCATTCTATCATTTTTGAGACTGCATCCCAGTACAGCTTTTGCCACTCTTTTGTTGACTATGATGGCCACTCCATTTCTTTTACGGGATTCTTGCCCACAGTAGTAGATGTGATGGTCATCCGAACTGAATTCGCCCATTCCCGTCCATTTTAGTTAACTGATGCCCAGGATGTCAATATTTATTCTTGCCATCTCATTTTTGACCACATCCAACTTACCCAGGTTCATGGTTCTTACATTCCAGGTTCCTATGCAATATTTTTCTTTCCAGCATTGGACTTTCCTTTCGCTTCCAGGCATATCCGCAACTGAGCGTCCTTTCGGCTTTGGCCCAGCCGCTTCATCAGCTCTGAATCTACTGGTACTTGTCCTCCGCTCTTCCTCAGTAGCAAGTTGGATGCCTTCCAACCTGAGGGGCTCATCTTCCAGCATCATAACTTTTATATGCCTGTTGTCTTTGTCCATGGAGTTTTCTTGGCAGGGATACTGGAGTGGCTTGCCGGTTCCTGCTCCAGGTGGATCACGTTTGGTCAAAACTCTCCACTATGACCTGTCCATCTTGGGTGGCCCTGCACAGCATAGCTCATAGCTTCTCTGAGTTATTCAAGCCCCTTCGCCACGGCAAGGCAGTGATCCATGAAGGGGAAAATTGAGCTTAAATAATAGTAAATACTTTTGCAGAAGAGAGAGAGAGTGTGTGTGTGTGTGTGTGTGTGTGTGTGTGTGTAGGAGCTTGGCAATTTCAGTGATTTAACACTTACCCCTCTCATATCAGAAATATTCAACTTCATCGTGTGAAACATGTTCAACATTTCTTTACCAATCACTTTGGCACTATTTGTTGCATGGTCGAGAGTCACAGTCCTACAAAGAACACACATTTTAAAATGCATTAAGTTCCTGATCAATGGCTACTACTTGCAATAGCTATACACTACTCCAGAATCAGCATGCCTGCAAATACTAGTTGCTAATGATCTATCAACCATGGGAAACAAAGGTAAGGGGGATATGATAGAGGTTTTATAAACTTATGCATGGTGTGGACTGTGCAATTATAGAGTTTTACTATTATGAGTGGAAGAGAAAAAGAACTCTAAAGCATCCAATGGTAGGAGATTCAACATAGGCAAGAGTAAATACTTCTCCAAACAGTGTTTCACTTGTTTTTAATTTATTTTTGCTTTTAACTTGTTTTTAATTTTGTATGATGTTATTGTTTCGTTTTACGTTTTTATATTGTTAAACGTTTGCAAAGAGACTTAGACATGCCTTCTGCTGATGTCCAGGAATTTATTAAGAATTCACTGTATAGTTAACTTACAGCATACAGTAGTACTAATATACATGTCTACTTCAGAAGTAAGACTCTTTATGTTTAATGGGGCTTGCTCCCAAGAAGTAGGTAAAGGATGGCAACCTATGCTTTGGTTTAGGATTGGCACTGGGGAAAATAGGGCTCTTGTGCCATTAAAAAACTATCTTCACAACTGGGAACAGCAGGACACAGTTAAGTCCCCATGTTAAGCACGAGATTATGGGCAGAAAATTAGCAATGATTATACTCTAATTTTATGTTATGCCCTGCCCCCTTACACAGGAGCCATTTTTGTCATGTCATGTCATGCCTCCATGGCAGCCTTTTTTGACTGGAGCGCTCAGCATTCTCTGAAAATTCAGAATGTGTTCCTTAGTCCAAAGAGCCTAAACCCTATGTACCATACTTGCTGACTGAAGGAAAACCAGTATGTAAGTCATTGAACCATTTTTAGAAGTAAGAAAACTGCATAAAGCTTAGATTTGTAACCAGGATAGGGAACTACAGTCGTCCCCTAAATGCTTATACTATGATGACAATGTTTTATAGGCTCCTGTCATGGAAAGGCTGTAGAACATGACAAAAGAGAAGATCAGCAGAGTAGGTTGTTTTAGTCAGTTTATTGTCCACAATTAACTAGCAATTTAATTTTTACAAGGCATCTTGTATATCCCACAAAAATGTTCATCTGTTATGCCATTCACTGAAGCAAATCAGAAACAGATAGGTAAAATGTATTAGATTCTCATGCACTAAAAAAGAAAAAGTACCTGCTTAGAAGTCTAGGACATAACACCAAGAAAGATTATGTTCAAGTTCACATTACCAGTACTTTACAGAACTAGGTCTATAATTATTTGAAAAATTGTTTACCTGGCAATACTGTCACAAATTCCATGGCCTCCAAATTTTGCAGGTTCTATTGGGGCCCCAGCTTTTCTGGCCATAATTTTGAGAGTTAATCGTTTGCCTTTCATACCAGCAGCTTCCAATCTACGTTGGATCTCTTCTGAAAGACTCAAAAGGAAAGCTTCTGCTTCTTTTGGCTAGAAATAGATAAAATGGGTTGTAAAAAAGTAAGGGGGAACAGTCTAATACTGAAAGTTGTACTGACAGAATTAATCCAGAATATTTATAAACCATAGGCAGGATTCACAAAACAAGCTGCGCCAACAGACTTAGAATCTTAGAATCATAGAGTTGGAAGAGACCACAAGGGCCATCGAGTCCAACCCCCTGCCAAGCAGGAAACACCATCAAAGCACTCCTGACATATGGTTGTCAAGCCTCTGCTTAAAGACCTCCAAAGAAGGAGACTCCACCACACTCCTTGGCAGCAAATTCCACTGTCGAACAGCTCTTACTGTCAGGAAGTTCTTCCTAATGTTTAGGTGGAATCTTCTTTCTTGTAGTTTGGATCCATTGCTCTGTGTCCGCTTCTCTGGAGCAGCAGAAAACAACCTTTCTCCCTCCTCTATGTGACATCCTTTTATATATTTGAACATGGCTATCATATCACCCCTTAACCTCCTCTTCTCCAGGCTAAACATGCCCAGCTCCCTTAGCCGTTCCTCATAAGGCATCGTTTCCAGGCCTTTAACCATTTTGGTTGCCCTCCTCTGGACACGTTCCAGTTTGTCAGTGTCCTTCTTGAACTGTGGTGCCCAGAACTGGACACAGTACTCCAGGTGAGGTCTGACCAGAGCAGAATACAGTGGCACTATTACTTCCCTTGATCTAGATGCTATACTCCTATTGATGCAGACCAGAATTGCATTGGCTTTTTTAGCTGCCGCGTCACACTGTTGGCTCATGTCAAGTTTGTGGTCAACCAAGACTGCTCTCAAGCCAGGTGTCACCCATCTTGTATTTGTGCCTCTCATTTTTTTTGCCCAAGTGCAATACTTTACATTTCTCCCTGTTAAAATTCATCTTGTTTGTTTTGGCCCAATTCTCTAATCTGTCAAGGTCGTTTTGAAGTGTGATCCTGTCCTCTGAGGTGTTAGCCACCCCTCCCAGTTTGGTGTCACCAATTTGGTGACTTCTGCTTGTGCAATGGGGCTTTCCACCCATGCCCCAAAATTGGCTTGGGGCAGGTGTTGCTAGAATTCCCAGAAAAGTACCCAAGAGAGGGGAGATATTTTCATCTGGCGGGCTGAAATGCTTGCATAGACAGAATGGAAGAGCACTGACCCTTTGCATTCATTTTTTATAAAACATATTAGTTGGCTGACTTGGTCAACTGTACATGCTTTCAAACTTCCTACCTTCTCCCTTAACTTAAACAGAGCAACACACCCTTACATAGAGTGAGGGTGAAATTTGGCGGATGCGCCCAGGGCCCTGCATGAGCAAAGAGTGCACCTTAGTACACACCCAACATTTCTCCTACAGCTACGCATTACAGCGAGTGTACTCAGCTATTGTTGACAAGAACTCTCTAATGGTCATGCAAGAAATCCCAAACATTATTTGAAAATCACTGTTATACACTACTTATGGTCAAGTGAAATAATATGCTATCTGCCTAAAGGTCACACATTTCGGCATTAGGAACACAGGGAGGTTATCAGACCACTCCATTTAGTTCAGTATTATCAACAGTGATTGGCAGTGGGGCTGCAGGATTTCAGAAAGGGATCTCTTCTAACTATAGCTGAAGAAGCAGGGGTTTGAACCTGGGACCTTCTGCATGTGAAGGAGATGCTCTACCACTGAGCTACGGACAAGAATTAAACATAGAAAAAATGCAGCTAAATAGCTACATTACAGACAAGTTATTTTAAGATACTGACTTATTACTGCACAAAAGTTATGATTATTTTTACCTGGGTAAATCTTATACCATAGTTTATCTCAGCTGAAACAGATTTTCTCTCTTTCTCTCTTTGAACCGGCCTATCATCCAAACCACGGCAGAATCTGTAGAGCATTTGTCCTGTTTTGGGGCCAAATTCTTTCTGAAGCTTTGACATTGTGACACACTGCAGATCTCCACAAGTTTTTATACCCAAAGATGACAACTTGGATTCCATTGTCCTACCAACTCCTGAAAAAATAAATACATTTTTACTTTTGAAGTCTACAACTGGGAAATGTAATTCACTTAAGAAAACCAACGTGTATTAATATTTATGAGTGCCCAGAAACTATTAGTACAACAAGCAACAGTGATGCCAAATTCTGGCATTCACATTTCAGCAAGCAACTAGAAACACCACATATTACAGGATCTAAAATAATTCTGAGCTTTAAGTAAAAACACCACTAGAGACTGTAAAACACCTGAATGTTGACATATTCAAAGGGTACAAATGTGTTCTTTTGCCTTGCTTGTACATTTTATAAGAGATAAATAGCTCAAAATGAAAATGTTTTAAGCCACAGCCACTCTCAAGCTTTGGAGAGTGTTGTATGCATTTCTCACCCAGCATGATCATAAATCAAATGCTTATAGCAATTTAGTAAGGGATAATCACTTTCAGAGTTGTGTTCCACAGGGCAAAGTCTTGGGAGGGGAGCTGAGAGAACTATGACTCTTTATACAAAACTGGGAGTGATTATACTAGCATAAATTTACCTGGAAGATAGCTAGTAAGCTGGCTTCTGATAAAATCATCCACTTCTTCTGGCTTTAAGTGATATTGTCCATCTGGCTTTGCTCGGCGCGTTGCCATTCTAGCCAGCAAAATGTTTGAACCTAAAAAAATGACAAATAGAATGTAGCTGAATAAATTCCAAATTGTTATTAAAAATATTAATTCACACTTTGGTATATCACCATCCTGGAGAAGAGGAGGAGGAAGGTGGATCTCAAAATTTATGCCCTCAGACTTGTGAACACAGGAAGGCAGTTACAGCACCAGCCAGGACACATGTGATGTTGTTGTTGTTTTTTGCTATAAACACTAGCTATGCAATTTCCTTTGGTAAATGAGAGCCTTTCTTCACACTGCACATGGTTTGCCTATAGAATTTGCTACCACATAATGTAGTGGTACTTGGGCGGCTTTAAAAGAGGTTTAGACAAATTCATGGAGGATAATACTATAAATGGATACTAGCCATGACAGCTATTACTACCCCCAGTGCCAGAGGCAGCATGCCTCTGAATACCAGTTGATGGGATTCACAAGTAGGGAGATTGCTGTGGCACTCAGGTCCCATATGCGGACTTCCCATAAGCATCTGATTGGCCACTGTGAGAGCAGGATGCTGGACTACAAGTGCATTTGGTCTAATCCAAGATGATTCTTATGTTCTTATGAATGTCAGTAGCAGCTACAGGAGAATATGAAGAATTTATGCATACTGCACTAAAATGTGGAGGTGGTTGCATGGGGAGGGATGAATGGAATTCTGTACTCCAACTCCACTAGTGACATCCAAGTGTCCGTCTGGTTTTCCAGTGTTCTGAATCCAGTGTACAGGATCCACAAGCATGTCAAGCTGAGAGCATGGAAGGCCTGAAGCAGGGAAATGATTCTGCTGTATCCATCCATACATTCAATGTAGGATGTGAAAAGTGATAAGGATGTGTGTATATTAAGGTGTGCATTAATGATGTCATTATTTTATCTGCAGAAGTTTCTATAATGTCAATATTAAGAAAAATATTATGGTGATGAACAAGATAAAACCAGCAATAAAATTACATTCATAAAGTAAGGACAAAATACATTACAAATCAGTAGATTAGCTTAATACATCAATATAGCTGGATTAACCCTCATCTAAAGCCCAGGCAAACATTTGTAATAAATGCACATTTGTATTAAGTTGACATTTAAACCCATCTTAACATTGTTTAGATTTTTTTTTTTTTTAGTATAAATCATGAACTAACCTATTCCAATGGAAGCAGGACACTTGGTCTTGGCTTTTATTTCAGAACGGATAACACTTGCTAATTCTTCTGCTGTCAATCTGGTTTCTGCAATGATTTCAGTGATGTCAACTAGTGCTTCATCACAACTGACTGCTTCAATGTTATGAGTATAGCTATCAACACAAAGTAAAAGAAAGTGAAACAACAGCAACAGTTCACCAAACACGGGACAAATAAAATCTCCCCAACTGTCTTATCTTCTAGTTCTGTGGAACCTAAATATATAACTGTGCACTAGAAAATTCATAGGTAATACTACTTTCCTTCTTAGGACTAAATTCTTGTTAGTACAGTGTGAGCTCGAGAAGTTTTACTGTAGTCTTATTCCAAGTCTTATTCCAAGCATTTGACACCATCGTTTCATTAACTCAAAGTAATATTTAAAGGGTACATCAACAGAAAATCTGATGCATTAGGACCAGTCTAGATGAGATGGAAACACGATGCCTCTGCTCAGATAAACAAGTGGGGAAATGAGTTCTTCTTTTTACCCAAAAGGGGAAAGCAAATGTGGGGAACTGAACCATCTACCCTTAACTTCCCGGTACCCTGACATATTATGAACTTCTCTCCACCTCATGAGAAGGGGAGAAAGTTCACCTCACCTCACCCACACTCAGTTTTTAGCATGTGAAGTAGCTTCAAACATTACATTTTTAAGGTGAATGGGCCAAACAACTGAATAAGAAATGAGGTATCAAGCCAGGTCTAAGTTTAGCTCTTAGAATTCCAGGTAAACACTATTTTTTAATATAACATTCAAATATGAACTAGGTTCTCCAAATCCACTGGGAATTCTTTACCTGGTCAGCCAATGCTGAATCAAACTGATCTTGAAAATCCTATTTTAAAAATACTCTGGTGTGCAACCTCTAAAGAATCCCCCCCATTGAAGGTTTTGTTTCCAAAGCATGTAGCATTACAAGCAACAGTCTAAAGGCAAACTCACAGATTTCTCTTAAATTAAAACAGAAAGACATGTTAATGAAATGTCTGCAGGAGCATCTGAAACCACATCAAAAAGAAAAATAATTAATTTCCCAATACTTGTTTTACCTTGCCAGGGTTTCATACATGCTTTGTGCAACTTCTTTGTATGCCTGAAAGTCATAGGGCACAGCATGAAGATTTGGACACAATCGTCTTGCTTGTCCAAAGAACATTCCATTCTTTATACCAACTTGCCTAAAAACAACCATAATATTGGTTTAATGTCAACAGTCTATAAAGTTAAAACAACTACGGATTTGGAATTTTTCACTGTTCTTGCACCTGGAGATAATAAAGTGCCCTCAAAGAAGCAGATTACTGATACATTACAAAAGTCAATGTATGTAAATGTGAGACCAGATGCCCAAGAAATTGCTGATAATGGTGGTGAAATCCTAACAACAATATATCAGACCATTTACTGTCACGAGTTAGAACTTGACTTTTTTCCACATTGACTTTATATAAGGAATGTACAATGCTTCTGGCAACTAGCCTGGAATCAAATCTCACAGTGGTCTGGTCAGCACAATACACCATACAATTTAGAAGCAGAAGAGTGTGGTGCAACAAATGGAAATTTTGCCTCTTTTACAGTAGGCTTCTTTACACATACACACACACTCCTCTCGCTATTCTCCAGCCAGGCAATTAAGATGTATTTTTGGAGATCAGGGACAAAAACAGAAACTAAGACTGAGGAAAATTGCCTTGGCTGAAGACAGGAAATAAATTGGAGTTAAGGTCTTCAAGGGAATGCTTACTTCCTAGACTTTGTGTGCATTCCCCACCTTTGGATGCTAGGTGGCAATGACATTCCATTTGACGAACTATCATCCAGGGACAACACAGAAGTGAGGCACAGGCACAAACCCCTGCTATTCAACTAACCTGGTGCACTAGCTGGAGCCTAACCCCATATGTATAACTTCAGAGTTACTGAAAAGCAGGGCGGGTTCCACAGAGATAAATCACAGTGAACAAGTATGTTTTAGGGAGCAACTTGAAAATGAAAACCCAGGAAAATAATTGTCTGCCTTGGGGAAGGGCATTTTAGCGAGGGAATGAGGATACATATGCTCTCTTTGAAGAGCTGTAGCATGAGAGCTGTTCTCTCATCCTCTTTCTTCTCTTGTCCTGAACATGTGACGTGGACATCTACATAGGAAAATGAGAGGAAAAGCTGCAATTCACAACTCACTAACAGGAAATAGTTTCCTCTTACCTGGCTTCATAACTGCAAGATGCAATTTCAGCCATTGATGGCACAGAGATTTCCAAGTCAATTCCATTCACTTGCGTAGACTCTGGATTATCTTCATCTGGTGAGTCCAGTTCACTTGCTCCTGCTTGAGAAATATTTTAGCTATATTGTAGTTAATGGTTAAAAACAAATTACTTTCATAAGAAGTTAATACAATATTTAAAGTTATTTTATTAAAGTAAGGGTAGCAGTGTTGGCCTACAAAAATTAATAACCACAATGCATATTAAGGAATTACCTTTATTACCAAAATACCACAAAATTGTGTTTAAGCTTTTGAGTTTTCCATAACTCTTCAACAGACTATATGGTAGACTAAGCACTAAGGTGGGAAGGGTGCAACTGTGTTGCCAACATATAGGCTGCCTAGTTTCTTTCCATTTCTGTTTTCTACCTGGTAAGGAACATATGGATGGAAACAAACTTGGGTAACCGCCAGTTGTTGTGGTTCCAAATGGGGGACTAGCCATTATTAAACCTTCTTGTTCTCGGGAGGCCTTTGAGAAACCTGATACTGCATAGCACACAAACAGTTTTATTTGAATGTCTGCTGTCTCCTTCCCAATTTCATCTTGAGACTGATCGTATGCAGGCAACATGCCTTCAACATCAACTCATTTGTTTTTCCTTCTCTTGCTTCCCCCACCCCAAACCCAAAATGTGGAGTTTATCATCCAGCCTAATAAAGAGTTCTGAAGTACTCAAAAGCTTTCATGCTATTTTGTGAGACTTTCGTCAGCCAAATAAAAGTATTGCCCTAATATGGATTTGATAATTTATTAAAATAGATTTCCAATTGTTATTATCTAGCAATCTAAAGATTTTATGTCTGCATTCCAGAGTGATAACTAAAAATAGTAACAATTCAAGTTTCACTTCTCATAAATTCACAGTAGGGCCCCCCCCCAATATCCCACACAAAGGTGTAAGCTAACGACCCAAACAGAAAGAAGATTGGAATGTAGAGCCCAAAATGGAAGTCTTTGGTTTTTGGTCTACAAATTGGTTTCATGAGCTACAATTGTGAAAATCTTATGAGAAGATTTTCTAAAGCAAAAATGTCCCTCAGCAACGCCTTGCTGTTATTACTTATGAGGGTTCTATCTAAATGTTTCTCCTTTGCATGCTGATCTTGGTGAAATCCAAGTAGAAAGGCCCTTGTGAAAGCATACAACTTATGCTTGGCTCCTCAACCAACCCTGCAGAGTGGCAGCTTTTTTTCATGGTAGAAAGAGAGCCATGCACACATGAACACCTACTGCACTTTTCAAAGAACTCATTTCCCACAAATTTATTCTGTGGGGAATTGGAAAAGTGCTACCACAGTTACAAAGGGAAAAGCAGCTATGTGAACTTGTTAAAGTTTGGATTTAAACATAGCAAATATGGAAGATTTTATGACCGAAGTTACACTTCATCTATGAAATCTCCTTTTAACTTTGCTATAAAATAAGATTTTCTCCTACCCATCTTGTCTAATCCTTTAAGCATATTTACAGAGATACTTAAATTCAATGCAATGACTATTCCTTGTCTGAAAATAGTTACCTGTTATTAAAGCAGTACAAATAAAAAGAAAATGGGAATAACATATGCAATATGTAGTTCATTCAAGCACACTATTTAAACAGAAAAAACCCTACAAGCTCCTCTCATTTGATGGTCAACAACCTCCCTCTACGTCTAGAATTTCTTTTGCTCATTATTTGTCCAAAATATATGGCCATTTGAGATTACCAAACAAGAAACAAGCTTTTAAGTCCGAGCCAGGCAAATTTATGTTAAAGAAGTGCCCCTAACAAACTAACCACGTACTAACTATGAGCAAAACATACGGGAATGAGTTACAGTGTACAAGAACATGCTAAGTCTCTGTTGTACACAGAGATCACAAAGTACAGCTAGAGACCTACCCTAATACACTAATGCTTACTTTGAAAGAAGAGGTAAGTAACTTGGATTTGGCTTTCGTTTCTGCAGTCTACTACATTGAACATTAAGAGTTATTTCTCCAAACTGGTGCATTCTTCATTACTGCTGAATTGTGCCACAATCTGAGTTTGAAATGAATTATGATGTAGTCTTTACAGGGCAAAGAATGTAGAGGATGAAAGATGTGAGAGACAGAACATGAATAGGCTACTATCTTGACAGTTTAGCATTGTTGTATTGATGGGCTCATTCAAGTTACCCAACATATCTGCAACTGCAAATTAGAGCAAATTATGCCCCAAACAAGAACAATGTCTTTAGTCCATTTGCTCTTCCGCCCTGGCATGAGAGGTCATCATCTTGTCTATCTTCATGAGTTCGATGGGCTTCTCCACAGTGCAGCACAGTAGATCCCCCCTTAAGCTGATGGTCACTTCATGTAAATTCAGGGCAATGCAAGACACATTGTCCTCACTGGAATGCAAGGTAGAGAACCTCTCATCAAAAGTTGGAAAACTAGACAGGCGCATGGTGAATGTGGAGCAACGGATGGAGAAATCAGAGGCCAGGACCCAAGTCTGTGAAAAAGAAATCGCTGAGAATAAATCTGTATCTCACGTGATGATAAAAAAATTGTTGCTCTTTAGAATGAAAATTGAAGAAACTGGGATTTAGGGAAAGGAAGGCTAAAAATATTCATATCTTGAGAATGCTGGCAGATGAGGAAAGGAACCTAACCCATTGGCTCTGTGTGCTGATTTCCCTATCTCTTTGGGTCAGATAAGTTCTATCAATAGAACAATCATTACCTGCTCTCAAGGAGATACAGAACAAGAATGATAGCAAATCAAAGCAACACAATTGTGGATGGATAAAATTAAAGACTGGTTTTTAAGAGGCCCAAGATTCAACTGCTTGGAAACGTTTGTCCAGTAAGAGTGACAATAAAAGCAGGAACCTTCAATGAACAGGAACTTTGTAAAAGATGGGGCTGATGTTGAAAAAGCACCTATTTCTTGTCAAACTAACATTCACAGATCCTTAAAGTAACTGTCTCAGGGATCATTGATAAGCCAAGAGCAGAACACAGCATGGAGAATGGGAGGTATGAACAAATGACATGGTTAGTCATATGTAATAAACTGAAATTAGAATTTGTTCCAAATCATAGATGGGTGTTATTTAGAATTTGTACATGGATTACAAGAACAGAATTTACCAGTAGGTTAAAAAATAATTTATACACACACATCCAAAGCTTTTATTATGTTTCAATACCTATCATATAGGATAATTTATATATAGCAGACATTTCCATGATCATTCCTACGGGAAAGTACATGTATTTTTTCTGTATTTTTAAAAACCTATGTGCCGCTTTTAAATAAAACATTAGATTAAAATTATTTATATAGGAAATAACTCTTGAAGAGTCAACATGCTACTCATTGCATTTGTTTATCAAATTACCCACAGGTCAACATACTGCTGAAATATGAAAGTAGAAAAATCACTGAGAAATACAAAAATTCAAAATATGCATAAATATAAAAATCTAATTACCTACCAACAAAGTTTAAAAAATCATGTGGGTTATGTCAAGAAGCATACTTTTGCCAAGGTAAGGAATAATGGGAGTGATTTGAGAAGCCTGGTTCTATTCTCCACCATGCAATGGAAAGGCACTCTACACTGTTTTTATTCCAACATTCTTGGAAAGCGAAGCCTTGTATGAATTTGTAAAACTTAAATCAGCATGCATTGCAAGACAACACTATATTACGCAAGGTCCAAGAAGTGATAGGCATAATGGTAAGAATGGCACCTTCAATCCTCATCACAGTGAATACTGCTATAGCAAGATGTACACTGCTGCAGTGTTCCTGCATTATTAAGACAAAGCAAGTTCTGTGGCTCACGTGACTAAACTCATTCTTGTCAGCAAGATGGGTAAAGGAAAGGAAAAATGGGGATGCATAGGAGACTAGGATTTGTTATGGCACAGTAGCAACTATACCATGTTGTACCAGAAACCAGAGTATAATAATTGCTCTTATATACATCACAGTAAACTATGACGACAACAACAACAACAACAGCAGACTCTATAAAGGTACTATAATGCCACCAGAGGGCGGAGAAACTATCCAATCTTAGAGAGCAAGAGTAGCTTGAAGGTCCACACAATTCTCTAAAGTTCCCACAGAGGTACAAATCAAACTTTAATAATCATTTTTCATATAAACACTAGAAGCCTCTCTCATGCTATTTATTGTGCATGTTAAGGATACAGAAGAACAAAGTAACTTAAAAACCTGAGTGTAAATTCTACTACATTTCCACATATGCCTGAAATGTTTAAAGTAAGCACACTCTTTTAGTGTTATTTACAACAAGTGTTAAAAGATTGCATCTTGTGTTGTCAATATACTATGCATTGACAAACTATAGCTATATGAATGCCCTTGTTTTATTGAGGTGTTTTATCCCATTTATCAGCCCTAAATGGACTGTCAAGGCAGCTAGTACTATGGCACAGTACTATGAATGGAAAATATTATCTCTGAATATTCTGAAAATATGTGAAAAACATGAAAGCAGAACAACTTCTATAACTGTAGTTCTTCCCATTACCTTACTTTCCACTCTACTTTCCACTCCACAATCTGTAGTATTTATGACAAATCTCAATATGGTTATCTATCTGATCTCCAATAGCAGAAGCTAAATCTAGAAGTAATTCTGACTTGACACAGTGCTACTGATGCTGGTTGTAATTAAAGTATTTACATTGAAAAATACTTAGGAATGTCTGTTTGAGTATCTAAAGGACACAATACTGGAACAAATGTGACATATGTAGTGACACATTGTATCAGACTCCTGTGGCCCATTAGCAGATGAACAGAAGGGCTGCATTTGTGAGTTGTCCCATCTGTTAGATCAGCCAGGCTCCAGGACCACCTCAATCTCATTTTGCCTCCTCCCTTTGGGGGCAAAACCAGGTCTGAAACCTGAGGCATGCTATCAGAGGCCGAAAGAAATACATACATATCAATTTAGGATTAATAACTTACACTATGTTTGGGATGGATTTTTATCATTCTAAGTGAGAAACCAATCTTACCTGTAAAGCAGGAAATAAATATGATAAATGAACATACATTTTATTGCCAGTATCCTGTGCTAACATTTCACTGTGGAATGCACTACCAATGCACTATTAAAACAGCTATGCTACATGATACTTTAGAATCAGGGCTTTTTAAAAGTACCTTTCAATGTATTAAAGAACTGGAAGATCTTAGATGTCTTGCACTGGACAAGACAATCTAGGAATAAAGCAACATCGCAAAACAAAATTCAGGAAACCATATCTAACAATATCTATTCTTGACTAAAGGATTACAGTCCACTTAAATCAGGCACCCTCAACCATTTTCTGCTGGGGCTAAATTTGGAAATCTGAGAAACTGGCATGATCACCAGAAAAAATATCAACTTCAGAAACTGTTTATGTATGCAACAGCAGCAGCCCAGATCCTACATATCTCAAGGGTGGAAGGAAGACAAGATACCAACAATAGAAGAATGGCAAATGAAAATGATGGACTATGCAGAAATGGCAAAACTTACGGAAAAGCTCAGAGACAATGACAATGAGAAATTTAAAAAAGAATGGGAAGCATTTATTGTATATGTATAAAAATATTGTAAACAAGTAGAAACACTAGCAGGCTTTGACTAAACATTTGCAAGTAGTTAAGTTGAGATAAAATTTATGGAAGGAAATTTGAATTGAAATGGCAAAATTTGATGGCATGCATTTAGGATAAAACAATAAGGAGAAGAAAAAGAGGTTTATGTAAATTATGCAGAAAAGGTATATATTCAATGAACCAGGAAAGGAAATGGAGGGAAGTCAGGAGGTTAAAGAGAACCTCCAAAAAGATCTTTTCTTTTTTCTTCTTCTTTCTCTTTCTTTGCTTCTCTTTACTTTTATTTCACTTTTTATTTTTTATGTTGGATATTTTGTATCTTCAATTTTACTTGATGGAAAATAATTGTTGAAGTTGAAATTGTAAAACCAATAAAATTTATTTACAAAAAAAGAAGAAGAAAAATATCAACTTCACAGCAGCAAAGCTAGTGGTGTTCAGAGCAACACTGCATAACACAAACAAATATCCACATGCACAACATACACCCCAGCTACGTATATCCCTTCCAAACAAAGAAAAAGAATAGTAATCACATAAACACACTAAAACAAGAAGCAGACACTAAAACAAAAAGCAGGCAAAACACTCTCCAAACAAAAATGCCTAACACATATGCACAAACACCCATTAAAAACAAAATTCAATGTAACTTTTTTGTTCCTTGACCTTACTAGGCAGCAGTGGAGTCCTTCTTATCTATATTTTCTAAGGAGTTTCAGAGGTAAGCAAAGCCCCAGGGCTACAGCTACCCCACCCTCCTCCTTTCTTTCTCTATGCACAATGTCTCTAGGTTCATAGGGAGACCAATGTGAAAAAAGAGGGAAAGAGACAAGGCAGCAGCAGCAGCAGCTGCACCTGCAACTCCATATTTTGCTTCCTACGCAGCGCTGCTACAGGTCTTTTAAAAAATTCAGTCAGGAGGGGCAAGGGGGCCCCAAGTTAAAAAAGCAAACTGCTCAAGCCTTACTAAAAGTTTAGGAAAAATTGTGGCTTCCTTGGGATGATAGAAGTATGATCCAACAAAAGGAGGAGGAAAAACAGTATTCGGACAACGTGGCTCGGAAAAATAATAGCAGCCATGCTAGATCAGATCCATCTAATCCAGCATCCTGTTTTCAACATAGTCAGCCCCATTCTTCTAGCAAGCCCACAAAGCAGGGCATGGAAGACTACAATTATCCCCAACCATTTGCCCCTAAAACCTGGTATTCTGCCTAGAAACATTTATCTGTCCTAGTTAAAAGCCAATGACAGACCCATCATCTAATCCTCTGTTAACTACCACAATATCTTTGGCCAACAATGTCCATAAATAAATTTATAAAGTTAGGTACTTGCCTGTGCTACATCTACTGCCAGTCTATTTCATTGAGTGACCCGAGTCCTAATATAACGAGGGAGAAAAACCTTTCTATCCCTTCACACCATTAAAGTTTTTCTTCCCTTTTCCCCACTGCAGTCTTAAAACTAAAAAGTTCCATTTGCATTGGTCACATTCCTTTGTTCATCTTCGCTGCTCCTTCGCCAGTTGTAATACATTCTTTGTTTAGATGGGGCAATCCAAACTGTACATAGTATTCCAAAAAAAATTGCCCCATCTATTATATATTTTGGAAAATGGTTCGTCTACCTGTCTGTTCTCTATGCATTCAGATTCCTCTTGAAATATTGCCACCCAAATTTGGCATGACGGTTCCCAAAATGGAAGAGCTATTTTTGGTCTATGTTTGGATGCTGGACATTGTTTGAAACAAGATGATGGGGGGGGGTTACAAACTTGCTAGCTACAGTGGTCTGCTTTGCCAGCATGTTACACGCAGGGAGCATGCTGGGGAAGCAAACACCAACGGGACTGAAAATGGAGTGGCTGAGACTACAAAGGTTTGGAAGGCAGGAAGAGGAGACCGAGCTCCAGGAACTGGGAGCAGGAGGACAGAATAAGTGGCTACCTCCCTGAATGTTGGGCCAGTGGTGGGGGGGGGGGGGGTCAGCCAGTCTCTCATCACTGGTTATGGCCGCAATGGAGATGGCAACGGCTGATGCAGGAATAAATCTGGCCAAGGTGAGTCAAGCTTAGGAAGCTGCTTCCCATACTGCAGCAACCACTGGCAGATCACTGGGAGGCGGAGACATTGTAGGTAGTGGTGGCAGCAGGGGGGATCAGCTAGGACCCAAACCACATAGAGCCAACACTGACAGCGGGCCATGATGTGTGGAGTGGGGGGGGGGGATGACAGAATGGGGAGGCAAAACAGGCCTGGCACATGCAGTCACACTGCAGGAATTGCATAACAAAGATGCAGTCCTGCTGGTTGCAGGGATCTGCTTCATTAGCACATTTCACTCAGGGAACGCATTGGTGAAGCAGCACCCAGTAGGCCTGAACCCTCCTGCTCTCTGCAGCACAGTCATAAGGAGAGAGAAAGAATACACAGAGTCTCTTTCCCACATCCCTCTCTTGATTGTATAGGGTTTATTAAAAACCTAATTAAGTATCAGGACCAGATCAGGGTCAGGTGTTCCTTGGGTTAGGTTGGGGCTGTGCAGAGCCCTAAAATTAACAAATTACACTATCCATTTATACACCTCTGTTTTTTGTTTCTCGGAATTTCCAGGCAATGCCAGGTATTTTCAGCTAAATTTATATAAAGTTATTTTAACTAGCAAGATACCACCACAGCACTACAGAACTAACTTTGGATTGTTATAAGTGACGATCCTATGATACTTATTTATTTTGCAATTTCAACAAATTGCAGTTTTGTACCTGCTTTGCCATTCAATTTATTCTGATAATATTGCCATTCCAGCTGGGGATTTGCACCAGGACGAAGCAGTGATTTTCCTGATCCTCTGTTACTCGTAACAGCAACCGGTTTGCCTGTGAGACATAATACAGTTGTAAGTCAAATTGCACTGCACTTTTTGCAAAAGATGTATGAGCACTACTGCAAATTACTTAGTAACACAAGTTCTACACACAGGATAGTGATTTTGAGAGGAGTCTGTAAAAGTTAGGACACACATTTTTGTGCTATGGCAGTGTTGAACAGGGCTGAATCCACAACTTTTTGGTTCAGTCTATAAAGACAGATGTAATCTGATTTGACAGTAGTTGGGGGAGGGAAACCTGTGAAATGATTATTCAATTTCAGGAGGATGTTTTCTACTGGATCCGATTTTGCATGTGTGTGCAATTAAATGTATGTGCCTTCTCTTTCTTAATTTCTTTTCCATTCTCTCTCTCAAAAGCAGCACAGAACTTTCTCCCTCCCTGTCTCCTCCTAGCTGCTCCTTTTTCTTTCCCTCAAACCCTCCGATAGCTTTTCCTCCTTATCTTTTCAGTCACTCCACTTCTTATTCAACTGCTCAGGTACCAATCCTGAAAAGCATACATAGCTGAAAGATGAAGTGGGAAAGAACATCACTCTTACAACTTCCTCCTCCAGTTCTATGTACTTTTATAGGGACACGAAGGCACACACTCTCACTACCTCATGATGGAGAGAGAAGAGGGGATGGGAGGCTTAAAGGTTTTGCTGGAATCAAGACAACCACTACCACCACAGGCTGTGCATTGGCAACCCCAGCACTACAGACATGTGATCTCTTCTTTAACTGCTAGGAGGAAAGGAGAACTCTTCACTGTGTTCCATGGATGCAGATAAATGAATGACAAATCTAGAGATATTTGCAAGTACAGTACCACCAATATGTAAGTTTTCTGTTTAAAAGTTTACTCATGCCAACAGGTGTGCATTTAACAGTACATTTCCACCTGGTATATAAAAAGCTGCAAAGTGCAAAGAGGAATGAATACTAACCTTTTAGATCAGGTCTATCTCGGATACCCACTGATACAAAGAAGCAGTCCATATCCACATGCATTATACAGCTTTGATGCTTGGTTGAGCTCAAGGTGGTTGTATAATCTATTATAATGGTACGCAAATGGAAAGTTTAAACCACACTGAACAATTTTTTTATTCCTATTATGCTCCTATTAATCTAGAATTTACCACCCCACTCTTTGTTTGCAACCATTTTTATTTTTTTTAAAGGTACCCCTGACCATTAGGTCCAGTCGTGACCGACTCTGGGGTTGTGCGCTCATCTCACTTTACTGGCTGAGGGAGCCGGCGTTTGTCCGCAGAGAGCTTCCAGGTCATGTGGCCAGCATGCCAAAGTTGCAACCATTTAACTGTCCTTAAAACATGTAGAATGCTATGTAGTTCCCAGTTTTAAAAGTTTCCAAAGGTACCATTTCATTGTTGCACATATAGTTCTTCACTACAATCAATACAATTTCAGGAGTTTGTTGTACACATCTACTCAAATACTTGGCCACAATAACTTTGTAACTACTGCTCTATACTACCGGCTTTTCCTAGCGCTTGACATTTTCAGACCAAATCTGGAAGAACTGATTAACATTATTGCTCTTCTTTCTCAATGTAATTAAATATGCCACCACAGCACATGCCAGCAATCATGGGCTAAAAGCTACCAGCACCCTACCTAGTTGTCCATTTTCCTAACTCGTACTAAGTACAGTGCACATTTCCAATACTGGCCAAAAGAGTAGCAATAATAGTAGACAGTTTATACACATTCTTAATCATCTGTATTGCAACCGAAGTGTGAATACAGTGAGATGTCATTTTCAAATTAGAAACCTAATGATATATATTTTATCCTCCAACACCACAGTATAACATGGTATTCCCTACAAAGCCTAACATTCTAAACAAGAGATTTATAAAGAAGCTCTACTAAGGGCTCATCCAGATTTCCTTTTGTCCTGTCCCCTAGTAACACAGGTTTTAAAGCTCCATATCCGAGCGTTTTGGGGTTTTTTGTCCTGGCATTTCCCCCAGTAAAATCTGCATTTTACCACTGAATCGGAGGAAATGATGTGAATTGCCGTTTGCTCCAATTCAGCTATAAAACACAGGATTTCCAGGTGAAAGCAATGGGATCAAAACAAACAAAACTACTCAGACATAAGACTTTTCAAGTGTGGACCTCTGCCTCTAAAAGCACAACACAAAGGAAGTCTGGATGAGCCCTTAGCCATTTCCCCCCCTGACAAGTGAATTTGATACATACATTGTGCATTAACAGTGAAATGCAGGCAACAAATAATGTTGTGACTAAGTCGGAAAAAGAGAAGCTAATACCTTTTGGCATGGCATGTACTCCAGTTCCCACAATCCTGAGACTGCTCATAAGCAACCAACCTTAACTGTAGCACAATTGGAATGCTGAACTTTATAGTCTCATCAAATTATCTTGGAGGTCCATACTGCCCATCACTAGCTTACACAGAAATTTCAATGTCAAAACATAACCCATTTAAGTTAAGAACAAGAGTGAATGGCTTTTTAAAAAGTACCTACCTGAGTCAGTTTTGTTAATTATAGATTGCCCTGCTTTCAGTTTTTTTAACTTTTCTCTTCCTGGGAAGATAGCATTGTTCTGTTTCTGCAGTGTATTGACAAAATCTGTAAATTCACTCTTCCAAGTAGCTATATGATGCAATCTTGAACGAGAGTAAAAGTCGGAAATGAAACTGCAGTTAGGAGGTTTGGACAGAGGTGAATCTACCTTACTAGGAGAAGGTACCGTGGTGCTTTTTGTGCTTGAAGGCCCCTGAACTGTAGAGTGATGAGCACCGTTTCTTTTAATATTACTGTGCAAAGATGAACAAGGTGAGTTACTCATAGTCCTACGCGAAATTCGTAAAAGTTCAGTGTTTTTGTTGCTTTGTTGAAAATGCTGCATAGAGCAGTCTCTAAAGTCTCTCCTTTCCTCCTCCTGCACAGGAGCTGGAGACAGTCTGCTTGCAACATTGTTGCCAGAGTGCACCAAGCTATCCTGTGTCTTTAAGGCACTGTTGGAACTATGAGTGTGTCCATTGAAAATGGAAATGCTGTCTCTATAATGAATTCCGTTCTGCTTGCTAGCAGAAAAGGCTTGCTCCAAATCCAAGACTCCGGCATCTTCAGTCTCATCTTCCATGTTCAGTTTACACGTTCCATTGGCTTTGATTTCATTCTCTACGTCATACTTCTTTACTAGACAATTTCTTAAAAAAGATGGTATAATACAGAAATTAGGAAAAAATATCAATTAAAAACATTTACCACTAAACTCTCCCCCTCTATTGTACTTTGAACGCTCCCCCCATACACACACTAGTTTTAATAACAAGTTGACAGAATTGTTTCATAAACTTAGTCCACTAAGTTTTAAAGAGTAGTTTGAAATATGCCTAGAGATCTTCTAAGAGCTGCATAAACAGCATTAACATGAATGATCCGAGATGATCATCTAACATAATCTGAATTTGTAATTCAAGATAATTACTTACACCCTGTTGAACTCCACAGAGATATTGCTAGGACCTGCAATAGGTTCTTCAGGTTTGCATATGGTATTAAAACAGAGGCCTTTTTGAAAACTTGACTGTTTTGTATAAAGCTGATATGGAATGTATGAAAGGAGCCGTCCAGCCTTTATGCTGTAAAGAAGATGAGAGTTTAATTGATCAGAGAAGTCATAACAAATTCTGACTCTACTACTACATAGTTTTTATCTTGTTCTTAAAGTAGTGGGGTATACCCCCCAGTTGAACAGCACTTACTTTCATTAATGTATTTAATGTTGGGGAGAGAAGCTGTTGATTGCACTTGTATATTTCTACTTTACTAGCTTGATTGTCTTATTTCTAGACACTTCATTGTCCCATTATTTTATACAGAAAACAGAACTTATTAAACTGGAAAGGTTTTACAAATTTAAGGCAATGTTGGGAACCCTCAGGTCTGGGAGCCAAATGTGGCCTGCTAGTCTCCATATCCAGCCTGCAAGATTTTTTCAGGTCATGTTCTTCACTGGCTCTGCTTTGTGCCCTCAAGTACTTTTTGCCTGGCTGGAATAGGTCCCTGAGCTGTTATAACGCCTCTTTGATCGATTGGAAGCAGGACGTAAGCCTGCAGCCACTGCACAATTGAAATATAGCCTATTGTACAAAGTTAAAGCTCACATCTGTTGCTTCATGCACTTCAATCTATTCCCATGTGATTTCCCCCTCTCACTCTGCCTACCATTGGCATGCACCTCTGCTACTCTGTCAGTTACTTCAGTTCTTATAATTGTATATAATTATTTAAGTGAAATATTACTGTTTGAGCAAGACTTATATTTGGGGTTGTGGAGTTGAATGCAGCTTCTTCCACAATTCCCACCTGCAATGCTAGAATATTCTCTGAGGGTTTATGATGTGATAAACGCAACCAAGTCCCTGTTATGCAGAAAAGGAATATAATTATGCATGGTCTAGGGAAATGCACTGCCAAATCATAGCAATACTGAAACTTAATTCTTGATGGTGTATTTCCCATCCAGCTTCAATCTGTACACTAACAAGAAGTTTGGCAATGGTTCAAAAGCCAATATATGCTGCAATTAAGAAAACTACAGTAAGATCACATTACCCAATTAAAAGAACATAACTTGTTAGCACTTATGTGACCAGGTTTCTAAGGGAGTAGCGTAATCTTAGCTGTTACAATGGGGATAGTCTCAAGTGCAGATCATTTGTTTTCCCAATATGTTCAGTAAAATTCAAATGAGATGTCAGTAAAATAATTGCTACTATCTAAAGAATACAAAATAATGCAATAAAGTTGAACACATGTAAGGTATAACAAGGTATAAATAAGGAATAATTTACTCCATTATTTATAAATCCTAATACAGTGGACGCTCGGGTTGCGAACGTGATCTGTGTGGGAGGCACGTTCACAACCCGCAGCGCCATGTCTGCACATGCGCGGGTCGCAATTCGACACTTCTGTGCATGCGCCGAAACCTGGAAGTAACCCGTTCCAGTACTTCCAGGTTCAGCATGGTGCGCAACCCGAAAACGCGCAACCTGAAGCGTCTGTAACCCAAGGTATGACTGTATTATGAGAGATTCTAAGTTTTCATTAAAACTATTATTTATATTTCCATTCTTTTAAACCTTTTTGTATAAAGAAATACGTAACTATATGCCCAGTAAGATAAAATAGTGTTTGATTTTGCTTTTTATCTCCAGCCCTGAATTAACAATACATCATTAAATCAGAGAACAGTTAGTTGCACACTGAGTGCTTATCAGAAAGAAATTTTTCTTTAAATTTATAACATTCACTTTAATCAACAATCCTGTTGATCGTAATTTTATTAATCAAAACCATTACTGTAGGCTTATTTTAGTCAGAAATTTATTTACCAAGCACTCAACAGTCTGCCTCTTCAATATTTTGCACTCAATTCCCACAAAATTTGATCCATCCATCATAGATTTATAGGATAATCACATATTTTTAAAAACATTTAACACACATTAAATAATATTTCAGAATGCAGTTTTGTTTTGTCTTTTCAAATTTGTTCACATTTGGAACACTTAAACCTGTAGTCCTCCATATGTTGGTAGATTCCAACTCTCATAAACCTCAGCCAGCACAGCCAACGGTCAGGGCTGATTTAAGCTGGAATCCAATGGCACCTGTAGGGCTCTTAGTTTCCTATCCTTAACTTAAACAATGTTAACAAGCCTGGATATAATTCTCCAATAATATTTACCTATCTATTATCCATTCTGGTCGGACTACTTTTTCCCTTTTGAGTTCTTTTATTTTGGCATTTGGAAGATTTGTTGCAATAATGTGTGTTGTTTTGGATCTAGAATAGTATACATGATATTGTCCTCCATGCAACATCATTAGCCGCCTCAGTTCATCAGCTGATGGATCTGTAACAGATTTATGAAAATACATGGGTAAGTACTTAATGTTAAATAAATTAAATAATTTCAGAATTTATATTCTGCCCTTCACTGCAAAAACAGTCTCAGAGAGGATCACAATGTTCTTTAGCATCTTAACACAGTAACGTAAAATTAAGATCTAAAACCAGCGCAGCCAACCTTTCATCAAACAACAACAGCAATCCTAATCACACATCTACTCAGAAGTAAGTTCCACTTCTTACTCCCAGGAAAGTTAGAATAGGATTGCAGCCTAAGGTTTCCAGCCCTTGTTGTTGTTTAGTCGTTTAGTCGTGTCCGACTCTTCGTGACCCCATGGACCAGAGCACGCCAGGCACTCCTGTCTTCCACTGTCTCCCGCAGTTTGGTCAGACTCATGTTTGTAGCTTCGAGAACACTGTCCAACCATCTCGTCCTTTGTCGTCCCCTTCTCCTTGTGCCTTCAATCTTTCCCAACATCAGGTCTTTTCCAGGGAGTCTTCTCTTCTCATGAGGTGGCCAAAGTATTGGAGCCTCAGCTTCACGATCTGTCCTTCCAGTGAGCACTCAGGGCTAATTTCCTTAAGAGTGGATAGGTCTGATCTTCTTGCAGTCCATGGGACTCTCAAGAGTCTCCTCCAGCACCATAATTCAAAAGCATCAATTCTTTCCGAACACAATTCAAAGTGTAGGTGCTGACATTTAAAGCCCTAACGGCCTCGGTCCAGTATACCTGAAGGAGTGTCTCCACCCCCATCCTTCTGCCCGGACGCTGAGGTCCAGCGCCGAGGGCCTTCTGGCGGTTCCCTCATTGCGAGAAGCAAAGCTACAGGGAACCAGGCAGTGGGCCTTCTCGGTAGTGGCGCCCGCCCTGTGGAACGCCCTTCCAGCAGATGTCAAAGCGATAAACAACTACCTGACATTCAGAAGACATCTTAAGGCAGCCCTGTTCAGGGAAGTTTTTAATGTGTGATATTTTAGTGTATTTTTGGTTTCTATGGAAGCCGCCCAGAGTGGCTAGGGAGGCCCAGCCAGATAGGCAGGGTATAAATAATAAATTATTATTATTATTATTATTATTCGGCGATCAGCCTTCTTTATGGTCCAGCTCTCACTTCCATACATCACTACTGGGAAAACCATGGCTTTAACTATGCGGACCTTTGTTGGCAGGGTGATGTCTCTGCTTTTTAAGTTGCTGTCTAGGTTTCTCATTGCTTTTCTCCCAAGGAGCAGGTGTCTTTTAATTTCGTGACTGCTGTCACCATCTGCAGTGATCATGGAGCCCAAGAAAGTAAAATCTCTCACTGCCTCCATTTCTTCCCCTTCTATTTGCCAGGAGGTGATGGGCCCAGTGGCCATGATCTTCGTTTTTTTGATGTTGAGCTTCAAACCATATTTTGCGCTCTCCTCTTTCACTCTCATTAAAAGGTTCTTTAATTCCTCCTCACTTTCTGCCATCAAGGTTGTGTCATCTGCATATCTGAGGTTGTTGATATTTCTTGATATTTCCAGCCCTAGTGGAGGGCAAAGCAGCCTACATACAGAATACCGGGGGTGGGGGGGAAGTGGGGGTGTAATACTAATTTTAGAAAAATTATACACTTCAATTACTCATTTAAATCTTGCATTAGAAATGCTTCTTGTGAAATCCACATAAAGTATTACTTTGTGTATTTTGAAGTATTTTTAGTTTGCTAGGGGAGCTTCACCAGGCCAAAAGCAGTCTAGACGGCTCCCCTCAAAAACAAGACTATAGAAAGTTATGGCCAGAAGGAGACTGATACATAAATTGCTTTGTGACTTCCACACAATATAGCTCCTTCATCAACTTTGCCTCATCCTAATTTTTCTTAAAAAGGCATTTGAATGAATATTTTGAAAGAATGAAAGCTATCACCTGTAAAGCCATTGACATAGATGGCAACTCCATTAAAGATACCAGATGAAGTTCCATCTTTTTGGTGTTGCATAGCTGCCTCTGAACGGAACTGATCGTCCAGTTTCTGGACTTTGGCAGGCATATATCCTCCCTGGAGTAAAAATAAAACAGACTTTAGATAGAGATACATTCAACTTTTTTGTGTCTAACTATGGAAATGAGTCAAAAGGTTTGCTAGCCTTTAAAACTATTTAATATCAGTTTGGTTTTGGCTTGAAGATATAGCTGTGAAAAACTTTTTAATGGAATAACCACATAAACATTATTTATTTATTTTATTATTAGAATATTTTAATACCACTTTTCAACATTGGATCTCAAGGGAGTGTTAAATAATATATATATTTAATACATGTATGTAATAGATATATTACAATATATGTATTACAATATACTATAATAATATACTATGTATTATAATACAGTGGTGCCTCGCAAGACGAAAAGAATCCGTTCTGGGAGTCTCTTCATCTAGCGGTTTTTTCGTCTTGCGAAGCAAGCCCATTGACGGGATTAGCGGATTAGCGCTATTAGCGCTATTAGCGGCTTTTAGCAGCTTATCAGCTTATCGGATAAGCAGATAAGCGGCTTAGCGACTTAGAAAAAGAGGGGGGAAAGGAAAAAAAAAACCCAGGAACTCGCAAGACATTTTCGTCTTGCGAAGCAAGCCCATAGCAGATTTGTTTTGCGAGGCACCTCCAAAACGGAAAACTCTTTCGTCTAGCGAGTTTTCCGTCTTGCGAGGCATTCGTCTTGCGGGGCACCACTGTATATTGTATTACATAATAATACAAATATAATGCAACTAATAATCCTTAGCAGGGTCAAAATCACAGCCAACTCACTACTAAGCACCTACAAAAACCTGAATGTTCTGCATAAGCACAAGAAAAAAAATATATCATAGGCAATTTTTCTAGCCAATGTCCCATAAGAACTGGATAGTATTATCTAAACATCCATTACTCTTTGCATAAGTCAGAGATGAAAACGGTATGGCTATTATTATAGAAATAAAATAGTTATGTTAAAGCTACCTATAAACACTAGTAAAAAGCAAGCTAACACTCTAAAATGTTATGTTTATAATTTTAGATTTGAACATACCCATCCTCCCCAGCCATCTCTGTCACTGGCTCTTTTTCTCCATCCACCTTCCTTCATAGTGAAGCTATTTAAGGAGAAAAAAAACAAACAAATATTGTCAGTATTACTATTATATAATTTCAAATTGAGGTGTAGGAGCTACAAATATTTACATTGGGAAGACTTTAAACAGCACACCTGATGTATCCATTCTCTTACCACAAAATATAAATTCACATGTATGCAAACACTTTAGAAATCTTTAACCTAATATTGCACAACTTAAGTCTATCTTGAACCCTAGGTGTTATTTGCCTATATTCTGGCCCAATCTTTCAAATAACCTCTCACCTAGCTGTACAAACCAAAATAGCAGTTGACATTGTGACATTTAGGACAAACTAGATGCAATGTCAGAGGGATTTTTTCCCCCTCTTGAGATTAGGAGATGGTGCTTGGACGCTGGCAGACAACTTCCTGTGGCTTGGCTTGCTGAATCAGGGCCTATTACTGGGCTAAAATGATGTAGCCTCATTGCAGTGCTAAGAACCACAGTGCGGATATCAGAGATAAGCCCTCTGTCTGCTGTTTCAGAGTAAAAGGCGGGTTTTCCTCCAGCGTAGCACTGAAGTAGGTTAAAATGCTGCCATTTACTTTGCACAGAATGCTGAGTGTCAAAGAAAAAAAGCAGCGTTTCCAGAGAGCTGCAAATGTTGAATGAAAGTCTGGCGGCATGCATGTGTGTTAACTGTATGTCTGCTTCGGCAGCTGTGACAGCTTATGTATAGTGTTTGACTGCATGTGTGTGCAGTGTGTGACACAAGAGAGGGAGAGTGCTGCACGACTGCATGTGTAGTGAGTGTACGCACTTGTTGCATTGTGTGTGTGTATTGGCCACACCACCACTGGCATGTTGCCCTCAGAAGGATGACTGTCAATGTGGATCTTGGTCCAAAAGAAGTTAGCCATGCCAGATTTAGTTCCATATCTTTAGAACACAGAGCACAAAAGTGGGAACTCACTGATGGAGAACTTTCGAGAGAAGAGCATTAGCACACACCCCAACAGTCAGAAAGCACAACAAAAGGTAGGAATCCATACATTTTGGGCAGCCAACTCAAAATGTATGGTTGCCAGGACACTGCTGCTCCCTCCCTCCTGACCTCACACACTGCACCTTGGAAATTCAAAAACAACCCATTGCTCCTCCCCACAACACTAAGCTTGGAAAAAGAGGGGTGGGTTGACACATTGTTCTTCAAACTGCAATGTGTGGAAACAAGCCTCAGACACCCTCTCCAACTTGAAGCCAGACAGGGAGGCTTGTGTTTGCATTGGCTCTGCAGTTCTGAAGTGCTCAAACCACTTCAGAAAGACTGAACCAAAATGGATCTCAGGTTTCTTTCCAACATGGGTTTAGGAAGGGGATTGTGCCTAGAGTTGCACTGAGAACGTCTAAAGCTCAGCTCAGGTTTAGAGACAATATATGCTCCCCTCCTCAAGCTCCAAGGTTGAAGCATGCCCAGGGGCCACTGCATTGCCAGAGGGCAGTAGAATACTCACTAAGGCAAGTTAAACTTTGGGGGGGGGGGTAAGTAGGACTGGTAAATACCCTGCCTCAGGATTCCAGATACATTACCCAGCAGTACTCTAGTGGGTGAAAGTTACCTCACCTCCTTAACACTTCACTGTAAATCAAACATCATGCCTTCTGATAACAAGTTGGAAAATGGTCAATTATTATTTCCTCCAGGGGATCCAAACAAGGAAGTAATTGCATCAGTCCTGCCACAACCTGCCTGATATTACACCCCCAACCCTGAAAGGTAATTTGAGTAGCATAGACATAAATTAAGAACACAATGGCATTCTTTGTTACTTTACTACCACAATACAGGATGCATTGGAGACCCCTGTTCCATCCCAGGACCATCATTTTGCTATTCTGCGTTCTAGATAACAAGTATAGTGTTTTGTTATTCTTAGGTTGAATTCTTTACTGCTGGATGCCATCAATAATTTGAAGCACAATTCAAAGTATGCACAATTCTTATTTATTCAAATCCTTTGAATAAACCTGCTTGAGGAGCAGGTGAGACCAAAGGGATTTGAAACTAGATCTCCTTCATCCTAGCCTGACTACCTTTGTCCCTTCCTAGCTCTCTTGGGGGAAAAGAGCTTCTAAAGTCTTAAAACAAAATACCAAAGCACAGAATACTCATCTTCAACATTGAGATTTGGAAGTGTCTACAGTTCTTCAGCCAAACAGGCATGCTTTCATGGCTCTATTCTTACAGACAGTTCATTTTTAGAAAGCAGTTGCAGAAGCAGATGGGCTCTGAACAGTTACACATTGGGAAACACCTCTGAATCTGCTGCCTTATTTTTGATATTTTACTACCCAAGTACAAGCAGCACAAATATGAATTTATTTTACTTTCTACATTGATTGGTCATATTCCTATCCGATTTTCTCAAGTAGGAAGCCACACATTTATCTTCAAAATCTATATAGGCACTTCTACCCCATATTCAGAGTGTGTACACACAAACTATAAGGTATAGTCACCGTCTTCTGCAGATGCATTTTTGGGTTAGTGTTTTCATCTTCATATTATTGGCATAGCATTCTTTTGGTGTTTTGAAATTGCCATTCAGTAGAATGGTTATAAGCTATCCTACATTTTCTATGCATTCTGCAACTATTTGCTTTGTGTGGAAATGGAGAGCACCTTCTCTAGGACCTCCTATTAGGGAGAATCTTATGTCAATTAGTTCCACTTGCGTAGCCACTACCACACAATTCTGTGAAGATTAACCTAACAGATACACAAGACATACGGTGTTTGGGACTACCACAAAGATAATCAAGGGGTTCAAAAAATCCCCATGTGTATCAGTATAATGTTATTTCAATCTCTGAAGTCACATAGGTTAAACTAATGCTCTTTAAAAGGAGGAGTAGAAACAATATTCATAGAGTGTTTGCACTCTTTAAAAGAACAGGTGGAAACTGCCACCATTAACTCTTCTGCACTGTTTCTTAAACAGAAATTTAAATTGTAGTGTGGGGCTAGTTATAAAAAGCAAATTAAAATTCTGTGCTTTAATTTTATACCATATATTGGATTATACCCAGGCTAACTTAGCTGTACTTATCAATGAAATCAATGTAAGTCTTTACCAATGTAGGTCCTCTTTATTTCTATGGGAACTAAATGCAGTGTTAGAAACTGAGATATGAAAGCTAAGAGCTAAATGGCACCTTAGGCCTAGGTTATGGGCACAACAACGGAATGTCTAAGCGTGCTTTTTTATAACAAGAATACAAAGCTGAAAATGAATGAACTGCAGCGAAAATATTATGTTCATTTTTCACAGGGTCTAGTCTTTCCCCTGCCAACTCCCCTAATATTCTTAAGAAAGTATCTTCTCCAGTCTCCCTGTCGCAAAATGCACCTAGAACAATGGGAGTTTCAAACACTGACTAAATATATTTAACAGAATGCAATCCAACCCAGGTCGTTCTTCCACAAGCCTGCTATGCCTTGGTGTTGGCCACAAAGGCAGGGGCTTCCTTTCCTCTACAGCCAGAATGGATGGAGTGAACTATTACTTCTCCTCCAGCCCACTCATTCACCTGTACAGAATTCCTTGTCACCCATGGCAACCCACAAGTTGTTAAATACAAAACTGCACTAGAAATGCATGGTGTGAAAAGCCTGAGACAAGTAACCATGCAAAGCACAGATGATCTGGCCATGAAAACAAGGCACAGCAATCACACATAGGGTATCCACATAAGGGCTGGGATGACACCCAAGATACAGCACAGATTCTGTGCTTGAAAAGTTGCTGAGCCAGAGTTTGCTTTTGGATATGGAAGCAAAATGTGAAAACATGATTTCCAGAGACATGAGTATTTGTTAACAGAAGTATCCATTATAAACAATTTTCCTTCCCTAAAAATTAAAGGACTAATTATGTCAACTTGCGGAGATTCCAAGTGTAACTTTTACAAGCATTCTATACTACAGTATATGGATGTGTCAACTTTAGTGAATAATTATGTATACTGACAGCTTATTAATTAACAAGGAGAACTCAGATCTGTGTTGTGAGTTCTTCTAGATAGAAAGCTAACGAAGAGTTCAGTTAGCATCTTTAAAATACTGTGACTGATTTCACACCATGGTTTAAACATGGTTTGGTATGTACAACCTGGAATGAATCCAACTGAACCTCAGTCTCACACATTCCACTATCCCTCTCTTAGCTGCAACAACTAAGTTAAGTCTTGCTTTCCCTAAAGCTCAGCTTGTTGTGTCTCAAGATCAGAGATCATGGTTTACAATGAACTCTGATTAGTTTAACAAACTAGCTTCATAATTCATGGTGTGAAGTTGGCTTGCTTTAAAACCAACGAAGCATTGTGTAGACATAATGCTTAATTATGACTTAGCACCAACTATGACTGTTTAAGTTCATCTTATGCATGGTGAAGATCCAGTGGTAGTTGGTGACTACAAAAATGTGGAATTGCTTCAAGTCAGTTCAGCCCTTCAATCCACTTCCATCAGTGAAGCCCTGAAGGTCAAAGGCAAAGCTGTCCAAAACACAATTTGTCTGCTATAGCAGTTGCATCAAGAATGCTTTATTCACTTAAAAAAACTTTTATGGTGCTGTTCTTGATTGTGCAATTTTTTTGATGTGCTTATGATTTTATTTTGCTCTAGTAAGTCACGATGGCTTGTACTGAAGTAGGGTAAACTCCCACCCACAGTAAATTATGAACAATACATGCTTAGATGTTCTCTGCTACTAAGCAATACTGTACATACACAATTGTACCCCCTGCCTCCAATGATCAGCCCAATCCAGACTATCAAAGTTCCCTAGTTAGAAAGAAAGTTCAGTGCAGTTCTTAAGTTTCTTATTCTAGCCAAAGGGCATGACAGACTTGTACTAATAGTACAATACAGTTGTACCTTGGTTGCTGAACACCTTGGAACTTGTACATTTCGGCTCCCGAACGATCGAAAACCAGGAGTGTGTGTTCTGGTTTTTGAACGATTTTCGGAAGCCGAACATCCGGCGCAGCTTCCAATTGGCTGTAGGACACTCCTGCAGCCAATCGGAAGCTGTGCTTTTGTTTTCAAATGGTTTCGGGAGTCGAACGGACTCCCGGAATGCATTCTGTTTGAGATCCAAGATACAACTGTAATAATAATACAAAATATCCATCCATAATATAAGCTGACATACTTGATGTAAGAGAAAGATACAAGAGACACCAACAAGCTTTCTAGAAAGAAAGTAATAATAAACATACAGAGCATTAGAATCTAAGAACCCTGTTAAATCAGACCAAGACCGACCTAGTCCAGCATCCTGTTTTCACAGCGGTCAAATGAGATGCCTACGGAAAACCTGCAAACAAGACTTGAATACAACAGTACTGTCCCCACTTGTGCTTCCTGGGAACCAGTATTCCAATTTTTGAGCTGGCACACAGCCATCATGACTAGCTGATATTTCAATAAACATAAAACAGATACTTGCAAGTCAAGTCAGCCTGTGAGAGTGGACTCACAGGGGCGGGAATAGGTTTTGGGACTGGCATGGGTCCAATTGTGACTCTGCAGAAATCTCTGTTTTAAAAAATATTTTAGCTGTTTTTACTGTATGTCTGTGCATCACCTTGAGATGCATGTAAAAAACCCACAAACAAAAATAAATAAATAACATGTCTTGGAAGGAAATTACTTTGAATGTTAAGGGTATGGTCCAACCAAACTTGATCATCAAGTTGCCTCAATTTTCCATAAAAAGCTAACCACATGATTTAATTATAACATATAGGCCTAAAGATGTACTTCAGGTAGATTTTCAGCTAGGTATACCAATACCCAATGCTGGGGCAATTCTTCCTATTAAATTTCCAGGTTTCATTGGGTTAGCGGAAGGTCAAGTTATGACCAAGGCTCAGATCTCAGGCCCACATTATTCAGTGGGACATTCCCCAAGTTAGTGTCTTTCTTCTGACTCAACACATAATCCAAAGCATACATACTACCAAAAGGCAGAATGGTTTTGCCCTGTGAACGAGAAGCTTCAGAACAGCCATTAAGAAAAAAATAGTTTTATTTTTTTGGTTTTATAAGTAAAAAGATCTTTTTATTATGTGGTCTTTCTAATGCTACCCCCACTAGTAATGATCTGCAATGTTCAATCAATCAGCAGGTAAAACTAGCCTTACAGAGACAGAATAAAAGGCCAATGTCAGGAAAAAAGTTAATGTCACACAAGAGACAAGATAGCAAATGAAAGGTCTTCAGAGACTAGGTGTGTTTAATTATCTTTAGTTTAACGAAGCTGTTATAAGGATCTTATCTAACTACAGCCTCTGGTGTTCACTAGTGATTAAGCATATAAAGATATGTACGAAGACTTCTATTTGACCTTTTGTTCTGAACCTCTAGGGCAGTACGTATTATTAGGGCAAGAAATTCCATCCTCCCTTGCAAGAATTATGGGACTGAAACGTGCAAACTGGGTAGCTGTCGAATACACGTAACGATGAATGACGGCTGCTTGAACAATATATACCCTCAAAGAAATAAGAAATGATCCCATCTGAGCAACTGTCTTCGTCCCTGTCCTCCACAAGCAACTGGAAACATGTTTCTTATCGCAACCCAGCTGTGAAATCCTGTTGCATCTAACTCGCGCCAGCCTTCATGCGGCACCGCTCTTTCCTTTCTACCCGCTTTCCCCTTTTTCTTTTAAACCCCGAGCCTGAGTAGCCGGCGTCTTAGTTTTGCAATGGGCACGGGCGCCTGAAGACGCAGAGGAAGGAGCACGGAATAAACAGCATCTCCTTCCGTGTCAGTAGATAAACCCCGGGCATCCCCACTTCCTCACGCCGAGTGCGAGCTGTGCAGCCACCAGCAAGGCAGCTGCAGTGATGGGAAAAAGCTGCCAGGCACCGCCATGGTTCCCAGGACGTGCTCGGCTTGCCAACGACGCTGATCCGGAACTAAGGGCAGCGGCGGCGGCTGCGGCGGCGTCAACCGGGTTGGCGCCTTCGAGGAGGCCGAGGCTTCGCTGACTTAAAACAGCCGACCGCCCTCTCCCCTCAGGAGAAGCGAGCAACCCAAGCCCCGCTTGCCAGCCAGGAGGGAGGCCCGCCGGCCGGCCTGCCCAAGCTTTGGTCCCTCGCCCGCCTCCTCCGTGAGACTTGCAGGGTCAGGCAACCCTCGTGTCTGCCTGCGCCGTGTGTACGCGCCACATGGGGGCCTCCCCCGCTGCCGCTTCAGACACAACAAGCGCCGCTTCCGCACCGGGATAGGCAGGCAGTTGTGCGCGAAGGCGGCGGGCCAACCTCGTCCACAGCCTCTCTCACCTTTGCCCGCCCGCCGGGCGTCGCCTCCTGCCCTGCCGGGCCGGGCCGTGTGGAAACCTCACATCGCGTCCCCGGCTCACGCCGCCCGCCGCCGCCGCAGCGAGAGCAGCAGCAGCAGCTTCTCCTCACACACTTCGCCTCGCCTGCGCCTTCACCTCGCCGTCGCTCCTCCTCCGACCTTCCCTCTCGGAACGCCGCGTCACGCACGGCGCGCTGAAAGAGTCTCGCGCCGCCAACCGCCGCCGCCGCAGCCGTTGGGCCTTTTCCCTCTCTCTCTTTCGCCCCCCTCCCTCCTTGCTTGATCAACAGCGCTCGTTCGCCGCAGCCAACCAATCAGACAGTCCTGCCCTGAGGCGGCGCCCCCTGGTGGCCTGAAGCAGTCGCGTGGCCAACGGGGAAAGAGACAGAGAGGGAAATAAATAAATAGAAAAGGGAGGGGAGGGGGAGAAGGCTTTTCATTATCACGTGACGTCTGGGGAAGAGAGAGTGAGAGCGCGCGTGCGCCATCCCCCCCCCCCTCTTTCCCTCTGCTTCTTACTAGCTCTTTTTACCTCACGCCTGGCGCTGCGGGCTGCCTGAGTGTCCTCTGAGGGAAGGGGAAGCAGACGAGGTACTCTAGCGCCCCCTACAGGAGAGGCGGCGAGAGGAGAGAAGCGCGGCTCCTCGTTCATACGCAACAAACAAGGAGGCGGCGGCGGGAGGGAGCTGACAGGATAGCCCTGACGCCGCGCGGAGGGAAGCTATATATAGACAAGATTACTATAGATCCGCGCGCGCAGCCAGACCTGGAACTGCCGCTGCTGCGAATGGAAGCTCGGCATGTGGCGTCGCCGCCGATCCAGGCGTTGTGTCGGCACTTCTTAACGGCGCGCGCAAAGGTCCCTGGCGCGGCGTGTTTTAAATTAGGCAGGTTTTTTTCGTGCTTAAGCACGTATTCGGCGGCAAGTGTCGCAACTCGTCTATAAGCGCTCGTAAGAACGTGCAGCAAGTGCAGCGAAGCCACTTTGCACACAAAGAGACGCACGCACGGTGCTGACTTTCATACGCATGGCGTTTTCCAAGCGTACATGAAGATGCACACAGACACTGGGTTTTCTTTTCTTTTTTACTTACGTATCGCTATATATCCGACATTAAGCTTCTGAAGGACCGCCTTTCCTCGAAGGGATCAGAAAACAAGAGAGACCTGCCGCCCCCCAGCCGCGCCCCCCTGACCTGCACCGCAGGGGCTTCTGGATATCTCTTATTTCTAAGCAAACTGTTGCCCTTGTTTTATCTTAACTTTCTTTTAATAAATAAAAAAACAACCCCAAAGCTTGTCATAATCTGTGGTAAAAACACTTAGTGGTGTCCACCTGAAAAACGATCCATAAACCCCTTGCACAAATAAATAAATGCAAACTGTGCAACTGGCAACTTGCTGATTGCTCATCCGGCAAAGTAAATGTAGTTGGTCTGCATCCACACTAGCATGTTTGTTTGTTTTTTTGTTCAGTAATTTGTACTGTATTTATATCCCACCTTGGCTGTCCTCCATCATGGAACCTAAAGTGGAGTTGTTGTTTATTGAATTTATATATTGCCCTGTTCTCGGAGTTAAGGAGCAGTTACTAAGCAATAGGTTAGAGTGAGACAGCCAAGAAAAGCAGGGTGCTATTTGTTTTGAATCCAATGTTGTGTCTATGGGAGAGGCCAGAACCTGTTGGACTGTATTGCTGGACATTCCTCTGTTGGATTCAGGCTGTATATATGTGTAAATAAACCATGTATCATAAAGACACCACAGTCTCCACTGTGTCTCATTGTCCTAAAGGAAACTCACACCCTGGACAAAGCATCTGCAACCGCTGAAATCTTGCACCACTTGTGGAAATGGGGGGGGGGGGGTGAAGGGAGAGGGAAGGGTTGCTTTCTATATGCTTTCTATACCTTGTACCTTGTACCTAAGAAGGATCTTCTATATTCTCTGTACTTTGGATCTAAGTAAATTTCTGAGCTAATTTGACTTCTGCAAAGAGGCCCCTCGCTTTCTTATTTTAGGAATGCAAGATAAGAAAGACACATATGAAGGAGACTGTAAGCTAGAAATAACCAGAGGCCCCTCGCTTTCTTACTTTAGGAATGTAAGATAAGAAAGACACATACGAGGGAGACGGGAGGAGGGGATGCAGGACGCTTAGAAAGACACGTATAGGGAAAATAGGGAGGGGGCTGCATAGAGGGCTAGCATTATAGATATGCCATGCCATATAAAAAATAAGTTAAAAACTTTCCAGTTGATTGGGGAAGTTTTTGGAGGGCGTTTGGGGGAGGAGGGAGGGAGCTTTCTCAAGGTATAAGAAAGTCTGCAGAGGCGTATTTCTGGGCAGCCAGTCTTCCAGAAGTTATTCTGCTGGCTGTCACTGTGCACAGAGAATAAACTGTTTTCCTCCAAAGAAGGATCTTTCCTGGTGCTTTCTTTTGCTCTCTCTCTGGATCTGAGGACGCGGGCCAACGATTCCCTGGCATGGACTAGGCTCAGCCTACATCTTGGTTCCCTGACCGGGAATCTGCCCCACCTCAGAGGGCTGGGGAGAGCCAGGCTCGACCTTGGTGGACAGCTCGGATCGGCAATTGCAGGCTCCACGCGCACCCTGCCAATTTGTGGGGAGCCAGCCACACCGCTCCGGAGCAAGGACCCAGGTCGAGGGAGGAAAGAGGACTGGCCAGGGAAGGGAATCTGCAGCAGAAAACGGTAAGCCCAAGGGAAAGGGCGTGGGCGTGAGCCCAAGGGAAAAGAGGGAGGCCTGATCAGCCTCACCTGGTTATGCAGTAGAGTGCAGCCAGGAAGGAAAAAAAAAAAAAGGGGCGTGGCAGTGGTGTGCCACCGGTAAGGTTTGGTAAAAAAAAAAAAAAAAAAAAAAAAAAAAAAAAAAGGGGGGGAACAGAGGGGAAAATTATTTTGGTGTGTTTTGTGTATTACATGTTGAAATTATTTTGGTGTGTTTTGTGTATTGCATGCTGAAATTATTTTGGTGTGTCTAGTGTGTTACATGTTGAAATTATATTGATGTGTTTTGTATGTTGTATGTTGCATGTCAGATACTCTAGTGACTGAATTGTCAAGTGTGGGCCAGGGCTTAGTGTCCCCCTTGGCCGAGCGATTGTAGGGCTGTAGTGTGTGTAGAGTGAAAGAATTTACAACCTGTTAGCAGCAGAGTATCTGAAAATGGGGTCTGGGGCAAGCCAATGTAGTCCTCTGGAATGTTTTTAAACAACTGGAAAGCAGCCACAAAGCATGATGATTGGGGAATCAAATTGAGGCAACGGAGGATGAGAACATTATGTGAGGTTGACTGGCCCTCGCAACAAACTAACTGGCCCTCGGAGGGGAGCTTCGATTTGCAACTAATCAACCCACTGTATCGAAATATCTTGAACGTCCACCCAGACCAGATCCCCTACATTTCTACTTGGAAAACCAATGTAGAAAAGAACCCATCGTGGTTGAAAGCCTGCCGAGGCGACGCCCACAAAGTACAGTTTGTGCAGTTCGACCGACAGGGAAGTCAGAAAAGCCCCCAGTGATACCAGACCCAGAAGAAGAGGAGGGGGAAGTCATTAAACCACCTCCACCCTATGCTCCACCAACTGCCCCTCCCCTGGACCCAGGCCCCCAGGCACCGGGAGGAGCTAGCCCCCAGCCTGAACCCCCCAAGGCTAATGAATCAGAAGAAGAAGAAGACGATGATGAGGAATTTGTAAAGGGATTGGTTGAGTTAGCAAAGAAGGGAAGAGAGTGGACTCAGTATCAGTCTTTGAGATTGCAACAGTATGTACAACCCTATGCAGAAGAAGTGGATGTTAGCCCCCACGTGTTGGCTGCAGCAGGATGCTCCTCAACACAAGGGAAGAAATGGCAGAGGGAATGGATAGAAGCAGCAACCAGGGCAGCCTTCCATAAGTCCCATGAGGCACAGAAATCGGGTGGGGTCGGAGTAATGCCCCTCCGAAGGGTTTATGACCCACCAGGACCTCCAGGGACTAATGGAGCAGCAGCAGAACGGACCTATACGGTCCAGCATATACCCTTTTCAAGTGCAGATGTCTGTAACTGGAGAAATCAAAACCCATCTTTTGAGGAAAACCCAGCGAAGATCATAAAGCTGTTTGAAGGGATTTTTAAAACTTATAATCCCACCTTTGATGATGTGCAGTATTTGATGGATGCGCTGCTAACCACAGAAGAAACTAGGCGAATCCATGCTGAAGCCCGAGCACACCTGAGAGCGCAGGGAGTGCAGGATCCAGCTATGGCAGCAGGATATCCAGAAAACACCCCGAATTGGAATTATCAGACTGTTGATGGCCAGAACATCCTCACTACCTACCGCCAGAATGTGTTAAATGGTATGAGAAGGGCAGCTAGGAAACCCACCAACTTTGTGAAGGTTAGAGAGGTAGTGCAGGGGAATGAAGAGGCCCCAGGAGCATATTTAGAACGCCTGAAGGAAGCCTACCGCCAGTATACTCCTGTGGACCCAGATGAGGCTGCCAACGCCCCTATCATAAAAGCTGCCTTTGTGGCCCAAGCGGCGCCCGATGTCCGCCGAAAGATTCAAAAACACGAGGGGTTCATGGGCCACACCCTTGAGTGGATGTTAGAACTGGCTCAAACCACTTATAATCAGAGGGAGGAAGAGGCACAAAAGAAAAAGGAGAAGTATCAAGCAAAGAAGTTGATGGCGCTACAGGCTACCGCACCCACCCCTCAGGAAAGAGGAAGTGCCCGGGGAGGAGGGCAAGGCCGTCTGGGGAGGAACCAGTGCGCCATCTGCCGGCAGGAAGGGCACTGGAAAAGAGAATGCCCACAAGCTCACTCAGGTGGAGGAGGACGAGGAGAGCGAATCCCAGGCCCAATCCCCGTGGGACCTGGACAAGAACTGAGACCTTGGACATCTGCAAATACAGGCAGGGGTAGAGGACGTGGACAGGGACCTCCCTGGCACCCTCCAGCCCAAAGACAGCCCGCCGCGATGAGCCTGAGAGAGGAGGAGGAAGAATACTAGGACAGACCGGGCCCAGCTGATTTAGGTTCCCGTGAGCCCATGGTCAAAATACAAACAGGGAACCGAACCATCCCCTTCATGGTTGACACAGGAGCCGCCCACTCTGTTTTGCCAGTACCAGTGTCCAAGCCCACCAAGCAAACAATTAACATAATAGGAGCTACAGGCAAATCACAAAGAGCCCCCTTCTTGCAATCTGTTGCCTGTCGCCTGGGCGGCCAAGTGGTCCAACACAAGTTTTTGTATATACCAGAGTGTCCCATCCCATTGTTGGGCCGAGACCTGCTATCAAAATTGCAAGCCCAGATTTCCTTCCAACCGACAGGAGAAGTGACAATGACTACAGGGCAAGCAGGAGAGTTCTCCTTAGAGGTACCCTTGAGGGAACACTGGCGCTTAATGATGGTAGAAGAAGAGGAGGGGATTATTCCAGAAGACCTCCTGCAAGAAGTTAACCCTGGTGTATGGGCAGAAAGCAACCCGCCCGGAATGGCAAAGAACATCCCACCTATAATAGTCAAGCCCAAGCCATTCGCCAACCCTGTGGCTGTGAACCAATATCCTATCCCCCGAAGAGCTGCGGAAGGAGTATGGGTACATTTGGAACGGTTACTTCGCCATGGCATCCTGAGGCAGTGTCAATCTCAGTGGAACACCCCACTCTTGCCGGTGAAGAAGGAAGATGGCTCGTACCGCCCGGTCCAAGACCTTAGATTAGTCAACCAGGCCGTGGAGACCCTCCACCCCAATGTGCCCAATCCTTACACGCTGTTGAGTCTAATACCTCCCACCGCATGTTATTTCACCGTATTGGACTTGAAGGATGCATTCTTCTGTTGCCGCCTGGCAGAAGAAAGTCAGCCCCTGTTTGCATTTCAATGGACAGATCCGGGAACAGGCACCAGGGTGCAATACACGTGGACGAGGCTTCCACAAGGCTTCAAGAATTCTCCAACCCTTTTTGGGGTTGCATTGGCCTCGGACCTGTCTAGCTTCCCCACCAGTCCGCGCAGAGTCTTGATGCAGTACGTGGATGATCTTCTTTTGGCCTGTTCAGACGAGAGCACGTGTATGGAGGCCACCAAGGACTTGTTAAATCACCTGGCTGAAGCAGGATACCGAGTATCTAAGAAAAAGGCCCAGATATGTCAACCCACCGTGAAATACCTTGGATTTGATATATCCCATCAGCGACGGACCCTAAGGGAAGAAAGGAAGCAAGCCATCATCCAGATTCCAGAGCCAAAGAATCGCAGGGAACTTCGCGGCTTTCTGGGCTCAGCAGGATTCTGTAGAATATGGATACCAGACTACAGCACAATTGCCAAGCCTCTGCATGAGTCAACCAGAGGAACTGAAAAGGACCCCTTTGTGTGGGGAGAAGAGCAACAGCATGCCTTCAAGGATCTGAAAAGGCATTGCAGCAAGCACCAGCGCTGGGCATCCCAAATCCTGAGAAGCCTTTCTCCCTATTTGTGGATGAAGACCAGGGAACAGCAAAGGGAGTGCTATGCCAAAAATTGGGAAGCTGGCAGCAGCCCGTGGCATACCTATCTGAGCGCCTGACGCCTACAGAACAAGGTTTACCGCCATGCATGAGAGCAGTAGTGGCAGTAGCCACCCTACTGCACAAAGCAGACAAATTTACTTTTGGCCAAGACACTGTTTGTGTGACCCCGCATGCAGTCCCAGCTCTGCTTGACATGAAGGGTACCTATTTCCTCTCCCAAGCAAAAATGAGAAAGTGCCAGATGCTATTGTTGCACCCGCGTTTGAAGTTCCAGGTTACCACCGCCCTCAACCCAGCTACCCTGTTGCCGGTAGGAGAAGGTGAGGAGCAGATGCACGATTGCATTGAAGTGATGGATGAAGTATATTCCAGCAGACCTGACCTAAAAGATGAGGCAACCCCCACTGGCCTTCATGGTTTGTAGATGGAAGCAGCTTTGTTGAGACTGGACAGCGGAAGGCAGGCTATGCAGTGGTTGCCCTGGAAGACCAGGTGATCGAAGCAAAGTCACTCCCACCTGGAACATCGGCCCAGCTGGCAGAGCTAACTGCGCTTACCAGAGCCCTGAGCCTGGCAAAGGGACAGAAGATAAACATTTATACAGATTCTAAGTATGCATTCCTGACTTTACATGCCCATGGAGCCTTATGGAAAGAAAGAGGTTTGCTTACCTCCAGAGGAAGCCAGGTGGCCCACCCACAAGCCTTATTGAACCTTCTGGATGCTGTATGGGAGCCCGAGGCAGTGGCAGTTATCCATTGTTATGGACACAAGACTGGACCAGGGGAGTGGCCAGAGGAAACCGATTGGCAGACAGAGTAGCCAAGGAAGCAGCCCAAGAACTGGCCCCCGCCTCGGTTATTGGAGCACTGGTCCCAGAAGAGATTTTAAGCACTACTGACAAGCCAGCTTATACGAAGCAGGAAAGGGACACTGCAGACGCTCAGGGGTTGACGTTGTCCAACGAAGGATGGTACCTTACCCCTGATGACAGGATATGGATTCCAGAGTCCCTTTCTCGGCAGGTTACTCAGAGATACCATGATTCAACCCACATAGGACCAGATGCTACAACCAAGCAGCTGGAAAAATGCTTCTATATAGCCCACCTTTACCAACTGGCAGCCCAGATCTCCAGGAAATG